AAAAATGTAAATACTATTTTATGGTAAAAGATAAAAGTTAAGATCCACTGCAGATTTCGTAATAAGTCGCGAGATGTAAATAGGGTAAGGGAACATGATTGTTGACGAGCTAAACCTGTTTACATCTCGTGACCTATGATCAAATCTGCAGTGGGCCTTAACTTTTAGACCGGATCCTATTTTATCTGAGCAAGCATTTTGCCCTGCTGGCTATTTACATCTACTGTAAACTTGTAAGACTCGTTCGTAACCACCTGCAGTTGCTTAAAACAACGACAGAATCTGATATAATTATATTGTTATATTTTCTTGCGCTCACCAAAGAAAGTGGCTCTTTAAACTAACAGCACAAAGTTGTTTTCCAATATATAATTGTCATTAGTTATTTCAGTAATTGCTTTTATAAAATTGGTCTTTTATTATTATAAAAATATATGTGTTGATATAACTGGAAAATATCCATTAATTAAACATATATTCTATTTAAAACTATCTTCCTTATAATAATGAGACAAAAGATTTAAAAATGATCACGTCCGCATTTATTTTGCGTCATAGATTTTGATAGGCTGTTGAATAACTTGTGGGTAGTTCTGCCAATCTTGATTTGTCATATTAAAAAATTAGATTAGGCATCTTAGAATCTATGTGGGTAGTTTTATCAATATGTCTTTGTTATAATAAGAAATGGGGAAATAGGTCTTATCCTAAATGTCTGTATCTTTACCTGACTTATTTGATTTTGACGACTTCCGATTGTTGACCCCCTCCGACAGTTAGGCATCATAAAGAAGGGCTGTCTAAATATATATTCACATTTTTGACAAAAACGATCATTTTACTTTTCAGGGCATTTCTCTCATTTCTGAAAACGGCGAAGTATAATATTCTTTATAAGTAGATTTTGTGACCAAAAACTACTCATCTTCTTCTTCTAGGGGGCGACGCTCTTCGACCAAAGACTATTGCTCCGCCAATTTAGGTACCGTCAACAAGAAACTTGTTCCTTGGATGAGCTTATCGGCTCCAATCGGACCAAATTATTGCATTTTACACCACTGACCTTTGTTGTCGAATCCCCCGATGTTGTCCCATTAGCAGTGTCAATCCAGTATTGCCTGCCTTGAGCTTGTGCACCCCTCCTCACCCCACTAACACATAAGTATACTTAAACTATACCTCCCACCCAGGGCCGTATGTAGGATTTTAAAAGTGGGGGTGCAGCAGAGTGGTGGGGGGGGGCGCCAATATAATGCCCGAGTTACTGAGCGTGGAGCTGCGATCGGCGAAGGCGGGGGCCCGCGAGCGCCACGCTCGTTCAGCGGTGTGTGTGTGTGGGTGTGTGTATGTGCATGCGTGGGTGTGGGTGTGGGTGTGGGTGGGTGTGTCTGTGTGTGTGTGTCCCCCCGAAAATTTTGAAAATTAGGCTGCCGCAAACACGTTTTCCAAACGCGTGGCGCCCCATAGCCTCCACATAAGTGATATAAGAAAATTTGGATCAGGTACCTATTGGCGTGTGGGTGCCATTAAAACCGACCGACTCATTGGTGCCTTAAGAGCATCACTGTCTGATCATTATCAAGTGTATTATTTTATAATTGAAAGGTTGTCAATTTTTTTGAGGGGGCGCCTTATTTTTCTGGGGGTGCAATGTACCCCCTGCACCCCCGCTAGATACGTCCCTGCTCCCACCCCGACATTCCCCATGGTAGGTACGCTACTGTATGCTGTCGTAATCGGGTATTGTGTGTTTACTTCCATGATATATTATGTATACAGGTGTATATTGAGAACTAATTGTATGTTATAACGTATATATATATATATATATTGAAGCTGGAGTAGGTCCATTAACTAATCGTTTAATATGTTTTATCACAATCATACTTATCAAATATTAATCGTCGTCAATACTCTTTTCACTTTAATAATGGTATAATATTGCCAGATATCCCACGCTCTATGATAATATTTGATTTGGAGAACAAACACCACATAATATTACTGTGTTTCCCTCATCTGTTAATGTGCTTCCTAATCTATTGATTGAAGTTAAAGATACATTCCCGCGTACAAACGTTGTGATTTGATGATATATTTGGACTAAAAACATATTCAAAGTAACCAATCTATCGAAAATTTGCTTCAATTGCCTCTCAAAACTTTGGATACGCCGGGGATACCTATAGCTATAAGTAAGCTGTTGTCAGACGCAATGTCTGTCAACTTACCTTCATTGTGGGAGGGTCCATTTTTCAGAATGTATTTATCATTACTTACTGTACATTTGCCATACATACCGAGGCCTAAGTAAATTCTTATTTATTTCTGCCAACTTCTTTATTTGCAGAGTCTTTTGTATGTTGACACCCCTCAATGTTCCCACAACCGCCTAACCATTTGATCAAGATTTAACAACCGCTCCCTCACTTAAGCTGGCACACAATAAGCTGGCAGATAACAGTCGGGTTGCCAGTTAGTGATACCCTGACAATTTTGCCCAGTGCTTGCCCAATGGGCGGGTTTCGGGTAATCCAGTATTTCTCTAGTAAGATTGGGTGTCTATACTTCCCATATATACCAAATTTGACATACTTTTATTGGAAAGAACCACCCGATAAATACTTTTCTGGAAAAGTATCTTTAATGTGGCGAAATGAGAATATAATAATGTATTAGTAATATACCAGGCTAATCTGTCTCTATGACAATCTGGTTATGTCAGCATTTTTTCTTGGCTTATTTTCCAGGTAGTCTCGCTGAAAGGATTGTCCACATTTGTCATAAGGAATGGCTCTTATTATTATGTAATTAAGTACATCTGACAACGTGTATATAAAACCTTCATGCAGAATGAGCTGGATTGTACGCAAAAATTTGAATTATTATTATGTAATTAAGTACATCTGAAAACGTGTATATAAAAACTTCATGCAGAATGAGCTGGTGGCAGTGTGAAATCAACAGAAATCAATGCATACGTTAAAAAGCCACAACTTGTGTTAGAAATGGCAGATCTGAATATCTTTGGGACCATGTATTGGGTGCCTGGGATCGCAAACACATTAGCTGGGACATTTTTCTGAAAAATTAATTCCCCGTATGTCCAAAATTTAAGAGTGGGTTAGTGTACGAACCACTTTTTTGAAAGTTCGTTTACTATAATTCGTCCAAATCTTCAAGAGAGAGAGAGAAATGGGGTTTAACGTCCACTCGACACAAACTAGGTCATTTCGAGACTAACATATGGTTTAATTTTATTTACATAATTCGCTTGCGCGTAGGGGTCTTTAGCAGTGGGAGGAAACCGGAGGACCCGGAGAAAACCCACGAGGTTGGACAGGCGACCCTACTCCTTGCCACGTACAACCGGGGATTCCCAAATCTTCAAAGGACGAGGGTGTGTCCCCATTTAAACCATATTATTTGAGACATAAGACATCAGAAGCAAATCAATGATACGTTTTGTAATGTGTCTTTATGTGAATGGGGGATGTTATTGGGTTTTTATTGATCATTTGCAAACCGTTTACGAAGACTTTCAACAAACCAAATACTAGCGATAGTGATTAAGGGGAGGTAAGTGCATTTTTGGACACCAGTAACAAATGATAGCAAGATGCTGTACACTAAACCCATCATTGTTAATCCGGACTCGAGGACACGTCTCTAATTTAGACGTAAATGAAACTGCCACCAACTAGTGCCAATCTGATATAATCTAAGCGTGAAAAAATAGTTATCATACTTTCTATTGAGCAAAAGCCGTTTTTTTTTAAAAAAATATTTACTCAATTATTGTAAAACCGATTTCGTGTGCTTGAAAATGCCGATAGTTCTAACGGTATAAAAACTTATAAATTTTAAAATATTTATAAATATAATTAATATTAATTTTATTTCGTTCACAACAGAGCAGAACAGTAGAATGTTAAACCCAATTTCATTTCATTTTCGTTCACAACAATTGAGGAACGCCTTCACATAGCCCTAGTGTGACTGTCCAATCCAATTCAAATAGAACATATTTGAATAACAAATTATTTTACAGTAGCTACAGGCTTGTTTAAAGATAGGTTGCCAGGCAACGAAACATACAGATACAGTGAGTCATCCGAAGAGTCAACACGGGTTGTTGCATATTATTTCTTTTGCCAGCAATGAAAACATTTACAAGACACTAAAGTCTGATTCTGAGTAACAACTCGTTAAGTATTATCGGAAATCATTAGAATTTGTTTGGCTTCTGATAGTTCTGCCCTATACTAAATTTTATGAATTTAAAGTCATTCGGATATTAACTTTAGACTCTAGAGCATCAACAAGATTTTTCAAAATGATGAAGGGCCATAATTCTGGGAGAAATTATCCGAAATCGTTGAAAATCAATAGGTTTCTTCATCTTATGACCTGAAACATTTAGATATTAACTTTAGCTTCTATGGTTCACAAAATTTTTCAAAATGATCAAGGACCATAATCCTGGCAATATTGTTGGAAATTGTTGAAAAGCAATAGGATTCTTCGCCTCATGACTGTAAACATTGTGTACAAATTTGAAGTCAATTGGATATTAACTTGAGCCTCTAAAGCATCCACAATATTTTTCAATGCTATTTCGATGCTTTTTTAATTGTGCCAAAGAAGTTGTCTTCAAGACTGTCAAGTAGTCCAAATCATGAAATTTGGGGAACATTTAGAGTGTTTTAGACAGGAAGGAGTATGAAATAACTACCTTATTCAGTTTAAATGCTCTCCCCAAAGCTTAGTACATATAGAGTTAGAGGCATAACGGTTGCCGGTTTGAGACTGACATTGTGCAGCAGAAGTTGAATGGGGCCACACATTCCAATATTAGAAAGTGGGATAATAAAACCTGACCTGTATTCATGAGACTGTGGGAGTAAATGTCTCACCCATTGAGCATTACCCTCAGTGGCGAATGAATAAATCACATTCAAGATACACACATTATTATTATCTAAAAAATGAAAAAATAGTTTATGCTGATATGGTTTATTTAGCACCTTATACAAAGTAGAAACAACATATAGCAGCATATATATAGATAGTAACAAGAGTAAGTAAATCAGTAAACAACAAGCATCAATATAATAATAATGTCAAATAATCACAATATTCTAGGAAAATAAGTAACATTTTCAATTTCTTCAAAAATTCACCAAACCATTATCAGCAAATAGTACTTTTTTAATTATAATATTGCTTCATAATTCATTAGATTGCACTATTGAAAATTTCAATCTTCACCATTTTGACATTATGTGATAATTTTGAAGAATGCCATGCATTCAACGAGGCATATTGCATTGACGATATATGGTTTGTGTTAATGCATATATTTAAGAAGACTTACAGATCTTGCCCTTTGGTCCAATATAAAGTGGTCCAATTGGTCCTCTATAGTTAACAAGAAATGTGATAAGATAAAATAAAAGTGTCATGGCAAAGGTATCAATATTAGTTTTTAAATACCAGTACCAATTTATTTCGAAAGTTAATCTGGATATAATGATCTGGTTTTCTTGCATTTATTATTAAAGTACAAATACTAATCTTGAACCTTTATCTTTTGGTACATATTCATTACCTCATTGAATGCTATTACCCAATTCCACAAGCACTTTATGATATTTTTTCAATACAGCACAGGAAAATGTTATGCAAGAAAATGGCACGAGTGAAAGGTAGGGAAACTATTTTGTATATAAATCTAGCAATATAACAGATAAATGAAGATATACATTTCTAACATCCTACTGAATAATATATAGACAGAACCCTTTCTATACACCCAAATATCAGGCCTAAATATGGTGGTAGTTAAGAAAACTAAAAATATAGTATTCTTCCATAAAATATAGAAACCTCTCTCGAAAAAAAAAAATTGCACTAAGATCCTGTTATCTTAGGGCTTTTAACTATTCACATAATTGAGAAAATTGAAGAATTTAAAATTTCACAAATTTAAATCAACTATGCCAATTTTAACTATATATATGATTTTAGTAATAAATTAGAGATATAACTTAAGAAAATTTGAAACCCAACTTAACAGATAACCAAATAAAATTCTAATAATAATCCATTGTGTTAAAGATCTGGAATTTATATAGCAACTCACTGTAGAACAATGAGGATCAGGACATTTATACCTCCAAGGTGATAATCTATAAATATTATTTCCATGTGTAACTAGTTTTATTATTAAAGATACATTATGGGAGATAAAAAAAGAGATGGCAGTTCTCGCTATAATAGTTAAAAACTAGATAGTGTAAAGGTAATTTGCTGAAAATTTCAGTCAAATTGATCCACTATGAGCCTAGAACGAAGCGGGTGAAATTTTTTGCATAGTCTCAGTCATCATTACTAAAATCATTAAAATAAACAGCATAGTCTCGATTATCCACTGTTTTGATTTAATTATCAATGACCGTTAGGCGGCATATAGGAATCTAATCCAGCCAACATCGAAAACTAGCCTTGACATCGCTAGCCTTGACATCGAGAGTTTATTATGGTCTGGATAAGTTAATTAATGTCTAATTGATAATTTAGATAACATTTCAGGCCTAAAGAAAGACTTGTAATAAGCAGATTTTGCTCTTGCATAATGCATGTTTACAGAAGCTGTAAGCAAACATTCTCATAATTGTTAAACAATCTACACATCAAGCTTAGTACCTTTGATATATAACATTAAATAATATGTTTTATGGCAAATTTACAAAAGCTAAAAACTCTCTCTAAAACATCAATAACTGTAGGCCTATAGGTTTTCTTGTTCTAAATCTCTTACCGTATCTCTCCGCTACTGTAATCTTAACTAGAGCTAAACAAAAATTAATTATTCATATCAGATATACAGAATGTTTTGTTTGAAAATTAAAGTTAGTGTTTAAAACTAAAATAAATACTAAATCATAAGGAAACTAGTCTCAGGCTACTATTTGATACAAAGACTTGGAAATTTAATTTCAAAATTCATATAAATATAGTGTTCATATTTCAAATGTAAGTAAGAATTCTAAATTTTTTCATACTAACATTTACAATTTGTTCACAGTTTACTTGGTCTCAACAACAGTGAATTTAACATTATGTTTATCCAGTCTCTCAATAAGTGATGTGTTTTGGAAGGCAGCTCCTGGGGTATAGACTCCACCGACAGGGGGCAATTTACTCCTCTCTTTGATTAGAACCAGAGCCGATTGAACCATACAGATTGGAGTAGCTACATAACCTGGTTCTGAAATAACAAATATATGGTATGCTTTTTAAAAGCCAATTTTGCCTTGTTTTTAATCTGATGTAAAGACAAAAGCATTGCTAGCGCTGCAATATACGTCCACATTCCTGCTTTGATTGATATGGTACTTTTTAAAATGAAGAGAATGAAATATGAAATGGCTGCAATGACTGTAATATGACAAGAGGCAAAGAAGGCTAGGCGCTGGGTTTGTTTTGCCACATCTACAGACTAAATATTAACAAAAAAGTTTGTGTGACACTGCCCCAGGGGGTCAGGGCATGCACCAATATAAATTGTTGTTGTCTTTACGGTATAAGGAATAGATATGCAAGGTTCCGAGATGATCTATTCAGAATTACAGCCAGTAGTAGAGGATAAACACAGAATTGGGCGTTGCTCTGCCCCTGGGGGTCGGTACATGCACCAAAATCAATAGTTGCCATCCTTAGGCTATAAGGAATACATATGCCAAGTTTAAAGACGATCCAATAAGAATCGTGGCCTGTAGGCAACACACAGACACACTAAGAAAAATGAGTGTGGCTCTGCCCCTGGGGGTCAGGCAATTACCAAAATAACAATAGGCATCATCCTTGGGGTATATGGAATAGGTATGCAAAGTTTCAAAAGGATCTGTTAAGAATTATGGACTGAAGGGGAAATACAAGACACACACAAAAATTGGGCATGACTCTGTCCCAGGGGGTCAGGCATGCAACATAATATAGGTCATCCTTGGGCCTAAGGAATAAGTATAAAAAGTTTTCAAGATGATCGATTAAGAACTACAGTTTGTAGGCGATACATAGACACACAAAAAGAAAATAGGTGTGGCTCCGACCCTGGGGGTTGGGTATGCACCACAAACAATAGGGATGTTCCTTAGGATATAAGGAATAAGTATGCAAAGTTTCAAGATGATATGTTAAGAAATGCTGCCTGTAGTCGACAAACTAATAATACAAGAAATGGCCGTGGCTCTGCCTCTGGGGGTCAGGCATGCACCAACAACAATAGGGATCATCCTTAGAGTATAACTTAAGAATAAGTATAAAAAGTTTTCAAGACGATCGATTTGGCATTGCAGCCTGTAGGCGACACAGACACACAAAAAGAAAATGGGAGTTCCTTAGGGTATAAAGAAAAAGTATGAAAACTTTCAAGATGATACGTTAAGAAATGTTGCCTGTAGACGACAAACAAACAAATATAAGAAATGGGCGTGGCTTTACCCCTGGGAGTCCGGCATGCACCATATACATGTGGACGCATAAAAATGGATCGTTTGGAATCACACCATGTTATAAATCTAAATGGTTTTGGGAGAAACGAGCGTGGTCAGTGGTGCTTGTTTGCACACAAGGTATGTTCACAATGTTTGCAGAAAACACTCTAATTTCAGTTTACTTTTGATGAAAATCCTCACAAAACCATAGCTTCATAATATCACTGACCGTGATATAAAAGTTTTTCGATTAGTTGTTTCTATCATCAAGACCTGGTTATCTTGTCATCAGGGTACCGGCAGCCTTGTTCAACAGATAATGCATGAATTACAGCCAAGTTACACCACTAATGAAAGGTCTTAAATTTGTGTGAACGTATTATGAGATATATTATGAACATGTTACGAGAGAAAGGTTTTGTTTTAACCATAACTAACCTGGGCCAGCAACCCTTGTGACAATTGTTTTTGTTGGTGCCTCCTCATGTTGGACATCAACATCTGGTACTTTCTTTTCATATCCTTTTCCATAAAATGTCATTGTAAAAGATGTCTCCTCTATCTAAAATTATATCATTTATCATTTGAATGATACAGTGTTTAAAGAGTTACATATGTAATAAGTTTAGTATAGCTGACAGCTGTTGACAATCAAGGGTTTATTTATATCAACAGTATACTAAATTAGAAAACCAGCGGTTGGTTGCCAGGCAAGAGATGAATAGAGAACAAGCTAAAAAAATAACGAAAAAAACTGTGATTTTTCGTACAATCAGAGGCCATAATCCTAAAGTTATGGTCTGAAATGCACGAATATTGAAAGGGACTGAGATCTTTGGGATATAAAGATATATTTTAAGTTTCATTAAAATCGGACAAAAATTGTGACCTCTAGAGGCTCTACAACCTTGCTATTACATACTTGGTACACAATTTGCATACAAGGAGCGGCCATTTTGTCAGACAGTTTTGGTCCGATTTTCACGAAATTCGAACTCAACCGTCATTATGCTCAAATATCAAAAAGAACCAAGATCCTTGGATTTCTAGTTTCATCAAAATCAGTTAATCAGCGGTTGCCAGGCAAAATACACCCACATTTTGCAAGAGATGGATAAAGAAAAGGCTAAAAAAAAAGAGCAATTTTTCGTACAATCAGGGGCCATAATCCAGGAAGTTAACGTCTGAAATGTATGAATATCGAAAGGGACTGAGATATTTGGGACTTCTAGCAGGTACACAAACTAAATATGCGAATCTTTGAACAATCTGAGCAAGGAAGTTAAATTCGGATATGCGCTATTATCAAAAGGAACCAAGATCTTCACCATTAAAACATAAATTTAAAGTTTCATCAAAATCAGACCAAAATTGTGGCCTCTAGAGGGTCCACAACCTTGATATACCATATATTTACACTATTTGCGTTTGGGTTTGATTTTCACGAATTTTCAAACTCAACCGTCATTAGGGTGTAACGGTGATATATTCAAACATTTTTTTAAATCAGATAATAGAGCGACCACAAGCTAAAAACACAATCAAGGGCCATAATTCATGAAGTTATGATCCAATATGAGCAAATATCGAAAAGAACCAAGATCTTTGGGTTATAAACATGTTATTCAAGTTTCATCAAAACTGTATAAAACTACAAATGTGATTTTGCGTACAATCAGGGGCAATAATCCATGAAGTTACGATCTGATGGATGCTAATATCGAAAGGAACCAAGATCTTTGGGAGACAGACCTATATTTCAAGTATCGTTAAAATCGGATAAAAATTGTGACATGTAGAGTGTCCACAAACAAATTATGGACAGATGGACAGGGGTGACAACATAATACATCCACATGAAAATGTGGGCGTATAAAAACAACCTAGTCTTTAACCTACCTGTTTTTTAGTGGCACCAGAGGAAGAGAACACACCACCACTAAAAAAACCTGGAAACTAAAACAATAGGTAGAAAAAAAAATTGTATGTAAATACAGTCGCATTACACAAATGAAACAAAAAAAAAAACCAAATCATAAATTATCTTAGGCCATTCTGGTTCTCAGTTAATTGTTATAAAAAATCTGATATGGTGCAAGAAATAGTTTTTTTTATAATTTTGTGTTTCTATTTTGTCAAAGGATCACTACTGCTGTACTGGGTTAAATAACTTCTAATAAACATAAGATTTCAAGGCACTGCATTTATCTCATCATGTTGTATGACTATCCAATATCATAGATGATTGTTAGTAATATTTATCAGGGGGATGATGTACTTGATAAATGAGCCTACACCAAATTTCTGGATTAATTCATAGAGTTACTTCCTGTATTTGTGGTAAAACATTTACAAGTGGTAATTAATGAGAATGTTTTTATTTTTTAAAATAAAAACATGTCATGCGGCCCTTTTTAAGTGATGCAGGATTATCTGAGAACCAAAATTTTTTTTTAGATGGCCTAATAACCATAAAATGTCTGTCAATTATCTATTAAAACGCACAATGTGATAAATCTGATAGTTTGTCTATTGGTTTTGCCATGGGTTAAAATTATATCTCTCTTTTGTCACTGTAATTCGATTTTCCGTCTGTAGTGGCCGGGAGCTATTGTCATTTGCTTAACCCATTGGAACATTTACAATATAAACGAAGCAACATTACTACTACAAATCAACAGTAGGCCTACGGTTGACTTACCTTAACCAATAAACTGGGAGCAATCTTAGCCAAAAGACCAAATACAGTGGCAAATATTATCGTCAAAATAGTTGATATCAGTCCTGGACGACAAAAATAGGGAACAAATTGAACCTGTAAATGAAAATATTAAGTGTTTATGAAGTGGAAGTTGTTTCTGGTTAACACCAGTATTATATTAAACTATTTCTAAATTTTTCTAGAATTTGAAAAAGAACATAGCTGTAAATATCTCCCTTGTTTTGCTAAACCCTTTATTTAAGCTCAAATGATCAAAATAGAGTTACTCCAGTGTTACATTAAGTCAAATTAAGTTACTTTAAATCCCCATTGAAATAAATCAATATATAAATGTTATTGGCGGGTATAAACATATTTTTCTTCAACAAAGGGAAGTAACTACAATTGGCAGTACAGTAAATACCGACTGATGAAACTTACTGGTCTCTCCTTGTTAACATCAAAGTTATATCTTTGTGTTCTATTTACTACTGATCTATCACTTCCTGGAAATGGTACACACCATTTATCAACTTCTTCACTCTTAAATACAGACCTGATAATATATGTAAAACAAAATCATAACAATTCCAATCTGTGCCTTGTGCATCACCAAAGTATAATATTACAACTAACTTTGATTAGCCAGCCAGTCAAATTTCTGTCAAAAAGCCTATCAAAAGATTTCACAGAATTTTCTGTATTATAAGTTTTAATTGGTAAGCTGATCTGCAGGAGTTGACCCATCACAACCGGGTGGGACGATTTACCCAATACTACCTCAATATCACCACATACTACCCAATACTACAACATAATGATGCAAAATAGACATATCGTTTGATTTTTTTCAAAAATAGAGAGTTATATCGCGGGAAATGTACCTCAAATGCAATACCGATATCTGGCTGTTCCATTTGTCTCCCTCTACCAGCCCCAAAAAAGCCAATAATAACCCAATACTACCAAATACTACCCAATATGATCAAATTTCGGTGATAATGACATCGCTGCGACATCGTCACCTGTGGGTATAATTAATAACCTGTTTTCCTTATTTTAACTTCGTCATCTTGGAAACAAACTGCAAAGCCCAACAAGATGATTAATTTGAGTAGCAATCTAAAATATAGTTGTCAGTTGTAAAGGGAGATAACTGCGTAAATATTTCAATTTTCTGTAAGTATCGAATATTCGTTGTAATTATTATACCGATGTGCTGCTAATCGACGATAATAGGTTTGTATTTTATAATATTGGGTAGTATTTGGTAGTATTTGTCAGTTGTAAAGGGAGATAACTGTGTAAAAATTTCAATTTTCTGCAAAATATCGAATATTCGTTGCAGTAATTATACTAAAAAATGTGCTGTTATTTGACAATATTAGGTTGTTATTTGATCATATTAGGTAGTATTTGGTAGTATTGGGTTATTATTTGCTTGATTTGGGTGATATAGGGAGGCAAATGGAACAGCCAGACATCGGTAATCACATTTGAAGTACATTTCCCACGATATATCTCACTATTTTTGAAAAAGATCAAGTAATATGTTCATTTGTCACCATTATGTTGTAGTATTGGGTTGTATCTGGTGATATTGGAGTGTTATTGGAGTGATATTGGAGTGATATTGGAGTGGTATTGGGTAAATCGTCCCGCCGTCACAACCCGACATTACTGAACACAATTTTCAGATGTAATTAGGTTAACGTAAGTGGAGTAACCAAATGAAAAAAAATCAAGACTGAAAATTATAATCATTACATCTTCAATACCAAGTCTCACACTTTCCAAGTTTCCAACTAAATTGTTTAACTGTGATAATGTCAAGGTTTCCGTAGAGGTCGCCATGTTTGATTTGAGTGTGATTGTGGCACAAACTCTGATTGGACGCTACTGTTCATGCGTCTATGGTAAACATAGCTGTAAGTTCAGGAATTGCAAAGCAATCTAGCAACGTCAAGATGTTTTAAAACTTGCGACCTTTGCTTCAATAACAAGCAATTATAAAGAATCTAAGAAGTTTACCTTTGTAACTTATATTTTGTGATATCAGGAGAAAATTGTGTGGACGTGATAATAATATATTTAGAAATGAAACCGTCTAATAAAACTAATATGAACATAAAAATACACTGTACCCTACCGCTTTGGTAATCTGTGGTTACTTCTTGGTAAAGGACTAGGAAACAAGGATTTTCTCAACGATGGTAATTCACCTTCAGCAGCAAAACCATAAACTGCTGATTCAAATGTTCCTGTATTCAGTGTCACACCCTGTTAAAAAATAAAGGAAAATAAAGATTAAAATAATAGAAATGTTATGGCAGGATATTGTATTGACGGTTTATAATCTCAGACGGCAGACCTTTTTTCCTTATAGTAAAATACATGCATTACCCACTGTTAAAATCTTTAACAGGCAATTTTGATACCATGTTAACCATGCTTTAATAAAGCCTGTCTAAGAGCACAAATTTTGACACCAACATGTGCAATGCAAGGGTAAGATTTTGCCTGGACAGTGAGATTTCTGTCTACTCTTTGATGAATTCCAACTACTAAAGGATATTTAAATGAACTAACAATTTGTACATGGGATCTCAGTTTTTCATTATATGTGAACCACTACACACACTCAACTTGTCAGCCCTGCAGGTACTACCACCGCTGACAAGTAGAAATAGTGCTTCAAAAATTGTGATTCCGATTGTCCCACATGCAACTGCTCCCCCTTTTCAGAAGATTGTGAATAACAGTAAATGAAATGAAAAGGGGTTCAATTCATTGTCCCACTTTTCTGCTCCAACCAGGTTTATGAATATACATTACAGTATATCTCTGTCATAGAATATGTACATTACAGTATATCTCTGTCATAGAATATACATTACAGTATATGTCATAGAATATACATTACAGTATATGTCATAGAATATACATTACAGTATATCTCTGTAATAGAATATAGTAGGTGACTATTAAAACATTTGGTAACATTTACATTTAATTCCACTTTTGCTTAACAACTACATTTGGCAAGTACTTACATCTGGTCCAGTCTGTATATCAATGAAAGCTTCAATAGAATTCAAGTCACCTGAAAAATAATTGTTATTTACACATGAAAATGACCATATTCCACTGTCAAAGTATCTTCTAATCTCAAACAATTAGACTCTTTAAAGAAGCTAAATCCCCAATATTTGAGACCTAGAAATTGACCCAAATTGGTCGCAACACATATAATAATGTAATCTGATTGTATATAAACTGATTTACATTCAATTGTTTCCATTTTGACTAATTCCAAATCAGTTAGGTCCAGCGAAATACGGGATGAGTCTCAACCGAATTGCAATGTCTAGCGTCTGGTTATTTCAGTCTATTGCGCATGCTCTCCAGATAAGATATGGCGTCACCGTTTGACAGGAGTTGTGGAATATGTCTAGCCTCGTTCTTTCTGGTCACTTGTTACAAATGACGCTGAAACACACTATGGTACACGAATAGTAAAATGTTTATTTTGTCTTAAACATTGGATATCAGAAGCCTCCTTTTCCTGGTAAGATCATAACATCAATGTTAATTTGAATTGTATTTTCAACGTGTAAGACTTTGGATGATATTGAGTTAGAGACTTAGCTACTTTAAAGTCCGTTTGGTCACTAAAACATGGATAGATATTATTAAGCCAACAGTTAGACTTGCGTTATCTATCAGCTATATGTGTCAGTTCAAGAATATAGATTTTATAAAATCAGCTATATGTGTCAGTTCAAGAATATAGATTTTATAATGAACTGGTACCTGCCATAGTAAACTTTATGTCAGACATGTATTATAATAAATATCCTTAAAAAACACTGAAAATAAGAAATAATGTTACCTGGAAAATTATTCTTTGTGTAGACTGTTCCCATGTCTGCTGGGACACTATCAAATCCACAGCTTCCAATAACATAAACACCAGCTTCCTTGGCTTTAGCATGATATAATAGTTGTACTTTCTCTAAAAACTGGAAATAACAAAGTTACATAAAACAAAATTCACTAACTATGCTACGAATATTGATTATAAAAGTAATAGATTAAAGCATTAAAACTCTGCCTACTTTAACACTGCATCATCTTTCGGTAAATTCCTTTTCATGACATTGTTCCTTCGAAGAGAGGATGAAAACTTTAGCATAATTGATACATATATAGTGAAAATCATATTTTTGCCTTGAAAATAAGACTTTGGCTTGATCTTTCAGTTAAACAAATATCTGTGTCATTGCAATTCTACGCCTACACCGATTTGAGAAATTATTAGTTAGGTTAATATGTCTAGGTTAATATGACCATAAACATACCTGTGGTTCTCCACTGATATCAATATGGCTGGCTTTAGCTTCTATACAGGCTTTAACTACTTGCTCTCCATGAAATCGGTACTGAAAATATTTCAAAAAGTTTAACAAAAAAGAACATTTTCACAAAAGCATTTAGAATTTCAATCAAGGTTATGGACTGTTAAATTTTCAGACAAGGTCAAACATCCAAATTACACTGTCTGATGTTTTTATCTTAAAGGAGATAAACCTCTTTGATAAACTTCAAAATAGTGAAGAAAATTTTTTTTCAATTAGCTACAAAACAATCTTATTATTGCTAAAACTGTCAAATGACAAATACAGAACCTGTCATATCTTAACAGTGGCTCTACCCGCAGACCTAATAACCCAAATCAGAACCTTTGTATGGTGGCCCATGGTTATTACATAGAATTGTGTAAAAAATCCCATATGTTATAAGAAAAATCAATAAAAATTAGCCAAAAAATAAGTATAAGAATAAAAATTAGCCAAAAAATAAGAATAAAACTAAAAAAAAATAAAAACTAAATCAAATAAGATTAAAATCGTTTTTGACAAAGTATACAAATAAAGTAGGCCTATAATCCAGTTAAATGGGTTGAGACTTGTGGATTCTGATATTCCTCATTTCATTTCCATTCCTGTTCCCTTAATAGCACAGACCAATCTTCCAAACAGAGCTGTCTTCCCTGGCAGTCCATAGTAAGACTTGTGTGGAGAGTGAGTACAGACATTTAAATATCATATATATCCGATTCACTGGATGTAAAATATCACCTTATGATTAGAATTACATGTATTCACCCACAAGCTAGAGATGTGTTCAATTACAGTATCGTTTGAATTATAACAATGGGCCACGTCAAGACATACATATTTTAGTTTTCATTTCACTTTTCAATTCAAAAAAAAAAAACAGCGGCTGCCAGACAGGATACGCCCACATTTTCGAGAGATGGATAAAGAACAAGCTAAAAAGAAAGTGATTTTTCCTACAATCAAGGGCCATAATTCAGGAAATTACAATTCGATATGCGCAAATATCTAAAGAAACCGAGATCTTTGGGTTATAAACTTACATTTCAAGTTTCAACAAAATCAGATAAAAATTGTGACCTCTATTGGGTCCACAACTTTGATATACCATATTTTTACGATATTGGAGAACGAGGGGTGGCCATTTTGCCAGTCAGTTTTGGGTTGATTTTCACAAAATTCGAACTCAGCTGTCCTTAGGGTGTAACGGTGATACACTAAAACGTTTTTTTAAATTGGATAAAAATTATGACCTCTATAGGGTCCACAAGCTAAAAATGTGATTTTTCCTACAATCAAGGGCCATAATTCAGGAAATTACAATTCGATATGCGCAAATATCGAAAGAAACCGAGATCTTTGTGTTATAAACTTACATTTCAAGTTTCAACAAAATCGGATTAATATTGTGAGCTCTATAGGGTCCACAACCTTGATATACCATATTTTTTACGCTATTTGAGAACGAAGGGCGGCCATTTTGTCGGTCAGTTTTGAATCAATTTTCACAAAATTCGAACTCGGCCATCCTTAGGGTGTAACGGTGATATAGTAATACGGTTTTTTAAATAAGATAAAAATTATGACCTCTATAGGGTCCACAAGCTAAAAACGTGATTTTTCGTAAAATCAGGGCCATAATTCAGGAAGTTACGGTCCGATATGCGCGAATATCGAAAGGAACCGAGATCTTTGGGTTATAAACTTACATTTCAAGTTTCAACGAAATCGGATAAAAATTGTGACATCTATAGGGTCCACAACCTTGATATACCATATTTTTACACTATTCGCGTACAAGCGGCGGCCATTTTGTCCGTCAGTTTTGGTCCGATTGTCACGAAATTCAAACTCAACCTTTACTACAGTGTAACGGTGATATACTAAAACGTTTTTTTAAATTGGATAAAAATTGTGACCTCTGGAGGAACCACAAGCCAAAAACGTGATTTTTCGTACAATCACGGGCCATAATTCAGGAAGTTACGATCCGATATGCGCGAATATCAAAAAGGAACCAAGATCTTTGGGTTATAAACATACATTTCAAGTTTCATCAAAATCGGATCAAAATTGTAACCTCTAGAGTGTCCACAAGCTAAAAACACGATTTTTCGTACAATAAGGGGCCATAATCCATGAAGTTATGGTCCGATACATGCCAATATCGAAAGGAACTGAGATCTTAGGGAGATAAAGCTATATTTCAAGTTTCGTTGAAATCGGATAAAAATTGTGACCTGTAGAGTGTCCACAAAAAAATTGTGGACGGACGTCCGGACGGACGGACAAACATGGGCGACGACAATATACGTCCACATGAAAATGTGGGCGTATAAAAAACATTTAAAAAAAGTTTTAATTTTTTTCATTTAAGTTTTCAATTTACTTTTTTTTAAATTTTTAATTTACTTTTTTTTTTTTCATTTCATTTTTTGATTTACATTTATTTCATTTGATTTAGTTTTTATTCTATTTTTTTTAGTTTATATTTTATTTTCAATTCAGTTTTATTTATTTTTTGGCTAACTTTTATTCATATTTCGTTTTAGTTTGGGGTCTTTTTTTGGGGGGGGGGGGGGGCCACCATACATGTACCTTTGTACACTATTAAAAAAAATATCATCTACAATAATAAATCAATTTCATAGCCAAATGAGCTGTCATTTTGGGTAAATAAGGTCATCTGTTAGTCAGACTAGCCTAGAGAAGTCAAGATACAGATGAGCTGACTGAGCTAAAAATTAAAAACAAGGATGGTCCTGGGCATTCTCAGTATCTCCATTGCTATCGTTCCATTCTACACCACTAACCCCCCCCCCCCCCCCCCCCCCCGAGTCCATTCACAGGGTTTTCACGAATTGATTAATCGATAAAAATAGCACAATTATCAAGGGCAGATAATTTGACTATGTGTCTCAGCTGTGAATGGACCCAGGGGTTAGTGGAGTAGAACGGAATGACACCACTGGGGAATACTGAGGATGGTTCCTGGGATCATGTACCCTTTATACTACACTGAGCAATATGGTTTTGGACTGTTTATTATCTGGTGATTTTTAGTACAGGTAGTGTATTTTTAATAACCAGTTCTGATAGATACATGTATCTCAAAAATTACATATCAGTACTTTATCTCTACAATATAATGTAGTGTTGCCATTTCTTTGGCAATAAAACATACACTTAAGAGCAGCTTTCCGCCTGCAATGAGCGTGAAATTGGTGGAAGAGAGTCATGATATGCAGTGATAAAAACAGTTGGAACACAACGAGTCTCCTGTTTTCTATTTTAATATGACGTCTTTATTAGCCCAGTTGGTGCAGAAACCATTTCATCTATTTCAATATAGCCTGAACAACTAACAGACACAGTCGACAGCACAAGATATAGGTTTTTTTATGCAGTTACCCTCGTTTTTTCTCTATTAAAAACCGGCAAATTCGGTATCTATTTAGATAATATGAGTGTTAATAACTAGGTCTTAATTAAATTGATGAAAACAATATGTGTTGAAAAAAAACTACAAACTGATAGGTTATAAAAAGATTTATATCAACAAAGTTTTATCAGTAAGCATGATGTCATTATGTCCCTAATATCATCCATTATGTTACATTGTTGTTGATAATATATAACCAAACATTGTAAACAATCGAGGTAGAACTGCTTCAACCGACTGGAACTAGTTGCTTTGAGTTGTAAGAGGCGCTCAGGTCGACCTTTTTCAGTTGCATTCAGTTGAAGCTAGTGGCTCCCAGTTGCCGATATGCCAGTTGCTCTACATTTAAGTCTTAAGGTCGATATAACCCCCCCACACACACACACACCCCCCCGCACCACTTAAAAAAAAGTAGGATATCATGTTCTTTTCTGTTCATAATTTAGATTTTTCTTTGGATTTTTGTTTTGTCCTAAATTTGCATTGCATGCATTGTATAAGGCACAGGTACTACGGAATATATATGTTGTGACTATATATGTAGCTGAATGTATTAAAACTGCTGATTGTGAACTATTTTATAGTGGTGTGAATAATGAAATTAGGAAGACATCTGTTACAGTTCCTTTACACTAAATGAATATAACCATAATATATAGCCTACAGCTCAGCTGCTGTAACACAAAAATACCTATAGTATAGTATGTAAATAACATAACTCATTATAACTTACTACACACTGACATCTTTAAATCAGTTTATTTCAGATCAAGTAAAACAAGCCAACAGTGAGGCTGATGTCCCCCGCCGAAATCCTCAAATAAATAGATGACACATATATTAATTAATCGCACATCTATTTTTTTCAAAAGCATCAAGCAATCAAACTGATTATCAACTATACACTAAGTTTCATCACTCTCTATCAGATAGAATCAAAGTTATCTTGTCCCAAAGCATCAACCAAGGAAAATGCTTATCTCTGCTTAGCTTTAGCTCGATATGTTAATCAATGAACTCAGTCAAGACAAACATCTACATCAAGTTTAAACATACTACCTCAATTAAAAGCAGAGTTGTTATGTTCCAAAGTTGATCAATCAAAATGCTTATTGCTCCTTAGCCTAAGCAGAAAATTCTCATCATAGAACTTAATCAAGGTATTGATGTAATGAAACTATACACCAAGTGTCCTCACTCTCATTTAATTAGAACTAAAGTTATCGTATCCCAAAGCATCAACCAATCAAATTGCTTATCTCTGCTTACTAAAGCAGAAAATTCTCATCTTCGAACTCCATTAAGGCATTCACCTAATAAACACCTCCGCCAATTGTGAACATTGTAACTCAATTAGAAGGAGAGTTATTGTGTTCCAAAGTCTCGTCCAATCAAATTGCTTATCGCTCTGCTTACCCTGAGCAGAAAATGCTCATTATCGAACTTAGTCATGGTATTGATGTTGTAAAAGTAAACACCAAGTTTCATCACTCTCACTTAATTAGAATTAAAGTTATCGTGTCCCAAAGCATCAATCAATCAAATTGCTTATCTCTACTTACCCTAAGCAGAAAATGCTCATCTTCACACTCCATCAAGGCATTGACCTAATAAACACCTACACCAAGTTTGAACATTCTACCTCAATTAGAAGCAGAGTTGTTATGTTCCAAAGTCTTGATCAATCAAAATCAAAATGCGTATTGCTCCTTAGCCTAAGCAGAAAATTCTCATCATAGAACTTAGTCAAGGTATTGATGTAATGAAACTATACACCAAGTTTCATCACTCTCACTTAATTAGAACTCAAGTTATCGTGTCCCAAAGCATCAACCAATCAAATTGCTTATCTCTGCTTACCCTAAGCAGAAAATGCTCATCTTTAAACTCCATCAAGGCATTGACCTAATAAACACTTACACCAAGTTTGAACATTCTAGGTCAATTAGGAGAGTTATTGTGCCCCAAAAAGTGTGACGGACAGACAGACAGACGAATCCATTTTAATAGTCCCCTGCTTTCTTCGAAAGGCGGGGGACAAAAAAACATTATTCATTATAACTTTTACATAGTGCCATCGTTATATCTGTTTATTTACTATAATATTTATATTATAGTATTGGAAATCCAGCTTTTATTTATCTATTACATATATGTAAATAAAATTATTCATAACTTCTAACATAGCGACTGCTTTATATGTTTTTTCAATTTGTTATCCATTTCTATCTCAGGCTTTGCACTGAACCCCATCTCATTAGTTTCAGTATGGACAATTCTGGGACTACATGTATGGCTGGTCGATAATAAATATTTCAAAATATAAGTCAACATGAATAATTTCCACATTCGGCTCACACAAAATAATATCATTTATTAACATGGACTGCCTGGTCTAGTAGTCAGTGACTTTAATCACCATTCAATCTACTTTAACATGGAAACAGATCTAGTGTGAGGGCATCTGGTATAGCAAGTCCCATAAAAATAATTACAAACAACATTCCAATAACCTGTTCTACTACAACATTAAAAACATGAATAACAGAAATATATATACATCATATCACTAACCATCTCGACTGTAATATTCATGTATGATTGATTGCTTTCAAAGGAAGTTGCCACAAGGGGTCAGTCATGGATGAAAGACCGAGTCTGACCTATATGAACATAGGAAAGAGAATGAAATGGGGGTTAACGTCCACTTGACAGAAAAAAGATCTTTTCGGGACTAACACATAGTACAATTTCATTTCAATAATTTGCTTGGATATACATGTAGGGCTCTTTAGCAGCAGGAAGAAACCAGACGACCAGGAGTTAAGCAGGTGATTATATTTCTGATAGAGAAAGAGTGAAAAGAAAATCCTGCCCAGATCCAAGTTAAAAACTTGTTGTCCTGGCCTGGTATCTTACCTGTCTTAAGCTGCGGTCGGTAGACACACTAGCCCAATGATTCAGCTGAATCGTTCGACCAATATAACCGGCACCGAAATTCGCCTAGTGTGTCCAATGTCATTCGGACGAGTTTCTATTTGTTAAATTATTTCCCCGAATCAAACATGCTTAATATATTCGCCTAGTGTGTCCGTTTGCCGAAGCATTCACCTGATTTTTAGAATTCATTATTAACCAATCACCACTGATGTACAGAAGTCGCATGATTGTTTGAAGATATGGTGACATTAAAGATAGATTCAGCCGCATGATTCGGCTAGTGTACAACTTTTAAAGTAGAAAATGTACAACTGCATCCAAAACTTTCGTGCAATGTATAATATGATGCTGACTTTTTTACTTTTTACTATTCGTTAAACAGGAATTAAGCAACAGCTAAATCTGCCTATTGCAGGTCTTTCTTTAGGTCTTAAATCTTATATAAACTATTAACATGACAAGACCATAATCAAGTCTCGATGAGATCTGATAGGTCCAATTTTAAGTAGATTAGAACGGTTCAGAGACTTCAGCCATTTAATGACTTAATCTAAAAATGGTGAAGTGAGCCTAAGCTTTGAACAACCAGTACGGTGGTTATAATCAGTGCACACATCTTGTCAACCCTTTAAAGGCTAATATCTTCGCTCAGAATAAAGTAATTTGAATGGAATTTTCAATATATTCATTTTGCATTAACTATCTAAATCTTGCACAATGTATCTTTAGTGTTCTAGTTCATCATGTAAATTATTACACTCGCCAGTCATGGTATTGATGGATTGATTTTTTTGTCTTACTTCATATCCTTAACTATCACACATTTAAAGTTGCAAAGTACTTGCTATTAAAATTTTCTTTCAAATTTAAATGACAAAGAAATTATTTAAGCATGCTGCATTGTTTTCACACTATCCGACACCCACCCTCCTCCCAAGAGTTCTCCCTTGCTCACTCAACTGGTAGGCTAAGGTGAGAGATGGTTTCAAAAGTATACAGTTAAATTAGCGTACAAGGCTTAAAGTTTTAATGTACGGTAATAAAACTACAGGTTCATTTATCTGTAATCAATATAACACATATCATAATAAAATCTCAATTTCCTTTTCTATATACATTAAACAAAGAGATCCAAATTATGTTAAAGGGACAATGTAAGATATTACAGAAGGACGGTAAACAGTCATTGTTTTTGAGGCGTGCGATCGCCTGTCGTGCACCCAAATGTCGACAGAGGGGAGGTTTTTCTCCCTCGCCTTAAAATTGAAAATCGCTCTCCATATTTGTAAATCATGAACATGTATTTGGTTTTTTTTTCAAAAGAGTGTGAAAGACTCATATTCCGATCGCCACCATGCTGTCATTGTGAACATTTATTTGGTGTATTTGATTAATATAATGTGATCGCACATTATTCCGATGAATATGTTGCTAAAAATAGATGGCACTTTTGCACCATTGGTTAATTTAACTGAAATGAAAAGTAGAACTCTCGCGAGACGTGAGAAATTACGAGAGATGGCACGTAAAAATTTCCAATGAGAATAATTCCGGAAGAAATAGATTATATTTTGATGGAATTTTCAAATTTTCAAGCGTTTATGATTATATTTTGAATAGGGGTTATGTTTTTAAGCAAAATTTATATAAGCTATATATATATTTAGAAATGTGGACAAGTATTTCTATTGGAATACCTTATGTACTGTAGTTATAGATGACAGCAGAAGTTTGACTTGACCATATGACTACAAGTGCTATTATTTAGCAGACGATGTTTATTATCATTTATGTAAGCAAGAATGGCCCCTTACACGCAGTTATTGATCTTCAGAACCATTTCCCATACAAACAGAAAAGTATTTATCGGGTGATTATTTCCAATAAAAGTATGGTAATTTTGGTATATATGGAAAGTAGAGATATCCAATCTTACTAGAAAAATACTGGATTCCCCGAAAAACACTCATGAAGCGTATACAGGACAAAAATGTAAGGGTTCTCCTAATCAACAGCCCGACGTTTAGGAATTTCTGCACGCGTGATGTCAAAGGTCACACGCGAACATTGAGCACTTGATGTACAAGTTGATAAACTTAATGAAGAGTTAGACTTTCTGAGATAAAAATGACGGAAAAAGACGCGGGTAGTGGATAATCCGAGAATTTAATTAGGATTCGATATTTGTAATAAATAGTAAGCGATTAAAGACAACATTCTCTTATGTGTGCAATGAATTCTCCTCTGACTTCCAATTCCAAAGAGAGGTAAGCCACGTGACGTAAACATGACCGGGTTTGATCGATTTTTATAGCAGGACATTCCTTCGCAATTACAATGTTTGAAAAGGATTTGAAGCAAAGTTATGACAAATTAATTAGTTTGAATATGTTTTTAGTCCATATATACCATTAAATCACCCAGTTTGTATGCGTGAACCCATCTTTAATATCAGATCATTCTCCTTAATTTCTTAATCACTCTTCTTATCGAAACTGGGAGAGCTTTCTTTTCTTTCTTTCAATTTGTTCATTAAGGGAGCTTTTTTCGGCTCTCTTCTAAAATACAAAAACGACTGGGTATATGTATCTGCAAATAAGCAATGGAGACAAAACCAGTATCTTTCTTTTTTTAAAATGGTCGACATTTTAAGTGTACACTAATTAATCTATTTTGTCATTAACTATTGAATAATTAATTTTCTGAAATAAAATTTACACATAAGCTAATACATTTTTGTTAAGGCCTTAAAGATAGGTTCCCAGAAAAGCATTTATCGGGTGGTTATTTCCAATAAAAGTATGGCAGTTTTGGTATATATGGAAAGGAGAAATATCCAATCTTACTAGAAAAATACTGGATTCCCTGAAAAACACTCAAGGAGCGCATAAAGGACAAAAATGTAAGGGTTTCCCTAATCGACAGCCCGACGATTAGGAGTGTCTGCACGTGTGACGTCAATGGTCGCACGCGGAGATTGAGTGCTTGATGGACCAGTTGATCAACTTAATGAAGAGTTGGATGTACAACAGTTTCTGAGTTAAAAACCACAGAAAAAAACTTGGGCAGTGGATAATTTGAGAATTTAATTAAGCTTCGATATTTGTAATAAATAGTTAGCGATTAAAGACAACATCGTCATATGTATGCAATGAATTCTCCTCCGACTTTGCTCCCATTGTTAGGTACTGAGAGAGGTAAATCACATGACACAAACATGACCTCTTTTGATCGATTTTTTTATAGTAAGGGTATTCATTGGCAATTGCAATATTTTGAGAAGGATTTGAAGCAAAACTATCATAAATTAATTAGTTTGAATATGTTTTTAGTCCAAATATATCATCAAATCACCGAGTTGGTTCGTGGGGATGTATCTTTAATTCAACAATCAAATATCTCAAGTTAACCAAATTCAACAATTGCCTTTTAACAAGGAAAGACTAAATTTCTATAAATACTTACTGGTCCAACACAGTTGACAAGAACTTTAGCCTGACTGCACATATCATACAGTGACTTCTCACTTGATGAATCAGCCATAATAATTGGTATATCCTCTAGTTCTTTTCCTAAAATAAATTTAACAGAAAATTATAACTCAAATTCAGAATACTCTAATGGGAGATGTACTCATTCCTTTGAAGCTGCATTATGAAATCAAAATCTGAAATTAATGAAATGCACCGAGATATATTTTGCTGGCCTCAAATGTTATATAAATTATTATTTAGACATTTATTCATAATAGACTCGCTAGACTATTGGATGGCTTGGATATTGAGTGGATTAGACAATACCCCCCACATCTGTGTTAAATGCTATATAATACAGTAGGGTCAAACGTGCATAAATGGATAGAAAATGCATCATGCCAGTCATTGAGACTGTTGATAATAGACCTAACAATAGAGATACACAAAGCTTTCTACAATTATTGTAAGTTTTAATATAACAAATTTTACATTTATTGTGTTTCCTTTCTCGGAAAATTCAACAATATAAGTCACAAATAAACATTAAAACAAATTGTTGATAAAAGCTTTTTGCAGTCCTACAGAAATACCTTTATAGTTTCACAAGACAACCTTTCAGAATGTGAAGAAAAAGTATGTCAAAAGTCATATATCTGTGTATATCATTGACAATTTATCAGCACTATTGTTTAAGTCAAATTATCGATATGTTGATATGTCAAAATTTTCTATTAATAATCCTACTTTAAAAAAGTAATCAAAGAAATAATTCAATAAAATATGTACATGTATTAATTAAATAAGGACAGTACAAACTTACATCTATTTTGAAATATGTCAATTTGATATCTACATGGAACACCAAAAAACTATATTTTACTTATTAAAAAGTAATTGTTATTAACTTTCAATATTATATACATGTATAAATTTCTGATAGATGATTATCAACAGGAATTTGATTCAAACAATAAATGATATGAGGTTTTGATATCCACAATATTATTCATAATTCTCATGAATATACATAAAATGATAAATGTGGGACTCAGTAAACAATCTCTCCAAGTTTGAAAAAAATTATCATCAAAAATTTCCCTCTGTAGATTGTTTAAGTGACAGGGCCAATAATTTGTGGGACAAATGGATGACCTGTTTAAAAGGGAAATGTCTTCATGTTTTTAATGGAGCTTTTATACACAGAAACCATCCATCTTTGATGTTCAAGTCTTCTCTTTAAACTCTGTTTCTCATTTAGAGTATAAATGATGACTAATTGACACACATAGCAGTTACACGTGGAGCTTCTACATGTACACACGCTTATCAAGCTTGTTTGGCTTGAAACTCTACTTATTCAATATTTCATGATACATACATGTATGTACATGTACATACAATAACAGACTTATTATAATAATGATAGTTTTTTCACAACTAAGTGATCAAATAGAAGAAATGTCATCTTGTGGTACATTATCTATGCTAATATTTGTGACTGTCATTTGTTTGTTTGTCTGTCTGTCTGTTCAGGGATGACGGCTACACTCGGGCTGTCCTGAGGATGAAATCTGGTGTATAGGGGTAGCTCAGACCTGGAGTAACATAGGCCTGGTGGTGATGGACTACCACATTCGGTTCATTATTATTCTTCTTTTTTGAAGGAGAGAGAGAGAGAGTTTGACTCCACTTGACACAAACTAGGTCATTTTGGGACTAACATATAGTTCAATTTTATTTCAATAATTCGCTTGCGCGTAGGGGTCTTTTAGCATTGGGAGGAAACCGGAGGAACCAGAGATAACCCACGAGGTTGGACAGACAACCCTACTCCTTGTCAGGTACAACCAGGGAATTGAAACCACGCCAGCTGACTTAATGACAGACCATATGATACAACGCACACACGCAAACTATTCGGTCATCCAACCCCCCCTTTTAATGAAGGAATTCAGTACAAAGCATCCGACATTTTGAATACATTCTTTGTTATTCATTAATATTTTAAGTTGAATTGAATCAGCTATATGAGGTTTGATATATGGAAAGAGATCTTCTTGTTAAGTTGTTGCAAATTGTCATAAAAAGGGCAATATAACAATACATGTTCTACTAATGAAAGGTTTATTATATCTTCCTGATTGAACTTCCAGTTTATGTGCATTAAGTGTAAATTTACTGAGGTCAGCACTCCTCTCATCCTTCTTCAATGCACATAAATATTTATGCATAGACTACTCAGCAGCGGATAACAACGAACACATAACCTATGGGGACTTGGGCAATCATCTAATCTTCCCAGGTTTTTCAGTGTTAATCTTAACATTTATGCATGTTTTTTCAATGAATACATTATTTATGTCTTCGAGAGGAAGAATTCGAAATAATTTGGGGAATTTTAAAGGTGCCTTTCCACGCACAAACTGTGTGGTTTGAAAATATATTTGGACTAAAATATATTCAAACTAATGCACATGTACATGTCTATCAAAATTTACTTCAAAATCCCTGTCGTCAAAACATTTTAATTGGAAGAAAATTCCCCCAAGCTGTAAAGTCTATTTCAAGCATTCTTGTCTGTTTCAGTTTGTACAATTTGTCGTTGGCTGTACAATAAATATCAAAGCCAAAGTAAATTCTTGGATTGTCTTCTGCAAACTTCTTTTGCTGCCCTTTAATCGCAAATTCTGCAGTCTATTTAGTCTCTCAATGTTTTCACAACCTCTTTACATTCGATCAACAAAACTAGGGCCTTCCTAGACCATTCAAGCAGACAGCAAAAGACAGGCTGTCCATTAGTGATCCCCTTACATTAATGTCCTCTGCACGTCTCATAGGTGTTTTAGGGATTCCAATATTTTTCTTGTAAGATTGAGTGTCTCTAATTTCCATATAAATACCAAAATTATCATACTTTTATTTTAAATAACTACACTCTAAATACTTTCTTGGGAATGTATCTTTAAGATCCCTGCAGAATATACCCACCCTCTCAGATTTTAACACCCTGTCACCATACTTCGCTCCTGCTCCTCTCAACGCGCCTCCAAATTAGCTAAATCGCTCTCCTAAATATTGAGATTAATAAACCACTTTCAGTTTTTGATTATTTTTAAACAGCATACATTCGAGCTATCAGTTTCAATGATGATAATTCTAATGCTGCCATATTCACCAAACATATTTACCAAATATTAAACAAGACTATAAAGCATAAATACAATCTGGCTCTCCTTCATTCAAGAAAATGTAGAATTACTCTTGCAATATAATTAAGAAGAGTTTTTTTACGGGAGCTTTTATCTCATTTTTGAAATTGGCAGGAGCATTTCATGGCTGCCGCTCAATTTTATAAACAAGGAAGGACTGCCACACAACCATGATTTAGCTGTAGAACAATTCTCAGTAATTGTTACAGGAAACTTTTGACAAAGAGCCATTAGAAAACGATCATGCCAGTCTGCAGAGTATGTTTGGTGCACCCACAAGTAATCTTTTTCAGAGATCGATGCACACAAATTTTATTTAGATTTGCACGTCTGTTGTGGCACAACATTTTTACCTTAATACTCCCCAATGAAACAAAACAAAATAGAACAAGCAGTGTAAAATCAGAGTTATCTTTTTATTAGCGGTCTCAAGAATCGCATAAATTGGACTCACATAAAATGAAAAAAAAAACCAGCTGTTACAAATATATCACACAAATTTTCAAGTCTTTTAATTATTCATCTGAGTCCGAAACGTCGCCAGACCGAGTCCGAAAAGTCGTCAAGTAAGTCTGAACCGTCGTCAAACTGAATCCGAAAGGTCGTCTGTGTTGAGTCCGAAATGACACGGGACCGAAATGAAGTGCTACCGTAATGGGTCCTACGTTCAGAGCTGAACCAGCTCATTACCAGGCCTTGTGGTATGTGGGGATGAACTGACAAAAATGCTGGTTGATTTCTGAAAGAACTATTATATGCATTGTGTTATTTAATTCTACAATAGAATTTATTTTACCAGAGGTGATTTCAAAATTCAAACACATTGGTAATTAAGTATTTAATGGGAATGGTATAATTAGGTATGGTAGTTAATTCACATGGGACTAATATATATATATTTTTTTCTTTTATAGCTCAAGACAGTACATGTAGCCGTGACACATTGTGACTAATATACACAACGGCCTACAGACACAGCTGGGGCTTCTTTTAACTTGGGAAGTTGGGTGTGTAAATAAACAAGAACACATTTTTCACATATTTTAATCGTGACATGACAGCCTTTCTGGGGTTTTTTTTTAGCGTTCATCCATCTCAAAGATCAAAGATACCTCCGTATCACTACATTTTTCTTTCGTGCATTAATAATTAAAATTACAAACCTGTGTGTTTAGATGCAGTTGCAAGAACCTTCTGGAGTTTATCCATTTTGCGTCCTGCAATTGCCCATGTCAACCCTGGTTCTTCCTCAGCAATCCTTGCAATTTCTTCAACTACAAACTGCCCAGTAAAACCAGTAGCTCCAAAGACAACAAAATCATATCTTGTTGCACTATTACTTGCCATTTTTGCAAGCTGTCAGATGATTAAACCGTGTTAAAATTCAGTTTAATTTACTCAGCCGGTTATTACAATGCTCTCTTTCAACAACACTGTTGCGTGCACCGACTATGATTAGATTCACCAGAAAGGGCAAAATGATCAAGCCTTAAAGCACAACCAATCGTTGAATGGCGAAGTAAAAATTTGATGCCACATATGCCGAAACATAAAGGACATAACGGTCTGCAATATTTTATCATGTTATCAACAATAGTGCAAAATAAAGGATTATTATATATTTATACCAAAAAAAGCATACACCCTGATTATATTTACGTAATATAAATTGTTTGAAAACATCGATTTGTGATGTTTATATTTTTTTCGGCACATAAATTGTATCCGTGAACCCAAATTTTATAAAATCCCACCACTGTCGGTTCTGCGCAATACAAAAACGTGAAACTTCCGTTTGTAAATAAACAGAAAAATTGTTGACTTTTTGCGTGTAAGAAGTTTTGTTTGTCTTTTAAGCGATATACCGACCACGTATTATTCACGATGGCTGATTTAGATTTAGCAATGTATGAGCAGCATGATGCTGGCCCAGGCTTTGTTGGAATCAGGTTTTGTAAAGAATGGTAGGTGAAAATGTAATTCAGCCATGAACGCAGAACGGCCACGGTCCAACTCTAATGTCCTCCAGAAGAGTGCCCTGAGGTTTCGTTCACATGTAACCGCAAGATTCCTGAAGCTGTACTTATTTGGAGCGAACTGCGACTGAATTGTTGGCGCCCCAAATAGCCACGGGCTGAAAGGCGTCAGTCAATAAATTCTAAATGCATGTCCTACCTTATTCAAGTTATTGTGTGATCCATCTCTGAACAACAATGACACTTTTACTGACAAACAAACGTAGTTCAGTGAAACAGGTTTATCCAATACACATACACCAACACCAACATTTCTTTCAGTCGCAATGTTGGGATAGTTTGACCTTTTTTTGAGGTCATATCCTCCGCGCATTAAAATTTGAGGATCACTGTTTTACGCACAACGAAATGTATTTTTGTACAATATTTTTATGGATTGCGTATATATGTACTGTTTTTGTAGAGGTTTTATATCAGGATAGAAGATGATGTTTGTTGAAGAATAATTAGTTTGCTCTTCATACGTAGTTGAAAATACACAACGTCCATTGAGAACTCAATAATTATTTGTTGCATGATTAATTAGTATTAGTAGGCCTAAATCATGACCAGTGCTTGAAATGAGGATTCTTCTACAACGGCACCAAAAATTTATAAATGCCGTAGCAAAAATTAGCTGACAAGGCACGGCTGCCTTTCTTCATATTTTAACAAATATACTGTTGTCATTTTCCGTCACTGAACGTGCAATTTTTATATTTTTAAATAGACAAACGGTCCGTGCAGTGATTTTCCGTGTCAATTAATCTGGTTCTAATAGCGTTTGGTGATACTGTCATAAGTATAAAATTTACAGATTCCTCTTGGAGTAATAAAGTCATTGAAATTTGTTTTCCTTTTGATCCTTTAGTTATTCGTGTTCCCAATGGTTGCCATCATGTCAACCATAACTAAAATTGATTCATCAAATTTCCCACGACTCTGCCATAACCTTCTATAATAAGGGCACTATTTTAGAAAGTAAGCATTCTTATGAAAAAATTAACTATAAGGGTAGGCTTGGGACACTAAATCTTGCATTTCTGAATTATTGACCTAATTCTAAGCCCAGCCACCCCTGAACGACTGTATGATATATTGAAAAGTTATTAACTATGCATTTCATGCGTCTACATGTATATAAAAGACATAACTTTTTGATAAGTGTACACATGGACAACGGCTCAATTTGGGCTATTTTTATTACCGTGGCAGTCCGCTGAAAGAAGTAAACTAGTTATCCACTTTTGCGACGAGCTTTTGACCGTTCGGATGTTAGATGTTACGTCCTCAGACAACACATCCCAATATAAGACAACTCATCCCAATATAAGACAACTCATCCAACTCATCCCAATATAAGACAACTCATCCCAAGTTAGAAGACAACTCATCCCAAGTTAGAAGACAACTCATCCCAACCTTAAAACATGGGTCGAGATATACGACAACTCATCCCAACAAATATAAGTGCAAGTTATATTTGTGTTAATACAATTGCTTTCTTCAAAGACAACTGAGACCAATCTGATTTTGTTATAAAAATGTGTTATTTTAATAAAATTCATATTGTTGTTTTAATCAAATTGATGGTTGTGTATCACTGTTTGTATTAATGTTTTAGTACTTTGTTATTTTACCTTCTACTAACATTGTTGTATAAGGAGGCAGCACAGCCACCAACCCAGATCAAAATGGTGTCTGAGAGGAAATTGAGACAGAAGCAGAGCATTGTATTCTGATGGTTCAGTCATCTGTGTGATTTTTTCTATGCTGTTTGAAGGCAATCTGTATTATCACAAAACTCTTTTGTTTGCTACAAAGACAAATATTTTGAAATAAAACAAATGAGGTGTATGAACTATGAAGCAAGTTTACAGAATGAGAAAAACAACACATTGATGGTGCTTCCGCTCTTAGTTCCTCATAAAATTTGGTTTTGTTGTCTTTCTGTATACATTTCTGGCATTTAGACACATAATCTTTACACAGTATCATATATGACTAACATTGGTATTCTTCGTCCTTAAAAATCAAAATCTAGAGAAAAATGACTACCTTATCTTATATTATATGGTACCACAATAATCATTTATATGAAATTTGATTTTGATTCTAATATCAGATATTGTATATTTTTCAGCAATAATATGTTATATCCTAAAGAAGACAAAGAAAGTAAAATTCTACTTTATGCTGTAAGTTTATAATGTTTATATATTTAACATGAACACCTTTCATACCAAAGCAACACTATTAATGCAAAATGTCAAAATACTCAAGAATCCCAATAGAACTTGTCATCATTTATATTAAAATATCAATGCCTACTAAATGGTATATACATGTATTCATATAAAGTTGTCAGCACAAAACAATGCTGACTAGGTATTTCCCCAACCAAAAAAAGAATATGTATCTATAGAAGTAATTTTAAGATTTTCAAAATAATATTTTAAAAGCATGTTAGTTTATACAACAATTCAGAATGAGAATGTAACTAATGCATGTGAATGTTCAAGTAAAAATTTAGACAAAAATAATCATTTTCCCTCTGATGTTACCTTCCATCGTTGGATATTACAGCTGATCATGGCATAGCATATACTAGTTGACTTGAACACACAACACACTTCATTGGCTGCGATAACACATCATTGCTCTTTAATTTGGGAGGTAAGAATAAACCATTCGTGTGCATCAATTTGTAGCTCCACAAGTTGATAGCAACTAATGAAGATCAAAATGCTACTGCGATATTCAACAATTGTCCTCAAACACTGCGATTAACCACACTACGTCGCTCTTGTCTAAGATCAGCTACATTTGATACGATTTGTGTTCAAAACTCTATGATAGACTATAATACACTACAACCTTTATCCTGTTGCAGACTATCATAGGAATTATAGTGTATCATAATGAGGGCAACTTTATTGGATATATTTATTTATTTATTTTCAGTGTCGTAACTGTGATTATCAACAAGAAGCAGACAACAGATGTATTTATGTCAACAAAATTATGCATGAAGTCGAGTAAGTTTTTTAGTTGATTGCCTATTTTTTTAAAGGAGCTAAATCGCTAATATTTGGGGCCTAGAAATTGACACAAATGGGTCGCACGCATATAATAATATGAATGTTTCTAGAGGCTACAGTTAATATCCGATTGACTTTAAATTTGTACACAGTGTTTAAGGTCATGAGACACTTTGAAAAATCTTGTGGACGCTCTAGAGGCTAAAGTTAATATCCGATTGACTTTAAATTTATACACAGTGTTTAAAGTCATGAGACGTAGAAGTCTATTCATTTTCAGCGATTTTCAATAATTACTGCCAGAGTTATGGCCCTTGATCACTTCAAGAGCCTAAGTTATCATCCGATTGACTTCAGATTGATACACAGAGTTTAAGGTCTTGAGACGAACAAGTATATTGATTTTCAATGAATTTTGATAACTTGAACAGCTAAATCCATGATATTAAATGTTTTGTATACTAAATGTTACCATGGGGCAGAACTTTATAAAAACCAAACAAATTATAATGGTTTTCTGATAATTACTTAAAGAGTTGTTACTCTTAATCAGATTTTAATGTATTATAAATGTTTCATTACCGAAAAAAGTAAAAATATGTGACAACTCTTGTTGACTGCTCGGACGATTTAGCTGCTGTGGGCGTATGTTTCATTGCCTGGCAACCTATCTTACTCTAATTTCTAATCAGTTATGTTGGCAAAATACGCAAGAAGTCTCAATCAAATGGCAATTTCTAGCATCTGGTTATTCCAGTCTACACCCATGGTATTGATTGCGCATGCTCTCCAGAAAAGAATAGGACGTCACGGTTTGACATGACTTCTGGAATATGTCTAGCCTGGTTCTTAGAGTTCCTTGTTACAAATGGCACTGAAACGCATTATTGTACACGATTCGTGTACCAATGGTAAAATGTTTATTTTGTCTTAAATATTGGATATCAGATGCCTATTTTTCCCCGGTAAGATCACAACATCAATGTTGATTTAAATTGACAAATAATTCGCGTTTTCAATGTTGAAGACTTTGGTTGATATTGTGTTAGGGACTTAGCTACTTTAAGGGACTCTTGATAATTGAACGGCTTTAGATAAAAGCTTTGGGTCAAAAATTTGACAGATCATTTTACGATAAGTTAAAACAAATATAAGTGATCTTGTATAACACTTATTTCACAACAGACAAAGCTTTTTCTTTATCTTTTAATTAGCATTTAATTAATATAATTTATTAATATTATATATATGTAAGATAAAATGATTTGTATTGTTTTTAGTGAATTAACACAGATTGTTGGGGATGTAACATCTGACCCTACACTACCTAGAACAGAAGATCATCCGTGCCCTAAATGTCAACATAAAGAAGCTGTATTCTTTCAGTCACACAGTGCTAATGCTGAGGTAATGTCTTTATCTAATAGGGGGGGTTGGATGGCTGAATGGTTAGTGTGCGCGCGCTGTATCATACAGTCTGTCATTGAGTCGACTGGCGTGGTTTCGAATCCCGGTTGTACGTGACAAGGAGTAGGGTCGCCTGTCCAACCTCGTGGGTTTTCTCCGGTCCTCCGGTTTCCTCCCACTGCTAAAGCCCCCTACGCGCAAGCGAATTATTGAAATAAAATTAAACCATGTTAGTCCCAAAATGACCTAGTTTGTGTCGAGTGGACGTTAAACCCCATTTCTCTCTCTCTCTTTATCTAATAGAACTAAAAATGAGGAAGCTTATATACAAGGTAGAGTAGGAGATATTATGCAACAGATCAGTATCCTGTAACATACATTATGTCTATTGCAGGTCTTTCTTTAGGCCTGAAATGTTATCTAAATTATTAATTAGACATTAATTAACCTATTCAGACATAAACAACTCTAGATGGCATTGTTAGCCTGCGATCTTTAGTGGATTATAAGCTGATTTACTGCATAATTTTCCTCACGATTTAACGATTAAATGGATAATCGAGACTATGCTGTTTATCGTACTGACTTTAGTAATGATGATCGAGGCTAGGCGGAAATTTCAACCGCTTAGTTCTCGGTTCATAGTGAATCAATTTGAATGAAATTTTCAGCAAATTGCCTTTACATTATCTAGTTTTTATCTATTAATGTGAGAACTGCCAACCCGTTATCGAATCTCCCATAATGTATCTTTAAAAGACTAGACCTTTTTGGCTTTGTAAAAAAAAAAAAGTGGTTGATTTCATTGAATTTTATAGGTTGATTTAATTTGTGGGATGACAATCTGTCTTTGAAAATTTGATGTCTAGAAATAAAGTTAGTATCAAGATGTAACTGAATACGAGTTCCATTGATGATGCCAGCGTTTCACTCAAAAAGTTTTTGACATATTTTGTTCAACTCTGATTAGCTCATTGAAGAAAGGTGATTGCTCCGCAAATTCAAGAACTATCAATATGCATGCTTATCCCTTGGACATTTGTGGATCAATTGATAGACTTTCTGATATGATGTCTCAATTCCAAGATGGCAGTAATGACGTCATGATCGGTTCCTGATCTTTTGTACACATGTACTTGTTTTCAAAGAACGTCATTAGTGTTATACTGATAAATGCTTTCTAACACAGAATTTTGTCTGTTTTTCAGGAAGGAATGCGACTGTATTACGTTTGTGCTAATTCTCAGTGTTTACATAGATGGACAGAGTAAAACAGACCTCTAAATTTTTATCAAGAGATATAAATATACTGTATAATTGACTCAACGTGAAAAGTAAACTGAAAAAACATCACTGTTTTACAGGTACATATAGACGTGTACAAGAAAATGTTTTATATGGGCCTAAAAAAATTTATAACTGTGAGGAGAATATGCAACCATTTGCTTTTACAAAGTTCAAAGATATTGAAAAAATTGATTTGATGATGAGATATTAGCGATCATAACCACTGTGGACGTGTAGAAAAATTCTGTTATAGAATTCCAGACATTGTTTTGTCTATACTAACATTTCAGTCGTTGTCACCATCTCATCACAAAATAAAAAGAAAAGAAACTTATTTTCTCTGTTAATTTTTGTATTAAAAGGTATTAGCTGCTTCATTTTTTATGGGGAGCTGTGGTGGCTCAGTGTGTAAGGTGCTGGCTCAATAAATTGGAGGTCCATGTTGGCTGAGAAAGTCCCCCAGGACTGAGACGATAAAATGAGGTCATGTATACACATTGGCGTCCACATAAACGAACACTTGATTTTGAAATAAGAGTAAACCGTAGCGCTGCTATCCAAGCAAAATTTCCCTCATAGCACACCATATGGCATAAGTTTTGCTGGATGTTCTGGCTTGGTGCAGGATGTAAAGCACGGGGCAAGGAACAACATCTAGCCCTCGGCTGCAATGAAAAGCCAAGGTCCCATGTACACGTTGACATGCACGTAAATGAACCCTTGACACTTGTAATTTAAAAATTAAGAGTAGGCTGTACGGGCAAGATTTCCATCATAGCACACTGTTTGGCATATGCTTAACTTCATTAGCCAAGTCTGTGCAGAAAAGTAGGACATAAAAACCCATTTCATTTCACTTGGTCATTGTGTGTCGTAAGAAATTGAGCTTTTAGCAACCCAAGTGTTATGGACAGCTGCATCATGTGCATATCCAGTCACATGTAGGTGGATATGGGCAAGTGTGTAATCATAAAGACAAGCGGCCATCAAAACTGGTTCAATAATGAATAAAATAAACCCCCACCTTATTACAGAGGCATCTATATTGTCAAGTCTTCCAGTAATCTTAACCTACTAAGATTTGCTGCAGAATTTATTTTAGTGAATGATTTTATCCATAATCATAGAAATCATATTAGGTTATGACAAGCCTAAGCCAACACCCATCTTCATGTCATCAAGCGTTCATAATACATGTTCTACAACAGTGTGCCACAACATAGCTCACAAGATTTTATCATTAAATTTAGATAATACTGCCATCATATAATACCCTCAGTTTGTTGTTCAGAGAAACAACTCATTAATAGTGAAATCAGTTCGCACCCATACTTCCCCACTCTACATGAATATGCTAATCCATTATTTATTATGATTGTCTTAATTCAACTGCCCGATCTGTTTCGGGAGTCGGGGCGGCTTGATGATTTGGGCACTGGCTCGCTAACCTGGTCTGAGGTTTTTCCCGGTAATGTGTCAAGAAAGTTCCTCTGTAAGGAACAACATCTAGTCGTTCGGATGTGACGAAAAACTGAGGTCCTATGTACACGTTGATGTGCATATAAAAGAACCCTTGACAGCTGCTGTCCTGGCGAAACTTTTCCTCATAGCACATTGCTTGGCATATGACTTGTCTTCATTAGCCTTGTAGCAGTCAAAGTAGGACGTTAAACTCCATTTCATTTTCAGATCTGTGTCTCGGCCCATTAAGTAGCTTGTATTATGTTTTATACAATGCACGGTTTGTTTTTAAATTTTATCCTGTACTCAACCCCTGTCATTTTGACACAGGTTTCTTTGATACACATTACAAAATAAAGAAGTCGTTTTTTTACTGCTGAGCCATAACTTTATTATTGTCAGAGTGTTTAGAATGCTTATTTTAATATGACAGATTACACTGATGGTATATTCTAATGCTCATTTACAAGACTCAAAATCTTAAAGACAAAGAGAAATAAATCTACATTCAATTCATTCAATAAAATTAATAGGTGGATTAAAGAAAAGAGATGAGTAGAGAAATAAAGATTTTTGTTAAATTTTATTAAAATATTTGGAGTACTTGGCAAGCTGTTTAAATACAACATTTCAGTAACAATTTTTTTTTTACAATTATATATTATATATTATCATTTGAAAAAGAAAAAAAAAACTCAATAAAGAGATAAATTCATATAATTAATTTGTATTTAAAAATAATGACTAGTAAGTAAAACAACCAAAAACTAAAACTAAATGGGGTGGGGTATTAAATAGATACTTATAGCACTTGCTACGCTACAAGCTAGATATATAACCATTAGGCATTATATTAGAATTGTATTTTGCATTTAATAGATATCACATGCATTTCTGGTAGTAGGAACTGTAAAGACTGAATTCAATTTCGTCTGAAAACTCATTAATATTTACTTTAGTACTCATCTTAGAAGTGAATTATAATGCAAGAGCTTATGATAGATCTCAAGTTATAAAGTGTTATGTAATCCCACAGATTGTACATAGACTGGTCCCATGATAACTCGAGTTGTTCAGTCCTTACAATTCCTGTTCTGTACAAATGACCACCATAAATATACCTATCTACTACAGATTATATACAAATAAACATTATTCTACAATATAACAATCATTATAATGTCTAACAATTCCATCAACAGATATATTATACTTCATTATAAATTATCACCATTTCCAATTCCACCAAGACAAAACACTAGTACAGTACATCTTTAGCACTTACAGTTAACAGCATTAAGGTTTGCAGTTTGTGTGATGTTACAAATGAACACAATATCATGCGGATATGAACTTTGAGGTGACATGATACTTGAACACTATGATATAAGTGAACTGCTCAACTACAAAACTTTCCTAGATATTCAAGCGAAGAAAGCCCTGTCATTCTTTGGTGGACATCATTTGGATGAAAAGAAAACATACTTATTTTTACATTCTACTAAAGTTATCATACACCTATAGACCATTTATATCATTTTAGGGATTGAATTATGGCTCCATTCTTATCTTGTTGAATCGCCACTTAAGAAATTTTGTTTTAGTTCAAGTACATCAAGCAATATAAAATTTGTCACAGGCTTGGACAAGAGGTTATAATTCCAAAATTCCAAAAATTGTCAAAATTAAATTTTGAACAAATTTTGTATTCTGAAGCATACATATACATTAACATTCTCTTCTAATTTGAAAGCTGAGACTGACTGTTCCTATATTAATCTCTTTTGACTATACATGTTGGAGTAATTTATCAATAAAGTCATTCCATAAATATACTAAAGCTAAGCATTTAATCAGAAATTAGGTACTTTATTTCATGTGTTCAAATAACTAGTCACTAAGTGTGAGGTAAATTTTTCTATTATTTGGTCTCTCTTATCACAAATTTATAGTATTTTATTAGATTCATAAAATATCTAATAAATATCTCTAATAGTTTGGTATTGCACATTATAAAGTAATCTTTACAAATCACAAATAAAGAAAAATCATTACAATTATTTTCTCATCTCAATTTTCTTTGAACCATGTGAGGTACTAACACTTAGTTTACCTCCTGTAATAAATAAATGATAGTCTGTTATGAATATAAGGCTAACATTATGCACAGGGAATTCTACATTTATATTCAATATTTACTAGGTTTGGCCTTAAACTGTTCATACAGTATAAAACACTGAATATCAGATTCTAATAAACCCTGTTGTCCTTAAATCAAACCTCAACCATAAAGAACTAAACAAAGTCATTTCTAACAAAAACAAGCAATAACTAACAGTTTTCTTTCAATAAACAATATGGCAAATATCACATCATCCATTTTTCTTTGTGACAATTGAATAAATCTCAGTGTAATTCTATCAAAATATACTCAACTTATCTATCTGAATATTATAATTATGCAAATTAAGCTTTAAAAACCAAAATTTAAGCAATTGAATATGGATCTTAAGTAGACATTTTTCACAAATAGATAACCTATTAAAATAGCTGTAAACATTTATTTTTAAATATTAATTGTTCGATTCTCATGAAGAAAAAAATAATCAACAAAAAGCTGTATTATATATACCTATAGAAGTAAAAGGACCATATCAAATTATCTCATATTAGATAAACCACTGACCTTATAATATATGGTCCACGGATAAATTTATATTTTAGCAATTTTAACATTTTATGATTGTAAATATTAATAAAATATAATCAAAGAATTGACATTCAGCAATTATCTACAAGTTTTTTTATTAATTAAGCTTTTATACTTGATCTTAAATTTGACCTGTAATATTTTAGGTAAGCCAAAAATATACAGATTTTAAAGTGTTGTGGCATATTGATCTCGCATTTCTTAATTTATTCTCACATTAATTTTACATTCCTCTACTAGAATGCTGCTTGATTTTAATTCTAATCTATCACATGACCATGTTTTTAACACCAGCAGTAGATAACATTTATAAATTATACAATATATAGGTATAAAATATATTAAAACAGATTGTCTGCCTCTATATTGTTTCATTTCTTATATATTTCTACATGTTCCTGAAACAGTTAAGTTTATTTGGCCTGCCTTTTACATGGGAACTTGTGTGAAAAACACTACATAAATTCTATCACAAGTAAACAGTGAGACATGTGCTTTTGTGAATTATCTTCCTGTGTGACTTCAGATTTCAAAGCTGATCTTGCGTCTTATTAGTGAATCAGTGCATTAAATATATAATTTATTAATATCAAAAACGTCACTAGATTATTCAAAGGTATATCAATCAGTTATCTCTCTTTGTGATGATCTGTGCCCATAGTTTACAATGGCTAGTGTAGTTTATTATTATGTTTGTAGTATTAAGTATCACCGGATGAATGGATTTCAGCATGCACTAGAAATGGTTTCATATTATTTTATAGATAATTAAATACATGTAGTACATCAGATCTTAGAGCAAAATAGCAAGAAAATGCCAGTTTCTTTGTTAACTGCCTTAGTGAAAATGTGATAAATGAATCCTTATTATTGGAGAGATAGTAATATAATTTCATTTTAATAATAACATGCACATGCACAACCCATTGATCATTTTCTAAGATTTAATTCATTTCAGAATTTTTTAAGTTACAGACTGTAACTGAATAAGAATGGATATAATGAAATTTATGACAATTATATGAATCTATATATGAGCATCAGTCAACATGGTAGCAGGCAAAATGTCTGTCATGGCATAACCTGGTCCTCTTCTCTATCATGGCTATCTTTCTTCTTGTTTACACGGAGGTTCCACTATCATTTGCCGGTGAAGCAGCCTGCAAAATATAACATAACAACAAATCAGTCTGAGGCATTTTCAAGACTTAAACCCGAACAACTGTCCGTCATGTCCATAATATTATCAACACTTTCTCATAAGCTAATGCTAGAAATCACTCAAAATATTCAAACAAGTAAATGAAATATAGAATTTGTTGAAATTCAAGCAATGTCAAAAAAAACATAATTTAAAAAATATTTTTTTTTTTTTCTCCTAGCTTTAAAAGACAAGTACATGCTTGTTTGACCTAATTATAAAATCTGAAATACAAAGATAATGTACAATGTTGCTCACGAACAGATTATTATTATTAATAATACAAAAACACTAAAATCTCCACCAAATAATGTTAAAAGTGATATATTTAATGATCATAATGTTAATTACAAATTAATGTTAAGAATATGGGTATCATATTTTAGACATTTGATATTAGTGGGGCATTATGGAAGATTAGATAAAGAGCTGGCAGTTCACACTATAACAGTTTAAAAGGTATATCCTGAAAATTTCAGTCAAATTGCTCCACTCTGAACCTAGCCTTGATCATCATTACTAAAATCGGTATGATACAAAACAAAGTCTCGATTATTCGTTTTTGCATTTAATCATCAATAAGGGTTGAACAGCAGATCGGATTCAAATCCAATGAAAATCTGACACATAAGATGGCATCACGAGTTGATTATGGTCTTTTCATGTTAATAAATGTTTAATTAATAGTTTATAAGCATTTCAGGCCTAAGAAAGACCTGCAATAGGCAGGTTTAGCTCTTGCATAATGTATGTTTAAAGCAGGCTAGTATCTATTTGAAACATTTGATGTTTGGACTAGAAGTCTAATATCTATTTGAAACATTTGATGTTGGACTAGCAGTCTAATATCCATTTTAATTATGGAAGACTAAAAATATGCTGAAAAATATATTAAAACAATATGTTTTTGATTTCTAAATTAAAATATACACTAATGTTATTATGAATAGATTTTTATTTTCTGGAATAAATGGTTTTAAACTAGATTATACTGTGACACAATGAAAACACACCACTGATTTGACTGGAAGTGCTCGCAAGACATAATGTATGCATGACTGTAGATCGGACACTGAAATAATCAGCCATTTTCAAGATGGTGGTGTGATGGCATACATACCGTGGGCGACAACTCTTGTACTCATGACCTCTTGAATTATTGCAATGGTGTGTTCTCAGTGTTCTGATGTAAAACTTGGCATATTGTTGCATTTTCCACAGAACCCTATTCCATTTAATTTTTATAACTATAAATTCTGTTATTTTCGAGATTCCCATTCTGTCGAATTTTATGTATTTGAGAGAAATCGATCTGTAGTACATTTACATTAATGAAAACATCATTCTCACATGTTATCAACACCATCTGATTTTGTAACATTCAGAATTGCAATATTATAGTGTTACTCATAAACAGTGGTGAGTTTTTATTATGTTTCAGTATATATTGTAGTGTTGTGGGTGAATAATGAATGCTAAGTGCAATATTTCCATTTGTATAAATGTGTAAACCACCTTTAATAATATTTTATACAATTTTGTGCAATGTGTGCTTTTCTAATTACAATATTATAATGGTATGACTGTGTGTAAGAGGAGTTCATGATAAGTTTAAGATTGGTTATCGACCATCACCACTGATTCCTGTAGTTGATAAATACAAAAATCGATGATAATATTAAATAACAACAGCCCAATATATATATATATATATATAAAGATAAAACTATGATGATGTGTTTTATGAGACGATAATGAGATGAAGGATGTGCAAGATGACCGGCACCATGTATTTTTGTCAACTCACCATTACACCCAGTTGGGCCTGTAGAAGTAAATGAATATTTGTTTTAATGACGTTTAGGATTGTTGACGACACAACAGGGATCAACACACAAAAGCCCAACTACAGACAACTACGACAATTATGAAATGATGGCAGGGAAAATTTACAGAAAATGTTCCTTGGAATTTCTACCTTTAAGGGAAGGGGATCGACGCAGAGGCTACAAAATTAAAATAGATATTTGAGTACTTCTAAAGAACTTATAATCCATTTACCAAATAATTAATCTACTGGGTTCAGATACAAAGAATACAAAAATATTTGTATAAATAATTAAAGTACTGAGTAGTATGGTTATAGGAATATTAGATTGGGTAATGGTAACTAGGAAAAGTTTACAATTATCACTAGAAATAATCTAATAGAACAATAATATTTAAAAGATCAGGTGATAACTTTTGGCGTTAGAACGTTCACAAGGATCAAAAGTGAAACAAGGGCCATAACTCTAGACGTAATAAATGAAAATTGCTGAAATTCAATAGGCTTCTTCGTTTCACTAATCTAAATAATGCATATACATTTCACAAAGATTGGGTGATAACTTTTGGCGTTGCAGCGTTCACAAGGTTCAATAAAGTGAAACAAGGGCCATAACTCTAGACGTAATACACAGAAATTGCTGAAATTCAATAGGCTTTTCGTCTCACTAATTTAAATAATGCATATAATTTATCAGAAAGATCGAATGATAACTTTTGACGTTGGAGCATTCACAAGGATCAATAAAGTGAAACAAGGGCCATAACTCTAGACGTAATAATCGTAAATTGCTGTAATTCAATAGGCTTCTTCTTTTCACTAATCTAAATAATGCATATACATTTCACAAAGATTGGGTGATAACTTTTGGTGTTGGAGCGTTCACAAGGTTCAATAAAGAGAAACAAGGGCCATAACTCTCGACGTAATTAATGGAAATTGCTGAAATTCAATAGGCTTTTTCGTCTCACTAATTTAAATAATGCATATAATTTTCAGAAAGATCGAATGATAACTTTTGACGTTAGAGTGTTCACAAGGATCAATAAAGTGAAACAAGGGCCATAACTCTAGACGTAATTAACGGAAATTGCTGAAATTCAATAGGCTTCTTCGTTTCAGTAATCTTAATAATGCAAATTTCAGAAAGATCGGATGATAACTTTTGAAGTTAGAGCGTTCACAAGGATCAATAAAGTGAAACAAGGGCCATAACTCTAGACGTAATAAACGGGAATTGCTGAAATTCAATAGGCTTCTTCGTTTCAGCAATCTAAATAATGCATATAAATTTCAGAAAGATCGGATGATAACTTTTGGCGTTAGAACGTTCACAAGGTTCAATAAAGTGAAACAAGGGCCATAACTCTAGACATAATAAACAGAAATTATTGAAATTAAATAGGCTTCTTCATCTCACTAACGTAAACAACATATATCAATTTTAAAACAATTGGATGATAACTTTTGGCGTTAGAGCGTTCACAAGAATATTATAATATTATTATGTTGAGAATACAAATAAAATATATTAGTTTTAACTTGTACTCCACCTTTAAGGAACCCAGTTTAAGGTCAGGAGGGAATATAAATCTTGCAAACTTTATCTTTTAAACAGTGAATAACTGTAAAAATCAATTTATTGCATAAGAAAACTAATAATGGAATATTCAAAATGGTTGGTTATACTTCGAACCGTCCTGAATTTTTGCCTATCATTAATCAATTAACTGCTGACAGAGGTTTGGGCTTGTAGAAACTCTGTAGTGTAATTGTGTTTTTTCTGTATGTTTCTGAATGTACGTTTATCAGTGTCTGTAGTGAAAACTTACCAATTTTTGAGTTAGATGTTTATTTGATGATATTTCACGTTCAAGTTGCTTGTCTTTAGAAGCTAGTTGACTGCGTAACTGTTAATAATTGAGTTAATGATAGAATAGTAGTTATAACTATCAGTATATAGATATAAAGTAAATTATTGTTATAAACAGAGGAACTGTAAATAAGATTTTTTAGTATATTTGATAGATATAACAAATAAACTAATGTTATAAATATGCTGAATATAATCATGCTTTGATAATGTGTTTATCAATATTACGAATTAACCTCAAACTAATATTGTCTAAGACGAGAGATGGTATCCAAATATTAAATGCATGTTCATTTAATGATCAAAATATAAATAGTTTGTGCATATCTACTAGGATAATAACTATGCTTTCTTTTTCTTTTCATGCTGAAATTATAATGTAAAAGCTGTAGCGATTTAATATAATCATACTGCAACATGCTATAAAATAAGCAGAATTGAAAAATATCTTTTTTGTATATAAAAAAAGAGCAATCATGCAATAATTGATCAAATTCAGCAATATTGTGATGTGCTAGATAACTAGTTGATTAAATAAAGAAAGTATATATATAGAGCTAGTACTCTCCTATACTTACTGTAGATATAGATTTTCCATCAGTTGAACCTTTTTTCTGTAATAAATAACATAACATACAGTATTTAATATAAATCTAGAGTATCATTAATAAAACAAGCCAACAGTGAGCTTGATGTCCCCCGCCAAAATCCCAAAATAAGTAGATGACACATTGATTAATTGCACATTTATCTTTTTCAAAAGTATTGAGCAATACATGTACTTATGTATATACAATACATGTACTTATGCCAGTTTCATATTTTACTTATGCGAACATAATACAGTAGACTCTGCATATAACGGACGCACATATAACGGACAATCGCTTATAACAGACACAACAGTTTGGTCTCGATTTTTTTAATAGAAATTTCTTATTTTCAAAGTCTTTTATAGCGGACACTGTATAACGGACAATCGTTTATAACGGATGATTTTCATCGGTGCCTAATCGACAAATCAATGTAAAAGTCCATTTTTATAACAGACTCTTGAATAAGCAGAACAAAATTATTACTGATTTTCTTCGTGCTTCTGGCAGATTCCATTACAGACTTTACAGACTTTTTCAAATAAGCTCGTTTATTTTGAACATCCATAATATGTGAATACATACATGACTTTTATGTAAATACATGTATGTTCTGTAGATTCTGCATATGATAAATGTTGTTATTTCATGGTATGGTGTTACCTTCTGGTCACTAATTCAGGGTCGATAGCAGATTTTTTGTATAACGGACACCATTTATAACAGACAATTTCTTCGGGTCCCGAGGTGTCCCGTTATATGCGAAGTCTACTGCATATCTATACTTATGCCAGTTTCATACTTCTGTTAGTTTCCTACTTTACTTTTGTCCAGTCGAAACAACGATGACAATATACACGAAAGAATAGAAATATGATTCATACCTGATCTTCAAGTTCATCCTGCAATTGTTTAACCAATTTTTGTTCCTGTGACAAAGCATCTTGACCAGTTTTAATTATGCCAGTTAACTTAACTACATTAGTCGATAAATCTTTCGTTTTCTTTTTCTCTGATTCATATAACTGTAAAAACAAACAAAGGTAATTTAACAAACATATCTATCTTACTTCTTACATTGTATTAGATCTTTATATCAATTAATTTCTTCCCTTCATTATGAATATTAGCTTATCTAAGTGTGTGACTATAAAAATTGTGGGGTGGGCTGCTCATACTGAATGGCGATGCAGGTAATTATGAATTTACAGTGTAGACATGAGAAGGAAATGTGGTTTTTAAAAATCTAGGGTCCATACAAATCTTAGTGTTCTGTGACACATCAATATGTCATAGCTGACACCTAAACACTGAGAACAGTCAGAGGCTCAAAGACAATGGCAGTTCATACAACTATGAGTAGCTTTTTAAAGCTATTGATATTTTCCAAGTAGTTTATAAATTATTATTTATTTTACTTACCCTTTTATACTCTTCATTTTCAATTGATATTTGACTGGAGGTTTCTATTTGTTTTTCTAAACTTAACACTTGAGATTTAGCCTATTAAAAAGAAGTTATAAACTAATTTATTTCATAGTATCATAATACACACACAGTGTTTAAAAGTATGAGAATGCCTATTATAACCATCAAGAGGTGCTTTACTCACACTGATGAACATGGTGCTACGTGGTACCTGGTGTTCCAGAAAGAGTATTCATATCCTGCCTTCTGTTAAAACCAGTATTGACGAGATGTCATTTTTCAGGAATTGTGTCCCTGAAAACGGAATTCATCTTGTCTCCCCACCCTCTATCCAGCTGCCTAAAAATTCACCCAGGTGCGATAAAATGTAATACTTACTTCTTTTACTTCTATTTGTAACAAATTTCTTTCAGATTCAGAAGTCTTCAATTCACTTTCTAAAACTACTACTTTGGTTTCCATCTGACAAAACAAAACACGAAATAAATTACAACTTGGCAAAAAAAAAAAAAAAAAAAAAAAAAAAAAAAATTATAATTATAATTTCTAATTTATATGTAAAAGTGCAGGTATCTGAAACAAATGATCAATTTGTACAATATCCAGGCTGTTTTATCTATATAAATCTTAATTATACTTCTCAATTTTCATCTAAAAAGCAATACAGAACTATAACACTAGACAACCCAATCTCCATTATTTAAGCACACATAAAAGATTGCCCAGTGGATTAGATATTGTGAGATACAAATAATAATAGGATATTTGTGTAATGTGCTTTTTGTTTTGTTAATAATCAATTACAGCCTTGGTAATATATAACGTGGGGAAGTTAGTGTTATTGAATATGGATTTACAAGGCATTAATTCTAATTCTATGAAATATTTCATTAATATGAAAAGTAACATAAATACTGTACTTATAATAACTACACATTCAATATTTATATACGATACATTTTGGATTTGTCTAAATGTAATCTATATACAGAATACATACAGCTATAATGCCATGTATATCACTTAAATAAAATGCAATGTTAGATTTATGTTCAACTAGCTTTCAAATTTGGTTATTATTTCACATTGCTGTTAAGTGTATTCAATGTCATTTCTGTGAAACTAAATTTGCATTTTTTGATGCATACTGTACAAGTTAATGGTCATATGCAATATTAATATCCGATTATTTTTGTTTTAAAAATATTTACTGTTACAAAGATACACTATTCAACAATACAGAACAAAAAATACTTTTATGAGACAAGATGAAAATCCCCCAAATATGTTCATAACTTTTCCAAGACAACCTCATTACACCATTGAAGCAATGATTTCAAAAGTCGAAAATAAAAAAAATGTAAATTTTCAATAAAATATCTAAATAAAAACCAAATACACATGTATTAGAATTAGAGAAAATATAAACCACTGCCAATGATGACATGCTAATATTATTAGTAAACGGGGATAACTTTGTGAGATGGAGCTGCAAGGCGTACCTCATCTATTATACCAGGCAAACTTTTCTCAACACAACGGTAAGCAAAATCCAAATCATTCAACTCCTATTAATAACCAATCAAAATAAATGTTTTAGGTTACTCTAGTATATAAACACAGATCAAGCTATATTTAACATGGCAACTTCATTCACTACAGACATCCCTGGGTGCTCTTGTGATTTAAGAATTGTGATTTAATAAATAGAATGTGGAACTTTAAATCTGGACAAACAAATAGGACCCAATATATGGTAATAAATATTACAATATCTAGGAAAATAACATGCTGATATTAAGAAAAAAATACAATTTTGGTACACCAAGATCTTTACTTGAAAATAAAAATGGAAATAAAGAAATATACTGTTTCAAATATAACTATTACTACATTAATAACGTGCTAAATTTAGAAATAAACTAGGATATTTAAATCTCCACACTACACTGCTACTAGAAGTAAATATCAAATATCATACCTCTGTACTTCCTTTTTGTTTTCTCATTTCATCTTTTAGTTTAGATAATTCTTTCTTTGTCTGAAATAGTTAAAAATTATTGGTTTATAATACCTAAATATTTAATTATCTTTTGTCAAAGATGGGTAGGAAAAAATTCATATTCAATGAATAATTTTCAACATATAATTACTTAGCTACTACGTTCGTACAAAATATTCATGACCTTTGGCACAGATGACATCATTATTCGAAACATAGTTGTAAATATAGAAACCAAAGAAGAAAATATCTTTCACAATTAGATTATTTTACAATATAAGATGAGAAGGCCTATAGAACAGTATTGATGTAGAGTAAAATCTCAATTTGTCTTAAAGTTGCAATGCACCAGAAATCCATAGTTAATAATGTGAACTTTGATAGCTACAACTTTCATTAGGATTGAACAAATTTAATGTTTTAGATTAATAAGCTTTTTAGTAAGACTTCTTTATTGTGTGTGGACTTGAAGTCTATATTTTAGCCTGCAATGTTTGGGGTTTAACTTACATTTTCTAATTCTGTCTGTGTAGACTGTAAAGTAGCCTTCCATGATTTTTCTTCACTTTCTACTTTCTCTGACAATTGTAATAATTTGTCTTCCTATAAAAACAATATTATTTAATACACACACACATATATATATACCAATAATATGCTATCATCAATAATTTATATTTTCTTTATTAAAATTTCAATCTAGTTTTAATAATAATATCGATGAAAGAATATATGCAATAGATTCTAAATATTTTACAATGCTGTACCAAGAGTTACAAAACAATGCATGCCCTCTGAAGTAATATATTCTTATTTTTGTGAGATTTTCTATTTTTTTGGGAATATTAGCTGTATAAATAACTTACTGTAGAAGATAAAACATTTCTGTACTGTGTTACTTGAGCTTCTAAATCTTTAACTTGACTATCAGATTCTGTACTCTACAAAATATACAATGATTTATAATAGTACCATTTGTACATCATTTTTCTTATTACAAATGATAGACAGGTTGTGCATGATATATAAATCAGAAAACGGCAATCTGCATTTCAATCAGAGGCAGACTTTTTTCTATGACTATGTTTGAAAAGCAGTCTGATCACAAACTCACCTTTGAAGATAAAGCTTTTTCTAATTTTTCTTTCCACTTCTTTTCTTCTGAATCTACACTTTTCTGTAACTGTTTTAATTTATTTTCCTGAGATAAAGAGAATAGTGAATACAGAAATGGAATGACTTACAAGCTGTGATAAAGTGTTCAGAAACAACTGCTCAATTCAAATCTAAGTTTAAGACAAATATATTCATGATGTATCATCCACAGTATCAACTGACTTATTATTACACTTGCACCTTGGATGGTTTAAGTGCTCTTTAAAAGCACATTATTGTTAGGGCCAATGAGCAGCATATTATTGTTGAAGGTAGTGCTTGGCTTAAATTATTAAGAAAGAAGTGTCTATATATACTTACTGTATCATCTATTATCTTCTGTAAATCTCGTGTTTGTGTTGATAATTTATTGTTAGTATCTTCTAACTGTTTTATTCTATTATCTTTATTAGCACTCTATAAAATAAGAAAATATACATTAAGAAAAATCATTTAAGCTATTTTTGGAAAAATACAGGACTACTTTAAAGATTGTAAATGTACCTCCAGCATTTTAAAATTTGCAGTCATTGATAATGTCTAGTTTTCCAGTTCATTACAAACCACATTCGGATAAAAAAGTTTTTAGCATAAGATTTTTATCATAATAATATAATCTAGATTCAAATTCAATTTAAATAAATCATTTAAAACATTAACTTACACTGGAAGATTGTTGAGAGAGATTGACCACATAAGTGTTAGCTTGTTTTTCGAATGAGGTCATCCATTCTTTATGCCCCTGAAATGCAATTATAACTCCAGTAATCATATAGCTTACACCATAATACCAAATAATACCAGAATTAAATCTAAAGTGCAAACTTATCTCAAGATATACAGTTAGTAAGGGGAGACAACTCTGCTTCAAAGTCCTTTTAGTCATATTATCTCCCCTTAGACCACAACACTAAAATTCACCTGTTGCTAATGCTATGTTCTGCTAACTGAAATGAACTTACCAATTTCTCATTTACAGATATAGACGGGAACAACCTTTGTAATACCCCTTTATCTAAAGATTCTACTTCTCTTGATAAATTACTGGCCTTCTCCTATAATAAATAGAAAACATTGTAAAGCAACTTACAAGATCCTTCAAACATAAAAGCCACATTCAAATCATAGAGAAACTATTTAAAGATAATATTGTATTAAACACAAGTCAACCAAATGTTATCTTTACAACATAATTATTTGATGTAAATAAACATTTTGTGCGGTATACACTTTTTCGTGTCAAACGACCATCCAAATGAATTAACCAACATTTCAGAATAATTAAGGAAAATCTTTGAATACAATCACAGACAAAATAAATAAGAACAATAAAGCGGCAAAAAATAATTGGCAGATTTTTAAGACCATAATACAAAATAAAATAATATAGTTGAAAATTTAATGGTATTGGCAAGGCATTGAGAGATCAAGAAAATGAGATTCTTTTTAACAAGGGACTTAACAGTAGTATATATTTTTTACCATGTCTTTTCAAATTATCAACTGATTACTGCGCAAAGAAAGAGAATGAGTTTACCAATTTGTTAATACATCCACCATTTCAAGACTAATAATGTTAATGTTAATTTCAATTTCTATGTAATAACACGTGCAATGCACTAGAGGTTTAGGAGAAATTTTAACCTTTTCCTGAAACATCTTAAGATTACCTTAGACTACATGCTTCAGTCCCAATTTTTTGTCATAATAAAAATAATTTGAAGTTATTTTTCCATTACCATCAGATAGATATGATACCACTGCCCTTTAAAATACTGATTTGACATATTTGACATGTCAGTCAGTATATTAATCTATTCACCAAGTATTACACTATATTGATAACTACTGTTTATTATATCTAAATCAGCATATTGATCGTATGTCTATATTACAAATCAATATCACAGCTGTTACAAACTTTAACCTTTTTATGAAAATACGGAAGTCAAAAGCTAATGCATTTTTATTTTACATCACAAAATATTAGTAGCCAGTAGGGTGATTTTTTTTTTAGCTATTTAGTGAAACTTAATCATCATACACGAATGTTATAGTCCACTCGACACAAACCAGGTCATTTTAGGACTAACATATGGTTCAATTTTATTGCAATAATTCGCTTGCATGTATGGGTCTTTAGCAGTGGGAGGAAACCAGAGGGCCTGGAGAAAACCCACAAGGTTGGACAGGCAATCATACTCCTCGTCACGTACCAGCAGGGAATCGAAACCATGCAACTTGACTCAATGACAAACCACTAGACTCCCCAATTCCCTAATATCAAAGAAATGATTGTGATGATTTATGATCCACTGCATAATACTTACATGCTTCTGATTAACATTAATAAAAAGTAAAATAACAGAGTATTAGATTTACAACCATGTAAAACATAGTTATATTCTGTTTTTTAGATTTATAACAAGAAGTTGTTAATGGGATGAAATGTTTTTCTATGCATTGAGTTATAATAAGGGTTATGCAACTTAGTTATAATGAACATGAATACAATAAGCTGGATAAATAAACAACACACAAAAACAGTAAATGTATTAAATTAGACCCACTGCCAACTTCTATGCCAATTTAGATACAGTCTGATTCTAGGAATTCACAGACACTCTAAATAGCAACAAGTGCCAAAAACAAATCTAATATTTGAAATAACAGTCGTTAAAAGCAAACGTGTCTAGCTAAATTTTTGTAGAATTTTCAAGTTACAGTGCAAAAACTTGACAGACAAAAAATGGTTTGTGCTCCCCGCCCTACCTGCATGACAGTGGAAGTTAGGACAATGTCAGCAAAAAAATTAGTATGTTATAATAAAACCATGAAGCTCACATGCATCAAAGCTCTAGTTTAATAATCAATAAATATTTAAATTTAAAAAAAAAAAAGGCTTATAATATATTAGAAATAAAAATCTGAAAAATTTTTATATGAAAGATTTTATCATTTTAGCTAACTGATTAATAAACTGATGAAAGCAGACATGAAAGGTGGAAAAAAAATAAATATCTGATCACTGTTTATTTAATTTACCCTGGAATTTTTAACAGCGCTTTCAACTTTTTCAACCACTGATTTCTCAGTTTTTTCTAAAGCTTCCATGGCTTTCCAATTCTTTTCACGAAGTTCCTGAAATTAATTTTTTGTTTTTCGTCTACAATTTTTATCACACAAAAACAGAGTTTTCAGATAGATATGCATGCAGAAATAACTGTTATCCTTAAAGGACCTAAGTCCGTAACTCAAAATCCTCCAAAATCTTCGACATCGAAAACACGAATTATTGGTCAATTTAAATCAACATTGATGATGTAAACTTACCGGGAAAAGATGAGCTTCTGATATCCGATATTTAAGATAAAATAATTTTTTTAACATTGGTACACGAATCGTGTACCATAATGTGCTTCAGCCCCAGTTGTATTGAGAGACTCGAGGGACGAGGCTAGACACATTGCACCAAATCAAATGGAGTTATGTAGACTAGAATAACTAGACGCTAGAAATTTGCACTCGATTGAGATTGCTGACTTATTTCGCCGAACATAACTGATTTGAAATTGGAGTAAAAACGGAAACCATTAAATGTAAATCAGTTTATATACATTCATATTACAGTATTATATGCGTTGCGACCCACTTTTGTGAATTTCTAGGTCCCAAATGTTAGCGATTTAGCTCCTTTAATGTAAACCTTGTTAGGGTATACAAGTCCTTTTTTTTCAAACTAATAACCTTAAAATGTTTAGAACAATTGGTAAATTCATATATTATAATCAATCAATAATGTAAATCCTGATCATATGGGGATAAAACATATTCTTCAAGAGCAGAACTCGACGTGATTGAACTTTAAAAAAAAAAAAATATAGATCTTAACGAGGTTTTTACTCATGAAAAGAAAATGAGCCAAAAGACTGATGATTAAACAGGGCTTAAAGTAACATGCCAACTGTCATACAGGTGACAAGTCACTTCTGGCAAATTACGGCCTTTGCATTTGAAAGAATGATGTTCCACTCTAGTAAAGACAAGCGGTTGCAAGGTATGTATAAACCTTGAGCCTGTTTTTCAAACTGATATTATCTGTGTACTAGCCTAATTTAATAATGTCAACTTGCTAAAATTAATTTCTATTCTATTGATTTATATATATCTGATAAAATATCTCACACTTTACACAATCACAAGTCTTTTAGCTTATATTCAGCCCTGATAGAAATATGGATTATAACAAGCTAATGTGCAATGTTAAAGTTGAATTAAGCTCAATCTATAGGTTTCTTAACTATACATCCTTTTTTGTTAGCTACTGTGACAATCCATGTTACACGTTAAATAAAATAACTACATATCGAAAGTCGATAACACTACTGTTGAAAATGGTGCAAAAGCAATTCCTTAGCAGTATTTACATCTAGAATATACATTGATTAAATCATGTGAATATGTAAAGAGACGGAGAGAAATGGGGTTTAACGTCCACTCGACACAAACTAGGTCATTTCAAGACTAACACATGGATCAATTTTATTTCAATAATTTGCTTGTGCGTAGGAGTCTTTAGCAGTGCAAGAAACCGGAGGACCTAGAGAAAACCCACGAGGTTGGACAGGCGACCCTACTCCTTGTCATGTACAAGTGGGGAATCGAAACCACACCACTTGACTCAATGACAAACTTGATGATGCAACGCACATGCATTAACCATTCGGCCAAAACCCCCACCCCATATGTAAAGATAGAGTAATTTTGTTAGAATCAATTGTAAGTATTTATATAGTAGGATGTTAAACCCCATTTCATTTCAAATAGTTAAATATCAATATAAGTAATACATTTTCTAAAGCTGCTGACCATCATTTGATGGATTTTGCAAACTACAAAGGTACAATAAATTGAAAATTACACAACATTCGGCATCCTAAGTAGATGATATAAATAGACAAGCCAGTGTTGTGGGTAAAATCTTTTGAAATATGTCTTTTTTAATCCAATTACTTTGTTGTTTTTTCACAATTTAATTAAATAAAAGATAAAAGTATTAATTAGTTAGTTTAATTAGCATAAATGAGACTATATGTAATAACATGTATCAAAGAATAGTTAGTAGTTATTAAATACGTCATGCCAATATGCTTCATCACAATACCCTCCTACTTCTATTTAGAGCTTATTTATTATTATAATATTAAATCACAAATACTGTAGTGTATCCAGAAGTTTATTTTTTTTAAAATGCTCATTTATAAAATGCTCATTTCATGGCACACTTTTGTCTGCTGTGGATCAATTTGCAGTAACTTAATGTTGCAACTATAATTTGTTTGACAGGAATTGATAAGAGGATATTGTGTTCTAAAATATTGCAATCTCAACTTTGTCATCAAATTATATTTAATAGTCTGAAATGGGGAACATAACACTTTTCTAAACAAATTTATTTTTAAATGTCTTTTCTTTATATAAATTTAGGTAAATGATGACAATGTAACATTTCTCCAATTCAAATAAATAACAGCACCACATCAAAGCAATAAGTATATACTTACATTATTTTTCTTTTTCTGGGTCTCTAATTGTTCTTGTAAATTACCAACTTCTGATTTCTGATTAGCTAGTTCTGCTGTTAATCGTGTTAATTCTTTCACTTTTTCTGCAAGACTGTAAATACAATTATCTCCCATTTAAAACAATAATCACACTTTTTTGTTATTACGTAAAACAAATACACATCCACCTAAATTGTTTGTGGTCTGGGAAAACATAAGGGGGGGGGGGGGGGTAGTGGTCCAACGTGTGCGCTTTAGATTATAAGATCCATCAAGTGGGGTCCTCTTCTTTCCTGCTAAAGACCCCTACGAGCAAGCAAGATATTGAAATAATATTGTACCATTTATTAGGTCTGAAATGATCTCAATTGTGTTGAGCCTTTTCTTCTCTAGTTCTCCTCTCTCTTCCTTATCTTTCTCCCTGTACTACATATTTTAATATCCTTTTTTTCATAATGTTATATTACTGGCTTTTTCTTGGACTTCACTGCTGTGTTTTTCTTTCCATGATCAAAACTACAGACTACAGATCAGGTTCTTTCTACGTTTTATTCTTCTAACAATCTGAGGCAATTGGTAATCACAATTCTCCCCCGTTCTAAAGAATGGTATCTGGCTTGTTATAGCATTTATGATGGTCTGCACGAGTTTTCCCCAATTCTACCCCCGCTCTCTCTTTAATAGGTATCTATTCTTTTGTCTGCGGTATTTACATAAAAGACTGATAACAGCTAAATTACAAATATGGAAAGGACATGCACCATACCCTGGATATCGTCAGGGATTGTTACCTAATTTGGTCAACAAATATGATATACGATTTATAACAAAGAAACATGTAAATGACCAACATGTTCATTAATCTATAGCTCAGTTAACGTATTAAAACAACCAGCATGACTTGCTATATCTTGATTATCAATTTTAGAATCAATAATTGGTTAAAGATCACAATATGGTTAATGTTACCGCCATCATATTGTAACACTTAGCTGTCACCCGATAAACAACTGTTTTTTTAAAAACAACACAATTTATATGGAAAACAATCACTTTTTTATAGACATATAACATGATGTTTCGAAAAAGTATTCTCTTATCAAAACATTGTGCTATAAGTCAATAAATAAACCAGAGATTGTTTTCCATATAAATTGTGTTGTGTTTTTTTAATGTGCTCAATTGCTAAATGCCACTCAAGGATTATAACTGTTTTTATCATAAGTACAAAGCAATTTCATTATCCCTTAATTTAAATTTTCTATGCTACATAACTTACATGCTTTCATGTTCTTCCAATTTTATAAGATTTTTATCTACAGTGTGTTCATTATGAATATCACCATTGGGGGCTCCAGATGGTGCATTAGGTGCAGCTTCCTGTCCCTCGCCAGCTTGACGTTCTTTAGTTGTCTTCATTTCCTCAGCTAAAGCCATATTTTCATGTCGCATAACCTACAAACAATATTTCATAGAACTACATGTAATTAAAACTCAGTCATTTAAATTATTATTTATTTTTTTGAATCATCATCATAATGTCTGAAAATAATACAAAATCAGCTTAAATTGAAATTTTGATCATGGATGAACTAGAAACTCAAAGTGCTCCCCAAAAGAAAATCTACCACTTTTCAACATTTAAAATAAAATTGTGCACATTTAGGAAACACAAGTGCAGATGGACACACAAAGGGTAAGAGAGAGTTTGCTTGAAACCAAAAAAAAAGAAAGGTTTTGTTTGATTCATAATAACAATTTGACAAAGAAATAAATGAACATTTAAATAAACCTTTATAAGTTTTATGAATATGAAAATATTAATTGTACCTCGATTTCTTTCTTGAGTTCTGAATATCTCTGATTTGAATCAGATAATTGTTTTTCCAGATTTTTAACATTTCCCTCCAATTCACTTGATTTTCGGTTGGCTTGCTGAAGATATTCAAACCGAAACACAATGTCATTTAAATTATTATCATGCAATACTCTTGCTGAATAAAGATGAGATTCATGCTTTGCCTTAAGAGCATTTAATATTCCAAAAGATATGCCTCTAGACAGGGTCTGACATTAACTTTTTCAGCCTTTGGGCAAGTAGTTCAACGATTTTACTATCCAGAAAATGAAATTGCTTGTCCTAAGATACAAATTGTTAAAATTTTGCTTTGTGTGTTAAATATATGATAGGTTGGGTTGTGTGTTTTCTGAAACAAATGTATGAGGATATTTCTTATGTTGGCTTATTTATAGTGCTCAAGCTGAATGGTAAAATGGCACAGGTAAAAAGGGTACAGAGTACAGGTTGAAAATTCAGAACAAATGGTACAATGCTGAAATATGCAGAAAAATGAAGGTTCAATTTTCGAACTCAACCATCATTAGGGTGTAATGGTGATATATTCAAAGTTTTTTTTAAATTGGATAAAAATGTGATTTTTCGTACAATCAAGGGCCATAATTCAGGAAGTTACAATCTGATATGCGTGAATATCGAAATTTACCAAGATCTTTCGGTTATAAACATATATTTCAAGTTTCCTCAAAATCAGATCAAAATTGTGACATCTACAGGGTCTGATTTTCATGAAATTCAAACTCAACAGTAGTTACGGTGATATATTCGAATGTTTTTTTTTGAATCAGATAATAATTGTGACCTCTAGAGGGACCACAAGCAAAAAATGTGCTTCTTCGTATAATCAGGGGCCATAATTCAGGAAGTTACGATTCGATATGTGCAAATATCTAAAGGAACCAAGATCTTTGGGTTATATAAACATGCATTTTAAGTTTCATCAAAATCAGATGAAAATTGTGACCTCTAGAGTGTCCATAAGCCAAAAATGTGATTTTTCCTACAATCAGAGGCCATAATCCGATACATGCCAATATCGAAAGGAACTGCAACCTTTTGGAGATAAACCTATATTTCAAGTTTCGTCAAAATCGGATAAGAATTGTGATCTGTAGAGTGTCCACAAACAAATTGTGGATGGAAAGACGGATGGATGGACTGACGGACATCCAGTCCGACGACAATATACATCCACATGAAAATGTGGGCGTATAAAAATTGTCCTGATCATTAGTTCTTTAAAGGATCTAAACCTGTAACTCAATATTTTCTATAATACTGGAAATTAAAAACACAAATTAGAATTCAATATTGGTCCATTTCAAACCATATTGATGTTGTTATGTTGCCAATATTTAAGACACAATGAACATTCCAAAACCTGTACACGAGTCATCTACCCTATCGTTTCAGGCGCAAAAGGAATGAACAAAGAAAAACATATCCTAAATTACAATGCGGCAGTAAATAGTAATGGCCGATTCATAAATGATAAAATAGTAATAAAAAAAAATGTGAAGAATGGGCTAATTAGGCATAAACGATTGTCTTCAATTTGGACTATTCGTGTATTTCAATTTTTTTTAAAAATTGAATATAAATCACTTGATATGCACTATTACATTTATATGTACTTTTAGAGCCATTTATGATTCCAAAGAATTAGAGCCAAACACCCTTTAATTACTTTATTATCATTTAAGTTGTTGAGTAAAGTTCTCCTGGTCACATTAGAATTTTCTTCATTGTTTTTTTATCAGGATTTGATGTATCAGGTAAACTTTTATGCATTGATGGCAATCGATAATTGCATCCATAAATTTGTCTGACACTGAAACTCAGCATTTGAATTTTAATTCATTGTTGTAAATATTGGATATAAATTCTGTAAATGTGTCAGATGAGTAACCAAATTAGTACGAGTGCCCACCTAGATTATGTATTCGACAATATTATTTTGTAATTAATTATCAAAATCAAAAGTACATGTCAACAAATATTTGTAGGGCGCTCGGAACTGTAAAACTTCTGTTTCAGCAACATGCGACAGAAGAAAAGATATATATTAGATATCTGAGACAAAAATTGACTTTCTTGTGTTTACAATAAATCCAAACAAACTTTTGTTATGACGGTTTCTGTTCTCCGGGCAACAGTTAATGTCGAGCCCTGCCAGATATAATCAGAAAAGAAAACAGCAATATGATCAGGGTGCAAAATCAGGGCCGGCGGAAGCAATTCTTGATTGGGGGACTTCCATCCTATGTCCTTATAGGCATGAATCCAGGGGTCGCAATAACCTGGAGAAAAGAGTACTTGCGGCCAAATTATTGGGCCTAAAAACAGAGGTCCGAAACAGTGGACGACCTACGGGCAGTTATTCGAGAAAATAATTTTGGCTTGTATATAATCATATTATTTGTAATCATTGTTTGGGTTGGAGCCTATTTTTTGGTGGAGGATTTAAAGATAGTTCTTCTGATCTCTGCTCTTATGTCATAAATTTCTAACACTGATTATGACAATACTGAAAGTTAAATTTTTGTTTGTTTTTTTTAATCAACTTACTTCCTGCTTATTGGTAAAATAATATATTTCACATCTTTTGAAGTGCAAAATTTATTTACTGTTTACTTGATATAGAAGGAAAACAATCAAAATCATGAACACAGAAATGAAAATCACACAGAATTTGAAAATCAACCAAAAAAGTACCACCCAAGAAAAAAACTAAATACATGTAGTACAGAACGACATATTTATCACAAATCTAACCTGTAATTTTCCCTCCAATTCTTTTGTGACGTCGGCAGCAGATAAATGTGTGTTCAATTCCTGGAGCTGCTTTTTCAATGATGAACACTCATTCTCGGCAGATTTCAAAGCTCCATTAGCTTTTTGTAAATCAGCAGAAGCTTTTTTCAAATCATTATTCAGTGTAGTATTTTTTTGGTCAGCTCTTCTTAATTCTTTGTTCACTTCGTCCATTTTCTTATTCATAATAGCTTCTGTATCTTTCTATAAATCAAAATCCAAAAATACAAGCCAACAGTGAGGCTGATGTCCCCCGCCGAAATAGGAAAATAATTAGAGGACACATATAAATTTATCACAAATTATCTTTTACAAAGTATTGAACAATCAAACAGTATATCTTTACTTATAGTCTAACAATCAAAGTAGGAGAGTTATTGTTTTCCAAAGTCTCGACCAATCAAATTGCGTATCGCTCTGCTTACCCTGAGCAGAAAATGCTCATTATCAAACTTAGTCAAGGTATTACTGTAATGAAACTATACACCAAGTTTCATCAATCTCACTTAATTAGAACTAAAGTTATCGTGTCCCAAAGCATCAACCAATCAAATTGCTTATCTCTGCTTACCCTAAGCGGAAAATGCTCATCTTCGAACTCCATCAAGGCATTGACCTAATCAACACATACACCAAGTTTGAACATTCTAGCTCAATTAGGAAGAGAGTTATCGTGCCCCAAAGTATCAACCAATCAAATTGCTGCTTACCCTGAGCAGAAAATGCTCATTATCAAACTTAGTCAAGGTATTACTGTAATGAAACTATACACCAAGTTTCATCAATCTCACTTAATTAGAACTAAAGTTATCGTGTCCCAAAGCATCAACCAATCAAATTGCTTATCTCTGCTTACCCTAAGCGGAAAATGCTCATCTTCGAACTCTATCAAGGCATTGACCTAATCAACACATACACCAAGTTTGAACATTCTAGCTCAATTAGGAAGAGAGTTATCGTGCCCCAAAGTATCAACCAATCAAATTGCTTATCTCTGCTTACCCTAAGCGGAAAATGCTCATCTTCGAACTCCATCAAGGCATTGACCTAATAAACACATACACTAAGTTTGAACATTCTAGCTCAATTAAAAGTTATCGTGTCCCAAAGCATCAACCAATCAAATTGCTTATCTCTGCTTACCCTGAGCGGAAAATGCTCATCTTCGAACTCCATCAAGGCATTGACCTAATCAACACATACACCAAGTTTGAACATTCTAGCCCAATTAGGAAGAGAGTTATCGTGTCCCAAAGCATCAACCAATCAAATTGCTTATCTCTGCTTACCCTAAGCGGAAAATGCTCATCTTCGAACTCCATCAAGGCATTGACCTAATAAACACATACACCAAGTTTGAACATTCTAGCTCAATTAGGAAGAGAGTTATTGTGTCCCAAAAAGTGTGACGGACAGACAGACGGACGGACAGACGGACAGACAGACGGACAGACAGACGGACGGACAGACGGACGAACCCATTTTAATAGTCCCCTGCTTTCTTCGAAAGGCGGGGGACAAAAATGAAATGGGGTTCAACATCCTACTGTTCTGCTCCGACTGGGCTAATGAAGATTGGCATGTCATACAGTGTGCTATGAAAGAAATTTTGCCCAGGCAGCGGCATTACAGCCTACTCTTGTATCAAATTCCAACTGTCAAGCGATCTTTTATGTGCACGCCAATGTTTATACGGAACCTCGGTTTTTCGTTCCATCCAAATGACTAGACAGCTGTTCTTGTCAGGCCCTCGGTCCTACACCACTGACAAATCACTCAATTGCGTTCAGACAATGTAAACAAGTTGGCACCACCTATTGGTTAAAATCTTTAGATGGGCCTGTTTTTAACCCAATTGAATCCAGGCCAATGATTATCCACCATTAATATGTTAGTTTTGTTTTCTTATTAAATTAATGTTATATAAACAATTTGATAGTGTATTAAGCCATGAAATATTAAGATATTGTCATTTGTCACAAAAATGTACACAATCAGGATCAACTGGTCTCATTTGAAAATATTTGCTTTGGGATCTTATCACATGAAAATGAGTTTATAATTTTGGTTTTATGAACTTTAACCTGGGTGAGCCTAAGCTAAGAATGATGGAAACAAAAAAAAAAAATTAAAAGATCAAATAAATACCCTTTACGATTACATAAAATATAATAATTTATTTTTCATCTCAGTAAAATCATGTGAGAGGAAATAACACTTCACTAAGGAAATCTAAATGTATAGTTTTGTTAATGGCTAGATGTTTATAAAACTAAAGCTACTTACATGGCCAGATTCAAATTGTCGGATCTGTTCTTCATATTTAGCAATTTTACTTTCCTGTATTTTACGGTTATTTTCACTTGCAGTTAGTTTGACTGCATTACTGTTTAGTTCTTTCTCCATAATATTGGCCTTCTGTCTTATACTGCTAAATTCAGCTTGAGATACAGTATCAGTTCTATAATAATACACATATTATATATATATAGTATATAATCTACATTGAAATGTTAAGTGATCCTACTAAACATCAGCTTCATGTATCTGCGTTAGACAATAGTGTATAAATGTAGTAATTATAAACGAGAATCAACACCATTTCTGTTGCAGTTTAATGTTAAATACAAGGACAAAATTACAGTAAAATTAACTTACTTTGTTTTTGTAAGATTACTTAAGGTATCTTGAAGTATTTTATTCTCCTGAAAAAAAAAATAATCATACATTAGGATTGTCCTTATTTTGCAAAATTTTGAAAAGTTAAGGGGATACCCTCAATTTGTTGGAATTGATGAGAAAAAAAAAATGAAAAAAAAATAAATAAAAGAATAAAAAAATTTTTTTTTAGAGGGTGCTACTAGCTATCAAAGTTCAAACAAAATGTGATTTTTTGCATTTTTTAATTTTTATTTTTATGGAACAAAGTTAAATATGAAAATAAATGTTATTTCCTGGTTAATTAGAATGTGAACAAGACAAAAATAATATTTATAAAGCCACACAAGCGATTCCAGTGTTTTATACTGAGGTTTGAAAATTGGCGAAATCAAGATTTTTCAGGGAAATTGTATCTTTTTCCTAGACCTTTACTTCTAACCCTTATGTGGTGGCTTCCAGTGCAAACCAAAGGGTCTGTCCTCGGACTGATCTTGTTTAGTTTATACACTAAACCACTTGTCTCATAGTAAGACATGAATTATTATTTCATCTATATGTGAATAATACACAAAGCTGAATATTGAAACTTGTATTGCAGACATAAAAATTTGGATGAACAATAATTTTTTTTTAAACATAATGCAGATAAATCAGAATATTTGGTTATTGGGTCTTCTTTAAACAGGAAAAAGTTAAAACTTTGATCTAAAGTTAAACTTTGATCTGTCGATACAAGCAGGAAATAGTTGCATTGTCACTTCTTAGTCAGCCAGAAATATTGGTGTAATTTTTAATTCAAACTTTTATTTGGAGAGAGAGAGAGAAATGGGGTTTAACATCCACTCGACACAAACTAGGTCATTTCGGGACTAACATATGGTTTAATTTTATTTCAATAATTCGCTTGCGCGTAGGGGTCTTTAGCAGTGGGAGGAAACCGGAGGACCCGGAGAAAACCCACGAGGTTGGACAGGCGACCCTACTCCTTGTCACGTACAACCGGGGATTCGAAACCACGCCAGTCGACTCAATGACAGGCTTTATGATACAGCGCGCGCACGCAAACCATTCAGCCATCCAACCCCCCTCTTTTATTTGGAAAATCACAAACAAAATCTGTAAAACAATTTACTTTAATCTTAGAAACATAGCTAAAATTGTCGTGGACAATTACAGTCTTCAAGTGATAATTTGCTCCATATTGAGAAAAATGCCAATCTTGTCAGTGTCAAAAAGCAAAAAACGTGATTTTTGAACAATCGGGGGCCATAATCCATGAAGTTCTGGTCCGATACATGCCAATATCGAAAGGAACAAAGATTTTTGGGAGATAGACCTATATTTCAAGTTTCGTCAAAATCAGATAAAAAATGTTAATGTAGAGTGTCCACAAACAAATTGTGGACGGATGGACGGACGGGACGATGGCATAATACACCCACATGAAAATGTGGGTGTATAAAAATGCCAAAATGTCACATTTTGTTTGAATTTTGATCGACGGTAGCACACTCTACAAAAAAATTAATTTTTTTTTTAATTTTTTTCTCATCAATTTCAACATAAACTGAGGGTAGCCCCTTAAAGATACATTAGTTAAGAGTTGGTCATTCTTGCTATAATAATTCAAAAATATATGATAAAAAAAGAAAATATTGAAAATTTCATTCAAATTACTTCATTCTCAGCCAAGTTATCATTGTTTGTAGTTTTGACAAGATGTGTGCGCACAGTGGTAACCAGGGCACTGGTAAAATCGGGACTTAGCCTCGCTTTCCCATTTTTAAATTAAATTTTTAAATGGCGAACCATTTTAATCTAGTTAAAATCTCGAGTATCCGATGCCATCGAGAGTCGATTATGATCTTGTTTTGTTAATAAATGTCTAATTAATAGTTTATATAACATTTCAGGCCTAAAGAAAGACCTGCAATAGGCAGATTTAGCTCTTGCATAATGTATGTTTAGCTCTTGCATAATGTATGTTTAACTTTTCAAAATTTTGCAAAATAAGGACCACCCTATTTTGTTTTAATCTCTAGATTAAACAACCAAATAAATATGTTATCAAAGAAAGACATCACTGATAGATCTGAATTTCTTTTGCGGTCTACACACATAAACTAAAATTTTCTATAAATTGCTTGATCTCTGAGAATATTAAACTATAGACAATCATAAGCATGGCTTACCTCAGTTAATTTTTGCATATTTCTATCTGTACTAGATTCTGATTGTCGAAGTCGAACCTGTAGATTGTTAAGTTCAGAAGCATGTTTTTCGTGAATATGAGCAAGTCGAGCATGTAGAGCAGTCATTTCATTATTCTGAACATCAAGTTTTTCCTTGTAAGCTTTTTCCAGTGCTGCATATTTAGCTTTTTCTGCATTTAAATCTTGACGGATTTCTTTTACTTTATTATTTGATGACATAGCCAATTGTTGTTCTATAAAAAGAAAATTTACAAGGATTAGTTCAGATATTAAAAGAATAAAGATATTAATTAACAACAAGTTATTTTTCTAATTAACCAAATATTTACCAGTAAACATGTATCAGATAGAAGACAATTTGACTGAAAGCTGACGAAAACGATCTCGTTAAAAGCTAGGAAAATAAATGTTAATACCTTGTTGTAGAGCTCTCTCTTTATCTTCAAGCTGTTGTTTAAGAAGGGATAAACCATCACCTTTTTGTCCTTTCTGGCTTTTCTGAAATTTACAATAATAAATCAATATATATTTCTGTTTCCAACATCAAAAATAATTTGTAGAAAAAGCTATATATATTATCAAATAATTTATTTGTTTCAAATCATCATATATGTAGCCTAATAAATGAGGTGCACTGTTTAAATCAATTGTATACATTATCAAGTAGTTCATAGAAAAAAGCAGATTTAGAAAAATAATCACTATGTACCATAAGCTAATGATAAACAATCATCAAATAGCTAATGATAAACAATCATCAAATAGCTAATGATAAACAATCATCAAATAGCTAATGATAAACAATCATCAAATAGCTAATTATGATAAACAATCATCAAATAGCAAATGAACAGGTAATGTACATGTATAGAAAAACAATGATAATCAAATATATATGCGGCATATTCTGTATACTTTGAATTCAATCAAGTCCTATTAAGTCAAGCAAGACTATTCAATATAATGTTATTTCTGCATATATGCATAATTCAACGTTAGAGGTAAGCGATATCCCTGGAAACAGATATCGTGATATTTTCAAAACATATCGCGATATAATCACTTTGCAATATTTTATAAAATGTCAATAATTTCAGTTTATCACCTTTTAAATTTAAATAAACATGTTTAAAAAGTTGGAATTTCCTCCCGGAATATTCACATGGCACTTTCTAGTCAATATTATTAAAAGGTTTTAGCATAAATACAGTACCGAATTTACAAACAAAAGTTAATGAGCTGGTTCAAACAGATTGATATAGCCACGAAGACTTGCTAACAATGTTGGTTTATGTTTTTGTTGTAATTTCAATTTCCAATATATTAATTATATTTTATTTAAATTAGGAATATGAAGGAGGCACAGAAAAAAACGAAAAAAAACATTTTTTTAAAAAAAAAAAGTTGCTTTCTTTCGGCCATGCATATTTTAACAGCTACAGGTACGATTGAATGCTATTCATTTACCCTTGCAAACTCATGTTTTCTCATTCAAGCGTATGCCTCCTTGAAAATGCATTTTACAATACAACAATACAAACATAAGAACTATGTCAAAACGTATCCAGTATGATAATCAGTTTACCAGTACTCTCTATAGTTGGCATTATTTATATTTCTGCTATATCAAAACTTGTTTCAATCAGAAAATCAAATGATTCGTATGGAAAATCAAAGTATCGGTATGAACAATTCGTCAAAATTCAGAGAAAATGATCAGAAGCAGGGATAATTCTTATGGTATCGTCGTTTGGAAAAGTGAGCGAGAAGTCACGTGACGAAAACAAAGCAGGAATGAACAGTCATGAGTTTACAACAGAATTTATTCATCACCAAGCAATAAATTATTGTATATAATCTAAAAGGGAAGTCATTTTTTCAATATTTATGTTAAATATCATCCAGAAAATCAAAACTGCAATACATCACGGTATTTTCGATTTTTCGATATTTTTCTGAAGACAGTATTTTTGACAGTTTCTATTTCTATGACAGTTTTATATCAAAAAACAAATATTGCCCAACTCTATTCAACGTTTAAAAAAATTCAGACAAATATTAAAGAATTACCTTGTTCCATTCTGAGTTGACATCAATTGATCCACCTTGTTTGTTTAATAAAATATCAATTAAACTCTGTATATCAACATCATTTAATGTGGCATTCTTTACAGAGTTAATCAGTGGTGAACAGCTAGTTGTTTCTACAAAATACATAAACATTGACAAATTAATAATGAAAACAATGCAATAATAAAACAAGATTGTAATACTCAGTAAGCTACATATAGAACCTGTATGTTATTGAAAGGATCGTACAATGCTAAAGGAATAACAAGCTTGAATATAATAAGGTAAATATAGAATTTAAACCATAAAATAATAAAGAACATATAAGGTAGACAATGAATCCAGTAGACGTGGTACAAGGGTTATTCAGCGAACTGGATGTATGAGATGTGTTGTTGACGTTTGGGAAAGTAGGACGAGGGGAAATGTGTAGGGAGTGAAGTGCTGTAAAGGGATAGTTAGATGTATTATGAATGGTTAGAGTGGCTGTGGTGTTACGGTGAAATACTATGCCGCCACCGTAACACCACAGTTTTATGATTTGTTAGACAGGAGTGATGTAATGGGTGTCAACAACTGGGTATGCTGGTACCGTCGCAACGTAGCCGTGAAATATATATTGTGGGGGGGGGGGGGGGGAGGGCGGAAACAGAAAAATATACAGTGTTGACAGTATGTGCCAGGCATGAGGCTGCGCAGACCGAGCGGCAGCTCGATAGGGAGTGTGTGGGAGGGTCACCCTCATAAAAAATTTTTTTTTTAAATTTCAGTTTTCTGTAAGCAGTGAAAACACTATTTTGGCATTGTTTGCGGGGTTAAACCTAAAAATCACATTAATACACCTATTGCACGATGTTGTGAAACTAGCTGACGAAGACAGCTCGGGCGGCGATTGTTCGACTTGGGGCTGCTCTGTCAGTATCTAACAAACGCATTTAGTTCGCGTACAACTTTTAAAAACCGAATGTCAGTATGGTATTTCTCACATAATTGGTTATCGCAAAAACAGAGTAAACTGAAAGCGAGTAATCTCGACTCAAACCTATAGCCTATAGCCTACACTCGTCACTAGGCTTCCTATATTATTGTTTGTGGACAGTTTACTACTCAGTGATAAGCCTGCGCCGCAAAAAGAGGTCTCGCCTTTTATTATTAGTATAATGACTTCCTCATGTGCGGCAGGTTAGTTTGCTTCTAAAAACACTGTTTTCCGTTCCAAAAAATACAAAAGTAATTTTCTACCAGATGACCATGGTTCTTTTCACCGAGACTAGATAATTTCTCTCGGTGTAAGGATATAGCTATGGATAAGTTCATACAAGGTCAATAAATCCGCGGTCACTTCGGGTCACACTGTTGAGAAAATAAACCGATGGGTTTGTTTAGTAGCAAATCGAGCGTGAATGAGTTTGTACTGAAAAATTTTTGAGTGATATGTATGAACTGTCTTCACACATTCGGTTTATAATTAGCGATACACAGGTACAGTGGCAAGTGTTGTACTTCACAGACTGTTTACCTCCGAACTACCTCCGCACGAAATCCCGGATTTGGGTACTTGTTAAAAGAAAAAGAAATAGTACCTGTGCGCATGCCAGTAAAAAAAAAACTAAGAGTTCGCGCATAAAAATGCCCGAACGTACCAGGCGCCAGGTCATCAAGACATAGATATACTTCTTAAACTTAAATTACTTCCAAATATCTTAATTACACCGTATTGAAAATTTTAACATTTATTTTAATTTTGAAAATATTATATTAGTACATGTATGTTTAACTGATTTCTAATTCTATATTAATATCACTGACATATTCAAAGATATTATCTGATATATTTTTCATTTTAATCTTCTAAATTACGTAAATAACACCTTTCAATCTACAAAAAACGATAACATTGATTGGCCTATCATGTTGATAGAAGTCATTAATCACAGTAAATAATTAAATATACACATACACTTTACCATTGGTTTTAACACTTATTAATAAGTCAATAAATAATACTTTATACCAAATATTCTAATATGTTTGTGGTTTCCAAAATCAAAACCTGTCTTCTCGAAATACGGTAGCCACCCACAGTGGCTAAGTGAGTAAGAGAGAGAGAAATAGGGTTTAACATCCACTTGACACAAACTAGGTCATTTTGGTTCAATTTTATTTCAATAATTTGCTTACGGGTAGGAGTCTTTCTTTAACAGTGAGAGGAAATCGGAGGACCTGGAGAAAACCCATGGGGTTGGACAGGCAACCCAACTCCTTGTCACATACAACTGGGGAATCAAAACCACGCCAGTTGACTCAATGACAGATCTTATGATACAGCACGCATGTGCTAACCATTCGGCCATTCAATCCCGCAAGTAAGACATTGGCTCGCTAACCTGGAGGTCCAATGTTCGATCCCTGCTTTGGCCAAGAAAGTTCATCAGGATTTTCCGGCATGGTTCCCCCCTTGTCAGTGGTGCAGGACAGGGGCAACGCATAGTTGTTCGGGTGGCATGAAAAAAAAGAGCTTCCGTTTACACATTGGTGTACAAGATACCTTGGCAGTTGGAATTTGGTACAAGAGTGGGCCATAGCACCACTGTCCGGGTAAAATTTCCCTCACAGCACACTGTCTGGTGTATGCCCGTCTTCATCAGCCCAGTCGGAGCAGAACAGTGGGGCATTATACCCATTTAATTTTATTTCACTTTTCTCAAAACGGAAACAGACATGGTAACTGCTGATTATATGAAGTACATGTCACATATAGAAAAAAATTTGGTCGTTCAGAAGGATATGCTGCACAAATCTTTTCTGATCACATTTATGATATACATACATGTACATGTAGATCTAAAAGAGACTCAGAGAAGAACTTAATAATTTTGCATTAAGCCTTATTAAAGTAAAACAGACAGAAATAATCCAGAAAGAGTGGAAATATTCTGGTAAAGCATTCTAAAAACTTTATTTCTCTAGACAGTATGTAAATATTGTATTCATTTTCAGAGACTCAGAGAAGAACTTTATAATTTTCCATTAAGTCTTATTACAGTAAAACAGACTAAAATAATCCTGAAAAGAGTTGAACTATTCTGGTACATGAAGCATTCTAAAAACTTTATTTCTCTACACAGTATGTAAGTACCGCATACATTTTCATTACAAAAATAGATTGAAGAGAAACAGGTATTTAACAATATCTATGATGAATGACAGCAGGATGACATATTTATTTAGATACACCCAAATAAACAAATAAAAGTTTGAACTAGTCCAGGGCCTAAATTCTTGTGAGAATCTCTTCAATGGAAAGAATATCAAATTACCCACAGACATTCATCAGAATGAAAAGAAAAGATAGGTTGCCAGGCAACGAAACATACGCCACAACAGCTTAACCGTCTGAGCGGTGAACAAGGGGTGTCGCATATTTAATCTTTTGTAGGTAATGAGGGGCCTTTACAAGACAATTTCACGCAGATTGTAATTTTCGTCCTTTGAGGGTTCACACAATGCTATAAACTGAAACAAGGGTCTTAACTCTAAAAGTAATGTACATTGAGTGTTGAAATTTGACGGCCTATTTAGTTTTACTAATTTGAATAATGCATATAAATTTCATACAGATCGGATGATGACTCATGTTCTCAAGCATTCACAATGTTCATAAAGGTAAAACAAGAGCCATAATTTTAGAAGCAATTGAAGGTAATTGCTGAAATTCAATAGACTTTTTTGTTTCACTAACTCAAATGATGTCCTAACAGCGTTCACAGGGTTCAATAAAGTGATACAAGGGCCATAACTCTAGAAGCAATTGACGGAAATTGCTGAATTTCAATAGACTTATTCGTTTCAATCATTAAAATAAGGATTCAATAGGCTTTTTCATTTCACTAATTCAAATAATGCGTATAAATTTCATACAGATCGGATGATAATTTTTATAGTTAGAATGTTCACAAGGTGCAATAAAGTGAAACAAGGACCATAACTCCAGAAGACATTAATGGAAAATACTGAAATTAAATAAGCTTCTTTGGCACACTAATGTACACAACATTTATCAATTTCAAAACAATCAGATGATTAATGTAGTCTGTAGAGTGTTCACAAGAAATTGTGGACAATGGACGGGGGCGACGGCAATATATGACCACATTTCCATGTGGGTGTATAATAAAAATGAATAAAACTGGATGTATTAACTTTATATTTTACAGAAGTTTGCATTTGGTCTTCTTGCTGGACCGAGTTGGATGTTACATGATGACCCTGCTCTGCAGATGAAATTTACACAAATTTAGTTATAAGTTCTGTCAAAGTATTTTCCAGATGTCATCTGATCTTTAACCCTATAGATTTTTAATGCCCTGTCAGATATCAAACAAGTCTGTCAAATCTTTACATGTAACCAAGATATGTAGCAGTAATATGTAATATAACACATTTGTAGTGCAGCACCAGTTACATGTACTGTTAAAATATAAATGTTATTACATGTACATACATGTAAACTGAATAAATCTATTTGAGAAACATAGATCTATTACAATACAAGTACATATTATTCATATATGTATATAAACAGGTAGTAAATCTTGACATTTATATTACTCTATATGAATTATGATTAATAACATTCTATCTTTATTACACAACATGCCCTTCAATCATATTGCATATGGTACATGTATATAATGTCAGTAGGCATGTCACACGCATAATAATAACACATTTATTCATGACTTGAATAATTTTCAAAAAAGACACCTAAATTGAGATACACTACTATGGTTCAATTTTTTAAAATATCAAAGAATATAAAAATTTTCTAAAATTTTTAATTTGGACTAGAGGGAATTGGTAATCAATTCAAATACTGAATAGAATTTTGTTTAAAAAATGGATAGCAAATCTGCCTATTGCAGGTCTTTCTTTAGACCTGAAATGTTATCTAAATTATTAATTAGACATTAATTAACGTATCCAGACCAAAATCAACTCTCGATGTCATCACTAGCCTGCGTTATTTACTTGATTTGAATCCTATCTGCTGCTCAATGCTCACTGATGATTAAATCAAAAAATGGATAATCGAGACTATGCTGTTTATCGTACCGACTTCAGTAATAATGTTCGAGGTTAGGCCTAAAATTCAATAGCTAAATTCTTGGTTCAGTCAGAGTCTATCAATTTTACTGAAATTTTCAGCAAATTCCCTTTACATTATCTAGTTTTTAACTATTATAGTGAGAACTGTCAGCTCTTTATCTAATCTCCCATAATGTATCTTTAACAAAAAACAAGATAAGCTATTTTAAAATCTGTTCATCTATTGTCCCCAAAATTTAACTAGTAGAAGTGTCCAATTATTCAGAATTTCATGCCAAGAAAGTAAGAAGCAATCTAAACAGATGGAACAATTATAGGATCTAATTCTCTGTGACAGCTACAAATTCCTCCACTATGGACAGGAATTTTCTACTAATCTTCAGGACTTTACTTGATAGCTTAAGTGTTGACAATTGTATGAACCCATACAATTCAATTGCCATCAATGAATTATTTTACTACTGAATTGTAGCATTCGGACCACTAGTTAAATGTAGGGTATATGAATGGTTTTGTTAAATTCTAATATGCTGTTCAGACCCTATGGCCTAAAGATAAACTTTGTTGTCCGATAGCAAAGGTGGAGCAAATAAACCAATCGAGAAGGCTTTTCTAAAAGCTGGCTTATCTTAACTGTCAGAATGGGTTGTGTGATGTTGCCTCATACATGTATGTATATAGGGTTAGATTTACGAATACGAGGGCCTTGGTTTTTTAAAACCAAATATAAGCAACAAAGAGGGTGGGCAATATTTGGCAAACTCAAAACTAAGTCAAGAGAACTAGGTGTTTTTATCATGTTTAGATCACAAAACCTGACTTCAAAGAATTGCGAAATACATGTAGCAGTTTTATACTTAATCTGATGATACACTTGAATGAATGTTCCAACGAGTTCCAATTTATGTTAGCTGTGGCTATCCAAAGGGGTTTTCTAATATCAAAACACTTGTGGCAGCTTAGATCTTAAGCAGAGAAGCATTTTTATAACAGCAAATCTCTAGCTGACTTTCTGTTCACACATACATGTAATTACTTAAGCAGTGACTCCAATGAATGAGAACTGCTTCCGTCCACCCGAGACTTCTACTGTGCTCCGTTCCCCAACGACTATATAAAGGGGAACAGTCCCACAATCTCACTTAAGCCTGAAGAGTTGTAGCTTCACGAGAGAAATCTGGGACGTCTATGAGCATCTTATAGATTTTCAATTATATTTTTAAAACAAGGTAAGTTTTCCGCAGATTTTTCAATCAATCCCATGATGCCAGGAAAATCCAAATACTAGCAAGCATTTTGATTCAACTGGTTGAAAGTTCAGGAAAAAAATCAAGGCATCAAATATTCAGATCCTAAGGCAGAAAGCCTTTAACTTAAGATGCATCGAAATCAGAAAAAAAGCTGCAGTACAGTAATATACTAATAATACAGAACTCAAACTAATGGTATATTATAAAATCTAAGTTTTTAAATTCATCTGTATCTGATACAAGAGGTAGCCATCATTCCATGTTCTCAAACTGAGGTTTTCTCCAAGTAACAGAGCATGTCTGAACCCAATGGCAGTACATGTATAATGCCTGACAGTAGCAGGTGGTTACTAGACTTTGTGGTTACCACAATGAGTTAACCAGCTTCATGTAATGGGGAATACATCTTTTACAACTAGTGAATACCCATTCTTTAACATGGTTCAACTTGTCACATGTAGATCATGTTACATACAGAGCCTGTTAAACTACTCACTAAATTCTTTCTTTTTATCTTGAAATGAAACCTGACCCTGGTTCTTGATTATAATGTATAAATGTGTTTATTTAACTATGAAGTCTTTGGGAATTTCAATATTGGTGCTGCTATGGTCTATGGAGAACAGTTTAAAGGCTAGTATATTTTAAAGACATAACACTTAATTTAAACCTTGTGTAATTTTCACAGCTTAACAACCTGTATGAATATGCAGCATGTGTTCTAAATTTCATGTCTATGTGTCATGTAATGCTATAAATAAAACTACTAAAGTACTAAATAACTACCAGTAATTTAAATATTATTCCAAGAAATGTGAATTTCTTATTATTTGAATGTCTTAGTTAAACAATCATATTGATTTGTTTATAAAATATTATCTGTTCTAGTTTAGTTCCTCCTACAGTGTATTTTGGCATTGAAAGTGGCTTATTGCAGACTTATGAATTCGAAAGGTTTCTTTTTTACAGATTTGCTGAGATCATTTATTCAGATAACAATTTTTTCATGCCAGTATCTCTTAAAGAATTCATCTAGTGTCTAGATTTGGCATGTTCTGTAAATTAAATTTGTCAAAAGCTAACTTTACTAGGAAAATAGTGAAAGTGAAAGATCCCTGATAACTAAACATCCATCCACTGGAATTTGAAGCGACTATATGTAGATGTACATGGTGAAAAATCTTCTATCTGACATCATTAAATTTAAATGGATGCACTCATGTTGGGCATATATACGTAGACTTACATGTATGCCTGAAGTCAGTATAGTGCTGCCAAAGTAATTATAAATGCATAAATAAATCTGTGTAGTCTAATCGCAAACCTACAATATGTAAGCAAAAGTACTGCTTCAAAATATTATCATTAACTACAAAAAGTCATCACTAGATTAACACGAACAAATAATTATTTAATTAGTTTCTGCTTTGAAATTTCATTACCAAAATGTCAATGTGACAAAATAATCTCTTTTCATCAACTTCAACATTTAAAATGTGGAGATGGTTTTATATTTTTCAACCTTAATTATTAATATCAGAAATAAACTTATGGTGCTGATAATTATAACCTTGCTGATCTACACTAAAGATTAATAAAGAGAAGATTATGTCTAAATGAAAGTAACTAGAAATAAACTGAGGAAACGGTTAGAAAAAGATGCATACCTTGTGAGTTCTTTATTTTATCTGATGTCTTTCCTCTTGGTTTTTCTTTATTCAATTCTGTTTTCTTTTCACTTTTTACTGCTTTTTCAACTTCAACTTCAATTGTCTCAATTTTTGTGCCCCGTTCTTTCTTGGTTTCTGTCTTTTTCTTAACTTTAAAGATGCTAGCATCCTCCACAGGTTTTTCTTCTTCATGTTTATGCTTTAATGCAATCTCATCTTTCGGTGCAAACTGCTCCTTGTGGTAAACCTCTGCAGTTTTTTCTGTAATCAATGAATGCTCATTTTTATTGACCAAAATTGGTTTCTGACTTTTAGTCTTCTTTGATTTTTTGGCATGAACAACCACTGATTCCTCTAACTGAATTATTTCTGGGTCAATCTCTAAATTTACCATCTTTGTTTCCTTCTTTGCTTGGACCTCTGCCTTTTTACCCTTTTCTTTGACAACCACTGCCTCCTTTTTCACTTTCTTTTTTGAGACATCTGTATTATTTTTCTTCTTGGATTTGGGTTTCTCTTCTTCTTGACGTCTTCTCTGTTCTTCTAAAACTTCATCAAATGTTTTTTCTTTCATTGTGAAAGCTGTTATGAGGTAAATAATTATGGCTGATAAAACACAGACCGCTAAACCTATCGCGATTGACTGAGGATCCATGGTGCCTAGTTAACAAGTGAAGTTCCTGGAAAGAAGATGAAATCAATGAATTAACTTGAAAACTGAAGTAAAGAAAACAACGTTGAGTCCAATCCAACTCCTTCAAATGGCCTGTCACTGACCGTCAGTACCACGCCCCTTTGCCGGGATTATCTCCTTTAGAATTACCGATCGAATAATATTAAACTGATTGGGAGAATCCTCCAAATTAGGTGTCAATATCCTTGAGATATTAATGCTTTAAAATCACCATATGGTTTCTTAGTAAACCATGCACTTCCCCTAACACCTTACAAACCAAAGTTATACCCGGTCCACGTAAGCACTTTACGACGGCGATAAATGGACCGATTGAAATGGTAGTGTCGATGTCAAGACACGGTAAAGTGTTGATTTCCACGCGTCACATAAAATTCCTATCAATGACACAAATTATGATCTTCTTCAAAAGACCCGAAAATCACAGGCATGGCAACTTTCTAAATGAATGGGTGGGTGTCACTCAGTAGACAAAAATAACTGACATGTTTTCTTTCTGACCTTACTTACTTTGCAAACACCATGTACAATACCGACAGCCCTGAAACATGTGAATGTCTTATGTAAACGAGTTTGTGATTGGCTGAAACCATAGACAGTGAGTAAATTAATTGTACACCCTCCCTGCCACGTTGTGTCAGACATCATTTATTTTATTATTAAACGATAATTTTCAAAACTGAAAGAAGCAACATTTTATTAATTCATACCTAAGTCATCCCTTATTCAATGCACATTATACTTTGAGCTTATTGTGTTAATTTTATCTGTTTTGTCGTTCTCAGTCGATAGACATTTCGAGGAGCGCCGCAGATAAGCAGATTGAAAATACAATGCCACAACGAGGCTGGTAAAGACGCCACCTAGCGGCAATAGTCGAACCGCGCACCTGACTTTGGTTTGAGATCAGTTCTGCCCGGCTTCTTTGTTCAGTAAGGATATCACTGAGTGTGCATTCGCTTTATAACGGCTAAATTAGAAATGGCACCGCAAAAAAGATCCGCAGAAGAGGCAGAATCACTTATAAGTGGAGTAAAGGCTTTATTGGTTGATATTGAAGGAACAACAACACCAGTTTCTTTTGTCAAGGTATGTGTCAATGTTTATTTATCAAGTAATGCAGTTTGTAGTGTAACTGTAATGGATAGTGATTAGAAAGCGCGATTATCGTGTTGCGCCGGCTATATGTGCGGTTTGTGCTAATTCTTTTGATAAATTGATTAATTGCATGGTTTCGTACAAGAGGCACGGTAGTTTTATTATGTTCGGTTATGAAAATACTAATTAAGATTGTTTCTTAAATATTTTTCAACGATCCTGAGAGATTATAAAAGCCTCTCGTTGGCTTCGCTGGGGGTAATTGCGGAAGCTACGTTCCACTTATCAAGTTGTAACATTGTTGTTATTAGTTCACGCTCGCATGATTGATTATATGATTCAATTGATCGATTCGTTATCGACGTAGGAGATACATTTGAACGTAAAGTTTTGTTGTTAGGACCAAAATGAAATCGTAACCAATGTATTGATGTTGCATCAATTTCAAGAAGCGACTCGTCGATGACGTACGGTATTGATCGAAATGTGATACTGGATGATTATTTGCAAAATATATATATATTGTGCAACTCTTCATTATCATTTTATAGCTCAGACTTCGGACACACGCCTAGTTAGTTGTCCGCGTTTGTTTTATCACTTGTATGTTAGGCTATTTGTTATCACATTATTTTGGCAAATAGAAGTGCTAAAGTAGACCGGCCGGCATGTTAGAATTAATGCAATGTCAAGGCCATTTTGTTGTCTTGTTCGTGTGATCTTGTGGAGGGGTTACTTTTCAACGTCCCAAATTTAATTTGTCAATGTAATTACGGACCTAATAATAATTTCAGGTTGTGAAGAATATTACTTAATATCAAAATAATAGTTATTTTTATCGTTTAGACAAATAATTATGATAAAATCGTAAACAAACGGATCCCAACAAAGACCATGGCCCATGTGGGGGTTTGAGCGATTTAAAGAATAGCGCGAAATGCTTTGAAGTCACGTGACCCTTAAACGACACACTGTTGCTATTTGTCTTTTGTAAATTATATTACTTTTATAACAGTACATATTAAGTGTAGCGCCTGTTTAATTTGATAGACCACGAATGCTCCATGATGGTATAACCAGTTACATATCCAATTGAGTTGTATATTATATCCTTATTATTCAGGGTTATAAATAGAAACAGGAAATAATAAAGCCCATCTGGTAGCCTTGATTTATGAGAGGGGTCTTCTCAGAATGATAAAAAAAAAAAAAAATTTAAGGCGTGTTACTTGAAATGTGGTTGATCTTCACAGCTGAAAGTGATCATTATCAATGAAAAAAAATATCATTCATTATCAAACCAATATTACTCTTGAATATAGATTTCTGTTCTGAAGAAGGAATGCCAATCAGGATTTTTTATTGAACAGGCCAAATGCATTGCTTATAATTTTACAATACAACAATTTTTTTTTCTGTACTCACTAACATTAATGTTTAGATTCAAAATAACAGAAACCAGCTGGATAGTGAACACCAATAAAGATGTAGTACACAGGAAATTAAAATATGTTCTTGTAATTCTTGAAGACTTGGTTAAATACATGCACCTATAAGAAAAACAATGGTTTTAAAGTACAATTCTCCAGTATGTTTTGCCAATCATTGTCAGGTTAATATAATCCAATAAAGCACAGTAGATATACATAAAAATCAACCTTGTAATATAAAAGGTGTAATATTGTTAATTATAAAGACCACAACTGGGAACAGCACAGTGAATATACATACCTTCCATGTTTTGTAATACACAATGTTTAAAAAATGTGTAATATAAAAGATAATAATCAGGGCTTACATTATGTGAATGTAATTTTGATCTTGTGTTTTAGAAGATCTAGTACTCAGTCATGAATTATAGTCCATGTACTTGTATGATATCATATATTTTAACTGGCATTTATAGTTACATGTACATTATACATAATAGTTTAACGGTTTCCTTAAAACTTGATTCATCAACTTATTTTTCAGGATAAACTTTTTCCCTATATCACAGACAATGTAGAAAAATATTTGACGAGTCATTTTGATGATGCAGAAACACAAAAAGATATTGCAGCCCTTCGTGAGCTGGTAAGTTTTCATAATTCAACTTCGATTTGATGAAAAGTTAGGGCAATGCTTTTAAAGACTAGAAATGTTGGCTACAGATTTTGAAAAAGCAAATTGTTGTTTAATTTCTTAACTTGATCTTTCAAAGATTAGCCCATAGGTAAATGAGAAAAATAAGTTTTTAAAAATAGACTGTTTAAAGTGTAAGTGACAGGGACCTACATGTAAATTTGTCTATATAAAGCATTTTCATATAAAAGTCAAGTGCAGAACAAGGGCACTTTATATGCTAAATTAAATATTCTCTTCTGAGCGTCACTGAAATTTCAGTTAGATTAGAAATAAGTGTAAACAAAGAGTACATGTATGGGGACCCACCACTTATAGATTTCCAATTTTAGATTAGAAATATACAAATCAGATCCATATTTATTCATTAGAAAGGGTAGAAAGTCCTGGGGAAGAGGGTTATGTTGTATAGATATTGGAGTCTTGAAGCAGACTAGGTTATTTTCTATTTTGTAAACCTTGGATATTGACTGGGTTGCTGTGTACTACACATACATTTATAACTGACTTAAATACAGCATACAGTATCCACTGGTAGTTATTATCCAATGGTCAAGTTTACATAAATTTTATGATTTAGATGGGAAAGATATTGTTTTCTGTATTTGAGTTAATTGACAATTAAGAAATACAACATAAAAGTACAGTTATTAAAAGAGATGATTGCACAGATTAAAGCTTATTTTAATCTGTAGACACTCATTTTCTTTACATGAACATGTATTCCATTTAGGTACATGTATTCCTTATCCGATGGGCAATTGAGAATACAAAGTCTCTATTATTTTAACTTATTAATGTATTTTATTTGGTAGGCTCTGAAAGATAAAGAAGCATCAACAGAAGGCGTTGTAGAAATACCAGCCGCAGATAGTAGTAAAGAAGATGTAATTAAAGCTCTTGTTGAAAATGTTAAATGGCAAATGAGCAAGGATAGAAAATCCACAGAATTAAAACAGTTACAAGGCCATATGTGGCAAGAAGCATACAAATCTGGAGGAGTGAAAGGAGAGTAAGTTATCAATATTTTCCTCTGTCAACATGTCCTACACTTTTCAATATCTTGTTGAAGAATTAATGTATTAATGTCCTCAATCATTTTACTCAAAGTTTAAGAAATTTCTTTTGAAACTTGTCAAGATTATTCTTTTGATGGTTCTGTATCTGATTGAAATTCAGAATTATGATGCAATCACACCTTGTAAACAATATTTACTGGTCAAAGTTCTGGAGAAGTTATTTTCAAAATAGCTGCTGATGGATGTACATGTTTATCTAATATTATGGCAATCCATATTTTTTATGATGAACATTCTATGTATGAATACCTTTATTTAATTTGTAGGTTATTTGAAGATGTAGCTGATGTATTAAGACAGTTACAAGAAGAGGGTATACTAATATATGTGTTTTCATCTGGTTCTATAGAAAGCCAAAAATTATTATTTGCCAACAGTAATGAAGGCGATATGACTGATGTAAGTATACTCATTTCATTTATTTTGAATATTTTTATATTATGAAATGACACACTTTGTTATTATTATTACTAGCTCATATTTTTAGGAATTGTTCAATGTTTTAAAGTTGATTAGCATGTGTGTAGTACATGCATAGATGAGCTATAGGACTACATTTATATGTATTAGTTAGCTGCTCAATAAACATGACCTTTGTTGTAAATAAACAGCATCAATTGACCACTGCCAAATTCTCACAATTTAAACAAAAGCCCTTCTATTCAGCCTTAGTGATTTAAAAGTTGAAGATATATGTATTTTGGATATATATGTCTGTGTTTACCACTGTTAATTCACCAGCTACAGTAGCTACAGCCTTGGTAATTGACTTGGTTTTGCTGGACAGGAATGTGTATTAATGCCAGTAATTGTAGTTATCTCCCCTGTGATAGGAAGTATTAAATAAACATTTTGTGACCATAGGCAGTAGGCCCTTATTCAGGTGATCGCTATTGACTTAGAGTAGACATGCGAGGGTTATGTTCTTGACTAGTGTACACTGCTGTGGAGGGTTGTCTTGACTGGTGTAGACCGTATAATTTGGCTTAGTTATCAATGTGCCTTTGTTTTCTTAAAGAAATATTTGTTGTGTATTTCAGGTGTTTAAAGGTTATTATGATACAACAACCGGTTCTAAAACAGATAGTGCCAGTTATAAAAAAATTACAGGAGAAATCGGTGTATTGGCTGACGAAATTCTCTTTCTTACTGACAAACCTGAAGGTAAGCTTAAAACTTTTAAAGGGAACTTCTTAAGAGAGTTAATTTGGGAATAATCTGTTCAAAGATTTAATTTCATGAAATATATTTTATCTGTTCAAGACTTTCTTTTGTCATTCACGAAAAGGTAGTTCAGTGGGTACGGTGGTTTGGGGTTCAATCCCAGGGTTGTTAGCCAATAAAGTTACCCTCAATTTTCCCATGTAGTTGCCCCTTGTCAGTGGTGCAGAACAGAAGATCCAACAGGGAGCACTGTCCGGTCATTCAGATGGTTCGAAAAACCGAGGTGCTATGTACAACTTGCATTGTGCATAAAAGAATGCTTGACAGTTGGAATTCAATTTACTGTCTCGGCAAAATGTCACTGTATTATGTATGGTGTCCATCTTCGTTAGTCGGGTCAGTGCAGAAAAGTAAGATGTTAACCCCATGCCATTCTGTCAGTCAGTTGATCAGGAAAGAAGAGGTTTAAGAGATAATTCCAGTAAAAAAATGGACTCAATTAACCCAGCTTGAATTAGATATCAATATTTGATTCTCATTTTACAGAGGCTGCAGCAGCTGTTGGAGCAGGTATAAGAAGTACTTTAGTCATACGACCAGGTAATGATGATCTCACAGATGATCATTTACAAAACTTCTCCTGCATCGAAAACTTCAGTGAACTATTTGGTGATGATGATGATGAAGAAGATATGAAAAGATTAGCTACAGGTGATAATGGGGAGGCAGAGTTAGATGACGACGATGATGATGATGACGATGTTGTTGATGAAGATGATGATGATGGTGAAGACAGTGAAGGAGCAGAAGGTGTTTAAACTCATATCATTGTTTCATCATTCACTTGCAGCAGTTAGGCCATGGTTACTTATTATATAATTTTATTTATTGTAAATAGTGATACAGGACTGTGTGCGTTGTTTAATGGATTGTAATGAAAATGTGCTAATTGTAAGGGTAGATAACATGAAAAATTACAATCAAATTAGAGAGTAAATATAAATGTACAACAACAAAGACAGGGTCAAAAAAGCTTTAAAATTTGTCAAAATTAAAAATATGAAATTATGAAATATGTCTCAGATGACAACAAAGAATATTATGACATAACTGTTATATGTAATACTTTTATTTATTATATAAATGATATTGCGTTACTATAATTGTCTATATTTGTTATTGCTAGTCATATAATCCAAAAATATGATTTTGTAAAAATCTAAATGATCATAATATGGTAATTATTTGTACACTTTGAAATTATAACCGTGTATGTATAAAAACAAGGTAAATATGATTTCTATTTATTTACATCAACAAAGGTGTAATTATACTCGTATCTCATTTTACAGCATTCATCATTTATTATTGAACAAATGACATTATAGGACTTTTGTCTAAATACCATACCAGTGCTACTTATGTTATTATTTTAAATAAGGGCAATAATGAAGTTAATTTAATTTTGGTGTAGCTGGCCTAAAGTTGCCGTCTAGAAAAGCAAGTTAAGCGGTTTCATTCAAATTTTATACTCAAGGCTTGCTTCAGTAATTTTTAAATTTTAACTACGCAGAAATTTTGTTTAGCCCTTTAAAGAGACCATTAGTGATTTGTAGTACCGACGATGTGTAGAATTGTAAGATTTGTAGGGTCTAGATCTCAGTGATATGGTTTCATTTTCTCCGTTTGTATATATTATATATATGTATGAATATATACCAAATTTACATGTATGTAACTGCTCGGTGGTAACCATGGCCTATGGCAGCTAGATTAATATATAAATATATATATACATCACAACAAAATCAACCACTTTTTATTTCATAGGATCATATCATTTTTATGTGTTCATCTTTTTATGATCATTTTATCTCTTAGGAGCTTTTAGTTATTATATTAATTAGATACTGTCATTTCTATATTTATGACTAGTTCTAAATGTCTACAAGAAATCAAATTTAAAAAAACCAGGAGAACCCTATGTGGTGCTAGTTCAGAGAAAGTACATTCTGCCTAAGCACAGAGGGGTGTGAATACTTCTTGGAGGGGTTTGCTGGTTAAATTCCTACTTGTAATAGCCTGTATTCTCTCTCTAACCAGCCTGTATTACAATATATACCTATATATATGTAGGTAGGTAGTAGTAGTATAAAGTAAATATATTGTGTTTTTATTTGAGTAAATCTATATATTTTGTCAATGTGTTTTACATGGTTAGTAGTACTTATTTCAATATCAGCTCTTATACAACACCATATCTCAGGTTCTCAAATAAATGTAGTTTCATAAAAAAATTAGTAGTGTTATTTTTTTCACAATTATGTACCGACATAGAGAAAAGGTCCAAACCTGCATTAGGGAAGTTTATTCAGTAACAGACTGTCAGAATGTCCTGGGTTTAGTCTCAAAATGGGCCATATCTGCAGGTTCTGACTATCCTGGGGTATTGCCTGCCAAGTTAAAAAGATTGTCCCGTGGTAGGGTGCCCCATAATAAATAAATATCTCCAAATATCTTGACAAATACACCACAATATTAAATCAATTTCGCACATTTATAGTCATTAAATAAACGGTTATAGTGTACTTAAGATATGACTATTTAACTTTCCATAAATAATAGACTGAAAAATGGTAAGTGTCGGCCATAACATCCGGGCACATTTGAGTAATAAATAGGTTACATGCTCTTGTATTGAAATTAGTCCCGCTTGACCAGTCTAGTGACCATTCTCCATCTGACTGACAGGCCGGAATAATCAAGACGTTTTATATACGCCCACATTTTCATGTGGACGTATATTGTCGTCGCCCCTGTCCGACCACAATTGTTTGTGAACACTCTACAGGTCAATTTTTATAAGATTTCAATGCGGGGTGTTAGATGGCCGAATGGTTAGCATGCGCGCGCTGTATCATACGGTCTGTCATTGAGTCAACTGGCGGGGTTTCGATTCCCCGGTTGTACGTGACAAGGAGTAGGGTCGACTGTCCAACCTCGTGGGTTTTCTCCGGGTCCTCCTACTGCTAAAGACTCCTACGCGCAAGCAAATTATTGAAATAAAAAAATTAAACCATATGTTAGTCCTGAAATGACCTAGTTTGTGTCGAGTGGATGTTAAACCCCATTTCTCTCTCTCCCTAGATTTCAATGAAACTTGAAATATAGGTTTATCACCATAACTTCCTGAATTATGGCCCCTGATTGTATGCAAAATCGCGTTTTTAGATTGTGGACCCAATAGAGGTCACAATTCTTATCCGATTTAAAAAACCATTACAATATATCACTGTTACACCCTAAGGATAGTTGAGTTCGAATTTCGTAAAAATCGGACCGAAACTGGCAGACAAGATGGCCGCCCTTCATTCACAAATAGTGTCACAATATTGTGTATCAGGTTATATGTATTCCTTATAGCTTAAGGACGGCAACTATTGGTGCATGTCCAGACTCCCAGGGCAGAGCCACGCCCAAGTTTTTGTGTTTATCGTATACTGACCATAATTCTGAATGGATCATCTTGAAACTTGGCATATGTATTCCTTATAGCGTAAGGGCGGAAACTGTTGGTTTTGATGCATGTCGTGACCCCAGAGGGTCAGAGTCGCACCCAAATTTTTTGTGTTTAGCATTTCAAGGCCACAATTCTGAATGGATTATCTTGGAACTTGGTATACTTATTCCTTTTAGCTTAAGGACGGCAACTATTGGTGCATCTCCTGACTCCCAGGGGCAGAGCCACGCCCAATTTTTGTGTTTATCGTATACTGACCACAATTCTGAATGGATCATCTTGAAACTTGGCATATGTATCCCTTATAGCCTAAGGGTGGAAACTATTGGTTTTGGTGCATGTCGTGACCCCAGGGGCAGAGTCACACCCAATTTTTGTGTTTAGCGTCTGAAGGCCACAATTCTGAATGGATTATCTTGGAACTTGGTATACTTATTCCTTATACCCTAAGGACGGCAACTGTTGATTTTGGTGCATGATCCGCCCCCCCCCCCTCGGGCAGTGTCACACCCACATTTTGTCTGTAAATAATCTACATATTGCAGTTATTAACAGATTTGGCTGGATATCAAAATATGAAATATAACAAAACAATATATACATGTAAACAACAATACTTGGTTAATGCTGTCCAACCAGACACCCTTCTAATTATGAGAGAGAGAGAGAGAAATGGGGTTTAACATCCATTTGACACAAACTAAGTCATTTCGGGTCTTTAGCAGTGGGAGGAGACCGGAGGACCCGGAGAAAACCCACGAGGTTGGACAGGCGGCATTACTCCTTGTCATGTACAACCGGGGAATCGAAACCATGCCACCTGACTCAATGACCGACCTTATGATACAGCGCGCACTTGCTAACCATTCGGCCGCCCAACTCCCATCCATCTAATTACATGGAGGGGGTGTGGGGTGGGGTGCTGCTGGAATGACATAGAAACACTGCTGTTCAGCCAAAATGCTCTTCACTCACATGACACACTTAAGCATAGAAATGAAACCCCCATGTCATTCCATTCTCCATTGGGCTCACTTCAATAATCAATTTGTAATGTGAGCAAATTGCAATATGAGAGAGAGAGAGAGAGAGAAATGGGGTTTAAAGTCCACTCACACAAACTAGGTCATTTCGGGACTAACACATGGTAGGGGGTCTTTAGCAGTGGGAGGAAACCGGAGGACCTGGAGAAAACACACAACCGGGGAATCGAAACCCCGCCAGTTGACTTAATGACAGACCGTATGATACAACGCGCATGCTAACCATTCGGCCATCCAACACCCTCAAATTGCAATATGACTTTCAAAAAAACATGACATCTCAGTCAAAAGCAACAATGATGTTATAAAATTGGATTTATTCTTACCTGACTAATATAATAGTATAATCCTGACAGACGGGTCAAACAAAAACAAATGATAAGCATGAAAAACTGTTTTATTATCAGGTTTTAAAATTCTACAGATCAGTTATTTAAATAATTTAGAATACATGCACAACCAACTGGTATGAAATACATGGATATTTTTGTCAGAATGGATTTAAAATGGTATTTAAGTCATTCAGAATAAAGATTTGCTTGTATTTAAGAATACCTTTTTTAAAACAATAAATATGTAAAATTACTTTTCTCCATATCAAAACCGAGACCATTCTGTATTTAAGGACATGGTAAGTTGGGTTGGGTGGAGGCAGGGAAAGTACATTAAATGTAATCCATAACGTAAAGATTTGGAAGATTTGGGGGCGGGCCAAGGTATCTAGGTAGTAGGTATCTACAAAATACATCCAGTGTGCATAAAATAGTCATACAAATATTTGAAAGTTTACTAAAAAAAATTCCCAATACCGGTACAAGGCTTTGTCAACCAATTGCACATATTGGTCATGTCTATCCTGTAGTCTACAGATGATATTACCCACGGCTCAGATAGTTTCATTACTTTTTAAATTTTACCATGTCCATAAATTATTTACAATGTAGCATTTTGGGGGGTTTATCTAAATCTTTAATTTAATATTTCCCTTTTCATAATGGCATAATAATTCACACATGGATTCTTTTATAAGGACTTTAATCAATAAAAATTCAAATTCATTCAATCAACTGCAGAGTCAAATTTTATTCAAACATGTCTGATAGCTTTGTGGAAGAATTTCAAGCTCAAAAATATTTTCTTAAAATCTTGTACATTTTAATTATGATGAAAAGGGAAATTTTTGGATAGAGTGATGAAAATATTAAAAGCGATTATTATCAAGGAGTTTATAAAGCATGACTAGTTATTATCACCACATTATATAGGAAATGTTCATAATCAATATATGAAACAATTATAACAATATCATAACCATGAATATATTACAATGTGATTAATTAAAACCATTTACAGCAAAATATATATACAGCTCTATCATAGATATATACTAAAAGATAGATACATGTAGATATAACATTGTTACTGTCTTCCATTTATACTTCCGTCTTCTTCAGTTTCCTTAATAAAAATTTATCTGGGGCAAAGTAAGAATTTAATCCTTTAAAATATGTTAATCTCAGGGCCAAGAATTTTAATCTTTTACCCATAGATTTCTTAAAATGCACATATCACAACAGAAAAATTCTCAAGAAAAATATATACAGGTGTTATTTTTTTTATTATTATTAAAGATCATTATTAAAATGCTTGGTATTTTTTTATCATCCATATTCTTTTTGTACAACTAGTGCTTTAAATGTGCAAATAATTTTTTTTTTTTACATAAATGTGATTATTCATGATGTCAAGACACTGTCAGTCTAGATCACATTACCTCACTACCAACTTTTGATTACTGTATTGCCTTTACCCATATCCAGTTTTAATAAACCATTCCGAAAAAGGTGCATTCAAGTCAAATCCCATAAATCTTCATTTCTAGATGTGAGCAGAGTAATATAATTTCTACCTCTGTAGATCCACCTCTCTGACCTTGTCAATTGCTGACTTTTGTCAGGTGATAGAGAATGAATGTAATAATGGCATTAATAATCTGTACGAAACTTCTCTCAATATTTTATATTGAGGGAATTAACAGGTAAGACAATATGTGAGGTACAGATCCCTGCAATAATACAGGGGTACAATTTCCCTTCTTCCATTGGGTAGATGATAAATTATATAAAGAAATCGTTCCAGTATTCATTATCCTTGATATAATAACGCCTGAGGTCAGGATCAACAAATGAAATAACCTCCTGAAACCTTTTTTATTATTCTTATTCAATAAATCTATATGCCAGTTAAAACAACTCCAAATTCTGATTATTCCCCACCCCACCCCCCTTCTCAATATTATGTACCGTTACTGGACTTGGTTTTAATTTGAAATTATACTAACAGATTTCACAATTTCATCGTAGAACAGAATATTGCAAAAGTGAGCACAACACAGAAATCTTTGCAGCAAGGTTCCCCAAAATAAGACAAAAGAGCACCACAACGCAACAGCAGCATGCAAACAAAAAACAAAACAAAAGAAAGATTTAAAATAATAAGAAATAATTATTTTAATAATAAATAATCACAATGATATAATAAGCAGGAAGTGTACAAATAATATAGTGTGAGAGGAGATAATGATCTAGATTTAATTCTCCTTTTACAAATATTTCACTAATACAACAATTAGAATATCTCTCTTCAAGGTATTTATGCAAAAACATAAAACTAGATGAGTTCAAGTTTCCTACATGTCATGGAAGTGAAAATTAAGAATAAACCCAATTATTAATGTAGATTCCCAAAAAGTAAAATACTGTACTTGAGTGCATTAAAATAATGACAACAGATGTTAACAGTTCCCCTAATATTTTTAATTGTTTTTAACAATAGCCAACAGCTTCAACTCTCATCCTTGTCATATACATGTACGAGAATTTAAGCACTATTACTACTAACAAACACATATACCCAAGTGAATGGCTTACCATGGTATTTTAAAACTTAAAAAAAAAAAATAGGGCAAAGCATAAACAAGAATTTTCCTACAAAAACCCAAAATAAATTTCATGTTATATAATAGAATTACATAAAAGTTAAATGTTTTTGTTGACAGAATTGACTACATGCACTTTCATGCTACAATTAGTTCTAAATAAAAGACACCAGGGATTTGGATAAATAAGCATTTAAATCAGAAATTATGATAACAATAAGCTTCTGGCTGATACACAGACGGTCTATGTTTCAAGTGTACCTTCAACTTCATCGTTATTATTACAGCCCAACATATTTACAAATAAAGGCAAGCAGTAACTAATATCTGTACAATTTAATAATAATGGTACCTTAAGCCCAGGTTTATCTATACAATTGACTATAAAATTTAAAATAAATCTGAAATAATGGTAGTGTAGTTCTTTGTACACCTATACAATATGTTGTATAATAATATATTAATTCATTAGAATAAAAGCATGTTTAATAAGAAAGAGAAGAGTTGAGATCAATGATAGATTTGTTATTCTAATATCAATCATCAATTATTATAAATAGAGGAAACAATACAGCTTGAGTCAAAAAGTCACCTCAATCCGCTACAAGGAGAACTTAGGGTACTGACAGAGCCTTGGTGCATACCTTTGGAGCTGTCTAACATGTCTTTTTAAATTTGATGGAACATTTTATTATACTGTAAACCAAAGCTTAGAGATTCTATAAAGTATTCCAAAATAGATATTCTGAAGTAGACAGAATTCAGAATATCTCTGTACCAGCATCAAACAGGAATAGGTACTACTAGTTCCATTAGGTTTGGTATATTTTTTATAGATATTCTAATAAGCCATTTCACAGAAATGTTAGTCGATTTAACTATAAATATAAATTGCATCATATAGAGAAATTGTCAGGAAATTGTTAGAAAAAGACTGACAGTGTCTCTGCAATAACTGTAGTACATACTTCTAGAAATAATATATCCCTACAGACCATACTGTTTTATTATAATAACATGACCGTATATCACATCTAATTCCTGTTCTGTAGTTGATGGTAATATTTCCACTACATAAATATGATAATGATATGGCTAAAGACATATAACACATTTAATATTTTATGGACATTTGAGTAGCAATATTTATGATAGTAATAATAACTAATATTATGCTCTCCACAGGTTTAAAGAAAGCATATATAATAGCGACCACAGGATATCAATTCAACTAGAAAGCTGTTAACTTGTCTACAAATATATTCCCTTTATCCCAAATATCACTAAATCAGGTGAAAATCCTAGTGCCTCTCTTTATAACAGTTAACTAGCAATAGCCAGAAAGAGGCTGGGTGAACACTGAAGACGGAAGCGTTCCAATGAGAGCGAGCGAGGTAACACCGTCAACAGGCAAATTATCTGTATGAGTACTGTACACTTAACACATATACAATCTAACAAGTATTTTTGTGGTGGTCAGAAGGGACGATCTACTAAATGGTCAGAACTTGCTGTTCTTCCTCTTATACTTAAATCACCCACAGACCGCCTACTTTCCTGCAAAAACAAACAACAGATAAATTAATTTTGGGTGTTCTATGTTTAAGGTTTGGGTGTTTTAGTAATACCGTTTCAGTTTTTTTCCATATAGTCTGGGTGTTCTAGTAGTAGGGTTTTAGTCTTCTATGTAAAGAAATGAAATGAAATTGGATTCTGCTCCGAACTGGGCAAATGAAGACGGGCATACGCTATACAGTGTGCTATATGAAGGAAATTTTGCCTGGACAGCGGCACTAGGGCCTACTCTTATATCGAATTCCAACTATCAAGGGATCTTTTACATGCACGCCGATGTGTACACGGGACCTCGGTTTTTCATCCCATCCAAATAACTAGACAGATATCCTTGTCAGACCCTCCGTCCTGTATCATTGACAAGGGGGAACCACGCCGGAAAATCTGGATAAACTTTCTCGACCAATGCAGGGATCGAACACCCGACCTCTAGGCTAGCGAGCCAGCGTATTACCCACTTAACCATTGTGACCCCCCTCTTCTATGTAAGGTTTAGGTGTTCTAGTATTAGGGTTTCAGTCTACTGTATAAAATTTCGGTGTTCCTGTTGTAAATATTTCCATGCACTGGCTAAAACCACAGCCATTATGAAATAATATAAACTTTATACAATTCTGAACACACATAAAATCTTTTGGATTTATTCTTTAGTCATATTCTCTGTACTGTTAGCTGCTGCATTAAAAACATAGTAAAAGAGTAGTAAATTATCAACTGAAGAAGTCCTTGTAACTTACATGTAATTTATCATCTTTATTACTGATTATATTGAGAACTGACATGGAACTTGCTCTTTTCATACTGAAAATATACACAATATACTTCAATCAATTTATCCCTTTTCCATGGCAACCACTAAACAAATCAAGTGACAATATTCTTATCATAATCACATTAAAACCATGTTAATGTTTGATTGACAATGAATTTTAATGAATTGTTTGAATTTGTATGTAATTTTTATATTAAATATTTTGGGATACATATAATGTGTTGTCTTTCAATATTGCTACACGCCTAGTGGCATTGTCCCTTATTACTAAAATAGCTATACATGTAAATCAATTAAAAGAACTGGAATCCATACATACAGGCTGCACAAATAATATGGTTGATGTTTATTGCATATCTATTTCTGTGTAGGTTTATATAGCTTAATGAACCAAGCTAAGGGATAGGTGGCATTTTGCTTGCTTGTGCATGTTAAATTAATTTTCGATACCTGATGTGTCATGTCAACAACAAATTTTCCAATTTAAATTTCAAAACTATTCAAGTATTTACAGTTTACATACTGGCCGATTCTTTAAAAAGACAACTTTTACACAGAAATCATATTAAGAAACTATTCAAGATATCTTAATACGAGCAATGTTTTTAGCGTTAAGATACGCTCTGATCCCTGGATTAACTTAAATTATTATCATAAACATATTAAAGAGATTCAACAAAGGATTATTAGTGCAAGCAATAATGGAATATGAATTGAAATGCAAGAGTAAAGATTTTGTTCTTCTCAGGGTGACACAGAAATGTGAGCCAAGACCTTTTATATAATTTTAATAAGTGAAAATGTATTCTTTTATATTTATCTTTACTGAATGAAAATTTATAAGAAATTTCTAGTTTTAAATTATTATTTTAAATAAACACATTTTTAAAGTTCAAATTATTGAAAAAACTAAATTTGAACTTCATCGACTAATAAGAAGCTATTTTGTTTTATAGAGAAAGGGGGGGGGAATTTCTAACAAGCATTTACATGAATCAGAAGTGAGCGAAATGAAAGATTACTAAAATCAGTAATACGATTTAAAAACAAGAACCTAGATTATTTATCCTACAATGTTATTAATAAGTTATATATTTCATTTCTTTAATAAATATTTATTCTATTAAAACTATTTTATCACTTTATAAAATGCATTAAGCTATAGGGTAATGAAGAATATCGAGTAAATAGCAAATCATGATGCGAATGATGAGGTGCAAAATTATAACTAATGATAATGATTGCATTCAAATTGTTTGGCAGGAGAGTAAACCAACCTTTGCTGATGGGGTGACATTCCTTTTAAATACCAGTTGAGACTAAGACGAGGAAAAGACAAATCAAAAATACTAGTAGAACATAAAAAAGTGCACAGATATAACTCAATAATAGAAACAAGACAATCATACAATTCCAACTGAACAATTAACATTATTATATATTTATATGGTATTATCCGTAGTGGTGTGTGCTCACAAAACAGAACTGTTTTGATTCACAGCCATTTATTCTAAGTGTCTGGTAATCTGGTACCCAAAAATTGACGGGCCTAAGGGGATCGCATGGAACTGCCCCGTTAAAAACGTGACTGTTATCCAAAATTACTAAAGGTTCCTTTACATTTATCAGCAATGAAAATCCTAAATGAGTACCAATTTAAGCAGTAAATTGTTCAATTTGAATTGGACTGATATGAGAAATTAGGAACTAAAGAAAATAACCAAAACTCACAAGACTCAACAAAGCTAATAATAAAATCAAGAATGAAATAAATAAATTCCACACAAATAAATCTTTCAAAATAAAATACTAAAAATAAAAAGATGGAATGATCAATGTTTATGCTCCAGCAATACCCTTTGGTTTTCTTTCCATTATGAAATGCATGATATATTTATTTTGTTAAACTTGTTAAAGATACATTATGTAAGAGCTAAATCTGCCTAATACAGATCTTTCTTTTGGCCTCAAATGTTATATAAATTTTTATTTAGACATTTATTCACATGACAAGCCTATAATCAACACTCTAGATCATCAGGTGGGTGAGATTTTAAATGGATTTGAACACCAGTGATATTTAAAAATATAACGATAAAATGGATAATCAAGACTAAAGTCTCAGTAGTCAAGTACCATTGTTGCGATAATAAATGATCTACACTACATCTTCAGTCATAACTTCGCCCAGAATAAAGTAATTTGAATGAAATTTTCAATATATTAATTTTTATTATCTATTTTTGAACTATCATAGCAATAATTGCCAGCTCTTTACCTAATTCTTACATATTGCATCTTTAAGGTGGATTCCTAGAAAATGATATTGAGAAAGGTGCTTTCCCTCCTTATTCTCTGAAAGTCATCAGGTTCCTTTGACTTACTGGTAGCGACTAAATCCAATAGTCTGCCATACATCACTTAGAAACATTCTAAATGGAGTTAATTAAACATGCAACAATATGCAGGAAGTAAAAAAACATAATTGGAATTCAATATGCTTCTCCACATAAATCAATAGTTGCAAAGGAGCAACTACGATCAATGAGTTTTCATGATGGTAATGCTGACAGAAGACAATTATTTGTCATCAAGTGAACAGCTAAAATAAGAAAGAAAGAAAAGTTTAAATCTGTACTTCTCTATCTTTGATCCTGCATGTATTGACCATATTGTCCAGCCATTTAAAGTTACAATTTCATATTTTTAAGTTATATTTTTAAAAAGTATTAAAATAAAGCCCTGAAATAGATGGTATCTATAAACAGTCCTACCCTGTTAAAGAATAATCCTATTAATCCTATAATTCACTATTGCCAGTTGAGAAATTGGCAAAAATATCATTTTCATCTTCAAATTCAACCGTTTGAAGATAGTTACTCCATGGTGGAGAATAGAAAACAAGGGAGGTAATTGGGAGGTAATTGTGTTATTATTTCCGGTGCAAATGAGTTTTAAGTGTGAGAATGACACCTATGATCGTATAATAGTGAGTTGACAACCTATTGAGCAAAAGACATAGAAATAATTATGTTTTGACTTTCTTAGAAAATATGAAATTGTAACTTTAAGGAAGGGGTGATAGCTCTGTTATCAACAGGAATAATGAATTGATACCAGGATTAAGTCGTGCATATTAAGCCATATAGATTATTGGCCCCTACATATAAAGGCAACATCCCTCTCTATGTTACATAAAACTTCAATTCAATTTTCTTGTCCCCTCTCTACTTGAAATGAGATTCAGATTTTCAGTTTATTTTAGCTTTTCAGCATCAGGTAGTTTTTCTCGCTCATCCTTAAAAATCTAAACCAATTCTTTCTCCATCACATGTATTTATTCCTACCCCCCTTTAAAGATCATTTTAAGTCATTTCTGAGAACAAAGACTTAATCTTCATAAATTTTCACTGTCTACAGAATGACAGCTAGAAATTGTCTGCATGCATTATGCATTGATGAGCTATTTCCACAGATATACGAATCAACCCTTCAATACATAATGATTACCCCAAAGATATATTTCTTGTTAACCAATCCAAGACCACACCTCTCATATATAAACAAATGTTAAATAATGGGCATTGTGCAGTATTACTACCATTCATCATCACCAGTGGTCCCTTTCACAACAGATTTCTACATGATGTGCAACATTAATATTCAATTTTATCAAACAACCCTTCTAACCGTAAGTGGACCAACTTAATTCATTGAACATGGTTAAAACTTAAATGAAGGATTAAAACCCAAAACTATTTTGATATTTATTTAACCCTTTCTCAAAACTCATTCACCATATTAAAATATGTGTAAGAATAAGGCAAGGCTAGATTATTTTAACCTCCTTCAAAATGACTTACCTTCCTGAATTATCGTCTGTTGGACCCTTTCCTTTTAATTTCTGAACCAGTTTGGCACTGCTTCGCTTAATGGAAGCTCTCAGCTTGGAAAATGAGCCACTGCGCCTTAATTTGCCGGTCTGATAAATGTTAACGTAAAGTCAAGTGGTGTTAATGAGAGACAAACCGAAGTACTACATTAAGCACAGCTAGGCAAGAGGGACAAATTATCTTCATTGAAAACAAAAATATTTTAATGTTTCTTAAAAACTTTTTTAAGGTTGTTACTTAAAAAATCGTTATATAATTTTATTTACCAAAAAATAGATTATAAAATAAATTAAGTAAAGTTGTCTACATCAATGTATTTTAATTTACAGAAGTTTAAATTATAGTGTCTATCACCTAATAAAAAAAGTAGAACTATCCCTCTTGCCTTCTAAAGCAGAATAAAGAAATATGTAAATTTAAATAAATAACATGCCAAAAAACCCAATGATACATCTATAGAAAGAAAAAAAAATAATAAGATTTTGAAAACTAGTAAAAGTAAAAGGTTCCAAATTATTACAGAATCAAGTTTATTGGAAATATCTAATTATCTACCAATTATTGTTTTAAAAATTGTTGGCTATTCATAAGCCTATTTAACATATAATTAGGTACATAAATCAATGCAGGTGTCAGTTCTAAATCTCTTACTTCAAAGATTAAAATTTAATAATTTATTAAAAACTCAACTGTGCTTGGTGAGAAGAAGCAAAAAAGCATGGGATTCGATTTGCATTTTTCTTTTTTAAATTCATTAGCATTTTTTATAAAAAAAAAAGAAAAAAAAAAGGAAAATCAAAGTCATTAACCAATAAGGGTCAAAATTATTATTTTGATAAGGGATTGAATTCATTTTTAATGCTATTGTACAATTTGGAAATAACACTGTAAAAAAAAAAAAATTTCCACTAAACTTGTCTTCTCTTGATTTAAAATTCCTAACCATTTATAACAAATAGCTTGCCCCCAAATCAATTTAAGCATTAGCATTTAGGCTACTCTAAAGCAATGGAATTTAACTGAACAAATAGATACATTTAAGAAAATTAATTTTAATATATTTTCATAAAAAAATCTACACTATACCTCTAATCTACTTTCAAAATTAATTAAAATTAAATATACATGAAATACACAGTTAATTTAACTATCATCGGCAAAATAGCGTCAAATCAATTTTTTATTATTTCTTAAATTGTTTACCAAATTATACAATCTTGCTTTATGTACAATTTTTATATAATATTTCTGTTAATTTTATGATTTATAAATTTATTTTATTGTCTAGATCTAGGACTGCAAATGCACGTATCAGTATCTGTGACAAAAAAAAAAAATAAAGTATTTTTAAAATAATAAAATATGAGAAATCAATTACACACGAACTAAATAATTTGCTATATCAAATATGAAAAAAAAAAAAAAAAAAATTTGCTATATCAAATATGGAAAAAAAAATAATAAAAAATAATAAAAAGATGGTTGATGCTATTTTACCGGTGAGAATAATCAGAGGAAGGGGGGTGTGGAATAAACCACCGAGTGTCACGAGTCAAGATTATTACATAAATCACTCAGTGTGTAGGCAGACAGGGTATGTGTAGTAGAAAAAATGAAAAATAAAACTTCTCGGTGGTAGAAGAAATCTACTACTTTACTTAATGAAAGTGAAACTAGAAAATAAATGAACTTCGATTCAAGATTTTCGTTTGGACTATTTTCTACATACTGAAAGCTGCATTACCCATGCCAGTTAAGAAATAAGTGTAGGAAATTTTGTTTATCATCGCATCATTCAATAGATATAGGAAGATGATACTGAGAGATATTTGTATTTGTATGCACTTTCTTCTTCAAAGAAATAGTTATTGAAATAAAACTGTGTTAAGTTGTCTTTTTGTTAATCAAACCAAAGTGTTATTCACTTCACTTAAAAAGTGCAAGTTGGAATGCCATAGCAATCCTGTTATTAATAGATGCTCAGTTTCATGTTTTTGCTGGTTCTTTTTTTTATTATCAGTGCAAGAGAAAGTCTGACATGGGTTTTACATGTGGGACAAACAAAGAAAAGCAACATAGCCCTGTCATGGCCAAAACACTGAGATAAATCATGCAATCTAAATCTAGAAAACCTTCCAACTATCAGTTATATTTATTATTTTATAGTGGTAATCATAACATACTGTAATTTAAATGGGGCAGGTCAATTTTTGGTGTTTAAAAGTAAAAAAAAAAAGCCCACAAAAGCCTGATTTAATATTTGAAAACCAATCACCGGTAATGTATTGCGATCAATGTTTTAATGTGTCGTATCAACTATAATAGACCTCAGATAGTATTGTCCGAAAATTCTTCTAAAAGTAATGTTCTATTCCATTGTGTGAATTCCAGAAATCTGTTCCAATATTTAATCTATGAGTTTAGTTGTTGACACATTAAAGTTTTATTGATACGACTATATACAAATAAGATCATGCTTTCTGTAAACTAAATCAGATAGTGCTAACGAAATATATTGTTGAATTAATAATTGATTAACTTGATACATCTAAAATAAAGCGCACACCAAAGAAAGGGGGGGATAACTCATGCAACCTATTATTTCTGGCAATCATTTCCCACTATAAATAATGTAATAAACGCGCTGATGTCAGTCGGAAGATTTTCTCTGTTCTTGACTCGTACTCACCCCCTCGCCTGACCATGTGACACCGATACTCACTTCGTCATCACCATCATTTTTATCGTACGAGACGCTATCCATTGAATCTCTGCGTGACCGGTCTCGGCTACTAGAACGCTTTCTCTCTCGGGGTGAATGGTCTCTAAAATCATTTCCTAGGTCTGTCAGTTTGGCCATTTTCACTAAATCCACAGCCTAGCAGTAAAACCAAAAATGTTTTTGTTTTTTCTATTTGTTCGTATTTTAAAATAATAATCAAGCCTTCTGTCAAAGATATTTAATAATTGACTGATACATAGTATAGATATGAAGCAAGAGAAGAAAAGGTTAGATAAGATATTAAAACATATATATAATAATTATATACATTTATCAAAATTAAATTCTATTATATATATACAGAAATTAGTGAGGGAAAGAATAAAATGCAATAAATTAAAAATAAAAAAAAAATACAAGAAAGCAGAAGACAAAACAGAAGCACAGCACTCACATTCCACTTTTATCAGACGGCAATGACAGACGAGGAAAATGGCAGATTTCATTTCTAGCCTTGCCTTATTGTACCCACCTTGTATTGTCTTATAGGCACACAAGAAACCCAAAAGATTACACAGAATAATTAGGCATTCGTTTACCCTTTTACCATATTCATTCAGTGAATACAGAATCAGGGAAATTCCCTACTACCAAAATGAAGCTCTATATAATGTATCTACTATAAGAAGAATGAAACTACAACTTGGATGGAATGAAATCTGGTACTCATATATAGTGACAGAAAAAGAAAAAGTTAAGGGATCAAAGGTCATTTACCATAAATAGGTCATACAAGATTGATTGTTAATATGTCAGATGTAATATTTAGATTAAAAGTTTTAGTGGCTTGCTGTTTGAATCATACATAAATATTAATCAAGTTTGTATAACAAGATGCAGTGCTCTGGAAGTCATACAAGATGCGTCAACCCTAACCCCTGTATCCAACCAAATGTTTGTCCAAGATGTTGTGCATGTTTCTAATAGTATGTATACTGGATATTGCCCTTTAATGATTTGCCTAACAAAGATAAATATGACCATTAATGATCTACAAATTATATTGTAATAAACAGGAGTCAAACAAACCATTAAATATATCATAAACAAATGATTCAGCATTTATAAAATTCAACAATACAATTTGAGTTGTTAATAGATCACTTCATGGTTAACAGTAGTAACTAGTAATTATATAATAAGTTGGGTTAAAAAGACATGAAGTTACCAACAATGTCAGCAATTAAAAAGGTTTAAGGTCAATAATTCCACAACAGATTTGTATAAACAGAAGTTACTATAATTTTATCAAGAATGGTAATTAATTCAGTTATTGTTTATCCATAACATCGTAACTTGTTTATATCAATATGTTCAATTACTAAATGCTTACTCATACCAACAAAATTTCAACAAAAAATGAGCCATTTTTCCCTCATTTTTTTTTATCTTATTGTACTGAAAAGGGAAGATTAACTATTTTCAACAAGGTTTCCCTTTAACAAAAGGACCTAGCCAATAAATGACCTATTAATAAACAAATGTTTATGATTTAATGCATGTCTGTATACAGAATAGCATGTGTGGATATATGGAAAAGAATGTCTGTTAACATGTAGTAAATAGTTATTACATAGTTATAGCAGGTATTAATTAATATATCAATATCAGTTATTCCATTCATACTGTATAATATACACACATGTATAGCTGAGCACATTACACATGTATCTGCTGCGTGGAAATGCTAGTCAGGAATAGCAAAACCTACATCATATAGCAGGAGTTTTTATTTTAAAATTTATGAATTATATAAGATGTCTATTGGTAATTGCTAGGTAACAGGTGGGAATTGAGTGAATGGAAATGCCTCAGGAAAATTGTAATTGTAATAATAATTTCATTTAAACTTTATTCTTTATCTCAAATTTAATCTATATCAGATCAAAATCTTGGTTATGATAGCAAGCCAATCCCCAAAATAAAGGGGATTTTGAGTTAAATAAAATTGTTCTACAAGCAACTACTCACATTCTTCTTTGACCTCATGGCACATTCTTCAAGAGTTTCTGCAGCTTCATATTTTCCTTGTCTCCTGTACAGTGCTCCTAGATTTTTCAAAGTTGTGGTCACAGTAGGACTAGAAAAACACAAATTATATGAAAAATGTAAATGGAACATTTGAAACACTGAACTTTTGTATTATATTATTAACATACAAGATTAAGGCTTTCTCTATACATCTTAGTCATCAAAATCAATCCCCAAAATTTATTTTATTAATTTTTCTAAACATTCAAGCACACAAAATGAATGTGTAAAGTGTAGCAACAATCCTTGATCTTGCTTCAGATCTACAATAACAGCTCTGACAGTATTTTAAGCCCTCCTCACCCATCCAAAATATAATCAAATATAAACATTGATTGAAATACAAGAAAAGTACCTGTCTACTTTAGCTGGTGCTTTATGCCATCCACCATAATCAGGAGGGGGAGCTCCATCTTTATATTTACCCTAAAATATCATAACAATCTTATATCAGTCAAAAATATAATAGTCTTATAACAATATAATAACAGTCAAAAACACTCTTATATCTATCAACATTAAGCAAACATGGCTTTATTTCAGTAATTACATCAACATCAAAATTTTCTTGAAAATTCTTTAACTTTGAAGGGGCATTATGAGAGATTGGGTAAAGAGTAGACAGTTCTCGCTATACTATAATAGTTTTAAAAAAATAAATAATGTAAACTGAATATGCTGAAAATTTCAGTCAAATTGCTCAATTTCGGACCTAGATATTAGCTTTTGAATTTTAGGCTAGCCTTGATCATCATTACTAAAGTACGATAGAAAACAAAGTCTCCATTTTTACATTTAATTATATTTTAAAAAATGTATTCCAATCTGCTAAATATCGCAGGTTAGCAATGGTATCTAGAGTTGATTATGGTCTGGATAAGTTAATTAATGTCTAATTAATAATTTAGATAACATTTTAGGCCTAAAGAAAGACCTGCAATAGGCAGATTTAGCTCTTGCATAAGCAGAGACCCTTTAAAAGAATGTCTGTAAAGTTGTATATAATTTTCAACAGATGTACCAGAAAACTATTGATATGCTGACCTTGATTTTTATTTGATATATTTGTCAATAAACTAACCTTATTTTCTTCTCTTTCCTCTGCTCTCATCCAAATAGGTTTATTATCACCTAAAAAGGTCATGAAAATTGAGTTAATCTTTATTTTCAAACTGTGTGCCTGAGGTCATTTCAAACAAAAATTCATTTTTAGGATGTGCCTGTAACACTATTTCTTACAGAACACACCATGACAAGAAAAACAAAAGAATGAGGCTGAGGTACCCATCTTTAATTCCAAAATAAATGACACCCATTGCTTGCTCATTTATTTTTTTTATAAAGCACTGATCGATCATTTTGCTCATCACTGCTTAACCTGAGCAGAAAATACTCATTATCAAACTTAGTCATGGAATTGATAACCATACACCAAGTTTCATCACTCTCATTCAATTAGATTCAAGGTTATTGTGTTCCAAATAGTCAACAAATCAAATTGCATTTCTCTTCTTAGGTAAATCAGAAATTGTTCATCACTGAGTCAAGAAATTCATCTAATGAAAATCTACACCAAGTTTGAACCTTTTACTTCAATTACTGAAGCCTAGTTGTTGTGTTTCAAAAGGTTTGACAGTCAGGTAGATAACACCATTTCAATAATCACCTGCTTTCTCCAAAAGACGAGGTGACAATTAACAAAACTTACCTTCTACTTTCCCAAATTCTTTCTCATGTGCTCTTGTTAAAACTTCTTTATATAAACCTTCCGCTTGTTTATATTTTCCTTGTTTTAAATAGGCAGACGCCTGATACAGAGAAAAGGTTATATTTTAAAATACAATGCAATAAAAGACTAGATTCAAAAGCATATTCAATAAAATAAATTTCATAAATTAATTCAAATCATACAGCTATAAAAATATTAAACCAAATGCATTTATATATATGTAACTTCAATGGTCTCTTTAGCTCGATCATTCACAAAACATTCAAATAAAGAAATTTAAATATAGTCAATATTCAGAATTATTAAAGTGAAGACATTTAAATATTTAGAATTATTAAAAAGAAATCTATATTGTTGACATTTTGAAAAGAAATCAGGATGGTTAGTAACTGAGAGTTATGTAAATAGATAAAAGCATGAATTATGGTAGAATTAAGGCCAGTCCACACCATGAGATATATTGGTCAAACTTATGTCAACTTTTTGTCAGACTTTTGTTGATATTTTTGTCTGCAGTCACTTGTAGACTCAGATAAAAATAAATATTACACAGATTAGCAAGCATGTGGTAATGATTCATATTGTGCTACGTTTTATTAAAATAAATATTAACACATCTCTTTAAATTAATCCCCCCAACAATGTCATAGTGCCTGGCCTTAATACAAACTATAATTTAACCATGTCAACTGAACACTGTGTGTCTCTGTCTATCAAGCTTCATATATTCAATACATCAGATTGTTCACAATTTATTAACTCATGCAAATTGTGTAGTAAATTAATCATTGGATATTATACATCTCTCTAATCTTGAGAAGATATCTCTCACACACTATTAAACAGTATTAGTCAATCCAGACTGTTATTTAACAAATACAAATCATCCAGCATAAATCAGAAAATCTTTATAAGATGAGGTTACAAATCATAAATGCAGAACAGCAAGCGGTTTTAAAATTGTTCTCAAAGTTCAAATTCTTCCATTAAATAAAATATCATTCTCATTTCTGTGCATTCCATCTTACCAAGTTATTTTGTGTTTTAACGACATTGGGATCATCTGGACCTAATCTTTTCTTGTATATTTCTAATGCCCGGAGATAATATTTTTCCACCTGAAAAACCAACACTGATGTGCAGAGGACATGCAGACATAAAAGGAAAATAAAAAAAAATAAAAAAACGATTTGACTAGGTAGGCTGCACACACCGTATTTAATTCTTGGCTAAATAAAGAATAATATCCTGAAAATTAACGTTAAAATTTCTAATTGTCTTTTTTGAAAATCTTTAATCCAAAATCAAAGAAATTGGACACATTTTAATTACTCGACTTAAAGAGACAAAAAGAAATCTAGAAAAAAATACTACATATTTCATATTAACTGAGTTTCTGCAGCTCAAACCAGTTTCTTTTAATATCATAAATTAATAATTATCTCATTAGCAAACTTTCAAACTTGTCTACATCTAGAATTCAAACTGACCAATGGAACAATGTTAATAAAGAGAAAAGCATATTCTTTCTTTGAGAACTTATTTCCGATGCAGGTCTGATTGGCAAAATATTCTATATCCACATTTTTCTAGGGATCACAAACAACTCATGATGGTCCTAAGTTCCGTGTGTGCTTATAATGAATTGTTTAGCTTTCAGGGCTAACTGTCAAATTTCTGAAATAGCCTGATGGTCATCCAAAGGATTTTCTAATTACACAAAGGGTTAAAAGTTCAATGGTCAGTTTGAATATAAACAAATTAGTCACACCATATTGAATGAATGCATCATACTTGATAGAAAATACCTACTACTAATGGTCTCTGAAAATAGATAAATAATTGTAAAGATTTAGATTACTTTTAATCAATCAGTTTCTAGTTTGAACTGCAGAAAAACAATTAAAAGGAAATGGAAAAAGAAAAGAAGAAGAAGATGAGACGGGAAAATGTTGAAAAAAATAGAATAGTAAGAGATGTGTTAAGTTGTATGTCATCTTGCTTGTACTTTATGAAAGTGCTTTTGTTTACTTTTCAAGTTTTTATAATTCAAATCTTCACCTCGGCTGAATTAAAGACACCAATCACCATTTGAAGGAATTTTAATCCTTTGCAAACTACACTTGGATGTCTAAAAGAAATTTCTGTTCATATATAGCTCAGTTCCATTCAGTATTTACAAAGAAATGATGAATTGCAAATTTGTCAACATTTGTCAAGCTGGTCAAAGCAAGCCACCAATACTCTTTACTAAAATCTTATGACAAACCTATTTTTAAATCAGATTATTTACTGTTGATATTTTCAAGTTGTCTTCATCAAATACTAATTAATCAATATGGGTATGGTACACCTTCGCCTTCGCACGGTTTAAGTCAAGAAAAATTCTATTTGCTGCTTTTTTTCTTTTTTTTTTAAGAAGCATGTATGTTTACTATTAAAGTTTTGTTGTGAAAAGTTTTTATAATTCAAATCTTCACCTCAGTTGAATTAAATTAACAAGCAAGATATAAACACACAACAGGAAAAAAATACCCAAATGAAAAAGGTACCAACTACAAATATACCAGTGAAATATACCACACTACACTATAAATGTAAGAACTGACTAATATAAAGTAGGATAATGTGTCCAATAACATAACAAGTGTGTACAGCCTTAAATCTAGTCATCCCGACAGTTATCCCCATCAATTCTTACCAGATTATTTTTAGTTTTAGCGACATTAGGATCATCCGGACCAAGTTTTGATTCGTAGATCTCTAAAGCTCGCTGATAATATTGTTCTACCTGTGTACGTCCATGATAGATTGAAATAAAGCACATTGATATTTGTTAATTCTAAAACATATAAATTGCAAAATTATCATTTCATTTGCTGGTTATTTTTATTTGAAATATCAAATCTAATAAAGTTCATAATAAATAATTTAAGAACTTTCATAAACCCTTCACACCATAAGCAATATTCATTTTGGGTTTTACATATGTATATTAACATAGTTTAGAGTCCCTGAAGATCTGCCCTTACCTCTTCATATTTGCCTTGGTTCTGACATAACAAAGCCAAATTATTCAGTTGCTTAGCAACATCAGGATGATCTTTCCCAAGAACCTGAATAATAAATATATATTTATGCATGACGCAGACTGACCTATATTAGGCTACAAATAGATCTAAATAGAAAAGAGAGTAATATTAACTATCAATTTATTGTTATTAATGTCTGCATACTATTTATTATTCAACAACTCTATCTAACAAAGGAATTAATTGAAAGGCCATGTATATATTCCATTACTATTATTACATTACTTCCAGGCTACTACAAAATAATAATTTCTTTAAAAGGGAAGCATGACAAAAGACCAACAACATGATGAGAGAGAGAGAGAGAGAGAGAGAGAGAGAGAGAGAGAAATGGGGGGTAATCCACTCGACACATACTAGGTCATTTCGGGATTAACATATGGTTTAATTTTATTTCAATAATTCGCTTGCGCGTGGGGGTCTTTTATTTCAATAATTCGCTTGCGCGTAGGGGTCTTTTATTTCAATAATTCGCTTGCGCGTAGGGGTCTTTAGCAGTGGGAGGAAACCGGAGGACCCGGAGAAAACCCACGAGGTCGGACAACAACATGATGAGCAAGACCTTAAAAATCTATATTTGCAGTCCCTTTAAACAATAAAATATCATTCTCAATTTCAAAAATTAAAATGTTATACATATTTTCCAAGGTAAGTACCTTTTCTCGGATCTCCAAAGCTCTTTTACACAGTGGTTCTGCTTCTTTATATTTACCCCTCTTACCATACAAAACAGCTAGATTGTTCAACGTAGCAGCAACCTGTAAATACATATTTCAATATTAGACAAACCTGGTTCTCATTTCTATTATGACCAAAATGAAAGTACATCTAGTTAAAACAAATATAGGTTTCTCTTTACACCCCCTCCGAAGAACTTTTGAGTTAACATGTTTATCTGAAGAAATTATCTATTAAATAACTATAAAACATTAAATCTATAAGTTAACTTTTACTTATTAATATAAATATTTACAAAATCACAATAATAACCACACCACTTGTATAATTTAAAAAATAATCCACAACACCTAATTTACCTATATAATTCTTCCAAACATAGTTCCATGGCAATGGTAAAATAGTTAACAATACTTAATTCGTGGATATACTTTCTTACCACTGCCTTGGTATTATGTCATTCAGCATGCTTTGCTAAAGTGTATTTAATTAGACATTCTAAACTTTTTCAGTGATATAAACTTTAGAGCAATGTTTTGTATCCGATAAGATTTTTAATTAAAGAAATGATAGTTTTATTTATTCAGAGCAGTTTCTATTACTAAATTAACACATTTATTAATTCATGCAAAACATGCTGTTATCCTCTATGTTTCATAAATAAAAACACCCTCATCACAGAAAATACATAAAAACATCTAGAATAACCCTAACCCTGTTGTATGAATGTCAACGAATACACTTTGACTTCACTATATTTTATTGTTGCTTAGAGTTATAGCGAGGCTCCAGTGTAAATTCTAATTTCAAATCTTTTCATCCAATGCAAAATCAAACAACAAAAAAACTTTGTGTAATCACAGTAAAAATGTTGTAAAAGTGCATAAATTTGGAGTCAGTTTCTCAATAGATTTGTATTGTGAAACGGACTTCTGTTTTGAAATTTATATAATCTAATTTCCTGTAATTGTCTATCTAAAAAAAAAGCTAAATAATCGTAGAAAAATAATAGAACACACAGATCACCGAAAATCTACAAAACAATCCCAACATGCAACATTGACACCAGTGAGCAAGCCACGCACAATATCAAGAGAGGAAAAGAAAATGTGCGTGCAGTTCAACTCACGGCAGGGTGATCCATTCCCAATGTTTTTTCTCGGATACCGAGAGCATCATTCAATAGGTTTGCTGCTTCCTTATATTTGCCTTGATCTCTGTAAACAAGATGGATATCACTCTTGATAAATCTAATTCACATTTAATAATTACTGGGAAATATGATGGCAGTTTGAATTTATAATTTGACATTTAAATTTCTAGATAAGAACATTTAAAGCTGCTGAGCCTGACCCACAGAGCAGTCAGACTGACTGAATGATCAGCGCTATAGTAAACGATTATTATTATTTGTATTTTTTTGACAATATCTAATTGACAGCCAAACATTTAATTAAGAAAAAAAAATCAAAATATCAATAGTAGATAACCTCCCGGTTTGGATTCAATTGGATTTAAAAAAAGGTTCCACTATAAGGTTTTAGTAAAATTTATAGATGCCATTGACTTGTTTTGATCATATCCCATTCCGTCTGCACAGGATGCAGATTATGGACAAATTTTCATTTCATAAGGTCTTTGTAAATACTGAAAGGAATCTAAATATTACTTGTAGAGATTCAATTTTCAAAATTTTCAAATGACAATCAGAGATGGAGTTAAAAGCCAGTTGGCAATGCAATACAGAGGACTTGAATAAAAACATCTCTTCAGTTTCATTTTCTTGAATCTTTCAACCTTACATGTAAGATATAGCTTTCTGAACAAAACCTGTTAAATATTATCAAGTTAGTGATCGTAATCAAACTGTCATCATATTTCTCAGACATGTAACATTGAAACTGATCACTCACTGCTGGATGACTTTTACCAAGAGTTTTTTCTCGTATTAATAAAGCATCATGAAGAAGATTACCCGCTTCTTTATATTTTCCCTGGTCTCTGTAATAATAACAACCTACCATAGCAACATTTTATCATTTTATAGTATATAATTAACTTTACCTTTGCACAAGATCCAAAAGTTGAAATTTGATTAAACACATGTTTTATTGTTCAAAATACTCAATGTCATTCAAGTTAAAGGAGTTTAGAACATAAAAATGTACCGGTATTTACGCCCCGACCATTAATTTTTCAGGCAATATCTAAGATTCACAGCTCAAGCTTAATCCATGTAAAAATGTACTCAAATTGACTATATAAAATTTGATTAAGAAATCAAAACCCAAATATCATGATGAACAATTAAACAGCAAATACTCAATCAGATTTTACCCAACACTTATGGATGGTAATGGTCTGTTTATATTATCTGCAGAAGATGCTGAATGTTGAAGTTAAATTCATCATGTAAATATACTAAATGAAACTGAACCATTATTGAACTGATAATCCTTTTAAATATTCAGCTTTTACAATATTGCACTTTCATGAGATTAAAAGTCCTTCAAATGCCAATTATTACTTAAAAAACATTATCAATGTAATAAGTAATACTGATCTAATGACATTTTTACTATTTTTTGCAGAGATGTTAACTAAGACACTGCCATGGTCTAAAATAACAAAATATTTATATAAAATCATTCTAGGCCTTTTCCTCATTTGTGATCATTTCATATTTTGCTATAGCGTATAATTTCTTATAATTAACCCTAATATTACATAAAGTAACCCATAATAAAAAAATGTAGAACTTCATAACAAACCTGTATACAAGAGCTAAAATATTCAACATGGTAGCCACATCTGGATGATCGTGGCCGCTCGTTTTTTCTAAGTCTTCTAATGCCTGTTTACATAGTGGCACAGCCACTTCATATCGACCCTGTGACGCATACTGGATGACTAGATTATGAAGTGTACGTAGTCGGGCTGGAATTTCATAACCACCACTTGCCGCCTGGGCCATTGCACTTGGTTGGGTTGGAGATAAAACTGTAAGAAATAAAACAAGACATTGTATAAACAAGTCAACATGCTGATGTCCCCCTCCTTAATCCCACAGATAACATACATTAATTACTTGCACATTTATCTTCTTTTAATAAAAACAATCAAACTGCATATCACTCTGTACAAAAATACACAGTCAAGACATTCATATAATGAACATCTTAACAAGTCTGAACATTCTCAATCAGAATTATTGTTGTGGATCAATCAAATTGAGTATCTCTGCTTAGCCAAAGTCGAAAATCTGTATCTTATATTCACCATATGAATATTTACACCAACTTCTACCTCAGTTAGAAGCAGAGTTATTGTTTTCCAAAACATGTGACAGTCAGACAGAAGGAAGATTATTTTAGCAAGGATGATTTTCTGCAAACAATAATGCTTGTTTCACCCAACTAAAACTTAGATGTTTAACCATATTAACTGTAAGGTTAACCCTTAGGACCCGTGCAGCCGAAAGACCGCTCACAGATGCTGCTCGGTATTCTTCTAGATGTTTTTACAGCTGCTTGGGTCCTAAGGGTTCATAGACATAAACCATGTATATTAAGTATATTTTTGGTCCATTTTTACCCTGAGAGGCTAGTATATATATATAGGCCTAATGTCATTCAGGGCATCAGTATCCAAAGGGTTAATCAAAAATATTGAAGGGAAAAGTAAGGTTGCAAAGAAAACATCTGTGTTCAACTCAACACAATCGTCACATATAAAATCATGGGAGGGAATGCATACTTGCAAAGATGACAGACATATGATAAATATATGACAAATATAGGCCATATCTTGTAAAGTAAAAGAAAAATATGACCTTACCTTCTGGTTGTGGACCATCATCATCATCATCTGGAAAACCTAAATCTAATGACTGTGATGATTGATCATTAGCAACAGATTCTTTTTCTTCCACACTTTGTTGCTATAAAATAAAGTCATTCAATTATTTAGATCATCATTCATATTAAACCAAATATGTACTGACTGGTCTACTGAATGATATTAGCTTACACAGTATTATGAGGTCTTGTTGTGGATCATTAATCTTGAAAATAACTGGGATTAATCCCATGTCCAGTGTGTGAGCTGTCTTGTATAGTATTAAATCAAATAAACACACAAACTCTCAACAAACACCCACTATTTCATCGCTTTATAATATTTTATGACTATACATGTAAGGTGGACAATTAAAATTGATTAAACAAATCCAATGATATAGTGATTTTTTCCCCAACGATTTCTGCTTGACTTAATAATATTCTAGAAGAGACAAACGAGATCAATTTAGTTGGACCAATCCATGGTCTTTTTATGCTTACCATATTAGGATCCATGGAATCATATTTCTTCATTTCATTCATAAATTCTAAATGTTTCTTTTCTTCTTCTAAAGCCGCAGATTTCTGTTCACTACTTTGTAATTTCTGTTGTGTATTTGCTAATTCGTCCCGTAACCAACCATTTTCTTGACATAATCGCCTAACCTGTGCTCGTAATTTCTGTTTTTCTGCTTCTACATGTTGTAAGTGATTGGCTAAAGCCATCATTACCTGAAGAAGGAAAAGAATGAAATAGGATTTAACATCAGGTATTTCAAGGATTAACAAAATCTTGATTTTAATCTTACTCTTTTGCATGAAATGAGGGTGGAAAACCTCAATAACCTAGACACAAACCAAGGACTAACAAGTCAACGGTGAGGCTGGTGTCCCCCGCCGAAATCTCGAAATAAATAGATGACACATATTAATTAATTGCATGTTTATCTTTTTCAAAAGTAAGAATCAATCAAACTGATTATCAACTATAGACTAAGTTTCATCACTCTCTATCAGTAAGAATCAAAGTCAAAGAAATTGCTTAGTTCTGCTTAGCTTTAGTGGGAAATGTTAATCATTGAACTCAGTCAAGACTTTTACCTAATGAACATCAACATCAAGTTTAAACATTCTACCTCAATTAAAAGCAGAGTTGTTATGTTCCAAAGTTTTGACCAATCAAATTGCTTATCGCTCCTTAGCCTAAGCAGAAAATTCTCATCTATACTCAGAGTTTCATAGCTCTCACTTAATTATAACCAAAGTTATCGTGCCCAAAAGCATTAATCAATCAAATTGCTTATCTCTGATTACCGTAAGCAGACATGTTCATCATCAAAACTCTATCAAGGCATTCACATAATGAACGCCTACACCAAGTTTGAACATCCTCTCTCAATTAGAAGTAGAGTTATTGTGTTTCAAAGTCTCGACCAATCAAATTTCTTATCGCTCTGCTTACCCTCAGCAGAAAATCTTCATTATCGACCTTAGTCAAGGTACTGATGTGATGAAACTATACACCAAGTTTCATCACTCTTACTTATTTAGAACTAAAGTTACTGTGTTCCAAAGCATCAACCAATCAAATTGCTTATCTTTGCTCTAAGCAGAATTCCATCAAGGCATCGACCTAATAAACGCCTACACCAAGTCTGAACATTCTAGCTCAATTAGGAGAGTTATTGTCTCTCAAAAAGTGTGACGGACAGACAGACAGACAAACCCATTTAAATAGTCCCCTGCTTTCTTCAAAGGGGGACAAAAACTCAAGACTGGTGACATTTTTTAGATCAAAACAGTACTTTTTTCTATTTGGGTCACTGGGGTTTTTAGCCAGAGAAAGGGCCGGTCTTTGAAAGGTATTAAACTACATTTATTGCAAGATTATTTCAAATTTTTAGAGCACTTTGTGTAAGTGTGTTTTTATATTTTCATTCCTCCTCTTACTTCCATGTTTTAACATAAGATAAACTCACAATCAGATAAAACCCAGGACAGCAGGGATGACAGACTGAAGATCTGTGGCTTATTGCTTTAACATAGCATTACAAACCAGTCATTGGAATTTTAGTGAAGTTGAACAAAAAAAACATTTGATGGCCCTGGGCCCAGATCAGATCAAAAACTTTAAACTATTTATAACAAATTGCACCTGTTGAAAATCTGAGCTATGTGAGCTGGTATAATGGTAAGAGAATAGTACAACTCACCTGTGCTTCCCCTAAACCTAGATCTATCATATCTGATGATTTTTTCAATATATTTGTTTTTTCCTCCACCAAATTTGTATCACCATTTTCACGTTTAATAGTTTTCATGGAGGTAAGAAGGCTATTAAGAATTTGATGATGTTCATTTTTTAAAGTTTCTAATCCTTGTATAACAGTTTTAGTGTTGCTCACTATTTCATCTTGTGTTAAGGCAGTCATTTTGCCTATTTCTGATATTTTCTTTCTGAAAAATACAAAACAAGCAAAAAATATAATATATCAACAGTAATATACATACTAAATGAATTTATTTATGGTTGGGTTTTCCCATCTGATTATCTTAATTTTGCTGCAGTCATATCAGAGTGCAATAATTTCATTGTTTTTACAAGTGAGGCTTTTGGTTGAACATATATTTTTCATTTACAATATTAGTGTACTAAATAGTACCTTCAACACTGTTTCTAACCTCTAGGTAGCTATCTGGCCTATATATTTAACAGGCATTTGTGTCCTGGAGAGATCATACATATTCCATTTAGGTACTAATTACACTAATAATGTTACAAACTATGATGCTGGAACAGGTCTGCTTGGCTGTTTATATCCACTGACTTGGATCAGCAGAATCTATTCCTGTTCAATTAACATTATTCCATTTAAATTTAAGCTAACTGAAGTGTATGGAAGCATGTTCTTAAGCGACGTAATACCCCCAAATTTTCTTTTTTTGTGTGTGTTATGCGAATATCTATTCCATAACAACGCCCAAACATTGTAATGTTAAGCAAGAAATTAACATAAGAATAATGAAATCATAAAAGCCTTGGTTCTCTTTAACCATAACAAATTAACATTTGCATGTCGTGGGAAAGTTAACGTCATAATGTTGCGATGTTTCAGCAGGCTAACTACAAGGTCAAACGCCTTACGTTTTTAATACACACACATAATTGTGTGTCAACCTTGATATAGATGCACTTTTTTAATGTCTACTGAACCAATTTACTTCCTTTAAATTAAATTCTAAACTTCATTATAATAATAATACATGATTTTCACAAAATAAACCCATTAAATAAACCAAACATCCATTCTAGAAGGCTTGATTTTGAATTATTATATTCCTCAAGTGAACCAATTTACTTCCTTTAAATTAAATTCTAAACTTCATTATAATAATAATACATGATTTTCACAAAATAAACCCATTAAATAAACCAAACATCCATTCTGGAAGGCTTGATTTTGAATTATTATATTCCTCAACTGAACCAATTTACTTCCTTTAAATTAAATTCTAAACTTCATTATAATAATAATACATGATTTTCACAAAATAAACCCATTAAATAAACCAAACATCCATTCTAGAAGGCTTGATTTTGAATTATTATATTCCTCAAGTGTAAATAAACAAATTGACAGACATACAAATCTATATTAATATGGTGGATAAATACTGCCTCGTAACATTGAACCATTGATTATACGAAACGTATGTTGCAGACTAAAATCAATGCTTTTATACAGTAACAAATTTTATCTTGGCCAGTAGTGTTAGTTAAGAGACAAGCCGAGTTTGAAGAAGACAGTAAACCAAATAATGAGTGAAGAACACTAGTAATATTGATTGCTACGGCATAAATAATGAAGTAAGGGTAGTCAGTGGCTGTATAAATAGTCTTTTATACTCAAACATAATGACCAAAGTAATCAAGTGCTAATGGAAATTCAACACAATAGCAACACTAGAGATTCATATCATATTTCCCTCATTTGATAATCACACACGACAGAACATTATTCAAGAGATGTTAGTTAATACAGGATTATGAAAATACCAAGTGCAGCAATGTCAATGACAAAAAATAACAAATTTTAGGATTATCATCAACAGTGTAAATACACAAAACTTTGTATTATATTACACCACAACAAAGCAGTCTGAAGTGAATACACTATAACTTCTCACCTTGAATTCATTTTATATATAACAACCTGGAAATGGACTCCCAGAATGAAAGGAAATGAGGTTTAAGGTAATAATTTCTGAACCAACTGGGCTAATCACTACTATCAAGACAAGGATATGCCATACAGTGTGCTGTGAGGGAATTTTGACTTGACAGAGGCACTACAGCCTACTATTATTTCAATTTCCAATTTCCAACTGTCAAAGGACTCAAAGGTTCCATACATACATGTACCATGGAGGTATGAACAGGACTTACTTTGAAACATAACACTTAACACTAAATAAATGTCCAATAAACTGATACGGCACATCCAAATCTTCAACTGTTAAACACTTCAATTCTAAATGAAAGTATTTGCGAGAAATTTGAAAGAAATTTAAATGCACTTGATAAGAGTAATCTAATCAGAGGAAAAACATATTTCATCTAAATTTGATATCATATGTGTGTAATATAACTAAATTCATACACATGTTTATATTATATAACTCCTATCACAGAGATCAGTTTAATAATTCATAATCAAGATTCATGGTGATTGCACTTTAAAGATTATTTTCCTCCTACATGTCGTAAGGAACTATAACTCTCTTGGGATTTAATCAAATAAAAGATGCATTCCCAGAAAAGTATTTATCGGGTGGTTATTTCCAATAAAAGTATGGTAATTTTGGTATATGAAAAGTAGAGACACCCGATCTTACTAGAAAAATATAGGATTCCCTGAAAAACATCCACAGGACAAAATTGTCAGCTTGACAATTAGGGCTGTCCACTCGAGTGACGTCAAAGGTGACGAGAGCGGACCTGGAACAAGAGAAAGACTTAAACATACAACAGATTCTGAGACTAAACTGTGGAAGAAAAGAAGTGGGCAGGGCATAATCTCAGAATTTACTTAGGCTTCGATATCTATGGTAAGTGGACAGCGATTAAAAACAACACCGTCTTTTATAACTATATGCAATAAATTCTTTTTCGACTTGGCAGCCTTGGCTAGTTTCTGCGACCGCAAAGTTATGAAACTTGGCTTCTTTATTGTGTGATCAATTCCATTTACATTTACCTTTGATGTATGTATGTATGATATATCAGCTATTTATAAAGAATACATGCATTCCTGATAATTTTGACCCAGGTGGATCACATACTACACACATTTTAACAACCAGATGTCCATCAATCTGTAGTTCTATACTAGAATAGACTGTAAAATAACTGTGTCAGTATTTAGCTATCCTATTCAGTACTTGTACTGATATATTCATATCCATAGCTCTATTAGTATTACACTAGCTACCAATATGAGAATTTTGCTTTAAAATCAAACACAACATGTATGTCATATGTTTATATATGTATACAACATATGTGTTTATATATGTACAAGGTATTATTTATGAGAGAGTTATTTATTGATTAGTTTCAAAGAAGTTGAGTTTGAGTCAGCTGATGTAGAAACATGGTGCCATTGATTAGTGATGCAAGTATAGAATATATGTAATAACAAATATGTATTAATAGTAATTACAAAATAACCAGACCATAGCAGAACACACCACAATATTATTATACTTGTAATAAGCTTATCTAAAGAAATATAGGCTTACTTTTGTAAAAAAGAAAATGACCATTATCTTATACAACTATGTTCTTCTGAATTGTTTACATTTTACATTACAATTATTTCTTTCGAGACATAGTTCATGTGATAAAACAACCTTCAGTCCATTTTTCAAATACTATAAATTGCAAGTATCTTGGTATTCTTGTCTGCGACATCACATCAGTGGAAGTGGACATTAAATAAAGCTATTTCACACACTCTCACTATTCAATATGTCTTAGAAAATAAAGCTCTAGACTTGTTTTTGATACATGTACGTGTAGAATGGAACATGCCATTTTGTTATCACACCTAGAAAATGTATCAACTATGGTGGTATCTATCTAGTTAACCATGCCAATATTCACGCAGCGATTGGAGAAAAAAACAATTCTCCATGTACAAGTCTTCATGAACTAATGATTTCTCTATTCTTAATGGAGAAAACGATAGTAGGTACATTGATTTATTTTACCTGTTAAACACTGTATACAGTAACAATTACTCCATCATAGGTCTAGACATAACCCAACAATCTACACAGACACAGCAGATCTCATGATTAATATCTAATTTTCATTCTACAAATCACAGTAAAACACTTCCTAACAACAATACTTTACACCTATAAGCTCAAATGGAAGCCATGCTGCCTCCATCACAGATGATGATTCACATCAGTAGTGGTAGTGCATCTCCATTTACCCATCCGTCTATTCCATTGATTTTTCTGGTTGATAAAAGCAACAATAAACATGGCTTAAGTCAACAGAAGACTGGGGAATAGTAGGAATATTAGAATGTAAGAGTTAATTGTCTGGTAGAATTCTTCTAACAGCTGTTGAAATGGTTCAATGCAGGGATTACACTTCAAAACCCTGTCGGTCATTTTTAATAATGCACAGAAACTTTGACAAATAATTTGTTTTTATTTAGGATTGTGTTAATTCCTGACATTTGATAAGATTCTCACGTAATAATTTTTGCGTTTTTATTTATGATTTCGTTAATTCCTGACATTTGACAAGATTCTCACATAATAATAAACTTTTATTTTTCTACTATCAGACATCAATCATTAATTATCAACAAAACACTCTATAATTTAATCCTCTGTTGACAACTACAGGTATACCATTCTATTTCTATAATACCTGACATGAACTGACATGGCTTGATTGACTTCTATATCTACTCGCTGTACAAGACGTTACATTTCATAGTTAGGTTTATGAAAAATGAAAAATATTGTTGTTTTACGAACGATGGGTCCCAAGCCATTTTGGTCTATTTTCAAGACAAGTACATGTAGTTAAGACAAACACGTATGACAGATTTGGAACCCATGGTTCTATGATATGCGAGTGTATTAGAATTTATATGGTCTAATTTTGGGTGGGGTAAAAATACACTGATTTCCTATTGGTTTACAACATACTGAAGAAAAATTTAGCTTATTATAAATGAAATGTGTACATCTAAATTATCCAATTAACAGGTAGTTGTTAACAAAATAAAGAAAATCATATTAATATGTTAATCATTCCTACTAAATATTACAAAATATAGAAGAATTTAATTGGATACTGTGCATTTACGAAAGTTTTAGCTTTCTTGCTTTATTCAGATATATTTTACACTGCTGGGGAGATGGGCTTGTATAGGAAGCAATGTCATCACAAATGAAAGTACATGTACACTGTAGTAGTAGTACCGGTAGCTGCCTAAATAATGATAATTAATTTTTTCTGACCCCAATTGGCTATGGTACACCAACCAAAGAATCTGTTTCTTTTTCAAATCACCAAAAATTTGTTTCAGAGCCAATAAATGATAGACACAATATACTGTATCATCAGTTAAGCCATGTACGAAAGTAAGAAGATGGAAGAAGATGGGATAAGATATGATAATTTCTTTGATCCGATAACATAAGTTCCCTTTTATTCATTAATAACCATTCTGTCTGTAAACTAATAGTAATAATAAACAAAGAATATTTCCTAAAAGGCATCTGAAGATCTAGTTAATTTACCTATCCCCTTTGTAGTTAGTATTACTAGTAAGATAAAGATTACCATATGGGATATGTTAAGTAAAGAATGTCGGTATTGGTATTTAACTAGTTATTACAAAATACCTGGCATCAACTTGTACCATTCACACTTAAAGATAAACACTTTTTTACTAGATTACTTATACAACTAACATTAGATTAAATAAAGTTATTTCACACCGGACTACCTGTAACTTAATAATACATACATACTAAAGTATTTATTAATATGAAGCAAGTAACTTTACAGTAACAATTACAAAATACTTGTTATTTATCAACATTTTATATCCATATCAATAAAAAGTATCCCCAGGATATATCAGTCTCTATGTTGCGTTGTTTGTTTTTTAAACGATTACTTAATGTTTACAAGTTCAAAAGAATTAACAATGTGACTAATGCCAGGAATATGAATTGTCAAAGATACATTTGGGGAGCCATAGTGGTTTTGTGAGTATGGCACAGGTGACAATAATAAGTCCATCCATATGTAGGCATATAAAAACTTAATGCATAGATGAACAGGGTGACGACAGTTTATGTTGGACGTTTGATGTCTTGGACATCTTCTACTGTCTATATCTTATTGTAAATAAACTATATTGGTTTTAATGGTTTCCTTTTAAACTCAAATATCACATGTATCAGTGAAATCTGGGTTAACTCTTGTCATGATTCATTAAATATGTGTGATATACCCAAAATAACTGATTATTGTAAACAGATTATTGAAAGAAGTATAAGTTAAGTCAACACTAAGGTCATCAAATTATTTTGCTAATAGTTACCCTACATAATAAACCATGGTAAGGTCATAAATATACATCATCACTGTAGCTATTTCACATTTTACTGTCTATTGGACAGTAAATTATTAAACTTTTCATATGTAAATACAAATATGTTAGAAATGATAACTGAAGTGTTCTTTTTTTTTTTTCTTTGAGAAATGATTAAATTGATGAACAAAATAAGGTACATCACAGTACTACCACATTATAATAAACCACCTATTTTTTAAGTAAAATTAAAGATTATTTAAACAACATTCTGATAATAAATTAACTTCACATTAAGCAGATAAAACTGGTTTTGAAAATATCTAAAAAAAAAATGTTCCTTTGAACATAACCAAGTCATCTACTAACCCAACAACACTTATTTTCATCTTATTTAAAGTATTTATTGTGTCCAAGAAATATCTAATTAAGACTAAAGCTGCACAATAAGTAGTTTAATCATGTTTTCAAATCAAAGTTTATTTAGGATGTTGAGGAAATGGAGCTTTAATAAATTGTAAACAACTTAATATTCATAATTTACCTACCTGTCATAAAAAAACCAATCATATGCCTAAACTAATGACTTAAATTGCATGAACCTATAGATAAGAAAGAAAACTACAAACTAAATCTAATTGGGTCAGGACAAAAGTGATCTTTATTTTCACTGAAGCATATCCAATTAAAACTATATGTACAATGTCTGTATACATGCTAATACACCATGAAATAAAGCCAAACATCACTCTATCCATATCACCTCGGTGGAAGCGGACGTAAAATACAACTAACTTATCATCATCATCATATCCATAACTTAATTAGGCCAAAAGGTTTCCTAAATGACCCACCTTTTTTTGACATACAGAAAACCAGGTGACAAAACATAGCTTTCTCATATGAGCCACATAAAATGCTCACAACTATAATGTTTTCAGGGTGCAATAAATAATTTTCACATTTTAATAGCAAAAACAAATCTCGGCCAATTCTTTACAAGATCAAATCTGTGGTCAAAACAAAATTTGGTAATCAAGGGTGACACCTCCAGAAATAGCCTAAGTTATACGAAATTGTTGAAAATCAATAGGTTTCTTCCTTTCTACCAACATACAATATTAAAAGGGCCATTATAGGAGATTTGATACAGAGTTGACAGTTCTTGTTATAATAATAGTAAATAGATACAGTAAATAGAATATGCACAATAGAATAGGGGCACAATTCCTGGTGATCTGAGAATAAACAGGCATCTTGCTCTTACCAAGCAGAAAAACTTATTAAATCGATTTTCATTAAGACAATGATAATTAAGCCACTCTAAGTATTATATAATCAAGGTGCTTATTCTGTGCGATATTATTATCACAAATTGTGTAATATCGACTGGTGTTCAATTAAATTCCCAAACGATCAAAATTGGGTAACTGTAGTCATAGGAGTGTTAGACAAAAATAGAGGAATACTGTTCTTAAGAATTATAATACATGTCCAGTAGCTTTCTTCACAGAAAATTTTTTTCTGATAACAAAAAATACTGTCTAGTGGCACTAGATAAAATACCTTTACAGTATCTTTTATTTTTAGAGTTTTAAGTAAATGCAATCCATTTGAATTTGTAGACCTTTGATGGGACAGATTGAGAAAATTAATCAATAATCTAAGCAATGCCAAAAAAAACCAAACCAAAAAATGTAGACAGTAAATCAACCTCAATCACTGACACTGCTAATTCTACTGAAAATATTCATTTCAAAGAAATTTATACTGCGCAGTCTAGATCTTGGAATCTGAATGATACATTATGTTCGACTTCAGAATATTTGATTCACATATCAGCAAATTGTCTGGGACTTATCGTCTGGAGTTTAAATATGGACCGATACCTGATGTATCAAAGTTATTTCTAATCCACAATGTTTTATGGAAGGGTTACCAGCTTTGTCATTCACTGTGATATTTTATTGTTAGGGTCATGTTCTTGTACTATTGGTGTTCTATGTTTTATATGTGTAGTTAGATACAAGTACGACACAGTCTATGCTATAAGCTACCAATTTGTAGTAATTTCTCATGTGAAATACTGAAACTTCTTTATGTTGTATATAGATCGATATGAAACAAATAGAAATGGGCATACAAAAACCAATGTATTAATTAAGATCTAACCTTTAATAAAATACTTAAAGTTCACTAATTGTAGGAGACCAACTGTAAATAAATTTAGCCTTAAATTTCGGGCGTGTACAGTATTATACAGCCACAGGTGTGCAATCATACAGTACATTATTGAACGACAGAGAGACGTTTTCATCATATCTACACAAGTCTATTGATATTTATGTTATACTTATAATGACATGATGATCAATCAATTAGTACTCAATTCATATAACCTATGACCCGAAGCACAATCATTTTACAGAACATTTACTTTCAACTTCTAATATATTACTCATACTCAGTTATATTTTACATGTTTTTAAAAGACTAATAAAACATTTTCCTTATTTAAATTTAACAAAAATATAGGCACTCAAGAGTATTCTTTAGACAGTATTTTTGACCAACAGGTTATATACAATCTGGACCTCGATGTTAATGAGTCAGCCACTAATTAAGTACCTTCCATATATCGGTGCCCACGAATATAGTTCTTTCTACTTTTTTGCTCTTTTGCATGGCTATTATTGGTGTAGAATTGAACAAAAGGGTTTGAATTGGCATTTTCTGCCAGGTTTTGGTGAATATTGATGATTTAGAGACAGAGAGATAATCTAAGGGGTTGGTTATGGGGATGCGGATAGTTACATAATTACTAGTATGCTACCCCGGAACTTCAAATTTGTGTGTCCCAATATTTTTAACGATCAACCTCATACAAGCTTTGGAGGAAGATTTTGTCTAAAACTAGTAAAATCACGAATAAAAGAAAATAGCTAAATAATACAAAAGTATCCAAAACAGATTTCTTTGAACAAAACTACATGTGTTATTATTTCACAGTATTTGATAAATGGTGTGTTTTGTTAGAGAGCTAAAAGTATGTCTCGTTTTGAATGGGTGTTACATTATAAACATCACATATTACCCTACATGAGGTCCCTTGGTTCAAAAGGGAAGTAGGCTTATTGACATATTGAAGTTATCACAATAATCACCTGAACATCATTCATAATAAATCACACCCTGTGTGACAAACAACCAAATATTATTATGACATAATGCATAAATGAAAACCAACAAGATCATTTTCTCCCACACTTTAAACACATAACAATCATTCAAGCATCACAAGTAAGATTAAATGTGAGGTCTAGCAGTAAAAGTGGCGATACATACAAATCAGATTGATTTATGACGTATTATATTATGTAAATATTATGAATGGCTATTATGTAATTTTAATGACCTATCAAAATACTTATACATTGTAGATTACCTACAATATAGGTAATATTACCTACAATAATCTGTCTATATCAAATTATAATATTATGCCTAATATATTATTGATTAGCCCAGCTTTATCTAGTCAAAAGGCTAACCAGTACATTGTTTTCATGCAGAAATAAAGATACATCTCAGTGACAAAATCACAGCTTACAAAATGGGATAAATATTTCTTTTACAACTGAATAAATTAATAATCATATAGTAATTTTTTAGATTTCATAACACAATAAGCTTACTTCAATACGTCAACACAAGTATTAGTTGCTTCAGATGAGTCATTCATATTACTGTATATCATACTGCTTTCACTTATCACTGAAAATGAAGTGTTGCATGGACATTTATGACAAAAAATACTTACAGTCTATATGCCTTAATAGTCTCTGTCTCCATCATCTTTCAAAATCTACTTAAAAATTCCTCGTCAACTCATCCAAAAAGATAGCATTTCTGCCACCATGTTCTTTGCGTGCAGTATACAGTATAAATTATAGACTACTTCCATTCATTATTAGCCCAGGGTGTTTAGGTAAAATGAAAGACACTTGGGCCACCAACAACTTTTGTATTACACAGAATGGAAATGAAATCCACACACAGAGAAAACATCAATGTCTCAAACACAACGAAAAGCAGATGTGGTATGAAATTTTTGGCTTTGTCTTCCTCAAACACAGGATTTTTATATTTGTCTAGTTACCACCCACTTTCCCTTTCAAGTGTAATGAACTAGACCAGCCTGCTGTTGTAAGCATGCCTAGTGAATTGTAATTTTGTGACTAGCATCAGTATAAATGGGGAGTATTGATTTTTGGGTGCTGTGGTTTAAGATCAATACTCAACTTATTCACTATGGTATCTATGACATCACATAGCGTCTCTATAAGAAATATTATAGTCAGACGATCTGGTTTTTTCCTTTGTCCATACAAAATTTTAAACTAATTTCAAGCAGAGGCAGCTTTTTTCTACAACTCTAAATGAAAAAGGTTCAACAAAAAAGATAATTTACCTCATTTGTTTCTGGTCACACCTTATCTAATTAACATAATATATTACCAATCAATGTGGATAATTTATGCATTGTCTGACCACACTGCCAAGAACCACAATTTTCACAAGAACCTCCATTTCAACCAACATTGTACACACAGTACAAGAACTGTTTTTTGCCATATAAATAAAAACAATTTGATCTAAGATTTTCATTTTATTTTTTATCAGTATTAATTTACGATCAATGAAATAAAAGAAAAATATGTCTGCCATCTGTTCAATACAATGTCATCTATAAATAGAAATATTACTCAGTACTTATATACAGAAAATCCTAACACTCAAAGTCCAACCGAAAACAAAAATGATTCAAGAAAATGAAATACATTTTTCCATTCAGTTTAAATTATCGTTTTTTTTATAGTTTTTTATTACATAAATATATATTCGCATTCACTTAAATAAGCCCCTACTAACTAACTAAGGTGTAAAGATTTATCTCCCTTCCTTGAATATTTCATCATTTTCCACTAGATTTCAACATAGTCTACATTCTACATGTATAAATAACCATATTACATCATATTCTATAAATATAACAAATATCTATCATATAAGTCAGATAAATGTGTTTTGGTGTCACAGAATACACCATAGTGGTAAGTCACAACTTTTCTTGCCAACTACAATATTTAATCTCAAGAGTGAATAAGTTACATACATTATATTAATATTAGATGATGTACCTAAATTATTAACAGATACTTATAATTATAATTTAATTTTTGTTAAATATGAATGACCTGCATGTAAATTGACGTGTCAATTATTCAAGAACTACATGTATATACATGTAATGAACTGTTTTAAACGAATAATAAAGGGTGTACGAAAAATAAAGGGCTTGGGCAATGTTATATTATAGAATATTGCAATACCATACTTGGGTTCAAAATCATATATAAATATTAGATGATATACCAAAATTATAAACAAATACTTATAATCATAATTACAAAATAAATTGTTTTAAACGAATAATCAAGTGGTGTGGGCAATGTGATACTATAGAATATCTTAATACCATACTTCAATATCATAGAATATTACCATACTTGGAACTGACAGTAATGATCAGGAATATGTACACTTAATAAACGCATTACATATTTTCAACCAAAAAATATACAAAATGTGATACTATAGAATATCTTAATACCATACTTCAATATCATAGAATATTACCATACTTGGAACTGACAGTAATGATCAGGAATATGTACACTTAATAAACGCATTACATATTTTCAACCAAAAAATATACAAAATGAAAAGTAAAATCGAGAAAATAGACAGGAATATCACAAAAACTAAGGATTTCTCTACTAAAAATTAAATCGTGAACAGCTTCGACACATGCCAGATATATTGATAGAACTCGGTGACTATTGAATACCGCTTGGCTTATTCAATGGTTCCCGAGAGTGTATCCCTTCGCAAATATTCCATGACCAATATATCTACATGTAAATCTCAAAATAAGAAATTCAATGGTCATTGAGTTCTGTTTCTATTCTATAACTACATATACATGCAAATAAAAACAGAACTCAAATCATCACCAATAACGTCAAAATTAATCATAGGTTCCTCCATTTTTTATTACAAAAATGGTAGTTGCCAAGTAGTGACGCCATTACAGTTGTGACGTCATTCTGGAAGTGACGTCGTTCTGGAAAAAAAAGTAGTCCCTGTCAAAGCCATTGAATACAACCATGGGTTATTCATTGGCTGTATTGAATGGCTAACTAATGATATTTGCTTGTATTTGCATGTAGATAGAATAAATAATAATAATCACGAAAGAGAATGTTGAACAAGGTTAATCAAATGTTAATCGAATACCTGTGTTTAAACACTAATATTCATCCAATATTTTATACCATAAATTCTAGTTGATCAATCTGTTCGAAAAAGACATACATTGTACGTAACTCCAACTGTAGTAGGTGAGATCCAGAATTTTGTAAAAATAAATCCGAGAATATAAACTCTTTTATACTTTGTGTAGTGTACTGTGTGTGTATAAATAACAAATGACTGCCAATAAATCTATATCATAAAATTGTTGATAGAAATCTATTGATTTGATACAACTACAGTAGGCCCTACAAAGCAGCAGAAGTACATTATTATTATATTTATTAATAATACTTATTCATATTCTAGACTGGTTTATGATTTAATCATTGCATAGCTTTTATCAATTCATTATATAATTCAACGATTAGATCCCACTCACACAGTTCTTACTAGAAAAAGTTCTTAAGTTGAGAATACTGCCATCGGATAGGAGGCAAGGGACCTAACCAAAATAGACCGAATTATGTGTACATTTGATAAATCACTTCCAATCAGAAAGAAACACAAAATAGATGAAATATTTACTGGTCAACTCTGAACTTCTTGGATTGTCAAACAAAATGTTAAAAGTTAAAAATACACAAAAGAATGTCCTACTTATCAAGCAATATAAATTCAATATTTACATAAAACCAAATAATTTGTTGAGTCTTCAGTATGAAGACCCCAAAGTTCAGGGGAAAAATTATTGATGGAAACTGGAAAGGCTATTTTTCGGGTAGCAAATCACTCGTTTGACGCCATCTCATAACACTTGACTAAATATACGAAACTGTTTTGATGGGTCCAAAACAGACCTTGAATCTGATTGATTCATATCAGTGTCACTTTATACACAGTAATCAAAAACTTTATTAACAAAATGATGGTTCACAGTTCCACAAATGTAATGACATACAAACCCAGGACCCTATTTCCAAAAGCACACAGACTTACCGGTACTATTAGTCTATTTAATAGTCTATTTAATAGACTAATAGTCTACTACTATAAAACTCTATTAAACCAAAAGATATATTATGCAAGAGTTTAATCTCCCTATTGCATTTGTAAGTCTATCTTTCCGCCTAAACGAAATTATTAATTACCGGTAGACATTTATTCATATAACAAGCCCATAATCAACTCTACACCAACAGATGGTTGCAATTTATAATGGACTGAAACACTATCGCTATTTAAATATTTTAATTTAAAAATGGGTAATCAAGTCTTTATTTATTATCATTACGATGATAACAATGAAAATCGATAGATGCTATTTCTATCAAAACTTTCAACATTCATAATAAATTAGCTCAGAATAAAGTAATTTAAAGGAGCTAAATCGCTAATATTTGGGACCTAGAAATTGACAAAAATGGGTCGCAACGCATATAATAATGTAATATGAATGTATATAAACTGATTTACATTCAATCGTTTCTGTTTTTACTGTAATTTCTAATCAGTTATGTTCGGCGAAATACGCCAGAAGTCACATGTGATTCGCAATCTTTAGCATCTGGTTTTTGCAGTCTACACTTATAATATTTATTGCGTATGCTCTCCAGATAAGAATATAGAATCACCATTTGACATGACTTGGTGAAAATGTCTAGCCACGTTCTTTGAGTCCCTTGTTCCAAATGGCACTGAGTGAAAGGCATTATGGTACATGATTCGTGTACCAATGGTAAAATGTTTATTTTGTCTTGAATATTGGATATCAGAAGCCCACCTTTTCCCAGTAAGATCACAAAACCAATGTTGATTTGAATTGACAAATAATTCGTGTTTTTAATGTCAAAGATTTTTGATGATATTGAGTTATAGACGGACTTAGCTACTTTAACTGAAATTTTTAATTCCTTTTTTTAAACTATTATATAGCAAGAACTATCAGCTCCCGATCTAATTCTTACATCTTTGTGAATGTAACTTTACACACATTTCACGAAACATTTCTCAGATGTATCAGTGAACATTTTGTTTAATTCTACATGTTCTGTTTTTAATGGTTCCAAAATGCTTACTTGTGCTGTTTATATAATAGTGCTGGCATGATTACAATAATTTTCATCTTTAAATCAATTTATGCACTGGGATCTACTTTCCATAATACACTTCATCAAATCACATAACCTGATATCTTATTTAAACATACATTATACAAGTACAAGAGCTAAATCTACCTATTGCAGGTCATTCTTTGGGCCTGAAATGTTATCTGAGTTACTAATTAGACATTAATTAACTTATCCAGACCACAATCAACTCTCGATGTTATCACTAGCCTGCGATTTTTACTTTATTAGAATCTGATCTGCTGCTCAACGCTCATTGATGATTAAATCAAAAAATGGATGATCGAGGCTAGGCTTAAAATTCAATCGCTAAATTCTCGGTTCAGAGTGGAGCAATTTGACTGAAATTTTCAGCAAATTCCCTTTACATTATCTAGTTTTTTTTAACTATTATAGTGAGAACTGCCAGCTCTTTATCTAATCTTCCATAATGTATCTTTAATTAAGAAATTCCTATGAAATTGGAAAATTCCTTTAAACGTTTTCATGGTAATTCCGCAATAACACCTCTTTTCTGACTATATAAACATTCATTGACAGTTGACACACTCATTGCCAAAAAGTCAGAACTGGTAATTAAGATCAAAATGAGAGGCCTGAAAGGAAGAAGTATTAGGCATTTAACAGAACTTACTTATTTTCTGCTTCTGTCTGACCCTCCATGGTTATTTAACATGATCTGAAAGATAAAACATATAATCTATGAAGAATAGGATAAAATAATAATAATGAATTAAGTATGATTGTACTACATGTATGGATGTGGTACTGAACCTGGTCCATGTTGTTGGATGAAATTCAAAAATCTAATTCACCAAATCGATGCAGAATTGTTCAAAGAAGCATACCAATTTTTATGTTGATCGGACTAGAATTGACAGCCTTAGGCTTTTTCGAAGAGCGTCACACAATGAAGAACAAGAAAAACAACAAGATGGTCCAAAAAACTTAAAGGACAAAATTAATTTGCTATCCATCAAATATACATACTTGATAGAACAGGTAACAGATTCCAAAAATAATCTAAAGTAAAGATCTCCTATTAAGAATCTAATCTATTCCATAACATGAGTAAAATTGGTAGAGGTAAACAATAAATATTTTCCTTAAAATTTAATCTCTTGTAAATGTCCAATTGATATAGAATCATTTATTCACATAAAATTAATTGTATTATGTTTCAATAAAATGGAACTATGCTTGTACCATGGCATTTGTTTAAAGTCTTTCAAAATATTTCTCATTGTATTTTTATCTTTTCCAATCAATATAGGCCTACATGTATATTGGTCCCTCAACTACTGTAATGGCGAAAAAACAATATTGATTTCCAATACATTCCAGCTGTTGGTACATACCATACATACATACATAGGATTATAAATTATAACTTAAACAACACCATCCTCAATTTATAGACCCACTGGGCCATTAGTCCATTACGATCCTTAAAATTATAATATCAATGTTTTGAAGTTCAAAGCGTATACTATTACTTTCATGTGATATATTGGTTCCTGCACTTGACTAATTAGCCTATGCTTATTCAACAGGCACAACAAGCCATATGGGTCACATACTCCAAAAGTCACAAAACATGCCCACAGCAGTAATCCACAAAGGCTGCTGGATATATAATGTTTTGTAGGTAATGGGAGCATTTAAAATACATTAAATACTGATCAACAGTAACAACAATTGTCAACAAACAATACATAAATTAATTATTAAAAATAAAAAAAAATTGTTTGGCTTATAGTCTTATTCTTCCAGGTAAAAGGATTTATTAGAATGGAAATCAAGTACCAAAAATCATATGATTTAAATTTTGTTTTAAAATCAAATTTTGCACCATTAAAAGTTAGGAAATAAACTGGACATCAACTATCAAAATAGCAACACACTTTGACACAACCAAATCAATATACAGCGCAAAACATCCTAATAATGTATCTGAAGTGTTCAGGGCACCTGTCGCACTTGATATACCTTTATAGTAACATAGATAATATTGTCACCAGACACCAATTCTATATAACTCAAATCTTATTCAGCCTTTGCATATGGTAGTGTAAAATATATTACATGTATGACCATTTGCAAATGTAAGATTACAGTATCTGAAAACCTCCCACTTGATCTCTTAACGTTTAAAAAACTTATTAAATTAGTCTGTTTACAATGGTTATCATTTGAAAGTATTTGTAGAACGAAGCTTAACCTGTCAGAATTTCTAAATTAAAATATGTATCTAATTATTGACAGTGAGCTATTTCGATTTGTATCAGCTTATTGTCACTTTATTACATTATAGTGCCAACAAGAAAAAATTGACAGATTCTGACATTATTCCATTGATACTTATTATTTATAGCCGAAACCTTTTTGATTTGGGTCAAAATAACATATTGAAATTGAATTGGATTGATCTGAGGTATTCATTTACTTTAGTGTCTATACGATTAAATTCTTGTTTCAAACGATTAAGTTGCAAATGGCTTGTTTGTTAATTTTAGTTTACTTTTTGTTAGTTAAGCCTTTATATTACTTAGTCTATAAGAATTTTACTTTTTTAGTACAGATTGAGATTGTTAATGTTATTCAGAATCAGATGTCACAAAATACGATTTGATTTTTGACCCAAAACAATGTAGGCTAGTCATTTTTAAAAAAAAGTAAAAATAATACACATAGTGAAATCATATTTATATAAATAACATTCTGTCTAGGCCTACTGAGTCTGAAGTCTGACTCTGTCGATCAGCAACAAGAGAGAGAGAGTGAAGTGTCAGTGATGGAACAAAATAATGAGACTTTTACCTATCGAAATACTCGACCTTCAAAAGCTGGCAAAATAAAAACCGTGAAACCAGGATAATTTTGGGATAATATCCGCAGCAGACGCTCCAATCTGTTACTGCAGTTATTAATTTTCATTCATTTGACAGTGTTGCCGAAAAAGTTTTAGATTCCTCCCATCCAGTCATCATTTAACATGGCGGAATGTCGCGATAATTTCGCAAATCTCGCGTGATCAGTCGTCATCCGGGTATTAGTTGTCAATGCGCGCAACCAGAATCGGAAATCATTAGGTAGGGTAGAAGGACAAAAGTTGTTTAAGAATTTCACAATATTTTTACCTTATTTATATTTCATAATGTGGTCAAAATCATAATAATATATCGTTCTTACATGATGTCGTACTTATTTTCAGATTCCGACGGTGTTTGTTAAAGAATTTGACAGAGAAAATAGATTGCATATTGGGGCGAGTTCACACATTTGGCACTTTGCCACCACAAGTGATCATAATACCTTTCAGCTTTTTAACGTTTTTATGAAGTTTTATATACGATACGGTGAGTACTCACTGATTAAATAAGAAAATAACGTATACAGTTAGTATTGTAACAAAGTTGAAGATCCAGGTTAAAAATTAAATGCGTGGGTTTTTTTTTTTTTTCTTGTCTAATATTTCCGCCATATTGAGCCACGTTCAAGCACGTGGGTTGATCATGTCTGTCGTGCTGATTCGATTGCGCAGTCATCTCGCAAAGTAAACTCGGAACAGCTTTGAAAGAAAAAAAGACAAAGAACAAAACTTTAGAGCAATTGATTCATTGTTCTATGAATTACTTGAACGAATTGATTTGTCTTATCTGTACATGAAACAATTTTAATATACCAACGTTGTTTGAGCAGTAATTGAATATTAACACTTATGATAATGAAACCGAAGGTCGGTGACATTCTGTTCACATGTGACGAAATCGAACTTCCGTTGTCACTCCTGCTGCATGAGAATTAGCAAGCTGTCAGCAACTGCCACCATATAGAACCTAGAGTATTGTTTTAATATTTCCAAGGGTGAATAAGTTGAAATTTTACAATCAAGACTTCATTCAAAATAAGTGTGAGTCAATCATCAATGTCAGCCGGTTTAATTTGGATTTCCTTTTATTTGAAAGATTTAATTAAACAGTTTTCATACTATTGAGTTAGCAATATGTTTGGTTTGCTCTTGATGTTCAAGTTACCTTCCTGTATATAACTTTGGAGGTCAATAACTTCAGAAAATATTTTATTTAACTAGACTTTTTATGTTTGAATTTTCTGTTTCAGGGCCGTCTTGGCAAGGAGCAACCATTGCAACCATTGAATCAAAGCTTATCAATTGGGGCGGTACGGTTCCCCCAGAAAGGTTTATGAATTTCTTAAAGTTAGATACATACCTCAATCAAACTATAAGTAGTATTCATAGGAAAAGAAAACCTCTACATAAACAGTCAAGATGTCTTACAACGTTGACAGAACAAACCTCGACCCATTTTACCGCTATAAAATGCCTAAACTCTTAGCCAAGGTAATTCATCAGTTTTATTTAAAGGATAATGATATTGTTTTATCGTGAACTTGTTTAGGAATTGTGTTTTTTTTTTTTTTTTTAAATATAAGCTATATTATTTTACCAAGTACTCATTCATGATTTGTTTTGTGATATGTAAATGTGAGAATATGTTCATTTTATTTGAATGAAAAGTAATTTTTTGCCTATTTACAGGTAGAGGGAAAAGGGAATGGCATTAAAACAGTGATTGTAAACATGGTGGATGTAGCCAAGGCTCTTTCCAGGCCAGCTACATGTAAGTTGCTTCCAATTGAAGAAAATAAATATACCATTATTGCTTCAAGATTTATTGACCCATAAATATTCTTTTAAAAAATATACAATTGAATAAAGGGAACACAATGATGAATTTTGTTCCCCTTCTGATTTTACAGATTGATGAGAAGTTCAACAACTGATACTTCTTACAATTAATCTGAATTTTTAAAAAAAAATCAACCATTAACTGCTTCAAGAATTATTGACAGAACAAAATGATGAGTTATGTTGTGGATTCCCCTTCTGATTTTATAGATTGATGAGAAATTCAACAACTGATAGTTCTTGCAATTAATCCAAATTAAAAAATAAAATACAATTTAATGAAAGAAGAACAAAATGATGAGTTATGTTGTGGATTCCCCTTCTGATTTTATAGATTGATGAGAAATTCAACAACTGATAGTTTTTACAATTATTTCATTTAACATGATCGTCAAATCCTGTATACCTTACCTATCTTGGCTGTAATAAATATGAAATTGTTGTTCTGTTTTTTCAGATCCATGCAAGTTTTTTGGCTGCGAGCTTGGTGCACAAACTCAATTTGATTTAAAGAACGACCGCTATATTGTCAATGGCTCTCATGATGCCGATAAGCTTCAATCACTTTTAGATATTTTTATCAAAAAATTTGTGTTGTGCCCAGAATGCTCCAATCCAGAGACAAATCTTGTGAGTATTCTGTTAACTCAAATATCTAATTCAATGTGACAAGGTTAGATTTTTAAGTAGTTAAATTGTAAACAATAATCAGCTACTGCAATCACAAATAAATGGGGAGTGATCGCTGGACACATTTACTAAATAAGTACCCTGTTTTATTTGATTTGATTCAATATACTTTTACTGATTATGACAATGACATTCTTTGTATTTTCAGACTGTACAGGCTAAAAAACAGATGATTTTACAGCGCTGTATTGCTTGTGGTCATTCGGCACAAATTGACATGCGTCATAAATTAACCACATTTATTCTTAAGAACCCCTCAGATCAGGTATGTAACTTTTTTCATTTTGTTTCAATAGAAGAACAATATGATGAGATTTGTTGTGGATTCCCCTTCTGTATTAAAACTATGATGAGAACTACACAACTGATTGTTCAGTCTCCAGAATTTATAATTTCTAAAGGGATTCTCCCAACATTTGGTTTTGTTTTCATGTGTTATTTTTTTCTTTTTCTGTCTAGATCGAGTCAACCACTACTCCCAAGAAACAAACCAAAAAAGGTAAAAAGAAGGGAGAAGATGATCGTGGTAGTCCAGAAGCTAATGCCCAACAACAGATGGCAGCACAGCGAGCATCAGGTGGTGTCATTGATGCACCTCCAGAGGTACAATTGTTTTATTCCTGCTAGATCTGTGTCACATGGATTTCAAAGTACATTTTGCTTTAAATCCAACCTTAAATTTCAAAGGGCTTGAATGTTGAATGAAAATGGGTGTATTTCTTTTTCGTATGACAATCTGTTGATGTTTATTTACAATAAATAGAAATGGTTTTTACTACTGATGATAAAATTATTTCAAGATGTTTGTATTTGAACTTTGTGACAATTCACAAAGATGGACAATGTGATGAGACTTCCAGTGGGTCCCCCTAATCTGATTATAGATGAGAATACCACTTCTGATTGTTCACTTGATAAACTTCAGGGTTGACTGCAGATACTATTAAAATCACATCAGTTATTGAAAAACTCAATTTAACTAGATAAATCATGGAATGCCAATTTTCATTTATGTAAAAACGGCAGAGCTTTCTGGTTTCTGTAAACGTAAAATTAAATATTGTTTACACCTAACACCTCTGTATTTATTTGCCTTATATAGTTCAAAGATGAAGATGATGATAATTGGGGTGAGGATATCAGTGAAGAAGCTATTAAACAAAGAATGGAGGAACTGACTGATGCTGCTAAAGGACTAGCCTTAACTGATGATTTGGAGAAAAGTCCTGAAGAAAGAATTGACATGTTCTATAAATATTTACAGGTATTAACACGTTTAACACAATCACACTTGGTAACAAAAATTTGAGTCGTGTGTGGTCAAGAATAAAAATCATGATAGGGACAATGAGTCCTTTGAATCCCAGTCCTCTAAGGATGCCGGACAAAGGTCCTCCTATAATCTCATTGGCAACAATTTATACACATACTTGATAGCTCAAATAATTCATACATACATGTATACATCTGAAGAAAGAACCCTAGTGATCTTCAGGCTTGCATCATTTACCTGTAGTTATTGCCTATAATTGCACTCTAGATCAGAGAAGAGGACTTGTTGTATGTATTAAGATATTCCCAGAGTTATTGGCCATAATCATTTGGTGGTGTGGTGGGGGTTTTTGGCGGGAGGGGTCCATACATGCTTGGATTCTAAGATACTTACCAAAGCTCCTTAAAAATATAATGCCCTTGATGACACGAAAGTTGATGGGCATAATTAAGTAAAATTAAATTATGTATTTTATCTTTTTAGTTAAAGCGAGATGATAATAAAGTAAGCCAAGTTCAAGAGATTACTACTGAGGCGGAGAGGTTAGAGGTTAAAGATAAAGCTACTCTAGTATTGGTTGAATTGTTGTTAGATACTAAGATATTACAACAAATAAAAGACCATAGAAAACTCTTTCTCAGTGTAAGTTTTATTTATGGATTACAAGTTGAATATCAGATATCAATACTTCATTCTACCACTGTCGACTGATTTTCAGAAAATATTAAGAGTTGATCCATCAAATTTTGAGGGTGAATTTGCTATTGTTAATTTTAGATACTTCACTTCATGGAAGAATTGAGATCTAATGTTTTATTTATGTTTTGTTTGATTTTATTTCAGTTCTGCTATGAAAACCCCAAAGCTCAGAAATATTTACTTGGTGGAATAGAGCAACTTGTCGGTGAAGTTCATAAAGAAATTTTGTTGCCTAAAGTACCCCATATTCTAAAGATTCTATATGATTCTGATATTCTTGAAGAGAAGGTACTTTTAGACTGGGCTGACAAGGTATCTAAGAAGTATGTGTCTAAAGCTGTAGCTCAAGAGATACATGACAAAGCTTCTCCATTTATAAAGTGGTTGAAAGAAGCTGAAGAAGAAAGTGATGAAGAAAGTGACGATGAGAACATTGAGGTAAACATTTTACACTAAGTGTTGATAAGTTTCAATCTTAATAGTTCTAAAAGATGGCACTCTTATTTTCATAACTGTCTGATAAAGATGAGGCTCATAAGATTTTACAAGTGGCACTGGGTTGTTTACGTTAACTGCAGTGGGTGCCAAATGTTGCGGAGTATCCGAGTAACCTTTTTTGTGGAAATAAATCTGATGTATTTGTAAATGTGATGTTTCATCATTTTAGGTTGTTTATTCTACCACAGAGAAAGTTGGTGAACAAAAATCTACCCCTGTTGTCGACAAAAAGGAAAATGGTGATGATGAAATCGATATTGATGCTATTTAATATGCTTATATTCATTCTACGTAAATATATATGTATTCTATTATTATAAACTATTGGAAACTATCATTAATATGTAAACATTAGGACGTTAAACCCCATTTCATTTCATTAATATGTAGATAAAATTTTAAATGCACTGTTCTTTTCACATATATAGATATTTGTGTGTTAACTGGTCAGATTAACATAATCATTCAGGGACCTTACAATATAAAAACATTTCTCATAAAATTATATGGAAAAATATAAAATTTCACTAGGCCTATTTATAAAATAAACCATAAATCGCTACTCCCAATAGTAAATTTCTATACTAATATTACTAATAATATAAATCCTGGTGTGAAGAAGAAAATCATCAAGGCATATTATGACCCCCAGCTTGCTTCTTTTCATTTTCTATTTGACAGTTTTTAGTCCATGTTATGTGGGTATATGAACATACATGACTGCGACCATTAATACCTCCAGTGCTACTCGTTTGACTGCATAACACTGGCTGAATACTATTTACTATCAGTGCAGTTGTGAAAAAAAAAAAAATCTGAATACTTGATAATGATAAAAACATGAAGTAATGAAATGTGATAAAAAAAAAAAATACCATAAAATTTGATAGAATGCTAAAATATAAAATTGATTGAAAAATGTAAAATATAAAATAATCATAAAATTTGAAAAATATAAAATTCCACTAGTGGCTTTCATAAAAATATAAATTTGACAAGAATCTGTGTAGGTCCCTGATCATTGCTAATTCGTTAATGTCCAGTAAACAAATGTTTACTATGATATTTTGAAATGTAGAGATATTACATTTTAAAAATTACTTTTGGATTCAAATTGATTTTATCATCTATTAAATATATATATATATATTGCTTGAAAAAGTTTAGATGCGCATCTGTGCCAGAATTTAGTTGTTAAATTATGGCACATACTGTTGGTGCTCCAGATAAAATATATGTATTGGTATATATGATGAGCTCTCAAATTCTGTAAATATGCCTTTACTTTGAATTGAAAACTAATCAATACACTTTGTAATGTGTCAAGTGGACGTATTGCTTAATGCAGGTTATGGCTAACTATTCTTGGTCTTCTGATCTTCAATTGATAATACACTGGTCATACAAGTACCCATTCTTTAATTTTTACATAAATTAATAATAAATTGAGAAATATAATTGTGATAAATAAGTTAATTTTGATTCATTATTTTCCATTCACTAATCTGGACATGTGGAGTTCTGTACTCTGTGAAGAAGACAATTATCTGGAGCACTGTAATATATTTTCTTTATTTATAACTGTCTTGTTTAGATGTATATTTTGTGTTGGTTATATTTTGGTTTTTCTTTTTGTAAAATAAGTTGTTTTCATGATTATATGAAGTTTTAAAACAACAATGATTAAAAGTTAATTTGTATTTGTTAGACTTTTGTCACTTGGCATATTGAGAAAAAGGCAGTTGAAAATTGAAGCTGTAAACGGACTTATCATGAGAACAGTAGCAGATCTAGAAGCTGTGAATAAGGAGAAGGGGGTCCAAATCTTGACAATGAATGTCAAGAAATTACTGGCTATAACACTGTCGAGCGCCTGGTGGAACATAGATCGTATTGTCTATATAGTTCTATGCTGGCCGAAAGAATGATGCGATGCCACAGACACAAAAAAAACTTTTGATGGCCACTTATATGTAATTAAGCTTTCAATTTTTTGTGACTGAGCCTAAATTTCCTGGCATTTGAGTTCATTGATGGGAGCAGATCTTGAAAATCGGGGTTAATGTCTGAGGAGCTGTCAAAGGTGACATCTATGCGACCAAATGAGCCCCAAATATTAACTTTTTCCCTCCGGCAAATTAGATTCTAAAAGTTTTCACCGGTTTCTAAGGCAAAACTAAAACGAAACATACTCCCTGGATCCCAAAAAGAGTCTTAATTCTTATTCTATGTTAAGATAACAAATATGAAGGGTCGAAGTCTTTTCGAAATAATTTTAATCTGATCGTCAAAACCTATTATTCCAATTCGTGAGGAGTATAGGTCATTTAGAAGTTATTTTAAAATCGATGGACTTTTAAGGTATGTTATAGTATAGTAATTGAAGTTTTATTTTGTACGTTTTCAGTATGCATTGAATTTCGAGACTGAATATTTGGAAAAGAATATATCCCAAGAACTCGAATCTTTCGTAAATTGATAAAAAAAAAACTGACTTTAACTATGCCAATTTTGGAGGTTGTGTACGCAATAGTGACTTTGCCAATGTTTAGGGAAATCCTGACAAAAAAAAGTGAATAGTTCATTCGTTTCGAGTGTGATGCTAAATTCATAATCTACCCTAAAAGTTGTCTTGGATTACAAATATAGAGAGTTCTACTCCTATTACAAATGTGAGTTTAAAGCATCCGAAAACCTGAAATTCTTGAATTTATCATCTGTTTCAGTGCCCTAATTTCAAATGGCCATATCTCAGCGAGTTTCCTACCTAGAGAGGTAGAATTTTGGATTTGTTAGCTTAAGTCCATGTACTATAACATATTTTTATGATTTTGGAGGGGTCATGTTTCCAACTTTCCGAAATTTGGTCCACTTGACATGGAAGCGCCCATCTGTAAATATATTCCTTTTTTTAGAAAAAAATAAAATATTTAATGAATTGTTATAGAACATGCGAGAGGGATATGAGCCTAGCCGCATTTTGATGTAAACTTTATAAATGACATGTCCGCCTTTATTTAGTAAATGGGTGTAACGGTCCACAGCCTAGAAAACTGTGGCCTTCACTTGGCACATCCATTGTGTTGGCAAAGGATTAAACCATTTAAGCAAATGTAGTGGTAACATCATCCAATTCGTTGAGATTGCCTCGAAATTTCCCAGCGTGGTTTCTCCATGTCTATTAGTGTATGGTGGCGAGGGAGATGTCCACTCGATACCAACTGGGTCAATTTTATTTCATTAATTCGCTTGCGCGTAGGGGTCTTTAGCAGTGGGAAAACCCACGAAGTTTTACAGGCGGCCCTACTCCTTGTCACGTACAAGGGGGAATAGAAATCACGCCACTTGACTCAATGACAGATCTTATGATGCAGCACGCAGGCGCTATCCATTCGACCCCCCGAGTGTATGATGGAGGTTCCGTCAAGGTACAGTGTGTGGCACGATTGTCATGCACGTAAAAGAACCCTTAACAGTTGGAACTCGTAATAAATGACAATATTTATTTAGTTAGACCGATTGGGCAGATAAGCATACTATTCAAAAAAAGTAGGGGATATTTGATTTTTAAGTGTTATTAAAGTCACCTAATGAAACTGACGAAGAAACAAATGACAAAATGAAATGGAAGTTCACATTCATCGATTTATTCCAAATGATCGTTAGACTAAGTAAGGCACAGACTGACCATTATAAGGGTAAAATGATACCCGGGGTCAAACAGCAAAGTTACCACAGCATCACAACCAAGTCAGTAACGGGTAAATCCTCCTCTTTTTGCCAAACAAGCATTGATCCGACGTGGCATACTCCTAATGAGACGTCTAAGGTCATTTTGGTCCAGATTGTCCCATTCCTGTTGCAACGCAGCAGCAAGTTCTTGGACATTGGCAGGACGTTGTTGACGTTGACGTAACCTCTGTCCAAGCATGTCCCAGACATGCTCGATGGGGGAGAGGTCGGGACTCAGTGCTGGCCAAGGTAATGTGGTGATGTTCTGTTGTTGGAGGAAACCTGTAACGATCCTGGCCCTGTGACATCTTGCGTTGTCATCCTGGAAGATGAAACGGCGGCCATGACGTCGTGCGAACGGCACAACATGGACTGCCAAGATGTTGTCCCGGTAGTACTGGCCTGTAACACGCCCTGCAACAACATGTAAAGCCGTTCTTCCAGCAACAGTGATGCCTCCCCACACCATAACAGAACCACCCCCAAATCGATCATGTCTGATGACGTTAACGTCTTGGAAGCGCTCGTTTCGACGACGCCACACCCTCCTACGTCTGTCCAAAAAATCAACAGTGAACCTTGACTCATCTGAAAACATCACATTGCTCCAGCGTCGATTATCCCAGTGTTGACGATCCCTACACCAACGACGTCTTGCCTGAATGTGATGATCTCTCAAACAAGGGATCACGCGAGGACGTCGGGCGCGAAGGTGACCCCTATGCAGTCGATTCCGAATCGTCTGGCCACTCACTCTCACACCAGTGTCTGTTTGAAGACGAGCGCTGATCTGATTTGCTGTGATGACACGATTTCTCAAGGCCAAGGTACGGATAAATCGATCCTGGGCTTGAGTTGTCGCCCTTGGTCGACCTGAGCGTGGTCTGTCCTGTACAGATTGTGTATCACGGTATCTGGACCATAGCCTGCTTATGACAGACTGAGAAACATTCATCGTCCGCGCCACAACCGCCTGTGTTGTGCCGATCTGTAGCATGCCAAGGGCACGTAACCTTTCATTTTGGGTAAGCCGACGCATATCAAAATTTGTTTTCTGGTCACTAAAACAATTAAACTGATGTTTCCACCCTGGAATTCAATGTCACAATGACTGTAACATTCAAAGTCAGAGTCGTGCAAATCTTGGGTTGGACCCCCATGATGATCCCAAGCATCACCTGCATTCCATGCGGTAGTTATTGGTGCGTTTGGGCGTCACATGTTACTGGAAATGTTTCTTCTGTTAGGTTCTATAGTGACTTTTTTCGTGGTCATTTGCATATTTTAGTATTATGCCCCCAAAATCAAATATCCCCTACTTTTTTTGAATAGTATATTTGTTTCAATAGTTTGAAAAAGGCTTTGAATTTAATAAGTTTATTGCAAAAAATATAGATAGTAGATCTAATATAGCCATCAACAATATACAATAACATATAATATAACAATATACCAAACAATCTCAAGTTGAGCCTTATTATTTTACAGGAATAACAGATATCAAGTATAGAGTCGATTAATAGATATCAAGTATAGAGTTTCACTGGTAATCATATTGGTCCAAATATCATCGAATATAATGACAGCTATGCATTAACAAACTAATGTGCCATGTTTTAGTTGAGAACAGTGATTTCCAAAGACTTGCACATTCCCAATCGCCACCGCTTCACCACATTGCTCCCGTAAATTCCCATAGTTGAAGATGTCATCCAACATAAAATCTCCTGGTTTTTGAAGATGTCATCAAACATAAAATTTCCTGGTTTTGGAAGATGTCACCAAACAAAATATTCTGGTTTTTGAAGATGTTATCAAACATAAAATCTGTTGGGGTTTTTTTTGAAGATGTCAGTCATCAAACAGAAAATCGCCTATTTACGGTTTCATTAAACATAAAAAAAACACTTAGGGTTTTTTTTTGAAGATGTCATCAAACATAAAATATTTTTTAGTAGTAAATGTTAGATATTTTGGTTCCACGATTACATAACTAATCTATGGAGAAAATCTGTAATTTGTTGATAAGATTCTTCACACAGAGATTTAAAATGACCTGAAACGACAATAATTCCATTATTGCAATATACAGTCCGACAGTGTGTGTGTCACCCTTAAGTCTATACTGGCCAATGGGGAGGTGGTGGTATTAAATCCTAACATGACATGACCAATTATAAAGGCCCCCAAAAATAGGATCGGTCAGTATATCCTAATATCACAGAGTGTATTTTTACTCTGTGCTAATATTAAACGTTTTATTCCTTCGACGACTGGCAAGACAAAAATTTCTAGCGATTATGCGATTCGGGTCAGGACTTGGGATATTATAATAATTGCGTTTGATATGTTTGATTGACAATAGTTGAACTCAGTGACTGGTCTCTATTTATTTTCCGATTATGTTAAAGGATATAACATACATAGACTTACCAGATAACCTAAAGAAAGAATGAACTGATCCTTTAACCAGATAACTTGTTACATCTATTTCTGCTTCTACCAACTTCTGTTTATATTCTGAAAATAAAAGTTTTAGACTACAGATTGAGAACACTAAAAAAAAACATTTTAACAATCAAGCGTGTCACCATCATCAAACCGCCCACATCTATTAAAGGGGAATTATGTAAGATTAGATAAGCGCTGACAGTTCTCGCTATAATAGTTAAAAATAGATAATGAAAAGGGAATATTATTAAAATTTCTGTCAAATGACTTCACTGCGCCGAGTTATCGCCGTTAGAAGTAGTCTCGATTGTCATGGCTACCATTGTTAAGATAATAAAGAAAGTCTTGATTGCCCACTTTTATATTAAATTAATAATAACTGATTATGGTAAGTTAATTAATGCGTCTCATTATTAATTTATATAACATTTATGGCACAAATAAAGGCCCACAATAAAATAATTTAGCTCTTGCATAATGCCTGTAAGAAGTAACTTACCATACACAGCATCCCTGAAGGGATCAATCTGTGCTATAAGTAGAAAAGTTGTTGGATGTCGATTAAAGTTAGATTGAAGTAAAGGTGAAGCTAACGGTTTGAATCTGTCTGCTGAATTAGGCAAAGACTGTTCTATCACCCTGTAAGACAAAACTAATTCTTTACATTGGTAGTGTTTTACCACAATCGTGAGATTCGTTGAATTAAATAGACTGCCACGATCCAAATATTATTGAATGATTCGTGATCGTTTCCATCCATTATAAGGATAGATATATTTTCTATTATCAGTAGTTCATTACAGACTTATCCCTTAACGAATAACCTTGATTTCATTCATATAGTTCTTCGTAACAGGTTTTAACTGCACATTGATGAGGATATGGATGATACTGAATGAAATTAACCTTGATGCCCCCACTCATACAGATGTACTTCATTGGTTTTAAAAGCAGTTCTTCGTCAGTCTCTGAACTTGAAATCTTTTGTCATTTCAAGGCAAAATTATCTAGATTCAAAGTAGTTAAGAGACCGGTCATCAAATTTTTACAGGACCATAATTACTCACTTTTCAATATCTGATTTCGAAAAGCACGGCCCGTTCTCAAATTCTGCTACTGATGGCTGAGATTGATCTAATCGCAGATCTAGTACCGGACAAATCAAAATCTGGAGAAAAAAGTTCAGAAATTATACAAAGCTGTTAATGGTTTGAGATTTAGATATTTTATAACTCTTGTTGAACAGGAAAATAACAGACTGGAGAAAAAACAAATACATCATATACAAGGCTAAAATTATTTATCTTTTGAGATATTAAAAATTTTGTAAAACACCGATTTTAGTCAAGCCCGGACTTGCTGGGATAATTTTTGAAAATTTCAATGCTTGCGATTATCAGTATTAGAAATATGATTTGCATGGCTTTAATCTGACTTTGATTCCAGTTTTCTTTTTTAAGCAATTATATAAAACATTGTTACCTGAAAATCTAGACTATCAACTTCTGGAACAACCGAGGCTGCAATTAAACCACCAAAACTGTCTCCTGCTACACCAATTTTGCTCTCTAAAACAGCACCTGTATAAAAAAAAATATAAAACATACAATTCATTTACATAAATTGAGAGGCATTGACATAAACACTTAACCTAGGCCTACATTTGCATATGTTACTGGAACTACGGTTACGGGCATTGCTCCTTCGGGAATATTGTAAAAGTACACAAACTATTAACTTTGACGTACACCCACAAGAATTTGAATGTAAAAACAAAATAAAATGATGAATGCATGTCGTGCAAAGAGATGGGCATGTCCAGTTACCCGTGTACCTGGATCAAACCAGAGTCCCAAAAAAAAATTGACTTGGAGAAAATGTGAACATTGCAAATCACGATTGTATGGTGCAGACATGAGACATAAAATATGACGTTTATAACGTCTTTGGTTCTGTGAAAAGCGCAACGATTAGACCGCCGCCCGAAGGTTTGTATGCCGTGAAAATACCATCTTGGGACTGACCGATCGTTTCTGCTTCGGCAAACTGGCACTATATCCGTCAAAATCTGCAGGATCGCAAACGGACGAGGAAACCACATGGGTCTGTAACTGCGTGCCAGGCGGTGTTATATTACGTTGGAACCAATGCCGGCAAGATCTACCGATGTTTCAGCATGATAATGCTCGAGTGCATACATCTATCTCCATGGACGTCTTGAACCAAAACTGTGTGACAGTGCTCAAATGAATAGTCATCATCCCTCTTAGGTTTCCCAACCTGCAAAATCTTCGTTAACTTGTCTTTACTACACTAGGATCTGGAAGAGTTGTTATATAATCTGCGTTCTTGTTGATGTGAGGTATTAGCCAATGAAACGGTCTGTTACGGGGAGTTCTTGGCGTGCTATGCACAGAACTGTGAGTATCAAACTAGAAACATCAAAGTTGATTGGGTAATTTAACTGACGTCATAGGTCAAGAGCCGCCGTATGACACCTGACACGACCTCCCACTACAACTGGTCAAATCTTCATGCCGTGGAGGCCATAGGAAGTATAAAATAACGAAACGAAATATATATCTGTATTTTAATTAGATTGCTGGAAACAGCAATGTAATAAAGAGTGGAGAATGATCCCACAGACAGCCGTCCTGGGGCTTATCTTCTTATACATGCGGTGAACTTGCATGGGCCGTGTGGCTGCTAGGCAGAAACACGGTGTCTACGGACTTGTCATTTGTACAATGGTAAATCTGGTACTGGAAGCACTTTGTCGTGCTCCATTTCCCTTTGTGTAGTAAGTACGTGGTTATTTTTCTTAATAGTTAATCACACAAACCTAATAATCCTCTGTTCATTTTCACCCATCTAACAACACATTTTGCATCATCGATCTGCATAGGTAGTTTAATATCGGGTCCTAAACGATATTCAGCATTAACTACAATACACCTGGCACTTCTGAAAAAATAATAGTAGCCTATGGGTGTCGTGCATAATAACAAATGATACCACTTCTACCACGGCGACGCAATAAAACAGCATTATTTGTGTTGGAACATAATATGAAATGAAATGAAATGGGGTTTAACGTCCTACTGTTCTGCCCCGACTGGGCTTATGAAGACGGGCATACGCCATACAGTGTGCTCAGGGAAATTTTTGCACGGACAGCGGCGCTAAGGCCTACTCTTATATCGAATTCCAACTGCCAAGGGATCCTTTACATGCACCCCAATGTGTACACGGGACCTCGGTTTTGCGTTCCATCCGAGCGACTAAACAGCTGTCCTCAGGCCCTCCGTACCACTGACAATGGGAAACCACGCCGGAACTGGAACACATGACTCCATACGATAGTTTCAAGTTAGAAGTCTACATCCTTGTCATCAACATTCTGATGGGGACTTACATTAAATGTTTTAATGTATATTTTATATTTTCTAACAACCGGTATAAATATGGGGTATTTCTTGGAATTTAAACCTGTTACAAACACCATGCTGTGCAGGACAGGTCTATATCCGTGGACAAGATAAAAAAAACATGGAATCACTGAAGCATTAATAAATTTCATTAATTCTTGATACAGCTGAGTGGTAGTAATATTACCACATACTTTTATAAACCTATAGAAAATGGTATTACAAAAATGTTATAGGCTGAGTCAGATGTCACACACATTTCATTAATTTGATATGCCAGGACTTTCGGGAAGAAACCTTATACTTACTTGGCGAGATATTTACAGAAATCTTCTGACGTTCTTCTTGAACCAGTGGATAAATCTCCGCCATGGAAGTAAATGACTATTGTCGGTACCTGAGGCAGTTTTTTAGGCCTTATAATATCGACTGGCAATCCTTCTGTAAAATAAAACAAATAATATAAAAAATATAAAAATAATAAGTATATCAATTTCGATCAAATTACATTATTCTAAGAATCTGAGCAAAGTTATGAATTTTTAAGTTATGGAAAGATATAGCAATGATTGGCAGATGGAAACTACCCCCTCTCAATAACTAAGCCATTCGATGTTCTAGAGAGTATAGCTCTTATATAACGCCTCTTTAAAATCAAAATAAAGAACTAGGTTATATCAACGCTCATCTGTCATGCAGCAGGTTCCGTACCGATAGGTGTAACCAAATAAATATGCCCACATAACCATATTATTGGGTTTCAGTCGACGCCCATGCACAAGAAACCTCCAATATAAATTCGTCCACAACAAACATTCAATAAACAATCTCTCATATAAATAATTCAATAAATGTTCGTTCACACCAAACATCCGATAAACAGTCTGTCACAGATAACATCACATAATTAATATATCCGTGCGTCCACACGGGAAACATTCGATTAAAAGTTTGTCAAACTATATGTCAAATACACATTCGTCCACACTATTTGTCTAAAATAAATAATAGTTCCACACACCAAACATCAAATATACATTCGCATGTACAAAACGTTCGATATGTTGAACTACTCACCTTTACATTTAATACTAGGTGCGATAAATTGTTTATAAATGCCATCGAATTCTACACGTTTTCCATATAATTCTGTTTGCTGTTCGTACAGAACTCTCCGTTCAGCTACGGTAGATTTCTTACCCAATACATTATTGTTTTGTTCCAAGAATGATATTGTCTCTTCGGGCAATGAATATTTGTTCTTTAGCTTTGAAAAATTTGTCACAGCATCCATCTTGGGTTTTGTTTCGTGCTGTTTGTGATGGGACTCAGTTGATGAATATGACTCCTGGTCCCTTGTCCTATCGGAATTTAATTTAGAAACCGAAACTCTCAGCGGTCTAGCACTACTTAAATATGACACCCTTTGGCTCGAGGATAACGATTCTGCTGATGGCGACTTCCTCAAAGAAGAAATCTCGCTAGAATTGGGGTACCTGTTGAAGTGCAAGCTTCTATTCTGTGTCGATTCCGGACTAGTTATTTTTTCCCATTTCTGACGAATGCTCAATATTTTCGCTTTGCTTTCTGGAGTGAGAAAGGCAAATCCTTGATCCGACGAATGTCTTCTTTGGTTATCCTTTTCTACACGTACTTTGCGAATCACTCGTTTAGACGTCAAATAACGTCTATAACAAATTTGGGAGCTTACTCCATTTGGATTGCACGATTTGATAGGAGTCTTTTGGGAATTGACTGGAACCGTGGAGTGTTTAGGTGTGTGCTGTAAGGAAAAATAACCCGATTCTAAATCCTCATTAATCGATTCCTGTGAATGAGTGACTTTTAAAATATTATCCTGAACTAGTATATTCTGATTATGATCATATGTTTGTTGCGAAATGTGCGAGGAATGGTATTCCTGGACAATCCGGTGTCGTTTTTTCGAAAGAGTTTTATCAGAATTTAAATTCTGCGTTAAAATGTCATTTCCAGATGGAGAATCTTTATGCTGAGTTCTTGGTGCTGTTAACGATGTTGGTCTAGTGGACCGCTTAGTATTACTCAAATTGTGCAAAACTTGGCGTTCTTGTAACGGTGGAGAATGACATCCGTTAATGTGTTCGTTGAGTAATTGCTTATCATCAACACCGTCCGAGGGTTCTGGGTCCACCGATGTTCCTTCATCAAGAATCACATCACCAAGTAAAGCAACGTCCTCTCTGTCAACCGAGGAAGAGTTATCATTTAGGTCATATCTGTAGTAAAAGTACAAAACACAATATAAAATAACACTTAAACTGGTAACCAAATATGTATCACTTTGATGACCTCTGCGTCACGCAACATGCAATTACACTGATGTTAATGAATGGCTGTATTAAAGGCCTATCGTATAATATACCTAAGTATGTACGACCGGTATATACAACAAAGAGGTTGGAAAACAAACTAAGCGCGCGCCAGACTTACACGTAAATTGACTTTCTGTGTGTATATTTTCGTTCTGATACTAAAGCAGACGTGTATAAAGGTATATTGAGTATACCATATATAATAACATGTAATATCGACTTTTATGTCATTTAATTGAAGATATATATCATATATACAATGGCGGTAAAATATACCAGCGTGAAGCTGTTTCCATCTAATGTATTCGGTGTACCACAGGACACAAAACCTACCTTCGTTTGAATGGCTACCTGCTACGGTTAAAGTAAACTTCTTTGTATTCTAGTCAATGTTCTTGCTATAACTGAAGCGACGATAGTCCTTGGGTGGGTTTTTAGCATCAGTAGAGACTAGAGATTTTCACTGACGAAATGCTTCAGTGAACATCAGGTTTGCTAACCCTTTTTTTAGTTTAAGAGCCTGTCAGTATTTTATATGGTCATTCTTGTCAAAAGTGGTTATTTTTATTAACTGGTTAGTTAATCGCTTGTCCACAAAGATCCATTACAGTTGACAGTATGGGCCACCTTATAATTTACTTCACCTAGTTTTCGTTTTCACACGAGTTCTCATATATTCGACATTTTAATAAAGTAATGCTGTTACACCTTAGAAATGAATCTAATTTAGAAAATTGTCAATTCTCTTCAGGCAATTACTATAAACGATCTGTCATACTTTATTTATAACAATTTATATGACTTTAGGGTGGAAATTATAGAATATAGAATAATATTGGTAGTCTCATATTCAATGGTCCGTCAATTGACAAAAATAAATAAACAGCCAGAAATCGGTAAAATATGATATGAAACCTGCACGAACATAGGCTACTATTTAAACAAGAAATCGACAATGACGTCATTGCAGTCATAGTTTATGGAAGATCGTCGCCGTCAAGAAGATAAACAACAGGAAGATTACAAAGTGTTAAAGAAATATTTCCTGGTTAAAAAATCTCATGCATAATTCCTAAGAGACATCTGAGTGGTCCTGCATGCATAATTTAAGTTTGCTGCATAATGTGTTGGATCAATGTTAATTATGCTACAGGTGTTTAAACAGCGTGAAGGGATATCAGACGTTATATTCAAATATTATTGATTTACCCTATTTTCAATTTCTTAACTACCAAATAGTGTACTATAAGCAAGTCCTATTATTATTACGAGAAAAATATAATATTTATTTATTTAATTTAAAGATGGGTTCCCAGAAAAGTATTTATCGGGTGGTTATTTCCAGTAAAAGTATGGTAATTTTGGTATATATGGAAAGTAGAGATATCCAATCTTACTAGAAAAATACTGGATTCCCCGAAAAACACTCATGGAGCGTATACAAGACAAAAATGTAAGGGTTCCCCTAATCAACAGCCCGACGATTAGGAATTTCTGCACGCGTGATGTCAAAGATCACACGCGAACATTGAGCGCTTGATGTACAAGTTGATAAACTTTATGAAGAGGTAGACGTACACCACTTTCTGAGATAAAAATGGCGGAAAATGACGCGGGTAGTGAATAATCCGAGAATTTAATTAGGATTCGATATTTGTAATAAATAGTAAGCGATTAAAGACAACATCGTCTTATGTATGCAATAAATTCACCTCTGACTTCTAAGAGAGGTAAGTCACGTGACGTAAACATGACCTGGTTTGATCGAATTTTTATAGCAGGACATTCCTTCGCAACTACAATGTTTGAGAAGGATTTGAAGCAAAGTTATGACAAATTAATTAGTTTGAATATGTTTTTAGTCCATACCATTAAATCACCCAGTTTGTACGCGGGAACCCATCTTTAAAGAGATACTTTGATTCAGAAATGTGTTTATTTGTCGACAGTGGATAGTAAATTTATGCTTTGTTCCTTGAACCGTAATGGAAAGGCGTTTATGTACTAGTGTCTTGCTCAGAACAAGTGAACAGCAAGATTTGTTAAAATCATTAATTTCTAATATAAAAATGTGTAAGTATTGCGTCTCGTACTTGAATAAATATAATGCAGCCATTTGTTGATAAGCATAACATAATCATTTCTCCTAATTATTTTAGATGTATTTAACATTAATGAAATCCTTTAATATCGTTTACCTGTATATCTATGGATACACACCTGATTACTTGGGTAGGTTGATCCTCAGTAAATCCAGACGGCATAAATCTCGACAAGAGGCTCTGTGCCCAGGATCCACTGTTCATCCACATCTAGATGTTTATTTTATCAACAGCAGTGTATTTTATTCCCTCTATTAATCCGATCTCTCTCTATACCTGGAAATTAGAATAACGTGGCATCAAAGACAAATACACGCAGTTTACCGTCAGTTGCTATAGTTATACATAGAAAATCGAAGACGGTTTCATAGGTATTAATCATTAGTCTATTATATTCAACATTAATCATTACCAAGGAAATGTTCATTTACCTGTTATTACCTGCAAATAAGAACACTAGATAAGTCTATATCAATACGGATTATCCTCCATAACTAATTAATATTAAACAGCTAGATCAACTAATAAAAAACGTCTTTGTGTTTGTCAAAGCATATCACCATTATTGATTTATTATAATAGGACACTACAGGAAAAATCCATCGATGTTAATAGATGTTTATATATACACATATAGTCATGGGCTCGTTTGTTATTGATTTATTAAACAAAGAAAACCCCGTGAATAACTTCTGCTATTTATACGTATTCACCACCCGATTCACATAGGGTTTTAAAATAGCCCCATTTTATCAATAGTGCTTAAACATTTAACACGATACTTATACTAAAATATAATGACTTATCTTATTTATGTTATAAACAGAGACATGTCACCATGCCAGATACACCTGTCAGTCAAAAATATAACTTACAGTATGCCAAATAAACAGGTACGATTTATCTAACATAGGTCGAGTATACATATGGAGATTAAAAGCAACGGAATGGGCAGCGTCGTTTCCGTGATTGATGGATCTTTCTTTATACTATAATAATAATAATAATACTTTATTACATATAGCATTAAGTTAAACAACTTATAGCCTTAAATTATACAATAATACAATCAAAATGAAAAAAACGTGTAATTAAAAAGAAAAACAAAAAACAAAAATAATAATAGTTATTCACAAACAATAAATATACAATAAAATTAACTTTCATGTTTAGGAAGGTAATGATGTACGTTGAGCAAAAGCGAAATATATAAATTTAGCTGTAGATATAATAAGTTTTTGATCAGTATACGACATCAAAGAGACAAATTTATAGATATTATTTGGACTAATATAATACTTAGATGGTAAATACAATTCTCTTAAGGCATTATATGCAGGACAAATTAACAAAAAATGGTATTCATATTTACATAATCTCTCTTTCCTGGGTGTATTTAAATATCTGCCAGTTTCTATGCAGAGCGAATGCGACGAGCATCTAAATTTACTGAGGGCTACTCTAAACTTCGGTTTGAGGTCATCAATGCATAGATAAAATTTAAATAGAGGTAAATCTGTGAACGAATTATATGTGCTTAACTTAGATGAAGCAAAACGTGAAGAATTCCATTCTTGGATAGATTGATCAAACAGTTTAGCTTTTAAAACATTAAAATAAGGAAGATTAGAATCTTGATTCGTCCAGTAAAAGGAACAGCCAAGATTATCCAGTAAACTTTTAACATTGAACACCCATGTTTTATTACTGTATTTCCTGTCCAAATCCGAAACCCGTGAGTGGTTGTAAACAATATATTTTAAACTACTCTTATCTGATAAAACATTTATCCAATATTTTAATATACACTTTAGTCTGGAGTAATATTGAGTTGTTCTTCCAAGCTCTCCATACACCGAAGCACTATGCGTAGAGGATTTTAAAAGTAATGTCCGTTTACTATGGTGGCTGATAGTGGCCATGTTAAATCTCGCCCTTTTCATAGCGCGACAACACGACATCACGACAGTATTGACGCAATCATACGACACTTAACTCTGTCGTATCATCGTGTTATTTTTATCGTAACGTCGGGATGTCGACTTATTGTCCTAGTCTCTTTCTACAAGTCACAAAAATACAGCTGTACTCATTACATCAGATACATATAAATAGATACATATAAATAAGACTCGTAAAAAGAGATAATAGGAAAACGTTGATTCGTTTTCTAAAAAAAAATGAAACATTTTGCGCCCAAAATTGAATTATATTTGGTATTATATTCAGAAAATCTACAATTATAATAGCAGGACAAAAGTGAGTCAGCTATGTGGGAAGGGGATTATATAAAACCTCAAATCAGACCACATAAAATCACCGCATTGGTGTAGCACGCCATCCCAATAAGTGCAGGGGAGGTTTTTTATGAGATGAAGAAAGCGATTTGCAGCTGTTATTGACCTTATCGCATATTCATCCGTTTGGCATCACTAATGGGATCGAGGCCTAGATGATTGAAAATAGGCCCAGTATTGCCTTCAGCTATGAACACACTCCGAAAGTCCCCTACGCACCCCCCCCCCTCTTATTTTGTTTAACAAATAATTTCGGAATCAATAAAATGGTAGGTCCCTATCAATGATGTTTGATACGACTGGAAATTAATGTGTCTAAAATTGATTAAACAACATAGGGTAGTAAATATTACATTTTGAATCCGTATCAATGATACATTTACTCAAAATGTTCCTTCCAATGGATCACCATTTAACTTGAAAACAAGGGAAGCAGCCGATCGAAAAAAAAAGATTTTAAAAAACAAGTTTCAATATGATAGTAGTGGTTCGGTCATGCATTTACATCTGTGGGTGTCATCCTTTCTTTGAAAGTAATGATTGTGCCAGATTTGAACAAAGTCCATCTAGATTCGCGGCCTGTAGGTAAAGTGTTGACAGATAAAACGTAAAAAAAACCAGACCTATAAAAATATATTTTCTAAAACTATTTTAATTTTGAAATTATATTATTTTCACATGTGCTAAGTGTTTTAGTGAATAGTTATAGAAAGGGTCTTGTAGATTAAGACTATAGCGCATGTCCACTGTGCAGTTTTAAACTTCCGAGACGACAAGTCGACAAGTCGATGATACGACAGTTTCGCTTTTTGTCGTGCCGTCGTATCATCACACGATCTTACGATAAAATCGGGCGATCTTACGACAGAACAAACTGTCGTAAGATCGTCTGATTTTGTCGTATCATCGACCTTATTTTGTCGTTCTGTCGTATCATCGACTTATCGCCACGACAAGTCGATGATACGACGGTACGACAAAACACTAAACTGTCGTATCATCGACTTGTCGACTTGTCGTCTCGGAAGTTTAAAACTGCACATGCGCTATAGTCTTTATCTACAAGACCCTTCTATAAATATTCGCTAAAACACTTAGCACATGTGAAAACAATATAATTTCAAAGTTAAAAGAGTTTAAGAAAATATATTTTTATAGGTCTGGGGTTTTTGTTTTTGTTTTTGTTTTTTTTTACATTTGATCTGTCAACACTCTACCTACAGGCCGCGAATCTAGATGGAATTTGTTCAAATTTGGCACAATCATTACTTTCAAAGAAAGGATGGCACTCTCAGAGGTAAATGCATGACCGAAGCACTACTGTCACATTGAAACCTGTTTTGTTTTTTTTTTAAAAATCTGTTTTCTTCGATCGACTGTTTCCCTTGTTTCAAGTTAAATGATGATCTATTGGAAAGAACGTATTGAGTAAATGTACGTTATCACTGATATGGATTCAATATGTAATATTTCTCATGTTGTTTAATCAATTTTTGACATATTATTTTCCAGTTGTATCAAACATCATTGATACCATTTTATTGATTCTGGAATTATTTGTAAAACTAAATAAGAGTGTGTTCATAGTTGAAGATATTACTGGGCCTATTTTTACTCATCTAGGCCTCAATCCCATTAGTGATGTCAAACGGATGCAAGCCTATATGCGATAAGGTCAATAACGGCTGCGAATCGTTTTCTCCACCTCATAAAAAAAAACTCCTGCATCTATTGGGGTGACGTGGGGGGGGGGGGGTATGAGGCTTTTAGAGTGTGTTCATAGTTGAAGATATTACTGGGCCTATTTTTACTCATTTAGGTCTCAATCCCATTAGTGATTTCAAACGGGAGAGAGAGAGAGAGAGAAATGGGGTTTAACGTCCACTCGACACAAATTAGGTCATTTCGGGACTAACATGGTTTAATTTTATTTCAATAAATCGTTTGCGCGTAGGGGTCTTTAGCAGTGGGAGGAAACCGGAGGACCCGGAGAAAACCCACGAGGTTGGACAGGCGACCCTACTCCTTGTCACGTACAACCGGGGATTCGAAACCACGCCAGTTGACTCAATGACAGGCTGCGAATCGTTTTCTCCATCTCATTCAAAAAAACTCCTGCAACTATTGGGGTGACGTGCTGCACTATGATAAAAATAATGCTGTGATTTTAAAGAATGTGGCCCGATTTGGTTTTTCTACAATCACCTTCCCACCCTGTCTTCTGTTATCACTTTTAAACTATCGCTCCAGTCATCTATAAATATTGGTGGGTGTCGTACACATGGCAATGAATGCTTACTTGTTCGATACCTCCCGACACCACTTTTTCTTCAAGGAATTAACTTAGCTAACTCACTTTGGTCCTGCTATTGTAATTCTAGATTTTTTAATATAATACCAAATATAATTCACTTGTGGGCACAAAATGTTTCATTATTTTGAGAAAACAAATAATTAATCAACGTTTTCCTACTATCTCTTTTATATTTATCAAATCTGCTACTTAGGCCTATATATGATGTAATGAGTACAGCTGTATTTTTGTGACTTGTAGAAAGAGACTAGGACAATAAGTCGCCATCTCGACGTTACGATAAAAATAACACGATGATACGACAGAATGAAGTGTCGTATGATTGCGTCAATACTGTCTGGAGAACTATGGAAGCCCCAACTCGCACAAGCATAATTAAGAATTGATCCTATATAAGAGTCAAATAGATAAAATTGCTGTTTTACATCAAGATTTACTTTGTTAAGAACATTATATAATTGATACAGGGCTTTAGATGCTTTAGATGCAATAGATTTCTGACATTTGTTAAAATTACCATTGTAAAACAGTTCCACACCAAGATAATTAAAAGATTTAACAATTTCTACATTTTCATTAGCATACGTAAAATGAAATTTACCAACATTTAAGGAAGAGTTTTGAAAAATCATAATTTTTGTTTTTTCGGTGTTGACAGTTAAATTCCATTTTAAGCAATATTCATTTAATCTAATTAGCAGATGCTGTAAGCCTTTGGCGGAAGTGGACATTAATGTCGTATCATCGGCATACATTAGGGATGTTAATATCAGAGAATCAATAATGACAGGATCAATAACTTTATAATTCATAAATGAGTTAAAATCATTCAAATAAAATAAAAATAATAATGGTGATAGGTTATATCCCTGTTTCACGCCTGCATAAGATGGAAAACAATCTGAATAATTATTATTAAATTTTACACATAAATTTACATTACTATACATAGACTTTATACAGTTTACCATTTTTTCAGATATACCCAGTGATTTTAATTTTATAAACAATAGATTTCTATCAATTTTATCAAAACATTTCGAGTAATCTACAAAGCAACAAAATAATTTTTGACCTTTTGACTAGTACTTATTAATGATCAGATGCAGAATAAAAATACAATCTTCAGTGCTTTTTTTTGCTTGAAAGCAAACACGCACCGATACTAAATTAATTAAGATGCTTTAAAAATCAATATCAATGAAATGAATTCAATAAAATAATCACAACAATTAGATGTGTTCAATAACTAAATACCGTTGGTTTCAACAGTGAATTATATTAAGATTTCCGGTTGTCTGTAAATCTAAATGTACGTACGTACCTTATACTTTCAGTAATAATTACATATGTCCTTGTAAGAAAGGAAAGTTAGTCAACCACTAATGCATTTATATAAGCACATGGGTACTAGATACGATCGCCGTATAGATTGTCACAAGAGAGTTTAAGATATAGTATTTAGAGTTTATATATAGACCCTTATGTTCATTATACAGGTAACACAAACATATCCTTTTAACGACATTGAAATGTCCTTTGTCGAACACGCGTGATATGACAAATATATGCTTTATATTTATACAACTTTATTAAATTACGTCAACATTTATTGCATATAGCCCGGGGATATCAATGCTGATCTTCTTATGTCTTATACATGTATATTCCAGGTTAATAAGTTCAAAAGTACGTATACGTATACAAAAGATTTGGCCCCAATAGAAACGTTAATGCAATAAACTCGTGTTATCGTTCATTGTGTCAATTCAATATTAAACTTCTTATCTGGGCTACCCCTCACCCATGTTCCTGAAGCAACGACTGCGAGTTTTACAACATCTTGATAAGATAGATGTACGGAGTTAAAGCGAGTCCATGCCTTCTATTGAAAATGCTCGTCACCAGTATAATTTACATTATTTCAAATAAGAATAGACACCCTATATAATGCCAGTATATAAACCAAGCCATGTATCACATCGTTATATATAAACATGTCCAGTCTATGATTAAGATTTCTCTCTTTGCGACGTATAGAGGGGTAAATGAAACGGGGTTTAACGTCCTAGTGTTCTGACCGACTCTTGCCAAGACAGCGGTGCTACGGAGAGAGAGAGAGAAATGGGGTTTATCGTCCACTCGACACAAACTAGGTCATTTCGGGACTAACACATGGTTCAATTTTATTTCAATAATTCGCTTGCGCGTAGGGGTCTTTAGCTGTGGGAGGAAACCGGAGGACCCTACGAGGTTGGACAGGCGACCCTACTCCTTGTCACGTACAACCGGGGAATCGAAACCCCGCCAGTTGACTCAATGGCAGACCGTATGATACAGCGTGCGTGTGCTAACCATTCGGCCATCCACCCCCCCCCTGCGGTGTTACGGCCTACTCTTGCATCGAATTCCAACTGCCGCGGAATCTTGTACGTGCATGCCATGGTGAACACGGGACCTCGACCGCTGTTCGCCCCATCCAAACGACTATACGTTTTCCCTTCCCAGGCCCTCTGTCCTGCACCACGCCAGAAAATCTCGATGAACCTTCTCGGCCACCGTGGCCCCAGGTGATGTATAGAGGGCAATTATTGTATTAACTTTATCGAAAAATGGCACGTAATCGATCCATTCTTCTAGCTCACCAAGATTATCGTCTGTATCATATAGATATACAAATCTAATTATAGTATATATAAAACGGTATATAAATCTAACCATCGTCTATATCACACCGTTATATAAATCTAACTATCGTATATATCCTACAGATATATAAACCTAACTATCGTCTATATCACACCGATCTATATCACACCGTCTATATCATACCAATATAAAAACTAAATTTTCTTCTATAGCACAACAATGTTTAAACCTAACTATCGTCTATATCAGACTGATGTCTTCTATATCACACCGCTATATGAAACTAACTATCGTCTATATCACACAGATATATAAACCTAGCTATCGTCTATATCACATCAATATTTAAACCTAACTATCGTCTATATCACACCGATCTATAAACCTAACTATCGTTTATATCACACCGATCTATAAACCTAACTACCGTCTATATCACACCGATTTATAAACCTAACTATCGTCTATATCACATCGGTATATAAACCTAACTATCTTCTATATCCCATCAATATTTAAACCTAACTATCTTCTATATCAGACCGATATCTTCTATATCACCCCGGTATATAAACCTACCTATCGTCTATATCACACCGATCTATGAACCTAACTATCGTCTATATCACATCGGTATATAAACCTAACTATCGTCTATATCACATCAATATTTAAACCTACCTATCGTCTATATCAGACCGATATCTTCCATATCACCCCGGTATATAAACCTAACTATATCACACCGATCTATGAACCTAACAATCGTCTATATCAGACCGATCTATGAACCTAACTATCGTCTATATCACACCGATCTATAAACCTAACTATCGTCTATATCACACCGATCTATGAACCTAACTATCGTCTATATCACATCGGTATATAAACCTAACTATCGTCTAAATCACATCGGTATATAAACCTAACTATCGTCTATGCCACACGAATATATAAACATAAAATTATATACCACGTCAGTATAAATGTTATCTATATCATACCATATGTATATGCCTTTATTAAACAAGCTGAATCTGAAAATATCTACTCTAGACACACATCAAATTACAACATATACACTAAATTACTCTACAGTATTACAATAGTACATAAAACTATACTCTGCAACCAATCTATATTTCGTTTCGTTTTTATACATTTGATGGTCTACAATACATGAAGATCTGACAAGTGGTAGTGGGAGGTCGCGTCAAGGGTCATACGAGCTGGTTTTGACCTATGAATACCCACAGTTCCGCACAACTCACGCCAAAAACTGGCCGTAACAGACCGTTTCATTGGCTAATCCCTCACATGATCCAGAACGCGGGTTATATAACAAATGTTTCAGATCCTAGTGTATTAAAGACAAGAAAAACAAAATACCACAAAAAAAAAACGAAACGAAATAGGATCTGTGTTTTAATCAGATTGCTCTACCACAATATAATACTGGGTGTACCAAACGACTCTACAATAGACCGAGACCATACTACTCCACAATATAACAATATATACATCAAACTGCTCTACGATACAACAATAATTTGATACATCAAATTCAAACTACTCCAGAATCTATCAATTGATACATCAAATAGAGGCGTCAAACTACTCTACAATAGAACAATAGATACATCAAACCACTCTACAGTATAACAATAGATATATTATATCACTCTACAGTATAACAATAGATACATCAAACCACTCTACAGTATTTTACTAGTGGCATGAAATTACTACACATATTGATGAACCAAAAGTTATAGTTGCCATGTTGCAGGGTAAAACCTGCTGAATAAGGATACAATGTAGGACAACTGACTATGACTATAAACAGTAACCAGCAACTTTAAGGTCATAAATATAGTACTGATAAGATACAAAGATATCATAATGGGTGATATTACACGTTGGGGAGCGACCGGACAAAAATATAAAATACACCCTGAAACTTTGGAATATTTTCAAATACTAGAAAAGCAAGGCAGTCGACCAGTGGCAACACTGACAGTTGAAGAAGCCAGACAGTCATCTTTAGACAGGGCGGAACAATTTGCTGGCAATATAGATTTTGATGGAACGACTGAAGAGTATATTTGTCCTTCACCGTACTCAACAGGTACAGAAATGTAGTAACCTTCTATTATTATCTTTCACACCAAATGTATCTTAAAGTGGGCGTATAATTTGAAAGTCGTATTTAATCGATTAAAGAGTCTAGGACCCAGGAGAGAGAGAGAGAGAGTCGTATTTAATCGATTAAAGAGTCTAGGACACAGGAGAGAATGGGAGAGGGAGAAAGAGAGAGAGAGAGAAAGAGAGAGACACACAGAGAGACTAACAAATGTCGTATTTTTATGTCAATAACACACATTAGCCGTGGTGACAGACTTGAAGATCCGGATAAAACCAACGAGATCTGGCAGCCGATCCTACTCCCTATCGCGTACACGCTTGGGATCGAAACCACGCCATGACAGACCTTAGATCTAACACCCACGCGTTAAACCACTCGATCACACAGAAACTGGTAAATTAAATAGTATAGTCGTTTTTACAACAAATAGCCTCTGTTGAATTTTAAGGAGTTCGGTGGTCGCTGGTGCAAATTTTTTTCGCCAATACTTGGATTATCCGTCACAAGGAGACTCTGACCATCGGGGTCACTCAGATGGAAAATATAATTACTCTTATTATTACGAGATAAGATTAAGGTCGCTATATATCGTGGATATTGTAATTACGTGGTAATGATGTCGTAATTATGAGTTAGCTATAGGTCGATATTGACTCGTAATAACGATATAATCAGATTTTTTGTTTTGGTTTTCTTTTGGTTGACCTAATGGTCTACCGTAGTCTGATGTTATTTTGAATATATCATATAAATTGGTGATTGTTATTTACTGTTGGAAGTGATAGTGCCACTTTAAAACAAATTAAAATCCTTAACCGAGGATTCGCAAAAAAATGTAAAGAATAGTGTTCACACAGAGAATAGAGCGCGTTAAGGAAATAAATGTAACGGATGTACTGCACTCACAAAGGCATTAACAAAACTTTGACACACAAATATGAAACATTTCCTTCCCTCTGAAATACAATAGAGAGCTTTAAAAAAATGAAAATTTACAAACCATATTTTCAACATACACACCAACTATTTCGTAGCCTCTATCTATATGACCAATCTTGAGTTGGTATCTTTCTTATTTAAGATAAAGACATCTGGCAAATTTGACACGATCGAGTCAAAATGAATTAAAATCTGTTATCAGACGATGTTTGTTTAGATACGTATCAAATGTCATAATGAATATTTATATAAATAATAGTTTTAGCATGAAACAGTATAGCAGTATAGGTGTAACATTCATAATAACACAACTTGATTTATTACTTCTTAATTTATTACATACAACGTTTCAGTACTCTTACAGGTATCTTTATCATCATGAATGTTATACCTCCACTTCTAAATGTCATTTAAGGATAGTATAGGTGTAGATAATATTAAATAACTATTGATGCGAACTGTTATTGACTACAGATATAAAATAAGCTCATTATAAATCGATAATAATTGCAACAGATATGAATACTAGCGTGCAATCGAGCAATAGATAAAAAGAAACCTTGACTGCAATAATAAGCATGGATGTGTTAAAAAGCAATTTACCTTGAAATCAGCGAAATATTTTAGCGATACGAAATTTCGAGAGATCAGACGAAGGTTCAGTTCTATGAAAAACGAAATTGGAGGAAGAAAACTACACAACCAGACAGCACTGTTGATTAGGAGTCGAAAATCCCCGCGAAAGTTTCTGCAATCATGTACATTGCACGTTTATAATGGTCGACCTATGTCATACTTATGATGACTAATCCATGTCATAGAAATGATATATTGGCTTTAGCAATATATTTCTGTGTTTATGGTATAATGAAAACATCTGGTGTATTATTGATTATTATACAGTGTGTATATATATGTGTGTAAGTAAACGTAAACAAGTATTTTATCACACATCAGATAATGGTTAACTTTAGAATGCATTCAAACAGGAAACGATAGCCTATCCGTGTGCATTCAATTTATTTATCACCGTAGCTTTCATATATGTAAGATTGATTGAACAGAAAACCACCTGATTTCAAGCCTATCGATCTATTCAGCAATTATTCACCTAACGAGTTTACACTTTTTATTACACGCCCACATTATTACCCGCCTACAAGTGAATGTATGTTGTTTTCATACGTATATTTTTTCTGAAATTAAAAATCCTACTGACATTCCACGATTTTCGATAATAACTTCCAGAGTTATTCCCCTTTGTTACTCAATCTTAGATTGTAGACTAGACAACCTGCTCTAAATGACGTCAGACTTGTTCCTACGTCACTGCGCTATTCTGACTTCAATAATGCAAGTCAAACTGCACACAGCGATCCATCTACGTCATACGTCATCAGGCGGAGCTAGCTGTAGACAGGGAGCCTAAGTTTGGGATGTATGCAAGTCAGAAAAACAGTGATGTAGGAGCGAGTCTGACGTATTAGGGCAGGTTATCCAGTCTATCTTAGATTGAAGACTAGGAGGTTCTGAGTGACCGAGACTATCTCAGAGTCTTCAATCAATTAATTATTACTAGCAGGATACCCGGCTTCGCTCGGGGGTCATAACTCCAAAACCGGAAGTGGTAGACTAACGCCACCTGGCCTATGTTACTCCCCGGTCCGAGCTACCCCTATACCCCAAATTTCAGACTCGGGGCAGACCTAGTGTAGCCGCCAACCCCGAACAGACCGGCTTCGCTCGGGGGTCATAACTCCGAAACCGGAATTGGTAGACTAACGCCACCTGGCCTATGTTACTCCCCGGTCCGAGCTACCCCTATACCCCAAATTTCAGACTCGGGGCGGACCTAGTGTAGCCGCCACCCCCGAACAGACCGGCTTCGCTCGGGGGTCATAACTCCGAAACCGGAAGTGGTAGACTAACGCCATCTGGCCTATGTTACTTCCCGGTCCGAGCTACCCCTATACCCCAAATTTCAGACTCGGGGCAGACCTAGTGTAGCCGCCAACCCCGAACAGACAGACAGACAAACGACAGTCACAAATATATATATAGATTATTATCCGGTTCTTCTGCAATGTTCAAACTACTCAGCTGGTGGTGGGCGTGTGTTTCGTTGCCTAGCAGTCAATGTTTTGAAAAGTTGGAAGTCTGATCGATAGGATTTAAACAGAAGTTGATGGAATGCATCTATTTAAATTGCAAATAACTGCCAGGATCTCTCTGCTTCACTGCTATTGATTTTTAGTCAGTAAATGGGCCAACTTTAAAATCTGAACGATTTACCCAATGACAATCCTCATTGTAAATACAATACTGGCGCGTGTCTAGCTGGGGGCGGAAACGGGGAAGGGGCTTTTCTTACAAGCATCGAAATTGCAGATTGCGAAATAAGTCGAATAAAAAAAGAGTGCAAAAATCATTTCCGCCGTTCTGGCCTTATTTTCGGGTAGCCTAATCCGCCACACCTCACGCCAAACTTTAAGTTGTCGAGTACATGCTCAAATTCCTGAATATGTCCCTTAACTACTATACACCAGGAATCAGTGTTCACTCGAATCATCACCTACAAATATATTCATACGTACTTTCCAAACTTGACAATAAATTATGAAGAAAAAGAGTCCGCCTATATGCTTATTTACTCTTTTAGAAGGAATACCTATAGATGTCTATACGCCGTCAGATTATAAGAGTTCATCTTCTATACTGGTTTATTTCCACGGTGGTGGACTAGTCACTGGTTCCAGAAGAACTGTGGAAACATTATGTAAAATTATTGCTCGGTAAGCAAAACTGTCATGATCATGTAGGTGATGTTCTACCATTTATTTAAGCAACACTTTTGGGGTAGGGAGCACGGTGACTCAGCGCACAAGGCGTTGCCTTTTCTGTGTCAGTGATGCAGTACGGAGGGCCTGACAAGGAACAAGTTCTAGTCGTTCGGATGGAACGAAAAACCTAGGACCAGTGTACATGTGCACGTTTGCGTGCACATAAAATAACCTTTGACAGTTGGAATTCAATTGCTGCCCGTGAATAATTGCCCTCATAACACACCGTATGGCATATGCCCGTCTTCATATAGTCGACTTGTTGCAGAGAAGTAGGAAGCTAAACCCCATTTCATTCATTCGTTTTTTGGTAATATTAATATTGATCATGGGTAATATTTTTGCTTCTGGACAAACCTTTTTGCTCTGGATACATTTTTGCATGTGGATAATACCTTTGCTTCTATATAATTTGTTATAATATATTATTGTAGGGATGCTAGTTGTATTGTTGTAAATGTGGAATATCGAATGGGACCAGAACACAGAGTTCCTGCTTGTTTCCAGGATGCCAAACTAGTACTGAGATGGGTGAATCTAAATAAAGGCCGATTCGGTAACGATTACATTTATGAGTTGCCAAGCATGATTATGATCTCTTTTATATCGGAACCGGTCGTGGGTCTTTCTAAAAAAACACCTCATTATATTCGTATTATAAAGGGATATAGGCTATTGGGATTATGTATTTGATTCGCCCACAGTATGGATTAGGCCTGTGGAATAAATGAGAATTGGTACGCGATGTTCCAGAACGAGCAAGCACACCCTGTCTTGTTGAAAGCATTGTCATAATTCAACAGAATTTTCTTTTGTCGAAATGCTGCCAAACTATACATTGGGTGAGGTCGTAAATAATCATGACGTAATGCAATATTAGTGTCACTATTTTTTTACCTCAAATTAGGGGTATGCTCGATTCACAGTCCAGAGCGTCCCGAATTGACAGAATTGTTATCGAGTGACGCGGAATTCAGTCCTGTCACAGTTCTGTCAGTCCCGATAACAGAGGTGGTGTGAGTAGAATTGTGACGTAATTTAACACAACGAATAGGTTTCGGCTGCATGGTTGGTTGAGAGTACTTTTCCAGTCGACGCATGCGTTGTAGCCCTAAATACCCCTTTTCACTCGATTGTCACTATTTTGGGGATTGAGAGAATTCAATTCCGGAACGTTCAATCGATCGTACGCCCAGTGTTAAGCCAAAAAGGGAGATAATTACAGCTTTATTTTCATTCAACTGTGGATAAAATAACAAGGTAGAGAGGATCCAGACAACACTAGTGTTATGTTACCCGAAACAAATTCAAACATGGCTTCGATACTTTCTTGGCCGGACCCCAACAAATATCAGATTTTGTGTGTTTTGTATAAATATTGAAGGACTTTTAAAATTGAATAATATCAGACGAAAAAATAACATTTTATGAAAATCAGATAACATCTTAAATCTTACTTTTGACCTCGATAAAGTGTTAACCCCTAGGGGATAGAGGTAGTGTCCTATTGAAGCCCATGTTTAAAACAAATAGGAAAACTTCCACGAGGGAAACACTAGAGTGACACTAGTATTGGATTCACTTCACTTGAGTAATTAAAAACCAAGATACTGTACAAATTTGGTTGAGGTCGAAACAGTGAGTCGGTTAGAGGTAGTAGGCCTATATAATTCTCAACTAATAATGTACTTAGAGGTAGATAGAACAAACCAATATTTATGGAAAATGACCATTAGTTTCAGTTTTAAAATTTAATATAGGGAGAGGGGTTTTACAGAGGCTAAGCCTGTTCCCCAATCCCATTCAGACAACGTGAATAAAAATATTGTTTAAAAAACCCAAACAAACTCAATGTTAATACAATACATATATTTCAGGTGCGTTAAATTCGAGTAAGTTAGGTGTAATGGGTGACAGTGGGGGTGGTCAGATAGCTGCTGCTGTTTGTTATGATGTTAAAGGGATAGATTATCAGGTTTGTAGTGGAAAGACTAGTTACTTACATTATATTATATTATATAACGTTATGCCTATTTGTTTATTGAAAATCAAAACTGTGAATACTATAGCCGATATTCTGTAAATGAAATGAAATGAAATGGGGTTTACTATTGTTCTGCACCGACTGGGCTATTGACGACGGACATACGCTCAATCTGTTTCACAGATGATTAGGAAAGTCTTCTAATATCTCTGTAAAAGATGACTACATTCAACACGTGACGTCTCATCACGCGGCGTCAAACGTTTTTATTTATTTTTCTAATACATAAAAAAAAATGTTTTAGAATTTTATTTGTCGGCTCATTAAGTCACATCGATGTCATCCTTATCAGTGATTGTCGCGGCCTAGCGAATATTCACTGCTGATCAGTGTGGCACACGCTATAAACAGTGTGCTATGAGAGAAATTTTGCTCGGACAGCGGCACTACAGGATCGGGTCTAAACATTAAAGGACAATATTGGTGCCAGTCATTATCACATATGTGATAGAACTAATTAAACACATTCCAAATATAATTTTAACTCAGAGATCATTGCAACGATAGCTGAGTTATACAGGATTTCTGAATCGGAAGTGACGAACGCCAAAGGAAAACACGAGACGTACCTCTATATAACTGGCTGAAGTGCCGACTGATAACAGATACATGGGCGAATTTCTGCTCACTAATAATTCCTTCGAAGACTAAAACAGATACATGGGCGAATTTCTGCTCACTAATAATTCCTTCGAAGACTAAAAGTTTTTGTGTGAGACTGTGAGAGGATATCTAACAATTTATAAAAAGAATTGACTGCGTATAGGATATTAACCTACCCGAGGTTGATATGGTAGAGAACGCGCGGGCGAAGCCCAAGCGTTCTCTACCATATCAATCCGAGGGAGAGTAGGTTTATATCCGACATATACAACGCCATTTCACCCTTAAATTTAATGGGCTCTTCCATTAAAAGGCACCAACGATTGGATAATTGCTCGATAGTTTCCGCCAAATAGCGAAAATTACCGAAGTAATCACGTGCAATTACGTGCATGTTTTTGTTTATGCGTCGTCATTTTGGACTATTGAATTGAAAGCAAAAACAAAATGGATAGTAATACGAAGTCAGACGAATAATCAATCCTTTTTAGCCAACATATTGACGATGGAATAGATGTGAATGCAAATATCGACGAGGATCTATCCAAAGCCTGCAGAAAATTTGGACCAAAAGTCATTCTTTTCCAAGAATTCTGACAGTGAACCATGATTGAAGGTTTTCAGTATGTTCAGAGAAGGATTTGACCGATTGTTTTAAGTGGACTGTACCCAAAAATACTTGGGCGATAAATACTTTCAAGTCTTGTAGTGTGTGGAGAAATAATCGCAATGTGGACGAAAAGAAAAATTCTGAAAGATGTCTTAGACATGGATAACCGATCTAAATACATGTATGTCGATAAGTACGCCGTCTATTTCGGTCCTGAATGTTAGAAATTGTACCATAACAAATTTTAATTGTCAAAAGAATAAAAATTTATTTCTGTGGTTTTTTTGTATTATTTCGATCATCTACGTCATCAGCGGTTGATATGAGCCGAATATATTGACCTGAGATGACGTCATTAGCGGTTGATATGAAATATCAACCTGTCATGACGTCATCAGCGGTTGATATGAACGAATATATCAACCTATGACGATGTCATGACAGGTTGTTATGAGATATAACTGCTATGGACATCAAAGTAAAAACTACCGCCAGTTGTATTACAGTAGATAAGACAACACGAAAGAAAAACAGAAAAAAGTCCGTGCATTACCATGTTTTTATAAGGTAGGGGAAAGCGGGGTTAGTCCGACCCCATTCATATCTCGCGCCCACTCGGCCAAACCTCGGCAGATTCCAGTACCCTAGGCCTAGCCTCGGCTGTATGACAAAGTCCGCCATTTGGACTACTTTAAAGTTCCTGATTACCAACGCCGTTGCCCATGACGACGCATTTAAAGAATGTTTTACCATACAAAGATTTCAAAGTCTGAAGCTGTTTTTCTTTCAAGTTTATCCTATTTCCTTTAGACACAGACCAGTTTGAACCGATAAGTCTACATGCGCTTCGAACGACGCAGTTTTGAGAACTTCTTTCTAAAAGCGGCAAGTTTTCCTAATAATACCCCCGTCAGACCGGGGTAGCGTCCTTACTTCGCTGATACGGCGATGGAAAATAGCTTTAGAGCGCGTTAAGATCGCCATAAGCGTAGTGGAAACGCCAGCTATCGTGTCAATGATCGCCGAGTCACCGCGTTTATTTTGAGCATGTTCAAAGCAAACGCCACGGTTCTGCGATCTGAACTGTAAAACTATGAGAATACGACTTTTTTTTTCAAGTTTGTAGTTTTTGGGGACATTTTCGCGCGTTGTGTTCACGTTTGCCGGCGACCTTGTGCATTTTCTGGTCGCCGTACGGTCGCAGCAGCACAGTAAGGACGTCACGGTCTGACGGGGGCTTAAGTAAACCGGTGCCGCATCGCAATTGTATAGGCGTAGGTACATATCACTTACTGTCATACAGCCGAGGCTTGATGTTCGCCCATTCGGACATGGTAACTTTGAGATGAAATTACTTGTATACGCCTGTCAATAAAACTATTTAATGTATGCCGTAAATTAGCCAACCCCACTGTCTTTAATCTAGTATGGTCTGCGGCAGTGGTTCTCAAACTTTTTGTGCACATGAAAAAACAGCGACACACCCGACTTAATATATATGAAAAATATTTGATTTTTTTGCAAAGTAAAAAACATGGCAAATCATAGACGGCATACAAATGTAGCCACAGACTAGTCATAGACACATAGTATGGCTCAAACTAAACGGCACACATAGGAGGATCTCACGGCACACCTGTGTGCCACGGCACACTGGTTGGGTACACTGGTCTACGGTAACGTAGCTTCAAAAGTTATCGAGATATGTTGGTTTCATTAAAAATGGTGCGAACTAGCCCCGCTCTCCCCTATAGAATGAATATAAACAAGGGAATGTACGGACTATTTCTATTTTCCTCGTGTTCTCTTACCTAATTACATTCAATTACTGTATTGAATTGTCAGCTATCCTCTTACAGTCCAACATAACAACTTTTGGTCTTCGAAGGAATTTTAGTGAGCAGAAATTCGCCCATGTATCTGTTATCAGTCGGGACTTCAGCCAGTTATATAGAGGTATGTCTCGTGTTTTCCTTTGGCGTTCGTTACTTCCGAATCGCGAATCCTGTATTACTCAGCTATCGTAGCAGTGATCTCTCTGTTAAAATTATATTTGGAATGTATTTAACCAGTTCTATCACATATGTGATAATGACTGGCACCAATATTGTCCTTTAAAGCCGGAAAACCTTGATGACTATAAAGGTAACATAATATGAGAGGGTGACCATGATGTCAAAGGGCATTTCACTTGCGTTATATTCAACTAACAATTATTCTTTTGTTTAAGGTTCTAATCTACCCTATGACAGATATGACATGTTCTTTACCTTCGTTTAGTGAGTTTTCAGAAACACCGGGTTTAAATCAATCATCAATTGACTGGTACGTTATTTTAAAGTATAGATAAATCTATGCTACAGCATGTTTATTTTACGCGACAAAGCAATGATAGCTTACAGCAAAAAAAAAAGGTATAATAAGACATTTTAAACACTGACCTTAGCTTCAAGAACAACTTAGGTTACTGATGAGTTACTGATGAGAAAACCCGGAAAAATAAATTTTAAAATTTTCCGCAATCTGGAGTTTGTTTCCTGGCTAACCCACTTTCTTATCAATTGAGTACTGGAATTATACGTAATTCAGAATATTCACTGTCTGAGATTGAGAAATAAGTCACTATGACTCTCAGTCATAAAATGTTACCTTTCTTGATATGATCTACAACGTGCCACAACCATGTACAATTTCCCTGGATAGCCCCCATACCCGCGAATCCCCCGCCCCCAAACCTTTACTAAAATCTGTTTCTATTTTAGGTATATGGAAAATGCTCTTAAAACCGATAAGCAAAAACGGGATGGCCGTTACAATCCCGGTCAACAGATTAGTCAATATAACCTACCTCCAGCATTAATAGTTGTAGCCCAACTTGATCCATTACGTGATTGTAGTTATGGTAAGTATCTCTTACAGTAAACATGACACCGTCTATATGCCAGAGCCATAGACAGCTGAAGTAGAGCATATATTTCTTAATGGGATATTGTACGGCTAGTTCGAAACCATATGCCACTTAAAAAACCATCTGGGATCTTACAGCGTTCCGAGTGGTTGGGATGAACTGTCTGCGGGCCTGCTAAACGCAAAGGCTCTTTCTTTGTCAAAGATTTATAAAAATGTAGCAAATTTGAATTTGAATCCCGTTTTGGAACAAATGACGTTCCGACCACCCAGAAAACTCCATATTATGAAAGTTTTGGTACCGATGCTGAATTTTGCACCGATTCTTTTAGGGACACCCACAGCTGCAGTTGCCTAGCCTAATGTGTCAAAGTGAACAAAAACGCACTCGGCGATGATCCCAGGCAGTTGGGAGGAGTGTGGTTCCCGATAAAAAGGATGATACTGCACTGTGTACGATACACTCTACTTTATTTTACATGTTTCAGTGTACAATCAGAAGCTAATAGAAGCCCGTGTAGAAAGCAGTACTGTTTTAATACGAGGCGCGCCTCATGGATTTTACAATCTTCCAGGTTTGTTACATGGCTGATTAAATTTATATTTAGAGGGAGGAGGGATATTTGGCCAATTTCAATGGTTGATTCATTTGGTGAGATAAACCAAATTCAATATGTTATATTGACCTAAATCAAAGGGTTTAGTTTTTTGGAGAAATTCAATCTAAAACTGGTTACTAAAGTTTAAGGTATTTAAAGGGGGTTGGGTAGTTGAATAGTTAACGCGTGTGTGTTGCATCATAAGGTCTGTCATTGAATCAAGTTCATAAGTGACAAGGAGTAGGGTCGCCTGTCCAACCTCGTTGTTTTTCTCCGGGTCCTCTCACCGCTAAAGACCCTATGTTAGTCACATTGCAGTTTTGATTAAAACTCGGTGTCTTCCGCAGAATCTCGTGGTTATTTTTATGCAAATGAAATGAAATGGGGTTTAACACCCCAACTGTTCTGCTCCGACTAGGCTAATACGCCATACAGTGTGCAATGAGGGGAATTTTTCAAGACAGTGGCGCTATGGCCTAGTCTTATATCGAATTTCAACAGCCAAGGGATATTATGTACACGCCAATATGTACACGGGACCTCAGTTTTACGTCCCATCCGAACAACTAGACAGCTGTTCTTGTCAGGCTCTCCGTCCTGCACCACTGACAAGGGGAAACCACGCCGAAAAATCCCGGTGAACTTTCTCGGTCAACACCCATCTAATTAAAATACAGATCTATATTTCGTTTCGTTTTTTTTATACTTTCGATGGCCTACACTACATGAAGATCTGACCGGTTACAGCAGAAGGTCGCGTCACAGATGGTTTCATTGGCTAATCCATCACGCCATCCAGAACGCAGGTTGTATAACAACTCTTCCAGACCCTAGTGTAGTAAAGTCAAGTAAATCGAAATTTTGAACTATAAAAAAACGAAATAGGATCTGTGTTTTAATCAGATTGGACCGGGAGAGCACCCACGAGCCAGCTTCTTACTCATTTAGCCACCGTGGTTCCCCTTATTCGTATGTGTTAAATTACATTAAAGTTTAAAGCTTATATTAGTTGGGTTTTATCCCCATTATAAAGAACATTATATCTAATATATTACTCATCTTGAAAAATGTACCATGATCTTTTCTAAAGTTCCAATATATTTTTAACCTTTTTTTCAGGATTCTTTGAAGAGTTGTGCACAGAAGCAAATCACCATGTTATAAACTTCATCAAAAGATTTCATAATTCATAAACTGTTACTGATGTAGGGCCGCATTATGACCTTTACGGGCACTAAAAACTATAAATAGACTACTAAACATAATAAAGTAGAAAAAACAACATTCAGGGCACATGCAAGTTTTCTTTCATTTAATAATATTTTATCTTAATAAATGAAAGAAAACTTGCATGTGCCCTGAATGTTGTTTTTTCTACTTTATCGTTGGGTGGGGTGGGGTGTTTTTTTTGTATGCCCTTTTTCAGCTGTTTGCATTATTGTAAACGCGGCTTACCATCTCTAGGAGTCCTTATCACGTGTTTATTTTGCTATAGCACATAATAAATATAATTGTGTGGTTACGTCAATCAGTTTCTCAGCGTAATGGGAAAACCTTCTGTCCACGTGAATATTTAATGCTGATCAATTTGTGATTATGTAAGCAATGTGAGAAGTTGGTCTGAACAGCAGCGTTTCTGGCTTCTTCCAAAAGCTAAAGGTTCTGTTACATCTCTGTCAATATGTACAAGGGTAGACCTTGCGTTTTTTCTATCCGAACGACTAGTCAATTATGTACCGAGCATGAAATATCATTGCATTTAACTAGTGAAATTACATAACAGCATTGGTATGATTGAGATCAAAAGTCGGGTTTCTTAATACTGGAAAACAGGATACTCCAAGTCTAAAGTTGGGCACGGCACAGCATTTAGTTGTTCGGATGATATGTAAAAGCGAGGTTTCGTCTAAACATTGGCTTGCAAGCGAAATTATCCTTGACCGTTGGATTCTGTCCATTTACTTTATTCAAATTCATGAAAACAATGGCATAACAAGGATAATTGGAATACTTTAACAGTTGCTGAATTTCTATTAGGTGGCAGTGACTCAGCTCAAATTTATTTGGTCGCATACATGGTAATAATTGAATATATTTTAGTTCAATTTCTTTTTTTCTTAGACCTTTTATGTAATTTATGTAGTTAAAAAAGAAATCCTGTATTCTAACTTTCTATGGGGCCCTGGCGAATTCACCACTGATCTTGGTTTGCAACATGCAGTCCAACAAATGGTATATTTAGTTACTATATGATAGGTATCAACTTTTCATCAAACACAATGCTAGATAAGATAAAAATCAATTTATTAGAAATAATAATTTCACATCATGAATTTCTTTGGTTGGAATTTTGACATAAATGCTTAACTTCCTGTTCTATAGTAAATAAATGGTTATCTTCTGCATGAGGTGCCAATTGTCTTAAAGATTCAGCAAGATTTAACAAATAGTCTAGGTTTTTACCACTGGGACCTACGGAATAGTATATTTGTGAAGCTATATCCTTGATTGGCGCTGGTCCCAGAAAAAAAGGATTGTCTTCTGTGCCTATATAAAGTATTAGTTCGAAAGGTTCTTTCTCTGATAAAGTTGGATTAAATTGAACAGTGTGTGGTTTATATCCGTCTTTCTCTCGATAATCTAAATATGATCGCACCTGCTCAGCATCATTTTCGTTAACATAGTAAGCCACACCCCATACAACTTCCTAGAAAAAAAAATATTCAATTTAATTAATAATTTAGGGATACTTAAATTATAATTTAAATCCATGATGAATGTGAAGTTTCAAATAATAGTAAAAAAAATTTGGGTGTTTCTGTCTACTCTTATTCTTAGTCAAATTTCAGTCGGGCTTCAGCTCTTCGTTTAATCCAAACTACTAGACGCTGACAAGGGGAAACCACACTGAACTATAGATTGCCAGGCAACGAAACGTACGCCCACAGCAGCTAAATCGTCCATGTGGTCGACAAGGGTTGTCGCATATTTATTCTTTTGTAGTTATTATGAATTTCGTCGTTTGAGCGTTCACAAGGTTCTACGAACTGAAACAAGGAAGTAACTTACAGATATCGTTGAAATGTGACAGGCTTTTTTCGTTTTACTAATTTAAATAATGCATATAAATTTCATACAGATCAGATGATAACTTCTGTCGCTCAAGAGATCACAAGGTTCAACAAAGTAATACAAGGGCCATAACTCTAGAAGTAATAGGCATGAATAGCGGAAATTTAATAGTGTATATAAATTTCATACAGATTGGATGATAACTTCTGTCGTTGAAGCGTTCACAATGTGCAACAAAGTAAAACAAGGGCCATAACTCGAGAAGTAATAAACAGAAATTGCCGAAATTCAATCAGCTTCTTTAATTCACCAATCTAAATGATTTATATAAATTTCATACAGATCGGATATTAACCTTTGTTGTTCGAGCGTTCACAAGGTTCCACAAAGTGAAGTAAGGACCATAACGCCAAAGCACAGCTTAACCGGAGCTGGGTCCTGGGTCTAACTAGAATCGCGGGGCCCCTAACGCAACGAAAAGATTATTTCATATCCTTTTGAATGGCACGCATGTGTTACACACAATTAAACGGTCTATACAAGAATAATTACATAATATCTGATCACATACGAAATCTATTCAGTTCGCGGAAATGACATATAATGGTGGGGAACTGTTATAACAAGTGAAATCACCGGATTGAGTGGAACTTCGCAGGGAAGGTTGAGGGATAACTCAGTCTCCGCCCTCGCGCCGCTAGATCGATTACCGTGAAACTTTCATCTGGAATTTGAATTTTTTTATTTTTGCCATGAACCGCGGGGCCCCCGGAACCCTGGGCCTGGGCCCCTCTGGCCCATGCCTAAGCTGGGCTTTGCATAACTCTAGAAGTAATTAACTGAAATTCAAAAGGCTACTTAGTTTCAGTAATTTAAATAATGTATAATTTCATACAGATCGGATGATAACTTTTTTCGTTAGAGCATTCACAAGGTTCAACAAAGTTAAACAGGGACCATAACTCTAGAAGCAATTAACTGAAATTCGTTTCTTCGTTTCACTAATCTAAATGATGTATATTTCATACAGATCGGATGTCAATCGAGCATTAACGGAAATTGCTGAAATTAAATCGGCTTCGTTTCACTATAAATTTTATACAGATCAGATGCTAATTTTTTGTTGTTACAGCGTTCACAATGTGCAAAACTGAGAAAAATGGGTCATCACTCCAGAAGAATTTAACGGAAATTATTGAAATTAAATAGGCTTCTTCATCTCACTTATGTAAGCAACATATCAATTTAAAAAACAATCAGATGGTACATGTAGTCTGTAGAGTGTTCGTGTTCACAAGAAATGTGGACAACGGGCGGAGCGACGGGGGTGGCGACCATATACGACCACACTTCCATGTGTGCGTATAAATATCCTGAGGAACTTTCTCGGCCAACACCGGCATTGGAACAACCGTTCGAGCTGAAGATATAGTCGTAAGAAGTTGTGGCCATTAGGTTCCACTGGGCATTTTTGCCTCGGGGATATACTACCGATGGAAATTTACGAACCTCGGAAGGCGTCGGGAAGAGGTTCCACTGCCTCCAAGGGAAACTCCGGGGGCTTGCATTGTCGGGAAAACAGGCTCATCAATTTCCATCGATAGTACATCATCAAGGCAAAAAATGCCCTAGGCATTATAAAAACTTCTCTTCAACTTGCCAGTTCCCTTGTGTTCATGCGTATGGTCTTTTTTCGTCTGATAAAAATGGTACGGTTTTCCGTTTTCAAATACAAGCGAAATTCAGATTTCTTAGTTTTATATTTTTTGTAAATTTAGCCATAAGTTGGCCTACATAAATATCCATAAAGAAAAAGATTTCTATGAATGCTGTACACTATTCTACGTTTTGTAATTGTCATTCCCTTGTTGTGTTATCAGGGTTTCAATGCTAATGCTCGCTTAACCAGTCACTGTAAAATATACAGCGGGCTGCTTAAATTGTTTTCTTTCTTTATATGATACATAACCCCATCTTCAAAATCTAGTGTGCATCGTAAAAAGTAAACATAAATTGCTTGCAAACAGGTCGTTTGGTGTAGCCAAATGTGAAATAAAGGGTTAGACAGTGTTAAAAAAAGAAAAAAAAAGAAGGATTAGAGCATTCATAAGGTTCAAAAAAAAAAAAACCCATTCATTTTGAAAATCATTTGAGTAAGAATCTAAGATGTAAAATACCATTGATTGAATACCCGTCTCAAACTACCGAACGCAATACAAAATGAAATATTAATTTTATGATAACTGTTTCTTTCAGTTAACTTACATCTTTATCAGGCACCAGAGTCACAACCCTACCAGGCTGTAAAATAAAATAAAAAATACATGAGCACAAAAAAAAGAGAGAAAAAAAGAAACATACATCATCAAGGTGGCCATATCCAGTCATTGCAGTAAATAATTCTTCTAAAACTTTATAAAGGGATTATATTTATAGCCATTTTCAGATCGTTAACGGTAGAGAAATACAGTAATTACAGATATTTTAGGTATAACTTGTATGTGCTACATTCGTATGTAATTATCAGCGTACGCATTTCTTGCCAAGATCAAACAAATTGCTTTTCAAGTTTACCGTATAGTTTTGGAAAATTACATGTCCCGAAATTAACCCATTGATTTTGAAATATTGAAGTATTCCAGTAGCCGATCTAGAGGAGGAGGAGGAGGAGGAGGAGGAGGGGGGGGCGGGCGGGGTGTTCTAAATCTAGGGCGCCATCCACAATCCCACCCCACAATGAATGTCAACGAAATACATAATAAAATGCATAATATGATAAAATGACAATGAGCTCCCCAGAATAGAGCATTGATCGTATTGCCTATAGAGTTTTTCGCCCATCATTATCTCGCCCGAGAACAGTTTTATTCAAGTTGACATAAAGTTCATGTCATAAATATTATGATTGTTATTATTTTATTGTGAACCCTAGGGAATGGCGAATGGCCTCATCTCATGACTGTCAGTTTTTGATATTTTTAATTTCATGTTGATATAAGACAAACATTATTAATGTGGACATTTCTAATACGGACTGTTCGGTCGTGTATGTGCAGTGATAACAGTTTGGGTATATAAGGTTGATTATTTCATATCTGCATATATACATGCACATTATACATAATCATGTTTTATCTCTTTCTTGTTATAAAAGGCGTTTTTATCGACTTGCCAAATCGATTTGTATTTAATAGAGTGGAGATGTCATGTGACAGTGTATAGTCGATTTGAACGTATGCCATACTTTGACGAGTCCGATAAATAGGCGGCTTAATTACGCCGAGTAGCTGTAAACAATTCTTGTGGCATAGTTGACCCCCCCCCCCCCAAAAAAAAAACAACAAACAAACAAAAAAACAAAAAACAAAAATAAAAAACAAAACAAAAAAAAAAACCACGTGATCACCCGATCAAATCGTACCTGGAGTTGATTAGGCGATTTGTGGTAATTGCCTAATAATAGTAATATGGTAATCTCTTCGGAAATCGCTTTGTTTATCGGTGTCGATAAATTCATTGATTAGGGTACCCGGTAATCAATTTGAATTAGATGGACGTTACAGATGAAAATTTGATTGAATGCAAATCACTTTATATCAGTGGTCAATAAAAAAAAGTCTTAGGTAGGCAATATATAAAATTTGTTTAATGCTTGAATCACCTTGCCTGGAACTCCACGGTGGTCTTCACTTCCCTGCCAAAATCGACGGGCAAAACCGCTTACAAAGCCAACTAATTTCGTTTCATATGGGAAATCTGTTTTCCATATAAGTGAACCATAACCGAATACCCACATTCTTTATCATAAATTCCTGATATTTTTAATCTAGGTGGATAAAACAGATATTATACCGGTACGTGTCATTTCACAATGACAATGATCTACTTAGATACTCAATGACGTATATTAACTGGCCGCGCGCATGTCCAATCTTGACAGCATACCAGTCATAACATCCGGTTCAGACAGAAGGCGGGAAATATGATAAGCGTAACAGTGCCGGGAATCCTCGTATTTAAGCCCTGCCGTTATTAAGCCCGTGGACTAAATAACGAGTTTAAATTTCGAATTTAAGCCCATGGGGTTAAATTTAAAATTATTTTAGAGTAGTCTCCCTTTTAAATTTTCAAACCACATGTGAAATAGGCTATATGAGATGTTCTCCAGTCACATTCTTTTAACTGGAGAAAAAAATCTTTTATTTGAAAAACTCCAATGACTTGTAAGTCAGTAAGGATTCGTAACCTAGGACCAATATTTCCTTAAAAACAGCTCAAATATCCAGATTCTGTCTAAAATGGACAGATGAGATTTAGCTAAACTCGAAATGCTTATGCTCAGTGTGCCCCTCTGAAATGTGCCCCACTGTCACCAACCATGTCAGAAAATCGAAAATGGCAGAAAGACATGTGATAGTATTATGAAACAAAATATTTCTAATGAGAGTCAAATACTATCTCCTTCACCTGGGATTTCAAGTTTGTGGACTCTTACAAAATCTGGAGTAGCCAAGCAGTTTAACCAGTCCGCCAAAAATTCACTTTTGCATCAGAAAAACAGTTAATGGCCGATAAATATTAATCAGCTTACGTGAATTTATTGAATTTAGGAGGACAAATGGGGGCCGTATAGGGGAATTCCCCAGTGATGTCACAATTGAATTTTCCCAAAACAGTTAAAAATTATAAAGCCTGGCTTACTGTGCCCCATGGCTTACTGTGCCCCGCTCTCTCCTACTAGTAAAAGCTAGCCTTGAGATCTGATTTGTTCAAAGAACTTTGAAATTTAAAGTTTATGGACAGTTTCTTTTTGTATTTCAGAACATTTATGTGACGGTGTATCACAAATGTGTTTTAAAAGCCATTTTTGTTGATGCATTTGGTTCGTTCCATTTAAAATTATAAAAAGAACCCAAATGTTTGTCGTTTTTTCCTCTTTTCGAATTTAAGCCCTAGGCTTAATTTCAGAAGAAATTTTTCATCACTGACATGATCAAATTCGAAATTAAGCCCAGGGCTTAAATACGAGAATTCCTGGTAGGCTACACTAACAGTTCCCAACCCTTTTATCCTGCCATTCATTGGATATATGTATTTGTTTATTTATTTATTATGATTACATCGCGTTGTGCTGTTGTGTGTACCAATAGAGATGAAAAATCCAAATAGGCCTAGGTCAACGGTAGAATTTTCAAATGGCACGACAGGTGTCATTTCAACGGTCGATATTCATACAAGACAAGTTTTATAATTATCCCTAGGCCTACTTGAATTCGAAAATCACTAGGCTTTAAGTCCGTATTTGTCTTCATTAGAATAGCTGTCGATATTTTCAATAATATGTCATTGATCAAAAATAAGATACATCATATCATGTACATGTTGTAGTGTCTACTTAGTGTAAAAATGGGGTCTACTGCTGTAGCAGGAAAGGGGTATCTTACTCTGGAATCGTACTTGTTAAAAATTAATGTTACTTCTGAATAGTAACGTTAAAATCGACTTGCAAATACACAGGACCTCATATTTTTCATCCCATCCAAATTTCTAGACAGCCCCGTCCAGCACCACTAACAATAAGTTGAATAGGCCTAAGGGAAAAACACGATCGATCGAGCCCAAGAACCTCCAGGTTACCTAGCGCCTTACTCTCTGTCCAACACGGACCCTGCAAGGTGAAACAATTAACAAAGCGAAAAGCTGAAATCTTAGCTAAAAACAAACACATAATATATGTTATTGACGGTCATGTTGGTAATTGCTGTATACTCTGTCGAGTCATGGGCGGATCCAGAGACCACGGTCTCACTAGAGCTGGGCGATATCCCTAGAGTAGAATTTAGAAACAGATATCGCGATATTTTTTGAAAATATATATGTGGATAGAACTCAATGACCATTGAAAAACCCGAGCGGTATTCAATGGTCATTGAGTTCTGTTTTTAGTCTAACTACATGCAAATCCCAAAAATGTTAACATTTATCATACGTGACGTCACAGAGTAAAAATACACAGAGTGGCGACTCGCATTACGGCCCATAGAAACACAGCGACGCGTAATGCATCTTGGGAATTGTCTGTAACAAACACACTGACAGTTCGCTCAACGACGTTACAATATCTATATCGATGAACTAAATCTCTTTAATTTCATAGTTTTATAGTATTTTCGGTAACAAAACTAGGCTGCTGAGAATTATCACATACAATCATAGTATGTTAGTTGTGTGAGTGTTTCGGGAATTTATAAAACATGATTCATATTTTTAAAACATGCATGTGGTACGGCCCGGAATGATTAAGTGAGAGTGAGACGGCATTTGTGACGGTTTATGAATTGGTTATTTAAGGCCGTAAATTATTGTCGATTTTTACGAGGTTTTATTAACTTTGAAACTATTCCACCAAATACTTCTTGTTTCCATTCCTAGATTTGAAATGTAATTTCCATACACCTTAAAATGGGCCATTTGAAAATGTCAAAGTGCCACGCTCTTTTATGGATAAAGCCTATTTTACTCAACATCAACATGATTTATTTTTTCTCCCAAAGAAAAATTCCTTTGTCTTCTAGAGGTTATTACTGCGTGCTTCTCTTATTTATGTTATGTTAATAAAGTAAGCTTTATTAAAATATAAAATAATTTAAGAATATTAAAATTGAATTTCAAATAGGCATTTAACGTTTAGGAGATAAACACTTCCTGTTACGTATTTAGAGGGGGTTTATTGTCCATTTAACCATGCTTGAATCATTAGAACACGAGACGCGATAGGGTCGAGTTGTTCTAATGGATAATTCAAGCATGGTTAAATGGACAATAAACACCCGATAAATACGTAACAGGAACGTGTTTAACGATATTGTAGCACAAATATTTGGAGATTTTCTTCGGATCTATTTAGGAAACATTTTTACACCCATTTTAAAAAGTCGTTATTTGGTCACGCGCTTGCGTTCATTTTTCAAAATATTTTCAATAGATTATAGACGGTCTCTTGCTTACCTGCAAATTTAAAATGTTGAGTCTCGAGTTGCTAGTTAATGAATTATGAAAGAAAATGTTATTCGGATATCGACAACAAAAAATACTTTTAATGTTTGAAGATTTTTAAAAGAACAAGAAATTAGTATTATTGCGGTATTTCGAGACGAGTGTCAGCCATAGGACATACTAATAATATAGACTGATAACGTCATCAGATCAGTGACGCCACTGTCCGCCATATTGGACTACCCCTCGATGACGTTTGCGCTATTGATTTCATTATAAAAAGTTTTATTTTACGGTGCAGTTTAATTCGTACAATAAATGTTTCATAAAAACCTAATACTTATGAATTTCCTTTCACATTCTTGGTATTTTATTAAATATTTTTAAGAATCAAATACTTATAATTTTTGTGTCTTTTTATTGTTATTTCAATTATATTTTGAGTTTGTTTTCTTATAAAAGCCCAACAATTCTACTACTGTACTACTACTAGTACTACGGAAAGTAATCTGTATTATTATGTTGTTTCTTTTGTATAGAGTTTCCTTGTAGGTCTATATTTATTAAATGAATTTCGTTTGCAAATTGTATGCTTGATAACGACCAGTGAAATCTTGTCGAAACGTGTGTATATATAATATAGTCATACCTATTAAAACCCAGCGTACAATTGCTGCAAAGAGTTACGCAAGAAATCGTAGATAGACAATGGATGAAGGGGACAACAACATATGTTCAGATTATGTAACAGTGTAGCTCTGAGGTGGTGCCATACTTATCACAAGGAATCGTTGACTTTCAGAAGGACAGAGGTAAAGCAACACTTATTTTTATGACGGGTGCCACTGAAAATGAGAAATGGTAGACCTGCCACTGGTTGCCAGTCAATTTACCTAATATTTATTTTAAATCACGGTCTTAATTTGGTCAAATTTCAGTGTAAATGTCTGACAGGCTGGTTTTTGAAATGAGAAGCCTGATGACAACTTACATGTGTGTTTATAAAAAAAACAACTATGAATGAACATCATATAACTGTTAATTTACTACAAATAAATCATTACAACATGTAGATTTTATATAAAAGAAGTGAATTAAGGCAAGATGAAATATAATCTCAAAGTATAAACCCCAAAGTATTTTGCACATCTCTTCCCTCATAGCTTGCACGCTTGGTTTCTTCCAGTATAAAACGGTGGACACACACTAGCTGAATGATTCGCCCGAATCAAACATGTTTGATTATTTGCCTAATGTGTCTGCTTCGCCGAAGAATTCGCCCGATTGTAGAATTCATTATCCAATCACCACTCATTTCGAGAAGTTACGTGATTGTTTGAAGACATGGTCTCGGCCATGTTTAATCATGTGACGTGAAAGGTGATGCAATCAACTGGTGAACTGGGCGAAGGATTCACCTAGTGTTTCCACCCATTCGGCCGAAGACAGAATTCAACGTCAAATAATTCAGCCAAACATGTCCACAGCTTTCGTCTGCAACTTCATTCATTCGAAACAACATGATGGTGGCATTACCACTAGCAGCCCTTTGTTATCCTTACACTGTTATTAATCTTCTGTGATCCCCAGCTTTTAATATTTGAATAAAACCCGTAGTAAACAATTATTACTTGTATATTTCCACTGATGTTTGGTCAAGTTACTATCTAGATAAAAAGATTTTGAAGGAAACATATAAAGACACTGAAGTCCAATCATCACAATAGAAATATCACAAAATATATCATATTAAACATTTGTTTAATTGTCATTAAATAGATTTATAAAGATTTCATTGACAGTAAAAGATGATAGAAGCGTTGTAGTAATTTTGGATAAAAGGGTCATTCCTTGTCAAATCACCCAATGGGTTAAACTGCCTTAAACCATGCCCCTTTGATTTTGCTGCAATCTGGTTTATTTGCTAATTCAAATGCCCATTGCTCAAAAACTGATTTGTCAAGATTGCTAAAATGGGAATTGCTAGAAGGTCAATTCAACAAGGATTCATAATTAGACCAATTTTCAATGGACCATATCCCAGGAACAGTAACTCTAATCAAGCTGAAATAAATTTGGAATATCAGCTAAGTCAGCCAAATTGAGCAGGAAAATCAAGGGTGGGGGGTTACCAATTACTTTTTCAATGACGCAGAACTACCCCAAACTTTCATTTAAATTTAACAATTATGCCGACAGGTATTTTGTACTGATCACAATTTACGGTTATCACCAGCATCTATACAATAAAATAACTAGGAAATCAACAATTAATAAAATATATAAAACATATAACAATTATTATAGATATAACAATTAATTTAATGGTAATATATGTTATTATTAAAAGAGCTATTTACATTATAAATATTCTATATACATTTTACTACTTATATTACAAAACTTGTAATAAGAGATATTTGAGCCAAATATTATCCTGTGATAATAAAAATAAGGCCTACAAATGCGTCTTTAACACACAGGGATGACTATGTCATTATTCAACATAAGGCGCTTTTCAATAAATTATTCTTGCGTTATATAGCCCTAGTCAATGCACGGTGCGCTTTTAATTCTGAAAACCAGAAACGATTATTGGATTGAAATATCTCTGGTTGCCTACTTCTAGTGAGTGGTGATGCAGCTTAGTCGTCCATGCTTTGACCATAAAACCTATTTTTGTAGAAATTTTAAAGGCTTGATGCATCATTGCCTTTTCGCTAAAATAATACAAGCTGAATATGTACTCAGATTGATTATTTATCATTGGATTCGATCGGATTTGAATTAGGCCAATCAAGTTTCTCTGCTAGGAATAAAAGATGAGGGTGTCTTGTTACGCTTGAGGCAGCATAGATCAATGAAATTTCAATTTATCATAACTTTGTAAATACTGAATGGGATGGAACCAGTTGTGGACTGATATTTCTAATAGAAATTAAACAATCACAATTTTGTAGCTTGCAAGGTATTCCTATAGAGCTAAATGATGAATCCAGGTCACCGACCTTATCTGGTTGTCAAGATTAAAGAGCAATACCTTCTCCACAAGGCTATAACAAAGTGTATTCTATATATATATATATATATATATATATATATATATATATATGTACAAAAACAATGAGATATGACATCAAAGTATAGAAATTTAATTTAGAGAAAGACTTTGTGTTTGCCATCGATGGGATTTAAACTCCTGACCTACTGCATCAACGTGTGTAGTCTACAGCCGTTTAGCTCTATACCCACTGTGCAATATCCCCACCCACAGTCGTCTGCCTTTTCCCTTTAGTGAACCATCCTTTATATAGATGAGGATATCGCTCAGTCGGTAAAGCACTAGAATACTGTAGGCTTCAAGGTTTGGTGTGAAAGAATCAAAGTTTGAATCCCTATCTTTATATTTACAAAATATACAGGTCCAACATTATACAGTCAGGTCAAATATAGCTATTTGTAAATGATAATATGTTAGAACTGGTTTGAATGTATACATACAGTATCATTTAATGGGAAAAATTTAAAGTTTGATACGATTCATCACAGTGGTATAATTTCCCCTTAATATACTTGAAAGGCAAAGAGTTATTATTTCTGTCTAGTTTCATATTCACAAATTTTCAATGTCTTCAGATATGCAATTGAAAAATGAGGATTTCTTAGGATTTCATTCATTGCCTTGTGCCTCAATGAACGTCTGCTCAAGTGTGAAAAAAATAATTCCAAGAAAAACATGCCTAAGATATGTCAAGAAATAATTTCAACATATTTTCACGACTGATAACTCTGAGATAATGGTAGAATTATAATCAAATTCATATCAATCCAAGATCATTGAAAATTTGAAATTGGATAACTGTTGAATCTAGTGCTTTCTGTAGACGGAAGGATGGACAGTGGTAACAACAATATAGATGTACATTAAAGATACATTATGCAAAATTAAGATAAAGAGCTGACCATTCTTTCTATAATAGCTCAAAAATAGATAATGTAAAATGAAAATATTGAAAATTTCATTCAAATTATTTAATTCTGTGCCAAATTATCACTGTTTTTAGTTTGACAAGATGTGTGCATTGTGGTAACCAGGGTACAGGTATATTCGAGACTTGGCCTCGATTTCCCATTTTTAAATTAAATTAATCTAGTTAAAATCTCAAGTATCCGATGCCATCAAGAGTTGATTATGTACTTGTTTTGTTAATAAATGTCTAATTAATAGTTTATATAACATTTCAGGCCTAAACAAAGACCTGCAATAGGCAGACCGGGCATAATGTATGTTTAAAATGTTTGAGTCAAATATATATAACTGCCATTTGAAACCATCCACAATTCTAATATCATTGTTCATTCCATATATGACAGCAGCGCTACCGCTTACTCTTACATTGAAATCTGACTGCCAGGGGATCTTTTACGTGCACGCCAATGTGTACACATGACCTAGGTTTTTTCGTTCCACCCAAACAACTATACATTGTGTCTTGCCAGGCTTGAAAATCTTGATGAACTTTCTTGGCCAACACATTGAATACAGGACCTTCAGGCATAAAAGCAGGGAATCGAAACCATGCCACTTGACACAATAATAATAATAATAATAGTAATGATATTTGTATCGCGCAACTGTTCAATACACTAGGGAATGCACTAGAAAATGTTCTCACTTTGGAGTGTTAATGATATTGTCTAAAAAAAACAGGTTTGCACTTTGGATTTAAACACTGACACAAAATAATATTGTTGGATATTTTCGGGAAGTGTATTCCCCACAAATGATGCACTGCATGGCAGACCATATGATTCAACGCCCACACTTTCAACCATTTGGCCACCCAACTTCACAACAAAAAATAAATAGGTATAGGTAGGAGGAAAATAAAGACCATTGATCTTATGGGTAACCAGTTATCAATTTCTAAGGCGGTACATTTTTCTTCGTAACTGTACTTTTTTTTCTTGGATCACTAGCAAGAATATATACCCCTGAACCAAGAGGATTCATAAGTATTACAGTTTATTTAAGGTACCTAATCTATAATAACAGATCTCTCACATGACCAACATTTCTTGAAATATCTGAGGATATTCTAAATCTGGGTACATTGCTGTTAGTCCAACCAAAGTCTGCCCATACTGCAGACTTGCAAGAGAAAATTCACCAAGTCGTAACAATATAACACCATATCGTACAGCTCCATTATCATACGAATCTGTAACAGAATATTATAATAAATGTATAACAAAGTAAACAAGCCAACAGTGAGTTGGATGTCCCCTGCCGACATCCAAAAATAAACAGATGACGACATACTAATTAATTGCACATTTATCTTTTTGAAAAATATCAAGCAATCAAACCTGATTATCTATTCTTAGTCTAAGCAGAAAATATTCACGATCGAACTCAGTCAAAGTTTTGAAGTATCTGGTAGTGAAACTATACACTAAGTTTCATCACTCTCCATCAAACAGAATCAAAGTTATCTTGTCCCAAAGGATCGACCAATGAAATTGCTTAGCTTTAGCGTAAAATGTTAATCCTTGAACTCAGTCAAGACATTCACAAAAGCAGAGTTATTATGTTCCAAAGTCTTAACCAATCAAATTGCTTATCTCTACTTAGCTTAAGCAGAAAATTCTCATCATCGAACTTAGTCAAGGTATTGATATAATGCATCTATACTCAAGAGTTTCATCGCTCTCACCCAATTAGACCCAAAATTATCGTGTTCCATGGTCTTAACCAATCAAATTGCTTATCTCTACTTAGTCTAACTTCTTATCATCGAACTTAGTCAAGGTATTGATATAATGATTCTATACTCTGAGTTACATCACTCTCAACCAACTTGAACCTAAGTTATCTCAACAAATCAAACTGCTTATCTCTGCTAGGCCTTAGTGGGAATTGCATTCACCTAATAAAGCATTCACCTAATAAACACTTACATTCTACATCAATTAGAAGAAGAGTTACTGTGTTTCAAAGTCTCGACCAATCAGATTGAATTATATACTAACCCTAAGCAGAAAATATTCATCACCGAAGTTAGTCAAGGTATTGATTGAGGTAATGAAACTATAGACGCAGTTTCACCAGTCTCACTCAATGTGAATCAAAGTTATTGAGCTCCAAAGTCTCACCCAATCAAATTGCTTATCGCTCTGTTTACCCAGAGCAGAAAATTCTCATTATCGAACTTAGTCAAGGTATTGATGTGATGAAATTATACACAAAGTTTCACCACTCTCACTCAATTAGAATAAATGTTATCGAGCTCCAAAGTCTCGACCAATAAAATTGCTTATCGTTCTGATTACCCTGAGCTGAAAATGCTCATTATCGAACTTAGTCAAGGTATTGATGTAATGAAACTATACACCAAGTTTCATCCCTCTCACCTAGTTAGAACCAAAGTTATTGTGTCACAAAGCATCAACCAATCAAATTGCTTATCTCTGCTTACCCTAGGCAGAAAATGCTCATCTTTGAACTCCATCAAGGCATTTACCTAATAAACACCCACACCAATGAACACTCTAGTTCAATTAGGAGAGTTATTGTGTGCCAAAAAGTGTGACAGACAGATTTTAATAGTCCCCTGCTGTCTTCGAAAGGTAGGGGGCGGGGGCAAAAAGGGTTGGGGTGCACAAGTTTAGATTTGTTGTTGATTCCATGATGTAGTACGGTTTTTCAACATGGTTAATAAATTTAAGTATAGGTTATCACAAATAATTTAATTATAAATATGATAGTTAAGATTTGAACTATATATAAAGTGAGCTATATTTAATTTTTAACAATCGGTTGCTGTGCAAAATACGCCCACAGTTTGCAAGAGATAGACAGAGAACAAGCTAAAAAAGGGATTTTTGATACAACTTAGGCCATAATTCGGGCCGTTGCAGTGCGATATGTATGAATATCGAAAAGAACCAAGATCTTTTGGATATAAACATATATTTTAAGTTTCATCAAAATCAGATCAAAATTGTGACTGTAGAGTGTCCACAAACAAATGTGAAAGGATCCCATATTTTCATGGCAAGATAACAGCATCAATATTGATTGAAATGGTCAGTGGACCAATATTGAATTCTTATTTGTGAATTTAATTTCGAATATTAAGGAAAATACTGATTTAGAGGTATAGCTCCTTTAAATATCAACTGTAAAAAAAGTAGTAACTGGATAGTACTGGTATGTTCCAGTACACCAGCACACATTCATAACTTACCCAATATCAAGAGGACTATCAGACTATTCACCAGTTGGATCTTTATGAACAAAGGGACATAACTTTTGTTTAACAAAATGACAATTTCAATTAAAATGACACAACCTCTTTGATTTAGGTCACAAATTAAAACTGATTTAATCGAATTTTATGTGATGGTAAGATAATAACATCAATATTGATGGAAATAGACTAATATTGAATTCTAATTTGTAGTTTTAATTTTCAATATCATGGATAATATTGAGTTAGAGGTTTAGCCCCTTTATAATATGACTTAATTCAAAGAGATTTAGTGCCTGTAAGTGACAACAAACCTTCTTCATATATTCTCAAACACTCAGTTATTTTTTCCTGTATTTGGCCCATCTGAACTCTTTCTTCAGCTGGTACATTTTCTATTCAAAAAGAAACATAAAGAAATGTAAAGGAAAAGCGTGGAAATATCCCCCCACACAGCAACTTTGTCTAAAGAAAAAAAATAGACAGCTCAGTTTAAAGCAGGGAAACTTGGATGTTGACCAAATCTGGCAAGGATTTTTTATCAGCTGTACTATATACCAATATAATCAGAAAAATTCCGAAAAAAATCCGAAAAGTACTGAAAAAACCTTTTTTGAACCTAATTACTGAAAAAAGCTGAATAGTCCTAAATTCGAAAAATCACTAAATACTGAAGAGATAGGTTACCAGGCAACGAAACATACGCCCATAGCAGCTTAATTGTAAGGGCAGTCAACAAGAGTTGGCACATATTTTTACTTTTTTTGGCAATGAAACATTTATAATACACTAAAATCTGATTAAGAGTAAAAACTCATTAAGTAATTATCAGAAGACCATTAGAATTTGTTTGGTTTTTATAAAGTTCTGCCCCATACTAACGTTTAGTATACGAAACATTTAATATCATGGATTTAGCTGTTCAAGTTATCAAAATTCATTGAAAATCAATATACTGGCTCGTCTCAAGACCTTAAACTCTGTGTATCAATCTGAAGTCAATCGAGTCATAACCTTGGCATCTAGAACGTCCACAAGATTTTTTTGAAGTGATCAAGGGCCATAACTCTGGCAGTAATTATCTGAAATTGCTGAAAATCAATAGGCTTCTTCATCTCATGACCTTAAACACTGTGTATAAATTTAAAGTCAATCAGATATTAACTTGAGCCTCTAGAGCGTCTACAATTGTGGATGCCGTACGGGGGCGACAACAATTCAAATGTGGGCGTATAAAAACAACATTAATTACCGAAAAAACCTAGTCTACACATAAAAATTGTAGAAAACTCTAGGTCACGTATGAAAATATTGGACACTCTAGGTAGGAAATGGGTCTGCTAGGCCACACAGGAATATAGTGGGACACTCTTGGTTGGTCATGGATCATGTCAGGTCACACATAAGACCACGTCCTACATGCAGAAAAACTGTACAAGGGATCGGGACTGCATTCACTGTAATACGCGCAAACGTTGGTTTCATTCCACGTGTGCAAATGTATATTGAAGACCTACTTCCAGCCTGGGGAAAGGCAGGTTATTTTACGTGTGGACTTATGCCTTTATTGGTGACTTTACTTTCAAGTTGAAAGTTTCAACTACATGTATGATGGATCATTCCTGGGTGAGTAGATTACTACCAGTTTCATTTGAAACTTTAACTCTTGTAATCCCTCAGTGAAAGTTTCAGATATTAGCCATTGCCCACCTAGAGTGTCCACCATTTTCATGCATGACCTGGACTTCCATACAAATTTTATGTATGGCCTGGACTAACTCATGACCCATGGGTTTTTTTTTTGTTGGTAATTACTGGTAGTGTGTTTTTTTCAGTACTTGTATTTAGTGATTTTTCAGTATTTAGGGTTTTCAGATTTTTTTCGGTAATTAGTGTCAAAAAGTTTTTTCAGTATTTTTCATTGTTTTTATCGGTACTTTTCAGTGTTTGTGCTATATTTAGTACAGCCCTTTTTTATGCCATCAAGAAATCTGATCTGAAATCACTTTTACAGGCTTTCTGGACACCTAATACATCTCTAGAATGCTGGTTCAAAGCAGAAATGCTCATCACTGAACTCAGTCAAGACATTCACCTAATGAACAACTACACCTAGTGTGAACATTTCAGCTCAATTACAGGTCTGTGTCCCAAAGTCTTGACTAATTAGCAGAAAATGCTCATAACTCAACGCAGTCAAAAAATTTGCAAAATGAGCAACCACACCAGGTTTTAACATTCTACCTCAATAATTGTGCAGAAAATATTCATCAACAAACTTAATGAAGGCATTCACTCAATTAACAACTACACCAAGTTTGAATATTCTAGTTCAGTTAGAAGAAGAGTTATCCTATCCCCAAAAGTGTAACATAGACAGACAGATGGACAAACTTATTTATAATAAGGACAAAAAATCACTTAGATAAATAAAAAAATTAGTTTGATTAATAAACTATAAACATAATTATGGAAAACAGCTACTGATTTATTTAGGCGACATTTCGAAGAGTATTCTCTCAACGTTTTCAAGCTAGTTTGATTAAGTTACCGTCAGATTAGAACAGCACTGTACACAATTGTGTGTCTAGAGGAAAAAAATGATAAAATATAAAACACAAATGTCAATACCTTCATCAGTCAGTAATAAAGCTGTCATGAGACAGACTTCTGTATAATCAAGACTTAACGAATTCACTATCGTTCCAATATGAAGAAGATGTTGATCAACCGTTTCTAAAGGCGGGAAAAATGACAGAAGTTGCTGGTGTTCTTCCGGCAGAATGTTTAAAAAGTTGAATTTTGAGGACCAATCATGATCTTTGGTTGCTACTAGTAGTAAAACAATAGGATAGCATGATAACTGGATCATCGAAACTTGTGTCTTCATACTGAAGGTTCGGAATCCTGAAAAAAAGAAATCATTAAGCTGTTAGCTAAGGTTTTTTAATTCGGTTTTTCCTTATGACTAGCCTCTGCAAATTTAAACAGATCTGTCAAGAAACCCGACAATAACCTTTATGTGGCATTTAGAGATTGAAGAACACATTAAAAAGAACACATGGGATATCAATCACTGGTTTTATTCTAAAAGCAGAACGTTTCGACAAGCATCCTGTTATCGTTATCAAGCACAAGGACATTTAGTAAACTCAAGGTCAATATGTATGTTCATTCATACTCACTGACATTGTCAACACACATTACTCACAATCCCAATCGTCCTCACATCATTATTCAGCACAATGACATTTAGTAAACTCAAGGTCAATATGTATGTTCATTCATACTCACTGACATTGTCCACACACATTACTCACAATCCCAATCGTCCTCACATCATTATTCAGCACAATGACATTTAGTAAACTTGAGTTCAATATGTACGTTCATTCATACTCACTGATATTGTCCACACACATTACTCGCAATCCCAATCGTTCACACATCATTATCGAAATGAAATGAAATGGAGTTTAACGTCCTACTGTTCTGCTCCTAACCTGGGCTAATGAAGACGGGCATACGCCATACAGTGTGCTATGAGGGAAATTTTGCCCGGACAGCGGCACTACGGCCTACTCTTATATCGAATTCCAACTGCCAAGGGATCTTTTACCTGTACGCCAATGTGTACACGGGACCTCGGTTTTTCGTCCCATCCGAGCGACTAGACAGCTTTCCTTGTCAGCCCCTCCGTCCTGCATCACTGACAAGGGAGAACCACGCCAGAAAATCTGGATGTACTTTCTCGGCCAATGCAGGGATTGAACACCTGACCTCCAGGCTAGCGAGCTAGCGTCTTACCCACTTAGCCACGTGATCCCCATCATTATCGAGCACAGTGACATTTAGTAAACTTGAGTTCAATATGTATGTTCATTCAGACTCACTGATATTGTCCATACACATTACTCGCTATCCCAATCGTCCACACAATGAGAAAGACCCTCACTTGTGTAGCACTTTTGTCATTGAGACAATTTTGGGTTATTTGTAAAATTGTTTCTTCACTCTGTCTATAGAGTCAAGTCTCACATACTTAATGAACAAGAATATATAGTTATACATAAATAACAGTGATATTTTGGTTAAATCATAATCATTGTCAAAATATCCATCAAATTCTAGCTGTTTATTGACCCATGGAACTTGGTAGACCAAAAATAGGTAATGTCTCCTATTAGTGGTGGGAAATAAAGAGTTTTATTCCTTATATGGGATGGAAATTAACGTCAAGGTTATCTTAGACCGTCAGAAATTATGGGGTATAAATTAGGGTGTAGAAGCGAGTTGGATCAGAGCTCACCCGGAAATTCCTAGCAGCCATTATCATTGAGAACGAGGAACCTGCAAAGCCATTACAACTTAGAAATAAAGTTGCGAAACTATTTTATGCTGTAGTCTTGTTAAAGATCACCAGAAACTAAACACAAGAAGAAGAAGTCCTATAGTACTACAGTTGGCTGTTCTTGTGACTTGAGTGCATTTGAATAAAGTCAAATCGACTTAAGATCAGACGTATGTCATCATCAGCAGTCGAAGAAGATTTCTTACTAGAACTCCTCAATTTACATTGTTTTCTTTTTTGCTCCACAGTTTTGTCTTCATGAAAGACTAAAGCAATGGATGGTTAGTTATGTATGGTAAATAGACAATGAGAAACAGCAATTACAAGCTGAAAATGTATTCTCTCTTAACAGGGACCGTACACATAAAATGCCTGGATGATTTTCCTATTCACACCTGGATTTGTATTATTATAGAAATTTATTATTGGGAGTAGTGATTTATGGTTTATTTTATATTTTGAAAAATCTTTTTGTCTCGTTTTATGATAATTTTATGAGAAATAGTGAAATTTTATATTTTTTTATGATATTTTTCCATTTTATGATAGTTTTATGAGAAATGACGAAATTTTATGAAAATATAAATGTTTTTATATTGTACGGTCTCTGCCATAATCAAGTCATGAGATAAACAAGACTGATCAAGATCAAAATAGATTCTCGTAGTATTGGGTAGTTTTCTTTCTATTAAAATGTTTTTGAGAGGAATTTGAAACAAGAGAGAAAGAGAGGGAGAGAGAGATGGGGTTTAATGTCCACTCAACACAAACTAGGTCATTTCGGGACTAACATATGGTTCAATTTTATTTCCATAATTTGTTTGCGTGTAATAGGGGTCTTTAGCAGTGGGTGGAAACCGGAGGGCCCGGAGAAAACCCATGAGGTTAGACAGGTGACTCAAACTGGGCGGTTTTTGATGAATCTTGATGGTATTTAACACTTTCTGCATGGCAATCTATTAACTGAATATGTGTATTAGATTATAGATGGTAAGCTCAGTTTCTTTCCTTTTTTCATCAAATCTGAATGATACCCGGTCCCTAGTGTAAGTTATACTGTTCAGTTAAACATACATTATGCAAGAGCTAAATCTGCCTAGCTATTGCAGGTCTTTCTTTAGGCATGAAATGTTATATAAACTATTAATTAGACATTTATTAACAAAACAAGACCATAATCGACTCTCGATGTCATCGGATACTCGAGATTTTAACTAGATTAAAACGGTTCGCCATTTAAAAATTTAATTTAAAAATTGGACAGGGAGGCTTAGTCCCGATTATACCAGTGCTTTGGTTACCACTGTGCACACATCTTGTCAAAACTACAAACAATGATAACTTGGCTGAGATTGAAGTAATTTGAATGAAATTTTCAATATTTTCTTTTTTTATCATCCATTTTTGAATTATTATAGCAAGAATGACCAACTCTTTATTAAATTCTTAACTAATGTATCTTTAAACTAAAAATAACAGCTATGATTAAACCAGGTGACTGTAAAGGTGGGTCAAACATTTTTTTAAAATAAAACCTAGCTTCTACGTATCTGGCCTATCTTTGTCGCTAGAACACTTGTCGCGCTTAAAAAAAATAATGTTTTTAAACTAACTTATACATGTATATTTATAAACTTACCAGGAATCTTTTTTGAGAATCTGATCACACAGTTTGAATCAAATTCGAAATATGACATCAGGAAATTCCATGTTGTTTTATGGTCTTTAAATATATCTCTCACTTCAGTACTTGAAGGACCTTTTCTCTGAAAAAATAATAGATTCCTGAATTAGGTTGAATTTACCTTTTTCTACATGTAGGTCATACTGAAGATCATTTATTACAAACAAACTTTAGTGCAAAATAATTAAAATTTTAATAATTTATTGCAAACCAGAATAATTTGGTGTCATTGATCGTCCGACCGGTCCACAAGGGTTGTTGCATATCTATTTTTTTGTAGGTAATTGGGGGCATTTACAACAAAATTTGACACAGATCAGATTACAGTTTTTGTCGTTTGAAGGTTTACAAAGTTCTATAAACTGAAACAAGGGTCTTAACTCTGGAAGTAATCTACAGAAATTGTTTAAATTTGACAGTTTTTTTTGTTTTACTAATTCAAATAATGCATATAAATTTCATAGAGACTGGAAGATAAGTTCTGTGATTCAAACATTCACAAGATTCAACAAAGTAAAATAAGGGCCATAACTCTAGAAGTAATTGACGGGAATTGATGAAATTCAATAGGATTCTTCCTTTCAATAATTCAAATGATGCATATAAATCTCATACATATCGGATGATAATTTTTGTCGTTAGAGCATTCACAAGGTTCAACAAAAGTGAAACAGGTGCAATAACTCTAGATGAAAGACAGGGGGGTGGGGGCATGGCAATATACAACCACATGAGGGCATATAAATAATCAAAGATTTAAATTATAGCATAGGAAAATATGAATTAAAGGACTCATAAAATAGTGAGAATTTAAATTTAGCAAAAGATCTTTCCATTTATACTCACATGTGTAATAATAGGTAGTAAATGTTTAGCTGCCATTTTTATTTCATCAATAATAATGTAGCAGTCAGCTTCTATACATTTGATTTGAGATGGACTTAAGGAGATTTCCCTAGGGGGACTTTGTTGTACTGAGTAACCATCAGACAGCAGATCTGTAGTTGATATGGCTTTCTTACTTGATTCAGAAGTTGAATCAGGAACCACTATGTTTTCATCAGACCTGACCTCTGTGTTAGTTTCTTCCGAAGTAGATGCAGATGGATAACTATCTGCTGAAGAAGTCTGAAAACTTTGATCTTTTATGGCTATTGATAGAGCATGTTTTACAGCATTAGGCTGCCTGCCAATTCGGCAACCTTAAATTAGTCCAATGTAAAAAAAAAGAAGAGTTTATTATTGTAGCAATGTAAAGCACACATTAATCTGAAGTAAAAACAGGACCCCAATTTTCCCTAAACCCATACAGGACGGTTTTACAGTCAATCTTTCAACTCGAGTATCTCAGATGTTTTTGGAAGATCAACCTTGGACTTGGAATATCATCAAAGATCTAATTTAGTTAACTGCAAGGAAAGATGTAAACTAATTTTATTTGAAGTTTTGCCACATTCAATTAAAAATACATTAGATCCAGATTATCTCAACCAGGAACATCCCTCTCTTCCAAACACATTAACCAGAAATTAACTCTTCGGTTTGCTGCTAATACTGAATTAATCTTATTTGAAGTTTCACGATATTCAATTAGATCAAGCAAGTTTCTCTCGACCAGGAACATCTCTCTCCCAATATGTTAACTACAAATGAACTCTGTGCTCTGTTCCTGACATTTTCGACCCAAAAACTTTCAAGTTTGTGGCAATACTAGTCCTCAATGAGTCATTATCTGACACATATTTTTCTGTTGTAATAATACGACTTACATGTTACAGACATGCCAGCTTCAATACACCTTTGATAGCGGCAAGCTTTACAACTATTTCTTGTCGCCTTGGTTACTCTACACTTTCTTTGCCTTGAACATATATAGGCATTTGAGATTCTTTCTCTAGCCATTCGACGAAAAAATCCCTGAAAATAACACATCTTCAAGTTTTAAAATAAGTGGAAAACACAACTGTACTTTACTCGCTTGTTTTAATATAAATATATCCAGCATAGAAAAAAAACCTGACAAAATTATAAGCACGTCTGAAAATGAGACACCTATCACAGACAATTTCAGACAAAACTTTAGGTTTTGTCAAGAACAATCCATTTGGTGCCTGTCATTTGGTCCTGTACAGATCTATCTATTTTCAGTGTTTTTAAGGATATTATTATTAATAATACATATCTGACAAAGTTTACAATGGCAGGTATCAGTTCAGAGGTGCCTGACATTATGTCTGGTACAACCAATGTCTCAAATTCCAGGAATGATTAGAAGTAGGACACAAAAGGTAGTATTTTCTACTGTAAATGTGCAGAATTTAAATGTTATTAGTAAATGAGGGGTTGAAGGTTTGTTTTGTACATCTGCTCTGCATATCTTGGGAAACTGGAGTAAAGCATGTTATTAATACCAATGGCATTTAGTAATAGTAATTAGTAATAAACAGAGAGAAATGTGATTAAACGTCCACTTGTCACAAACCATAGCAGAATTTTATTTCAATAATTAATTTGTGTGCAGTAGTCGGAGGAAAGAGAAGGACACAGAGAAAGAAACAATAAACAGTAGTTAATGCTAGATCAAGTTGCTTCTCCTTTAGGTTGTATACAACATTGATAATATCAAGACGTTCATCTGGTAATATTAATATATCTACCTTACAACCTTCACATGTAATGGCACCAAAATGAAAACCAGAAGAAGCAGCACTGCATACTTGACAAGGCAAATTCGATTTTTCTGTTTTATCTGGATTGTCACCTGTAAATAGTTGAATTACACACTATTACACAGTAATTCATGTCAACTATACCTTGTGATTAAGAAGGACACAGATTCAAACCTCCACAGGTAATTATTTTTTTTAGGATAAAATTAAAGTAACGATGGGCCTTTTGCATTTTTTGGAAAATATGAAATTTCTCACAACTTAATGCATGCTAATATTCAGATCGATTATCTAACATTTAATTAAGAAAACAATGTCAAAATATCAATGCTCGAAAATTTTCCGGCTTGGAGTCAGTCAGATTTAAAACAACAATAATATTGGTTACGTTCTATGGGGAGCAGCATACATGTAGATTGATGGAATTTTCAATTTATCAGATTATCATATATCTTTGTAAATACTGAATGGAACTGAATCATTTTCAGACTGTTTCCCTTTTAGAGATCTAACGTTCACGATACTTACTGTAGTTTACAAGAGATTCTACAGTGCTAAAATCATTTTTGTTTTGAAACAAAAGTTAACAGTATGGAAATTGTTCCATCACTAATCAGAATTCAATACTTTATTCTGACCTAATTCAAAGAGGTTTTACTCCTTTGGACTTTATTAAAGCCACAACATGTCAGAATACAGAGTTAGACAATTTAAAGTTTCTATCCTAAGTTTGGTCCAAAACGACCCATTAAACCTTTTAGGAGGCAATTTTCCCTAACTGCAGGCTGAGCCACTGTCGGTAAATTAATGTTAGGGAATAAATTTGAAGCCGAGATCAAATCTAAAACTGTTATATCTTTGCAACTATGCTACCAAAAATCACGAAACCTAATGAGATATATGTTTATATACCACAATACCTGCAAATGCATAAACTTTGTAATTGGAACCATTTTAAACAGGTAAATAAAAGTGTGACGCAAGTGAAAATTACCAACCAAGATAAAAACACTGTGTTTTCTGAAAATTTATTAATTGCAGTAAAACAAAATAAACAATAACAAGTTAAAAGTTTGAGGTGGGAAATACAGGTCTTCTGTAGCATTATTATCAATTTGATCTGCGAGTGAGCATATTGTGTCACTGTCTTTAAAATTTATTGTCGTGAATCTTCGCTTGATTACATCTCATTCTCTTTCTGGATTAAATAATTCACAGGAATCTGACACATATTCAAAAAGTTCATTAATATGTCACTGCCACCATCAGATGAACAGTTTTCTTCATAAGAAATATTTAACAAGTCAACAACATTGTTCAAAGTCATTAGATCGAGGACGTTCCTGGCCATCTGTTTATGTTATTGCTTAGTAATGGTAATATCTGCCTTTAAATCAAAATAATATAAGAGTTACCATTATAAATTAGATCATGTATTTCTTTCACCCATTAGTCAATAAAAATAGAATTGGTATACATTGTTCCTTTGGCGACTTATGGTAAAATGACATTAATGTTGCTATCCCCATAAAGCGCTTGTGTTAGAAAACGACATCAATGTCATTACCCCTGTAAAAGGGTTAAGTTATAGTCATTCAAACTTTAAGCTAATCAAAGAACACTTACCAGGACAAAACATTTTAAGAGAGACGCACTTCATATATCTACAATACTGACACTGTACTCTATTTTCCTTCGTAATTTTACAGTTCCTTTCCTTGAGGCACATGTAAGACACTCTTTGTAATTTAGCCGCTCGCAAGAAAAATTTCTGAAAATAAAAAAAAAACATCTAAGTTTTTCAAGTTTGAAATTCAAAAATTAAAGGACACTGTTGACAAATATTTGAAGTTAAAACCCTGGTTTAATCTACTGATTTGCCAGACACCAAGGATTCTCTTTGCTGTAAGTTTGTAGTCAATGATAACCAGAAATTTGCTTTTAATGCTATAGCAACCTGATTTTAAAATTTTAAAACATTTACACATAATATCTTTATGCCTATTGACCAAGGTAAAGTAAATCTGATTTTATTTTCAATATGACCAGTTTCATTCAAAAGAGAAAATAACATGACCTACTGCTGTCAAGAGGGCCTATATCAAAAGCCTACAATGAAGCTTAAAATAATACTTAAACGTTCAATTAAACAAGCAGTCACCATGCAAGATATGCTCACATTTTGCTAGAAGTGGACAGAGAACAAGCTTAAACAAGCTAACAGTGACACATATTATTTAATCGCACATTTATTTTTTTGCACACAATCAGGGGCCATAATCCATGATGTTGTTGCAGCCTGACAGGCATCAATATCAAAAGGAACCAAGATCTTTGGGATATAAACATATGTTTTAAGCTTCATCAAAATCAGATTAAAATTGTGACGTCTGGAGGCTTCACAAGTTAAAAATGTGATTTTTCTTACAATCAAGGAAAATTTAACACAACCTTGGTATTACATACTTTTACACTATTTGCATACAAGGAGCGGCCATTTTATTGGGAAGTTTTGGTCCAATATTCACGAAATTCGAACTCAAACGTCATTAGGGTGTAATGGTGATATATTCTACAAATTGTGACATCAAGAGGGACCACAAGCTAAAAGTCTGATACATGCCAAGATTGAAAGGAACCAAGATCTTTGGGATATATATATACAAAAGTTTCATCAAAAACGGATAAAAATTGTGATCTGTATATGTCCACAGACCAAATGTAAACAGACACACGGACCCACAGACAGACAGGGATGATGACAATATACATAATGTATGTCCACATGAAAATGTGGGCATATAAATGACAGACAAATTTATGCACAAGTGGTCACTTATGGAAGAGGGTACATGTAAGTTCAGCTTTGCTCTGTGTTGCCATCAAGTTAACAAAGTGGTAAGGGGAAGCAGCTTTTAACAGCGTTTGTGTTAAGCGACTGAATCCGATCGCTGCAAGCACTATATCACTTAGTATATCATACCTTGCAAGCTTCACAAATAAAGGCACCACAGTAAAATCCTGCTGCTTTATCATCACATACTTCACATACAGTTGAATTCTTTTCAAATTTAATCAAAGAATTCGGATGGAATTTGATATCAGGTTTAACTTCCTCGGTTGGAAATGACACACAGTCTGATGAAAGAACAGATTCATTAACGTCAAATTTCTCCACTTTAATATTTTCGTCAGTTTTTACACAACAGGTCGAATTAACAGCTTTGGGAGGAGAATTAACAGCTTTAGAAGGGGAATCAACAGCGTTAGGAGGGGAATCAACAGTCTTGGCAGGAGAATTATAGGGTTTTAGGGGAGCAGAAACACTTGTGGATGTTGCTAATTTGTTATTAATTCGTCTATTAAGATGAGTGTTCTCAGCATAGTCGTTGGTTGGAAAGTACTTTTTCTGAAATATGGAAAGTTCTGTGTATGATGTAGGCAAGAGCAATAAGTCTTTTAGTCCTGAACTTCCAGCACTACACGAACTTCTGTCAGAACTTTCTGTAGTGCTATAGGTAGGTGAAAGGGGTTTTGTGTCACAACCGCCTAATTTCATATTAATATCAAACACATTTGATGTTTTATCCCACTCATTTTCATCAATGACCGAAGTAATGGTATCTATTCTTTTACACTGTTTACTTTGAAGACAAAAAAAATCTGTATTTTGTCTGCATCCATCTGCAACTGTAATGGCGGCACCAATTTTAGGTATAGCAGGATTATATTGTTCAGCATGATCATAATCATGGGTTTTTGGAACATTTTGTTCTACAAAATTACTGTTTGGATATGTGACCTGTTTCTGCTCAACATCATTTGAAGATGGAGTTTCGGGAGAATAATAAGGATCAAATTTAATGCTATTATCTTTAGATGTAGGTATTGGTGAACAAATTAAATCCTGGTTATCCGGGTAATAAGGTGTCTTCTCTGTATCAGGATCAGGACTAGGTTGATTAAGTATCCATGTGAATGTGTCAGCCTGGTAATTCAATTCAGATTTTCTGTCTGGAATTGGACTTGAAATAATGAAAGAATCAGAGTCCTGATAGTAAAAATTAGGATACTGAAAAATATTTGTATTGGTCTGTACAACATGGTCTTGAAGAACTGAATTATTCCTAAATGAACCATGAGAACTTCCATATATGGAAGCTACGGTACTATCAATATATGATCTTGAATTGGTTTTTGACAGATCCAATGGTAAAGTAGGACTGTTGGAGCCATGACTCATATCTTCTTGTAGTGTTCGTCTCAGTTCTTACATTTCTATAGATATACAAATGAATGAAGCTTTTACACCGTACATGAGTCTGACTTTCTGTATTTTCTAAAAAATAAAATTGATACAATTTGAATTAACAACCAGACATGTACATACAAGTTTCACATAGGTGCAAATAAAATAAAATCAGGTTTAATGTCTTACATTTCTGCACTGACTGGGCTAATGAAGACAGGCATATGGGTGGAATTTTGCCTGAACAGCGGCACTAAGATCGACTCTTCTTAATCAAATTCCAACTGTCAAGGATTCTCTTACTTGCATGGGATCTTGGTTTTACATCCCATACAAACAACTATATGTAAACACTGTTCCTTGCCAGGCCCTCTCTCCTCCTGCACCATCGACATGGAAAACCATGCTGGAAAATCACGCAAAATGTCTCAGCCAACACTGGGAGTGAACCTGAGACATTCTGTATAGCTAACCAGTGCGAATCCTGCACCTTTCAGACAATTTCTAAGGTCGCATCCATACAAAAAAGATATTCTGGTGTTCTCAAGTAGATTAGAATACAGCAGCCATTTAAATGATTAAAGATCAAATAGATAATCAGACTCGTTTGTCAAGTACATGTATATCGTTGCTAGATACATGTACATTTTGTTAAAACTTCAAAAACTAATAACTTTGCTCAGAATGAAGAAATTTGACTGAAATTTTCACTATATATTTAATTTTCATCATCTATTTTTGAAATATTATAGCTCTTTATTTCTTACATGATGAATCTTTAACACAGGATAAACATTTTCCTAAACTAAAACCATAATTATCTATCTCCCATAAAAACTGACAATAAACCACCACCATGACTAGCATTATAATTACATGGCCAAAAGGATTTAATACAAAACAGCACATGATCACATGATAAGTAAGCTTATCATTTCGTTATTGGTGGAGATTATATAGCTCTGGGGTTACAAGGCAGTTGATGTGGAAGTGGAAATAATACATAGCCACTGGCCTAAGTTTTAGTATTATGTATAATGCCAATAATGATATATAAATACTTGAAAATACAGGTTGTTTTGGGTACTGGTAATTTAAGCTGTTTTGGGTGAAACAAAGCTTATTCGGCCTCAAAGCTTATTTGGACCACATTCAAGGCTCATTTGGACCACCATACAACTGATTCGGACCACCATCTGGCTCATTCGGACCATATTATAAATACTAGAAACTGAGATTTGATATCTAATTAAGTTTAAAAGGGTTTTATCTAGACTCTATCATAACTATCTGTGTTTTAATTTCCGCTAATTTAAGTTAATTTCAATATGTCATACATGGTTACAACCAATACCAGTCACAGTAGCATAATGGAAAATTTAATATGTTATTGTGAATAAATGATGTACATGTATAGAAAAGCAATCAAATTATTTCGCTTACATGTACCTATTGTTCCGAAAATAACAAAGTAGATTTATGGGATTTCGTAATATAATGAAAATAAATTAAATAATCTGTAGAAAAGTTATCAAAATGTCAAAATGTGTTGCAGGACCAGAAATTTTTGCGAGAATCTAAGAGGATTCTCATATATGCAATCTGCGCGAATCCTCCGAAATTTACCTTTGTACGAGGTCTATATTCTTTTATAGTGCTTTCAGCACACCTTGCACACAGCGTGAATTACGCGTTTATTTTCAGAATCAAATGCAAACTCGTTTTCATTTAGTCCCTTACATAGTTTCTTTTCGATATAGCTTTAATTTTTCGTCCAAAAGCCATGTCAATGTCCAAAAAATTCAATTGATATCTGCACAAAGTATTATTAAGGGAATATAGTTTATGTCTGCACAAACAAAAGTAAAAAAAAAAAGTTGCCGACCTTGACAGTGACAGAATAGACTTGGAATGACCCAATTTAACCCCATTCAATTGATGTGGAACTAGCAGAATCAAATCGCTCAAAAGGATAAAATCAAACCCAGTTTCTTTTAAATATTAGGCCTATTTTGAAGGGGGATTAGAATAAATAAAATAATTAGGAAACAAATAATTTTTATCGTAGTTGAAATTCAATGCATAAATACAAATGCAAATTGAGTTGCACTATTATAGTACAGATTCCTTTCAGTGCTCTACTTCTACAGTGTTATTTTCTAATTACCGAGCAATTTGTATGGACACTTCGGAAAAAGAGTGAATAAATATCTGTTATGTACAGTTAAGATTGCTGTAATTGTTTTTTCTCCATGAAAAATAAAATATTCTAAATTCATATAGATCTAGGCCTACTCCTTTTTAAATTTATGGGATGAAACAACCTAGCTACGAGAATGTAGCTAAAAACGTTGAGATATACTGATGTGTTTGTTTTTAGCTACGATTGGATGCTTTTTAGTTCCAAGTGGCAAACTCAATTTCTTTATTACTGCATGTTACATCTTTAAAATAAGATGAGTTTATGCTATTATGATTAATTAAACTTACAGAGGCCAATGTAGTGGTACAACTGTCGCCTAACTCCAAATATTTGCGTTTAAATTAATGAAGCGTTGTTTTTGTCTGACATTAACCGCCATTGAAATCCATTCATAGTTAAAATGCTTTAGATTGCCCTTTTGATTGGCTGTTATAAAAGCCTTATATTTAGCCTCGCCTTCATGATGAGGGCGTATCGTTTAAAAAGATGGCGGTCTTAGTAACGGCTTAACGCCTCGATTTTAAAAACAACGATTTGCACCTGTTTCACTGTTTCAGGTAGGATTATATGCTAAATTGAAGTTGGATGTGGCAGAAATATTATAAATAACAATAATCAATTGTTGTTTTGATTAAAAATATTGTCAATTTTGTTTACAAATGCCGGGTGCGAATCGCTCCCGCATGTGCTACACTGGAGTTAATGGCATCATATCTTATCTCGAAACACGGAGGGTTGAGAGGTAAGATTTGTTATCTAGAAACAACCCTATATTAGTGTGATGACACAATACATGTAAATTTGTGAAACGGTTTTGTGATGAAAAGACCTGCTCCCAAAAACAAACACGTCATTTTTTTTGGTACTAGGTCCTACGTTCTCGTATCTTCGAGATATTTTCGTTCAAGTCATTTCAGCTTCCACTTATACAATCTGTTTCACAGAGAATTAATATCTCTGTCATAGATGACTGCCTTAACACGTGCTGTCACAGCACGCGGTGTGAATCATTGGCTGAATGGCGCGTGCATTGTTTACATAAGACATAACTGCTTCGGAGAGAATGCTGCATTTTAGTCAATTTAATACCCATTTACACTAAATCGGAAATAATTTTTACCTACAAATACGTCAAACGCCTTTATTTATTTTTCCAATATATACAAAAAATGTTTTAGAATTTAATTTGTCGCAGGAAAAAAGTTAATATTTCTAGCTCATTAAGCCGCATCAATGTCATCCTGATCAGTGATTGTCGCGGCCAAGCAAATATTCACTGCGGATCAGTGTGCCACTTATACTGTAATAAAACAAGCCAACTAAACTGTTAAACGTTTGCTTTACATTCATTTTGAAAAAAAATTAATATAATATTGACCTGACACATCATATATTTATATAAATCAATGAATAAATTAAACTTTTGCCGCAGAAAAAAAACAAAATTACTTTTCGTCTTCGATATACTTCACTTCCGGTCTTATTGTGTACATCCATTAGAGTAGTTTCCCTTTAGTTACTTTATATCCAATTAAAAGCTATGTTGATAGAAAATCCGAAGAAGTAATAAACATCCGGATTTGTACACGGTGGAAAATCTGATTGATCTAAACCACTCATTTATATCTAAACCAATACGTCATTGATCTAAACCCTTAATTGATTTCAAAAATTATTTCTTAAACAAAATTTTGTTACCTATAAAAAGAACCATATGTCAATAGATCTAGAAGACGATGGCCGAGATCAAATCAGCCGTCACTTTCTCATCCTTCACTAAGAATACTCACCCGTCACTAACTGCGAATCAAGCTGGCCGTCACTTACAAATTCGCTGGATGACCATGACTTCAGTGAAATCACGTGCTCGGTATGGGCTAATCCGAGCCTTCGATAAATAAAATGAATTGAAAGTAGTCTATTTTTAGTAACCCATTTCTTTGCTCAAAATAAAATTGCTTTTATCTCTTCTAAAGTATGTAATCATGAATGTGCCAGAAAATAACAAGTAGATTTAAAGAGCCATAGAAACCTTCTTTCCGGTGATATATGACACAATAACTGGAATTTCGCATTAAAACACGTATTTTGACATTAAACACTCGCCCCTCCCCACCACTATCTTTAATTCAGCCAGTGAAGGCTACCAAACTTGTATCAATTTTAATTTAAAACGTATATGCATTCCGCCGAAAATATAATAAATACATTTCAAGAGAGGATTAACTTTACTTTTCAGTATAGATCTACGGAATTTTAGATTAAGCCCCGCATTTTAATTTCAAATACCCCCCCCCCACCTTTTCTTTCACTTTTCAAGGCAAGTAAATATAAATGTGCCAGAAAATTATTTACATATTTAAAAAGAGTAGTGAACGTGCTTTCTACTGATATGTAGCATGATATCTGGAATTTCGTATTAAGACCCGTATTTTTACTTTAAATACCCCCCCCCCACCCATCATTTAATAGATTTTTGTACCGTTCGTATTAAGAACCGTAATTAGACATTGAATACCCCCACCCCATCAGTAATTACCTATTAGAGTTCAGTATTATCCAAATTTGATAGCTTCTATTAAATGATGGGGGGGGGGTATTTAAAGTTAAAATACGGGTCTTAATACGAAATTCCAGATACCATGCTACATATGAGTAGAAATCACTGTCCCTGCCCTTTTCAAATATATAAAATATTATCTGGCACAATCATATTAACTTGCCTTGAGAGGTGACCAAAGACGAACGGGGGGGGGGGGGTGTTATTTAAAGTAAAAATACGGGTCTTAATACGAAATTCCAGATATCATGCTACATATCAGTAGAAAGAACGTTCACTGCTCTTTCCAAATATATAAATAATATTCTGGCACATTCATATTTACTTGCCTTGAGAGGAGATCAAAGACGAACGGTACAAAAATCTATTAAATGATGGGGGGGGGGGGGGTATTTAGAGTTAAAATATGGGTCTTAATACGAAATTCCAGATATCATGCTATATATCAGTAGAAAGCACTGTCCCTGCCCTTTTCAAATATAAAAATAATTTTCTGGCACATTCATATTTACTAGCCTTGAGAGGTGATCAAAGACGAACGGTACAAAAATCTATTAAATGATGGGGGGGGGGTATTTAAAGTTAAAATACGGGTCTTAATACGAAATTCCAGATATCATGCTACATATCAGTAGAAAGCACGGTCCCTGCTCTTCTAAGATATATAAATGTTTTTCTGGCACATTCATATTTACTTGCCTTTAGAGGTGATCAAAGACGAACGGTACAATAATCTATTAAATGATGGCGGGGGGGGGGGGGTATTTAAAGTAAGAATACGGGTCTTAATACGAAATTCCAGATATCATGCTATATATCAGTAGAAAGCACGGTCACAGCTCTTTCTAAATATATAAATAATTTTCTGGTACATTCATATTTACTTGCCTTGAGAGGTGACCAAAGACGAACGGTACAAAAATCTATTAAATGATGGGGGGGGGGGGGTATTTAAAGTAAAAATATGGGACTTAATACGAAATTCCTGATATGCTACATATCAGTAGAAAGCACGTTCATTGCTTTTTTCAAATATATAAATAATTTTCTGGCATATTTATATTTACTTACCTTGACAAGCTATCAAATTTGGAGGTGACCAAAGACGAACGGTACAAAAATCTATTAAATGATGGCGGCGGGGGGGGGGGGAGGGTATCTAAAGTAAAAATACGGGTCTTAATACGAAATTCCAGATATCATGCTACATATCAGTAGAAAGCACGGTCACAGCTCTTTCTAAATATATAAATAATTTTCTGGCACATTCATATTTACTTGCCTTGAGAGGTGATCAAAGACGAACAGAACAAAAATCTATTAAATGATGGGGGGGGGGGGGGTATTTAAAGTTAAAATACGGGTCTTAATACGAAATTCCAGATAGCATGCTACATATCATTAGAAAGCACGGTCACTGCTCTTTCTTTCTAAATATATAAATAATTTTCTGGCACATTCATATTTACTTGCCTTGAAAAGTGAAAGAAAAGGTGTGTGTGTGTGGGGGGGGGGGGGATTAGAAATTAAAATGCGGGGCTTAATCTAAAATTCCGTAGATCGGTACTGAAAAGTAAAGTTAATCCTCTCTTGAAATGTATTTATTATATTTTCGGCGGAATGAATATATACGTTTTAAATTAAAATTGATACAAGTTTGGTAGCCTTCACTGGCTGAATTAAAGATAGTGGTGGGGGTGGGGCGAGTGTTTAATGTCAAAATACGTGTCTTAATACGAAATTCCAGTTATTGTGTCATATATCACCGGAAAGAAGGTTTCTATGGCTCTTTAAATCTACTTGTTATTTTCTGGCACATTCATGATTACATACTTTAGGAGAGATAAAAGCAATTTTATTTTGAGCAAAGAAATGGGTTACTAAAAATAGACTACTTTCAATTCATTTTATATATCGAAGGCTCGGATTAGCCCATACCGAGCACGTGATTTCACTGAAGTCATGGTCATCCAGCGAATTTGTAAGTGACGGCCAGCTTGATTCGCAGTTAGTGACGGGTGAGTATTCTTAGTGAAGGATGAGAAAGTGACGGCTGATTTGATCTCGGCAAGACGATGGCCGTTGTTGAAAAGATCCAAGGAAAGTTAACCGAAGGACTTGTTTTGGCTCGAACTCGAGCGCAAGATCTTGAAAGTGTCAGGAAACTGAATTGCTGGTGAGTTTTTTAGTCGCATTGGGATTGGCATTAAGTCGTCCACAGCGGGGGGTCACGGTGGCTAGGTGGGTAAGACGCTGGTTCGCTATGCTGGAGGTCGGGTGTTCGATCCCAGCATTGGCCAAGCAAGTTCACCCAGATTTTCCGGCTTTGTTCCCCCTTGTCAGTGTTGCAAGAAGGAGGGCCTGACAAGGACAGCTGTCTAGTCATTCGGATGAGACGAATAAATAAAATAAAACCAAGTACGAACAATCCAAACCATTAGACAAAATTCGAAGTCCTAAAAAAACGTTAAGGCAAAAAAGTGTAATAAAGCAAAATAGTGTAATCAGCATATGGACTGTTCACCATGTACAAAATACACGACAAACAGTGGTAACAGGTGTCCGGAAGAGTAAGCTTACCCTGCCTGGCGCCACACCTGCCATAGTTGCATCCAAACTATTAGGCGAAATCTTGGTAAAACAGCGTGATTGGCCAATGGACTATCGGTATGCAAAATGCACGTGATGAACAGTGTTAACGATGTAGTAGACAGACATTATCAGGGAGATAGTATACGTGTCAATGGCGTATGCCCGTCTTCATTAGTCCAGTTTGGAGCAAAACAGTAGGACATTGAACCCCAAAACTGCATTGGTTAAGTCGGTATCCAGACCACTCGGACCAAAGACCACTCGGACCAAGACCAGTCGGACCAAAACAGAGACCACTCGGAACAAATAAAAAGACTACTCAGAACCAAACCAAAAGATCACTCGGACCAATTAATTTATAGGCTATTGTAAGAGCACTTGGACCAATAATTATTTATTATTAAATCACAATTCTTATATTTAGAGCTGTTTAGTTCCATTTCATGTACTAAATCAACGATTGGTTTTAAAATTAATTAATAATGGTGCCAAAATAATATCAATCTAATTTGTCTTATTTACTCGGTATGTCCAGACATTTGACAGTTTCTACATATATGGGTATACTATTCTTATCTGATAGCCTAATTTTACTTTTTCTGCATCCTCGGTATCCCCAGTTGTTTCATTCCGTTCTACTCCACAAACCCCTGGGTTAATCTATGGGGGAGACACGTTAATCTACAAGAACATTGGGGATACCGGGGATGCTTTTTCCGGGACCTGTCCCTTTTTAAATGTGACTTGTAATATTAATAACTTGTATGGTTCCGGATTTTTTGCTATCTGGGACACAATTATCAATTTATTGAAACAACACTTTAGTATTGGTTCGAGTAGTCATATTAAAACAAACACAATTATCAATTTATTAAAACAACACTTTATTATTGGTTCGAGTAGTCATATTAAAACAAACACAATTCTCAATTTATTAAAACAACACTTTATTATTGGTCCGAGGGGTCTTTTTATTTTGTCCAAGTGGTCTTTTTGTATGGTCATAGTAATCTTTTTGTTTGGGCCGAGTGGTCTATCAGTTGGTCCGACTGGTCTTGGTCCGAGTGGTCTTTGGTCCGAGTGGTCATGGATTCGGTTAAGTCGTATTGGTTACAATGTATGTCATCCACACCTAATGGTTCTGTCAGCTACTTTTTTTTACATAGGCCTAGTCTACATATGACATATTTTAGCAATGCAAAAGCTCGCTAGGGGCGCCACTGATACTATTTTTATCACTGTCAAAAATTCTGACCGCAAAATGTGCCGTTTTTGTTCCGCGACTTCGGGAAAGTGTATGACCACCAACACCGATGACTTTTTACTTTTCGTGAAGAGAAGAAAACAGAGTTTGTGTTGAGTGTGGTTTGGACATTCAGAAACGTATTTAGGACTGATTTTTTATATTTTGAAAAAATAAAATTATCAGAAAAAGGCAGAAACGACGCTCGTCACTGGAAGTAGTCTCTATCATTCAGAAAAATATTCTACGAATATTAGTCTGGACAGGTTGTCAACATTTGAGAAAAATTGGCTAGATAATCCGGTCTTTCACATTATCATAAACAATGTCTAAGAGAGGTAACTCCTCTTAAAACAAGATGTTTACGCCCATGAAATTAATTTAAGAATGTCATTTCAAAAAATCCATTTGATTGCATGCGAGTTCAATATCTAACACTCTTAATTTTTTATTGTAAAATTTCTCTCTTTATGGGCCATATCTATGCTTTTAAAATTAATCCTAATTCGTCGTCCCGATTCATGTTTGTTTATATTAATGCAAGAATTATGGGATTTATTGTGGGAAGGGGCGCAACTCTTACTTGACTTGGCTAAAGAGACTGGATAATCAACCACATTAAAAACCAAACTCCCGGTTACGCATGGGCAATGGACTTTACGTCAAATATTGACAACCTTCCCAGACCCTCCGTATGTTGAAGACTAGGAGGTTCTGGGTGACCGAGACTACACTGGAAGTAGACGTATTTTCTCATAAAATGACCCCTTTTCTTGTTATATTGACTGTATTTCATTCACCAACCATTGGAACTGGTGCCAGAGCTCGGGAAAACAAATCATGTGGAAGAAAAGAAAAGATAACTCCACCCGATATGGGTGCAGACCACAGCAGCTTTCTTGTTATTGTGAACGTGTCAAACCAAGTTTCCCTTTTGCAAACAGTGGGCTGGTTCAGAGGCACGATTTTCACATGCACTTTTAAGGGGTATAAAGTCTGGTGCACGGTTTGAATTCTTTCTCTTGTATTGTTACAATATTTTATTGATTCTAATAACACTTCCCTAAAATTACATTTTTTTAAAAATTATCTCTTGGATTACTTTCTCTTTTGTTGGTGATCAAATGACAGCCATATGGAATCTGTTACAAGAAAATGAAATGGGGTTTTAATGTTCTACTCCTACTGGGCTAATGAAGACGGCGGGGGCGTGGGTGGGGGGAATACACCATTGCAGTGTGCTATGAGGGGAAACTTTGCCAAAACAGCAGCGCAACAGCCTACTCTTATTTCGAATTCCATCTGTTGAGGGTTCTTTTATGCGCACACGGGACATCAGTTTTTCATTCACTTGTTAGGTCCCCCGTCGTACATCTGGGGGGAGGCTGGTGTGTATAACACAATGAATTTGCTCGGCCAATGCAGGAATTGGACACGGCACATCCAGTTGAGTGAGCCAACGTCCTACCAACTGAGCTACCGTGGCTCCCTGTTACCAGAAAAGAGAATGGACTAGATGAGTATGGGATGTTCGGTGCTCCATCCCCAGAATTCACTTTGTTTTGCGGATCAGAGAACCTGACAATGATAAGTTGAATGGAAAACAAGGTCGTACGTACGGATTGGCGGTGCACATTAAAGATCCCTAGATACCAACAAATCGAGGAGCAGTCTAGGAAGTTGTTATAAGGATTAATTCTGCCGGCATAAAGCAACACCCGAAATTTGAGGTCCATCATATGTAAATTCTATCTTAAAAAAGTCAAATTAACCAAATTTGGGTTTTTTATCCATGTTGCAGATCCCATATCAAAACAAGTAAATTATATAGCCCAAATTTAAAAATTCCAATAGATAGTTAATGGTCGGAAGGATATTTCCTGAAAATTTGATGGCAATATCTTCAATAGTTGCTGAGAAATGGTCTTCGGTCACTTTTTTGGCATATTTTAAAAAAAAGTGTATACTGACATCCATCAATTTGGGGTCTTAAAAGTGAAATAACTTTTTTATTTCTTAACCGATTTTTAAATTTTTTTTTGTTTCTTAAATGGGAAGGGGGTTGATTTGCTAGTAAATATTCAGTTTTAGTCAGATTCAAAAATATAAAAAAAGCTTTTGCATTGCTACATATTTGTTATAGATATAGATCTAAATAAATAAAAGATTCTTTTCATAAACATTCAACATTGGAAATTTTGCCCTTCCTTAAGAGGCCTATACAGGCCGTGATCCACGACTCCACGTGGGGGGCGGTAAATTTTACCTTCATGTTATTTTTATAAAATCGTGCTTTATCCTTATCCTTATCATTACAGCGTATGTAGGCCATAGAAGCCTTGTGCTGATTGTAAGTCGATTAAAACACTGATCACAGTCGTAATAAGTCACTAAGTGTTTGACACAGTTATGTTTTGCTTATTATAAATTGATTTGACAGTTGTATTCAACCATTCCTTTCAAATTATTCTCGAATCCGAAACTACACCTGTCCGAGTCCGAAATGTCAAAGCCATATTTTCTTTTGAGTCAGAAATAACGATGGACCGAAATGACGCGGGACCGAAATGACATGATTTAATTCACAACTAATAGTTAACTAGCTGACAGCCGTACACAGGTAGGCCTAAACCAGGGATCGTACCATATAAATACACTTAATTTTCATAAAGTTTTGTCATTTCTCATAAAATGGAAAAATGTAAAAAAAAATATAAAATTTCACAATTTCTCATGAAATGAGACGAAAATTTTTTCAAAATTTGAAATTAACCATAATTCGCCACTCCTAATAGTCCCAATAATAAATTTCTGTACTAATAAATCTGGGTTTGAATAGCAAAATCATCCGTGCCTTTTATGACCCTCAAGTTGCTAATCTCTCTCATTTTCTATTTGACTGTAGTGTTCAGTTGATGTTATGATTGTATATGAAATGAAATTTGGGTTTAACATTCCACTGTTCTTCTCCGACTTGGCTAATGAAGACGGGCATATGCTATACAGTCTACAATGAGGGAAATTTTGTCCTGACAGCGGCGCTAAGGCCTACTCTTATAACGAATAGCAACTGCCAAGGGATCTTTTACATGTGTACACGGGACGTCGACCTTTCATAACATCGAAACAACTAGACAGCCTATCCTTAGTTGTCAGGCCCTGCTTCCTGTACCACTGGGGAAACCACGCCTGAAAATCCCAATGCACTTTCACGGCCAACACCTGGAGCGAACCTGCGACCTCCAGACTAGCGAACCTGTAACCTCCAGACTAGCGAGCCAGCATCTTACCCACTTAGCCACCATGGCTCCCCGTGTGTATATGAACATAGAAGAAAATGACTGTGACCATTAATACCACCAGTGCTACTGGTGGAACATTCTTATCTGCATAACACTGGCTGAACACTACTTCATGGACTGGAGATAAGTTATTTACTCTGTGCAGTTATATAAAAAAGTCATAATATTTGATAATGATAAAAACATAAAAAAGTCATGAAATGTGATAAAAACATTATAAAAATATCATAAAATTTGATAAAATCATCATAAAAATCATAAAATTCTGCAGGAAACTTTCATAAAATATAAATTTATCTGTGTACGGTCTCTGAGGTAAACGTATGGAATACATTTGTAAATAAGATTTACTCATCGGATGTTTTAAAAAAAATTTATTTACCCAATAATCAACTACCGTAGCTTGGTTGAGCTGTTTGCATTCTTATGCATGTTAAAGATTAAGATAATTTACATGCTATTTTTATTTAATATATTTAATATAACAGTTGGAGGGATTTGAAGAGTAGTACTTCATATGAATGCCAGTTAAACTCGTCTACACAAAGAGCTTAGTTACAATGTAAGTCGTCCACAGATATCAAAACTAGTTGGTTGAGTCTTCCACAAGTCATTGGTTGACCCGTCCACACAACATAGTTTAATTTCGGGATATAGAAATACGTTGATCGAGTCGTCCACACGACATTGTTTAATGTTGGGGACACAGAAAGTATTCATAGTATAATTTAGTGTACTGAGTGGTGCTCTATCATCATACCCACATAGTTTTCATTGTGTTTGATATGAGTATAATTTTCTTTACTTCAATTGGCAGACTATTGCCAAGCTAGAGCGGTCGTGTTCTTGAATAACAAACAACAAAATAAATTACTTTATTATTCAATAAATGATCAATAACAATTTCTTAATAATAATTTGATGATCCCGTAACTAGGTGACCTCAAATCTAAAATCATAACGCCAGTTAACAAACAAAATGAATATACATGTATTCTTTATTACCGAAACAGCGGTGAACTAATCTCGGTCGTGATCGATAATCAACAAAAATCAATGAGTAAAACTTAATTATTCTATACATTTAAATTGTGTACTAGTCAGGTACATGTATTAGTTGTGGATGACTTAACCATTAGTTGTGTACGAGTCAAGTATTAGTTGTGGATGACTTAACAATTAGTTGTGGTTGTGGATGACTTAACAATTAGTTGTGGATGACTTAACAATTAGTTGTGGACGACATAACCAATGCTGTGGACGACTTTGCTTGCGGACGAGTTAACTGGCACCCCTTCATATCTGATTGCCTTTTTTTCAAAGATCATAATAATCTTGTTTAGCCTACACCGTGTGTGACCATAATAGAGGTCTTTGTTCAAGAAAATTCTTATGACACATGTAGCAATTCCCACAAAATAATAATCTTGTTTAGCCTTGTGTGACCGTAATAGAGGTCTTTGTTCAAGAAAATTCTTATGACACATGTAGCAATTCTCACAAAAATAACGACAGATAAGGTACACTTTTCTGAATATTTTCAGTGATAGATATGGCTGACAACACTAATCTTCCTCATTTACACTGGCAGGGACTAAATACCAAGCTTTCGAATACCATGTTTATCCTAACTGCACCAATTAAATGACATACATATAGTATTTGTGGCATGAATTGATTACAACATATTTGAAATTAACTGGTGTAGTTCAATTTACGTAATTAAAATATTTTAAAAGTTAATTTTGCAAATTACAAATATTTATAGACCTATTCATACTTTCTGTTGAAATATGTAGTCACAGGCTTCTGTGTTTCATTATTTGAATGTTTCTGGTGTCCAAATTATATTAAACATTACAGCGTTTTTTGTGAAAAAATTGGACTTAAAGATACATTATGGGAGATTTTAATAGAGAGTTGGCCATTCTTGCTATAACAGTTCAAAAATAGATGATGAAAGAGGAATATATTGAAAATTTCAGTCAAATTACTTTATTCTGAACAAAGTTATCACCACTACGGCCTACTCTTATATCGAATTCCAACTGTCAAGGGATCTTTTACGTGCACGCCAATGTGTATCATCCGAATGACTAGACAGCTGTCCTTGTCAGGCCCTCCGTCCAGCATCACTGACAAGGGGGAACCATGCTGGAAAATCTGGATGAACTTTCACGGCCAGCGAAAGTTTGAAAGGAATGGACCAAATCAATGAGGCATAATTATAGCCGACTTCCTGTTAGCCTGCGTTTACTCTTGTACTGTAACTGGTAGGCCTACGTAACTCCCGAAGCAGATAAATAGGAAACAGTGATCCAATGGGGCTGCAATGTTAGCTGCGATGTTTATCAATTTCCATAATTTTTCTGTAAACGCAAGTGACAAAAGACTCAGCGTATAATACCGACATCCAAACTCTCATTTTAACCACAACTAAACATAATATCAAGACCATATACATGTGTATATCGAACTTTCAATCAAATTGACTGACATGCGGCCTCGCTTCGTACACTCTATCATTTAGCCTCGATCTAAAATTTCCGGGAGTATGATGTCAACGTAACAGTGTTAATCTCCGCTTACGACGCCATTTAAAATTTTAATCAATCAATGGAATCCTGTTTAAATCCAAGCCGAATCCAAGCCATCCGTGGGTCTACAGTAGTACAGAGTTGATTTTGTGCTTGTTGTGTAAATAATGATCTAATTTATAATTTCTATGACATCTGAAGCAAAAATCAGATTTAGCTCTTGCATAATGTATGTTTAATCACTGTATAAATTTGTAGGGATCAGACAATGTTTATTCTCAGTTTCTCTATTCCTGATGTTAGTTTTCTTGATAAACAATGTTTAATTAAATAGGGTGTTGGGTAGGTGAATGGGTTAAAATGTGCGTGCCAAATTACAAGGTCAGTTATTGAGTCAAGTGGCGTGGTTTTGATTCCCTGCTTGTACGTGACAAGAATTAGTGTCACCTGTCCATTCGTGGGTTTACTCTGGGTCCTCCCAGGTTGCTTGAACCTGTGGTCTCACGAGATTACTCTTGATGTAGAATGTTGGATTTTGTTTTTTTTGCAGGGCCTCAGATATAACTGATATAAGTATTATCAGAAAAATGCCTGATTTAGAAGTTTGCAGCTTAAGGTATTGTTAAATTTTGTTTATTGTGTATCAATATAATTTTGGTTGTGCTTCAAGGATTGCTGGCATAAACAGTTTTCAAAGGGAAGGAAGGAGCTCTACGTAAAACATGGGTCCATTCTGACCCAATTTTTTAAGATCCGTTTTGCCTTGGGGCAGTTTGTAATTGGAGGGTCTAGAGCACAAGTGATCTAACTACCAACCATTTTAGTTGGTTGTTGGATCACTTGTGCTCTAGACCCTCCAATTGTACTATAATCCCAAAATACAAAAAAAAACAAATTAATACTAGTAGCAGGTGCATAAATTACCCCAAAACTGTACTCTTGAGAACCAGTGAACCAAAGCATGTTAAACCAGACTGGAACATTCTCAGGAAGAGGGGTTGGGCGTAACATTTATACATTAGATCATACATTCGTACTTTAGATTATAGACCATAAACTCTGTCATCGAATCAGGAGGATTAGGATTGTCTCACTAACCTTGTGAGTTTTCTCCATGCCCACAGTTTCCGAAATACTCCTAGGTGCAAGCAAATTATTAAAATAAAGATGTACCATATTTTAGTCCCAAAATAACCTGGAGTGTGGAGTGTAGGCATTAAACACCATTTCTCTCTTTCCGTTGCTATTGGAAGTCGTACCTATAGAATATACCCGCCGGGTAGTACCCGATAGTCTCTTCATTGGTTTATCTTGGCAGGTCACATCATGCGTGATAATGTCAATCTTTATGAAAATTCTGTCAGAGACCATATTATTTCGGCTTCATCTGCCCAATCAATGGACCCTGCCAATATCAGTTTCTAGATTTTTGGTAGACGAGATGTATATCAACATTCCTAGATGTATTATTATCATAGTTCGTGTAAATCTCTGTCTTCATTAGCTCAGTAGATGCAGAAAAGTAGGAAATGAAATGAAATGGGGTTTAACGTCCTACTATTCTGGTCTGACCTGGCTAATGAAGACAGGCATACAGCCTTCTCTCGAATTGAATTCCAACTGCCAAGGGTTCTTTTACGTGCATGCACAGTACACAGAACCTTGTTTTTTTTATATCACCCGAATGACTATTGTCCCTTGCCAGGCTCTCCATCCTGCACCTCTGACAAGGAAGGGGGAAACACGCCAGAAAATCCAGATTAGTGAGCCACCATCTTACTCACTGAGCCACCGTGGCTCCCCAGAAAAGTAGGATGTTAAACCCTATTTCATTTCATTTTGTGTAAATTTTGAATATAAAATGATAAAAGACATTTCTTCTTAAAAATTTTAGCTATTCCAAAATGATTTTGTATCAGTATATTTTTTTTTTATGTATTTTTAGTGGCAACAAAATAAGCACTTTAGAAGATTTTTCCCATTGTCCGAATCTGCAAGAACTCTACATCCGGAAAAATAATCTGAATGAATTAACTGATATACACTGGTTAAAGAAGTTAACAAAATTACGAGTGTTATGGTTGTCAGATAATCCTTGTTCAACTGGTGATAACTACAGATTAAGTGTGTTAAAAACATTACCAAATATACAGAAATTAGATAATATAGGTTAGTGTTACATATACAGAAATTAGATTATTTTGTTTTAGTGTTAGATATAAAGAAATTAGATAATATAGGTTAGTATTAAATATACAAAAATTAGATAAAATATAGGTTAGTATTAAATATACAGAAGTTATAATATATAGGTTAGTGTTTAATATATAGAAATTATATATGTTAGTGAGACAATGTATGTTATTCACAACCAGGGACCTTTTTTGATCCACAAATTATCTGACAAATCTGAGAATTATTTTAGCCAGCCGGACATCAAGTATGTTGGTTTTTGACTGTTGTCAGATAAAATTTCCAATCGAAAATGGCAAGAGTAATTCCATTTAGTGGGGAAAAAACGATTACATGTCATTTTGGGCCTGCGCCATTTCGGACTAAAAAATATATGGCCTCGACGTTTCGGACTTGGGTAGGTGACGTTTCAGACTCAGGGATAAGTTGAAAGGTATGTTTGAACACCCAAAAAGCGCACCCTTGAATCCTAGTCCCATCAAAATGGCTCTGCAACACCTGCAACAACGTTGCTTCGGAATCTACTACAAAGACCTCCAATGCAATTTCACCCGACAACATATAGTCCACTAATCAACACCAGATTAAATACAACAAAACCCTTTAAGAATCACCGATCAATTATCGTCAATAATCTAAACAATTTGATTAAAACACAGATCCTATTTCGTTTCATTTTTTATAGTTCAAAATTTCGTTTTACTTGTCCTTACTACACTAGGATCTGGAAGAGTTGTTATCATTGACGTGTTCTGGATGATGTGAGGGATTAGCCAATGAAACAGTCTGTTACGGCGAGGCTTTGGTGTGAGCTGCATGGAACTGTGGATAATCCACTAGAAACATCAATGCTGATTGGGCGACTATGACTACAGTTTAGACTAACCCGACCGTGCTATATCGTATGGTATGGCTGGTCACGACCACGGGTTGAACTATAGTGTGAAAATCCGTGCAACCGAAGGTCGCCTAGGTTAATCAAATATCTGACGTCATAGGGTCAAAAGCAACCCCCCAAAACAACTGATGTAGCGTAGGCCATTGAAATATAGATCTGTATTTAAATCAGATTGTAATCTAAACTTACCTATCATAGTACAGATTAAATACAACAATCACCAATCAATTAAATAAAACAAAAGGCAAGTTCAACAGTCGCCAATTAAACAAAACAAAAGACAACTAACAATCCCAAAATCACACCCTCGAAGCCTAGTCCCAACAAAACGGAACTGCAACAATGCTGCTTCGAAATCTACCACACAGACCTCCAATACAATTTCATCCGGCAAAATATGGTCCACTAATCAACACCAGATTAAATACAACAAAAGACTTTAAGAATTGCCGATCAATTATCGTCAATAATCTTTACTAACTCATCAAAGTACAGATTAAATACATCAATTGCCGATCAATTAAATAAAACAAAAGGCAAGTTCAACAGTCGCCGATTAAACAAAACAAAAGACAACTAACAATGTTCAATTAATTTTATTATTATGAATAATCTTTCTTCGGTTTCACCTAAAACGAAAGAAAATACAAGTATTACTAAGATGTCTTTTAATCAAGTCCGAAATCCAGAGCGTAGGTTCTCTATGGGACAAATAAAACACAACTAACAATGTTTAATTTCTTTATTATTGTGAATGATCTATCTTCAGCCTCACCTAAAACGAAGTAAAAAAAGTTATTACTGATATATACATACAAACTTTCAACTTTTATTGAGTCCAAAACTGAGTCCAAAAGTCCGAAAAGTCGCCAGAACGAATCCGAAAAGTCGCCAAACTCAGTCCAAAAAAGCATTGTGTTGAGTCCGAAATGACGTGCTACTGAAAAAACAATTAAAAGTCTTTATCATCGCTTCATTAGACTATCATACATTACTACAGTAAGCACAATCATGATTGTCTACAAATTTAATGGTGACAAAATGGCCATCAATTGCCAAATAGTAAAATCGAAAAGTTGCCAGGGGTAAACAGTGCAAAATAGATTGGGAAGCCCTGATCTACAGTCTACTTTTGTTTGATTTTGAACAAAAGGACCCATCTGATTGGAATGCATCTTACAAATACATTCTCTGTTTTACATCAATGTATGCCTGGTAATACTTTACTACTAGTAGATTCACACAAACAAAAAGATCCAAAAAAAGCTTGTATGCAGAATGTCGAAAGAATATATATCTTTAATGGTTTTCAATACCTCTAATATATACCTATCTTGTAGTCGTTACAGAAGATGAAATTAATCGTGCTTTAGAAGAGGGCAATGATGTGCCTTTACCCGCCAAATATCCAACTGATTCTCCAGTCATCGAACCTGAATCTGAACAAATGGAGGAAACGCCAGTTATTACAGAAAATCTTCAAAACCATAAAATATCAGACCCAGTTGCTTTAAGTTGGGAAGAAACAAAGTAGGTTAACTTGTTTTAATTTTGATCACTGCTCAGTAAAATGAGTATCTCTCATCTGAAAGCAGTTTCTGAAAATCCCTGAGAAATTTTCATAGCCAATCTTTTGCATTATTACTAAAGGAAAAGTAGTTCTCATACACATTTCTTAAAATTGCATGTACATATGTGCTTATTTCTTTAATTTTTTTATTTTTATTTGGTAGATGATATTCTGAAGTTCGTTTTAAGTCAGTGACACTCTGGTTCTTTAAATAATTTAACCTGAATAGTGGTCCCTGTATTAAACTTAAAGGTACTATACTTCTATGATTGATATACTAGAATTATATAAGATAATGTTTAATATACACTCTTACTTTTACAGTAAAATAAGGCAGGAACTAGGCTTGAAACCTCTTCCATACGAAAAAGTTTCTACAACTAAATCTGTTACAACTGGTATAACAAAAGCAAGGGTAGGTTATTTTTCATTACTACTCGTCTTTCTAGTAGATTATATTCTTTAATCCGGTTTCCTCCCACTGCTTAAGACCCCTACGCGCAAGCGTATTATTGAAATAAAATTGAACCATGTGTTAGTCCCGAAATGACCTAGTTTGTATTTAGTGGACGTTAAACTCCATTTCTCTCTCTCTCTCTATATTCTTTAAATGGAATTTAGTAGATGGCAAAACACATTGAAACAGACTTGGGTAGAAATGAGAGGTGGTTTATTCATCTTCATAACGTTTTGGGTTAAAAGACCTGTTATAAAATGGAGTTCCCCCTCTCGTTTCACACTGAAAGTGAAAGACACAATCATATGGATAACTTCTACTGGAACACGTTCTTGATTAAGGCAGATGAACCATCATTGTAATGTCCCTTTGAATAATTCGAGAAGTCACTGTCAATGGAATTTTATTATTATTATTATACGTTTTATAAAGTGCACATCCTTTCAGAGGCACTGTACAAATTACAACAGTTGATATCATCGATCAATATATCTAAATATCAACAGAAACATGAAATTATAAAAACATTTTCAATATACTTGTATTGGAAAAATCAAAAACAAAATAAATAAAAGTAAAAGAGCTAATAAAAATAGTTAACTTTCAAACACTTTAAAAAATTAATGAGTTATAAGGGATTTTTTAAAATGATTCAACCAAGGGACTTCTTCTAATAGTAAGTGGGAGTTTATTCTAAAGTTTTCAAGATTGATAAGAAAGGGACAGTTCTCCTTATGAAGAAAGGTTTACAGGTTCTGACCTTAATATATAGTTGTCATAAGAACTTTGAAGATTTCTAGAGGCAGGCCTGGAAATAACGGTTTTGGATGTACCAACCAGGCACTAATGAAATAGTACCTGACATTTACAACTTAGTGCCGGACATGTATTAATAATATCAATAAAAAAGGACAAATCAGTGTCGGACAAAATGACAGGCACCATAGGTTTTGTGCCTGACAAAGCCTGAATCTGTGCCTGACATTATCTGTGACAGGTGCCTTATTTCCAGGCTTGTCTAGAGGGCATATAGATATTTAATACTGGTAAGTCAGATAGATAGGCAGGAGCAATATTACTTAAACATTTTTAAGTAAATAAAAATCTTAAAATTTATGCGATAAACAATAGTTAACCAATGTCGGCGATAAAGTACAGGCGTAATATGTTCAGATCTTTCAGTAAGAGTAATAAGGTGGATTGCGAAAGATTGCACTCTTTGCAATTTATCAATTAGATTAACATGTAGTCCAGCTAAAAGTGAATTGAATTTGTCAAGTCTCATTGATAAATAGGAGACAATTGTTTTGTTAACCTCTATGGATATGTGTTTAAGTATTTTAGCAATATTCCTCAGTTGTCACTTACACGACCAGAGGCCATAAAACTTAAGTAATAGATGTTAAAACATATCTTTTCGACTGGGTTGATGTAAAAATTAAGAAAGTAGTGATGGTATTTTATAAATAGGAAAGGGGTGATAATAAAAGAGTCATACTATTTTGAAATGCATATTTCATCAAGAGGACTAGCAACAAGTGTTAAGAATTATAATAAAACATTTTTTTTGGTCTTGGTGTGCTAATTGATTTCTAAGCTAATTTTGAGAAGGTCTTTGGTGCTTTTGGATTTAACACCCCTTAATTTGAACAACACAATTTTCTAATCATTTTATATCTTCATTGCAGCATGCCAACATTTTACAAGCAACACTACATCTTATAAAGGAACTGGATAAAGATAGTTTAGAAATTGTAGAAAATGCTGTGAAAACTAGACTTGAATCATTATGATGGAGTAGATGGACAATATATAAAAGCCAAAGAATTTCATACATAACTTGTTTTCTCAAAGGCAGAAAGGCTTCATCTGATTAGCTGTATTGCTTGAATATGTCTCGCCAAGTGATGTGAGACATGGAAGTCTGTGTGAAATTATATACACCTCCCTCTTACAATTTGCTGTGATAATGTTTGTTTAGCCTATTACTTCTCTTTCAAAGAGATCTTACTTCATGAATTATTACTAAATTATATCATTCCACTGCATCTCATCATCATTGAAATGTGGTTGTATATTGTCGCCCCCCCCCCCCCATCTGTCGGTCAGGCATCCACAATTGCTTGAGGATGCTCTAGAGGCTAAAGTTAATATCCGATTGACTTTAAACTTATACACAGATAATTACTGCCAGCCTTATGGCCCTTGATCACTTTCAGAAATCTTGTGGATGCTCTAGAGACCAAAGTTATCATACGATTGACTTTAGATTGATACACAGAGTTCAAGGCCTTGATATGAACAAGTATATAGATTTTCAATGAATTTTGATAACTTGAACAGCTAAATCCATGATATTAAATGTTTCGTATACTAAACATTAGCATGGGGCAAAACTAAAAGCCAAACAAATTCTAATGATTTTCTGATAATTATTTAATGAGTTGTTATTTCTAAAACAGATTTTAGTCTGTTATAAATGTTTCATTACCGACAATAGAAAAAATGTGCAACAACTCTTGTTGACTGCTGGGATGACTTAGCTGCTGTGGGCGTATGTTTCGTTGCCTGGCAACCCATCTTTTATTTGAAAATGTGATTTTCTTATACATAGAAGAAATGTTATTATATACTGAAGGTTCCTTATGAAGTTGACAGGAATTTAACAAGAGCATCACATCAACCATTAGATTTGATAAGTATTTGTGAACATGCTTTATAGTTAGAAGCTCAAAGATCACAGCTAGTAATAAGCAGAGTTATGTCTGTGTAATTGCTGGTCAGTTAAACATTGAGAATGATGGGTCACTTTCTAATTTCTGAGGTTTAACATGTATTTAAGCCAAAAATATAGATTTACTGGTCATTTGTGTGAGAGTGTGTGTATTTGTATATTTATACCTTGTCATTCAGTACACCTTTACTGATACATGTACATACTTTAGTTAGTTGAATACTCTATTGATAAACAGATACAGGCATTTTTATTGTACTTGACTAAGGTGAGCATAAGTAGGTCGTCTGTTCGATAATCTAAACTATTTATATATACAAAAGATATTTGTATTGATCAAGAAAAAAAAATTGTAAATTAAGCAAGTTAATTGGATATATTTTTTAATAATTGTTATGTAGTTAGGTTAGCACTTGCCAAGGAAATATATCTTTAAGACTTTAAATGGAAATGTAATAACATTTTGTTTAAAAAATATTCATTTCACCTTGGTAAAAAACAACGCTTGTATTTCAATTCAAGAGTTTGTAAAAAAACAAACCTGTTTAAAGAATACTATGAATGAGACATAAAACTGTTATAGCACATAAACCATAATGTTATCAGACATTTTGTAGCGCTATGAGCATATACTTAGTGTATGGAGTTTAGTGCGTTAAAAGTGCACTATTATTATTATGAATCTAGAAACCAACACAACCTATGCTAATTTAAAATTTTAGTTAATGTTTGATTTTAAAACTAGGCCACTGGTTCGGGTCTCATTGTAGTTCTCACTACAGGGAAAATAATATTTCTTGCTACAGAATTACCATGTTATCAAACACAATCTGGAGCACAATTATTATTTTAATTAAAGTGTTGTTTCATTGAGGGTTCTCTCAACATTATCAAGCAAAATTAAAATAGTAATTGTGTTCCATGCTGGTCAAAGAAGATATATAGAATCTCGTACGAGTCTTTGACAAATCAAAAAATATCAACAAGTCAATAAAAAAACAAAATGAAGCTGTGCTGAGGTTTTTTTTGTACTTTTTCGACGAGTGTTGATATTTTTTTATATCAAAAAAGACGAGGAGATTTTTATTTATCACCCAACCCCCTCTTTCGCGCACAAATAAATATAATTCTTTGGTATAGATTTAATTTTACTGAACCTGATTACATTACGGGGCAGTGATATATAATTTTTTGACAGAAAGTCACCTGTTGCAAAGTCCTTTTAACCCAGTGTTTTATTAAGGTTATAGGGAGTATTGTAATTGTTTACGGTAATTGAGAACTTTTCTCCAACAATATTACTGGATCCAAAAAGTAGTTCCTTTTTAATAAAAAAAGTAGTTCCTTTTTAATTAACCAATCAACTTCATGTAAAGCGATATCTCTATCACACAAGCGATATCTACTGTAGAATGTGTTATTGGGTGATAAACCTTGTTATTTATTAAAAAAAAAAACCCAGTACATACCGTACATATACAGTATTTAATATCACATTAGAAATAGTGATTTTTATAATCACTCACTGGCGTAATTGTTAAGTTTATTAATATCAATATAATATGTTTAATGTGAACATAAGCAAAAAAATTCTTAGAAAACATTAAACTAAGGTTCAAACAATAAATAATTATGTATGGTAGTTGTATTATGTTCTTTTATTAAATGTGAACTTTTAAGATTACCAACTACATGGTTTAAATTATCCTACTAGAAACATCAATGCTGATTAGTTAATCAAATCAAATGAAATGTCGTTTTATGGTACGTCGGCTCCAACCGGGCTATATTGCGGCAAACATAGTTAATCAAATGTCTAATGTCATAGGGTCAAAACATTCTGAACATCTGAGACACGCTACCTGCGGAGAAGTATCTCAGACACAGTCAATAGCCATGATATCCATATCACGTGATCTACACATCACAGGTCATGAGGTCAACAACACGTTAAATTGTTTATCTTCAGCAGTGTGTCCTTTGCACCCATAAAGACTATATAATTCGTACAGTCCCAACAGTTCTCTCTTCTTCCAATGATTTTTCACAAAAATAACATCTACAACTCATAGAATTTACAACTCATTGTCTTCAATGACAGCGTCTGCGAATGGTTGCCACTATTTTGTGCGTCGGTCGTGTCTATTTCAGATATACACAATCAATTTTGTTGATGTTTTTTGCGTAGGGATTGACTAATAGTTAATTTATTTCAGTTCTAAAACAAATATTTTAAACTTTAACGCAAATTTAGAAAAAAGACAAATTCTGGCTGGGATTACTGAGCAAAATGGCCATTCACTGTATACGTGCGAAAAAAAAGCTTGCCACCAATTAATTTTCGTAGGTTAGTTACGTACGAGGGTCAAAAGCCACTCGTATGACCCCTGTCACGACCTCCCACAACAGGTCAGATTTGTATGTAGTGTAGAGTCTTTTGAAAGGCTTGGATTATCCAGACATTTGATTAGCTGTCTAGTCCTGTTAAAGGTACTATTATATATATATATATATGCTGTTGTCAAAAGTCCCAGAATGCACTTTTATTATACATATCTTTAGAGTGAACAACCAATTAAAGATGCAATATGTAAATGCTTAATCTGCGTATTGCAGGGCTCTTTGGTTCAAATGTTATATAAATTATTATTTAGACATTTAATCTCATGACAAGGCCATAATCAACTCTCTAGTTCATCAGATGGCTCAGATATTGAATGAATTAGACCATCCGTGTCATATAATCATCAGATAAGGATAAAATCAAGACTTCATTTATTATCATGGTAATGGTACTTGACAATTGGCTATTCCTTGTCAAAACTTCAAACACTCATAACTTTGCTCAGAATATAGGAGAATGAAAATAGCAAGAACGACCAGCTCTTTACAATATATCTTTAACTGGGATGAAAATGACATCTAGTTTTAATAAGATTGTGTATTAGTGGGAGTGAAAAGAACATAAAATCAAAATTCCATTCCTTATTTATGGCATGTGATTTATTTATATATAAATTATTATTTGTAACATAAAAATAAATTGTATATAATTTGTATATAAATATGTTAAATCTACAAATATATGACTTTCTTTTGATATAAAGTCCGACAGACTGGACATAAGTTACGAATTTCTCCCATAGATAATTCCTCTAATGTCATCAGACAAGTCTCATGGAAAACATGTGAACATGACAGAAGCACTGTCTTTCGAGATTTGGCAAATGATTTTTTCTCTTCGTGGTTTACTTCACTATCCACACTTATTTTATTTTTTAAGTCATCAGAATTTTGTTGCTTTATCACTTTCTGAATACATGAAAGCTCTTGTTTACACTGTTTCGATCTCTTGTGCCGAGAATTAATATTCCTGTTTTCATTCTTGCTTTTTGGTTTATCCTGTACGACTGCAGTTTCCATTTTATCTTCTACGTCTGCTAATGATTGCAGACATATTGGACAGTCCATTTCTTCTCTTTGAACAGCCTGAAGAAAATAATGGTACCGGCATGTCATTATTATAAAGATATGTAAATGAATACCATAATGTTATTTCAAAGAATTTTGCCTCAAAACACCACACGCAAATACATGTAAAACTATATTGATGCGTCTAAAGTCTATTTTGTTTTGCCAGAACTGGATTGTTGGCACCAACCATCACAATAAAAAAATCAAGATCAAATGAAATGGGGTTTAACAATAAAAAGATCAAAATGGCTACTTGCAACATTCGTCTTAAAATGAAAATGCTCCTAATTATTATAATGTCTATTCAATCTAATCACCTTTAGTTGTATCTGTTCCCATTCATCCTCAGATACAATATGAAACATAGCATCAAAATTTTTGAAGACATTTCTACTTGCTTGTAATGACTGATCTAATTCTCTCAAAAAATCATTGACTTGGAAATCACAGGATCTCACCATTCTGTCTGTTATACTTTGTAACTGAAAAAAGACTTGAGTGATTATTGTTTATACAAATGAAAATGAAATGAAATGGGGTTTAGCGTCCTACTGTTCTGCTCCTATGCTGGGCTAATGAAGACGGGCATACGCCATACAGTGTGCTATGAGCGAAATTTTGCCCGGGCAGCGGCACTATCGCCTACTCTTATATTCCAACTGCCAAGGGATCTTTTGCGCACATTCCAATGTATGCACGGGAGCTCGGTTTTTCTTCTCATCTGAAGGACTAGAGAGCTGTCGTTGTAAGGCCCTCCGTCCTGCATCACTGACAAGGGGGAACCACGCCGGAAAATCTGGATGAACTTTCTCGGCCAATGCAGGGATCGAACACCCGACCTCCAGGCTAGCTAGCACTTAGCCACGTGATCCCCCTTATTGTTTATACATTGAAAATTTGAAGTGATCCTGTATTCTGTCATAATAAAGTCATCTAAGGTTTAAACTATTAAAGGATCAAGAACATGGTAGATGTGTTTTTAAAATAGATGGGATTGTTCATTTGGTTGTAAGAATGTGTAGCAATATTTTGCCCTGGCATAATAATATTGGTTTCAAATTCGTAAACAAATTTTATTAGATATGAAATCATGTCATGCTATGGAAATGCATGTAGATGATATATTTATTAAACAAAATAGAGACTGGCTAGTACTGCCATTTCCTCTCTTGTTTATCTTGGTTGGTCAGTTTCTCCATTTCCAAATAAGGCATGCATACCATCATCATTTCCAAATAAGGCATGCATACCATCATCAATTCCAAATATGGCATGCATATCATCATCACTTCCAAATAAGGCATGCATACCATCCTTATTTCTGGCATAATTTATCCAATCAAATAATAAAACACTCATCCCAGAAATCAGGGGTATAAAAGAGACCAGTGAGTGGGTATGACACCAGTTCTTCCCATTTGATACAATCATCATGATTAGCTCAACATTTGGCTTCTACTTCTCCATATTAAATTCACACAATAAGATGGTAAATAGAGAAAGTTCAGATAAAAAATTTCTGATATCAGAATCATAAACTATGAAAATATATTTAAAATTAATTACCTTTTCTTCATAAAATTTCTTACGTAAATTTGGATCTGTTGGGGGTACTGACTCTCTAAATTTTTTATACCAGCACCGCACTACATGACCTCTCCAAACTGCCTGAATTCTGCAATACATGAATATTCAGTACTAATTATATGCCCACATTTCACATGGGAGTATATTGTTGTCACTCCTGCTGGTCTGTCTACTTAACCACAATCCTTGCCAACGCTCAGTGGAGTTTTTGAGATCTTTTGTTTGGCAAGTCCTACAGAGGAACTGTATCAAAATTCAGAGATGCTTATGAATTTTTCGCAAAATTATTGCCCCTGTCCCGGTCTGTCAGCCCATCTACCTTTTGGAATTCAGTCACCATCTATCTTTTAGAATTCAGAGTCTCCATTCAAATATTTGTATAGTTATTTCCCCTGACACCATGCAAAATGCTGCCAATATATAAATAATAATAATAAAATAATGTATGTTAAAATGTTTTAATTTTGTAGTTTTACCTTGTTGCACTTTTAATTTTATGTTGTTTAGAACCTTCATGTATTACTCTTGATTGATATTGTTCACGTCTGCACATGGGACAGGTTTTTTTCCCTGTATATCTTTCAAAAGCATGAAGGCATGCCTAAAAAATAACATAAACAGAGATCGATATTAAACAAATTTGACCTGGTTTGGTGTCAATAGGACTTACTGTCCAAAATACACTCAATGACAAACGTAGTCCTAATGGTAATAATGTAAACCCACTCCAGAATTGGGAACTGTTTGTGACATTTGTGTCAAAATTTAATGTGAATACTTTAATGTGTACAAGAAAACACAATGTAACACAAAATGAATGGTTAGGGTTAATAATAGCAATAACAAAGGGATAAAAGATAATCAGATATAAAATTAAATTCATAACTTTAAGATAGAAGCCATACAGTTAAAAGCTGTAACTTTATAAGATATGTAACTTTTTGATAAAAGCTGTAACTGTATAATATAAGCTTAAAGATATATTATGGGAGATTAGATAAAGAGCTGACAGTTCTCACTATGATTGTTAAAACTAGATAATGTAAAGGCAATTTGCTGAAAATTTCAGTCAAATTGATCCACTCTGAACCAAGATTTTAGTGATTGAATTTTGGGTCTAGTCTCGATCATTATTACTAAAGTCTGTACGATAAAAAACATAGTCTCGATGATCCATTTTTTGGTTTAATTATCAATGAGCATTAAGCAGCAGATAGGATTCTAATCCAGAAAACATTGAAGGCTAGCGTTGACAATGGAGTTGATTATGGTCTGGATAAGTTAATTAATGTCTAATTAATAATTTAGATAACATTTCAGGCCTAAGGAAAGACCTGCAATTGGCAGATTTAGCTCTTACATAATGTATGTTTAAGCTATATAACTTTATAATAAAAGGTATAACTTTATTTGGTATAAGTTTAATGATTTAATATATAAGCTATAACTTTAAGATATAAGCTATAAATTTAATATATTTAATATAACCTACAACTTTTTTCTACAGAAATACATAAAGGAGAAATCCCAGTTTATTTTTCAGTCAATAAAACTGGTTATTTCTGTATGGAAGCCATTATTCTAGTCCCAAGCAAATATTTGGAGACCCATCGAAAACTGGGTCTTCTCCTTTAAGCCTATTTTTTTTATAAATTACTTACTCTATGGAAAACATGGCTGCATGAAAGTAACACCTGCAATAAAAACAATAATTTTATCAATATTTATATAGTATGAAACACTACACAGTACGTGTAATAAACCTTTTTATTTTTTTTAATTACTAGTTACCCAAATATAAAATGACTGGATTCAACATTTTATTCTAGCATAAGAAACCAGTAAATACATTAGAATAAGAAAACTACAACTATAGATGGATTGACCAATATGCACACACCTGCTGTAATATTGGGTTAGAATGAGATCCATCAAAAGATTTTGGTAAAGATTACAGGTGGCACTGGCTTGTAAATGGGGTTTAACGTCCACTTGACACAAACTAGGTCATTTTGGGACTAACATATCTTTCAATTTTATTTCAATAATTCGCTTGCATATAGGAGTCTTTAGCAGTGGGAGGACCCGGAGAAAACTCACAACGTTGGACAGGCGACTCTACTACTTGTCACGTACAAGTGGGGAATTGATACCACGCCACTTGAATCAATGACAGACCTTATGGTTTCAAGTGCACTTGTTAAACCACTAGACCACCCAACCCCCAATGTTGAATTATTTTTTGTGGATAAACCTGATCTTTGCCTACCTGTTGTTGAAGTCCAAAATCTTCTTTACATATAACACAAGGTTGATGTGAGTCTTCTCGTGTATTAGACTTAGATTTCACACCTTGCCATTCTTCTTCAGTGAGTAACTTTTCAGGAGCATCAATAAGTCCAAACTTCTGAGCTAAATTTAAATATAGAGTTTCCAGGCAATGAGAATACAGTATGAGCAGCTTTGTAAAGGTAGGTTAAAGTCATCATGGTGTCTTGTGGTGTCAATAAAAGGAGCAATAACTTATTTAAGAAATGTTTCAATGACAAAGGCAATATCTCAGTTAGTTCTTTTTAAAAAACCTCAAAAACTCTGACCTATAAAACATTAACAATGATTTTGGACTAATTAAAAGAGGAACTAAGAGATTACCGAGATGTAGAAGTGTAATATGCAGATTTAAAGAATCTTTGTCACTCTTACTATACTGTGACCTAATCTAAGGACTGACCTATTAAGACCATGGCATTTTTCACACAAATTTATTAATAACTCCTTGTGCGATGTACCTGTAAAGCCCAATGATGGATTTTTACCATCAAGCCAAGACCCCCAAAGCACTAATGCTTCTTTAAGGGTCTTTCAAATTTAGGCTCCATTAATAATAGCTAACAGATTTTGCCTGTATAGGCAATAATCTGGAAATCAAATAAAATCTTAGAAACAATTACCAAGGGTTAATGGTGGTGGTTTTGCATCTAAAACATATTCTTCTTGTTCATTACTTTGCTTTGGTCTTGGTTTTGCTGACAAAGAAATAATAGTTAATCAATTTGTCTACAATAAAGAAATGAAATAGGGTTTAACGTCGTACTGTTCTGCACCGACCAGGCTAATGGAGATGGCATATGCCATACAGTGTGCTATGAGGGAAATTTTGCCCAGACAGTACATTACAGCCTACTCTTGAATTCAAATTCCTACTGCCCTTTTACATAAATTAAATACTTGTAAATTTGACACTCATTACCAAAATTAATCAGTTAGCTTTAAAGTAGCTAAGTCTCTAACTCAATATCATCCAAAATCTTCAACACTGAAAACACGATTTATTTGTCAAATTAAATCAACATTCATGTTGTGATCTTACCGGAAAAAGATGGGCTTTTGATATCCAATATTTAGGACAAAATAAACATTTTACCATTGGTACACGAATTGTGTACCATAATGTGCTTCAGTCCCAGTTGTATCAAGAGACTCGAGGGATGAGGCTAGACACATTGCACCAAATCAAACGGCGTAAGTAGACTGGAATAACCAAACGCTAGAAATTTGTACTTGCTTGAGACTGCTGGCTTATTTCGCCGAACATAACTGATTTAAAATTGGAGTAAAAAAACAGAAACCATTGAATGTAAATCAGTTTATATACATACATATTACAGTATTATATGCGCTGCGACCCACTTTTGTCAATTTCTAGGTCCCAAATGTTAGCGATTTAGCTCCTTTAAACTGGACACAGGTACAAATTAGATGATTTGGGATGATTTTAAATGATTTTTACAAATTTTTAAATAAAGATTTGATATTAAATGAATGTGAAGGAAATGACAGCTAAATACATAAGATTAAATGATACCCGGGTTACAGTCAATAGGACAATTATATTTAGAGGCCATACATTGAGTTTTTAAATGCATTATTTTTTTCTTGTAAATTATAAATAAAATCAAAGTTTCCAATCTGTGATATATGTGGTAATTTATGACAAAAATGTACCTAATTGTGGTACTGAGTAGGCTGAAACAAGTAAACAGGTATACACATCTTCACTCTTGCACTGCACACGAATTATAGAAAATAACAATATGTTAGTCTCAGAAATTATTTAATTTATGTGTTAAGATATTTATATCATAATATTTAGTCAATGCACCATAATGAAATAAGGCATTACTTAATTGTAAAAAAGTCCCCCAATCAATAGATTAATAATACCTCTTCCTGTATCCACAACAGATCTTACTTCCTTCTTTTGTTTAGCTTTAGCAGCTGGGCCTAGACTTATTTGTTTTGGTCCAAATGTTCTTCCTAAGGCTAGAGTTCTAGTATAGTGATCTTGTAATGCTACTGCTGCAAGTGTTGTACTGTTTATTCCAGACGTATTTATCTGTGAAAGAAATTTAAAAAAGAACAACAAAAAAATTAAATAAAACAATACAAATACTATAATCAAAGAGTGTCATCTTGACCCCAATGCTTAACACCAAATTTGAAAAAAATGGTAAAAAATCACGATTTCAGAATGACACTGATAGAAATGTGTTGTGGAAAAAATCTGTGAGCTAATCAGTACTACAGAAGGCTAAAAAAAAAGATGTGTCAAGGGAGACAACTAATGTAAAGTGGAAAATAATAGCTTTGACATTCTTTAATATTTTTTAATAATTGAATCTAAAAAAACAGCAATATTGTTTTAGTAATTGAAATGAAACAATGTCACACAGCTCTAGTGAAAAAAATATGATTTAAGATTAAAGGAGCTGTCACAGATTTTACTGGGTTTCCATTGATAAATGTGGATTTAAATATGCAAATCAATATGTACAAGAATAACACCATTACATTAATTTGCCTGAAAGTTTCAAATTTAAATATTTTACTGGTTGTTGACTTTGCTTAAAACTAAGTAAACTATCTTATTAAAGGATTAAAGGATTCTGATACTCATTTGTATTTTTAGAACAATATCTATTTGTTCCCAGGTTGAATCCATATTAAAATACTATAATTCATTATTTAGCATTAATTAAGAAAACAAAATGCAATGGTAGAAATTCTGCTGCCTTTAATTCAGATTAAAACGAGACTCATCAAACAATTTACCACTCATAGGTGGCACTGACCCAATTTTATCGTCTGTAGATTATGCAGAAAATTGGGAAATTTTTAATTTACAATTTCTTTGTTATTTAAAGAAGTAAAACATTTTTTGGACTGATATTTCTTTTAGAGATTCAACTTCCAACATATTGTAGTTTTCAAGTGATTCCAAATTATATTCATATACCGGTATTAAATTTGAAAGTCTGACTTAAGTCGCACCGAATTCAAAGACCCGACTTGGACTCAGAGGGCATCGCAACTTGCAACTTGAGAGAGCTGTGGTGCGGGGACATAACTCTAGCTTGCCTTATTTCTGACGCATTTGATGAATTTGGGCTTTTTGAAGACTTTGGTTTCTACGCGGTACTATAATCAGCGATTTGGGACTCGGGACTTGAGTCTAACTTAAGTCACATCAAAGTCAAAGACCGGACTTGGGACTCAACATGAAATTTTTATTGAGACTCGACTTAGAGGGCATCACAACTCGCGACTTGAAAAAGCTAAAGACTCAAGTCGTACGGTGAAGGGACATGACTGTAGCTTGTTTTATTCGCCATGAACTTCTGACGCATTTGATGAACTATGGCATTTTGAAGACTTTGTTTTCTACCAAGTACTATTACTACTAAGGTCAGCGACTTGGGAATGGGACTGGACTCTGACTTGAGCCTTACTTGAGGTCCTGCGACTTTTTCCCATAAGGAATTTTCTACAAGGAAATCAGCATGGTTATCTACCCTAATATTGACATTCTATTATTTCAAATTTGCTCATTAATAATAAATTAGTGGGCTAGCGCACGGTGACGTGTAAAAAACGAAAGTAGCAAGTTACCTTGACAATTAAGTAAACAAAAAACGATGCGGTCGACATTTACCAATAAAATAACTTTATTCTATTTTTTAATGTTTAATTGTATACCTTATTTGTCCCAGCTTTCGTATTTCTGTTGTTGTATGCCATGTTCTATCATAAAAATAGCATTTTAAAACAGAGCCTTTATGATTTCTTTCTTGAGATTAAGTATGTCACATTGTCCAGTCCAGAATGGTTAATGCATATAAAACATTTTGACAAACGAGACTACAATGGCCGGAAACGGAAATAGTTTCTGTAAGACATGCGCAGTCGAGACATTCTTGTAAACAAACCGAAGAATCCAAAACAGTGTGGTTGGAACTAAATTTTTAAGTTTTTAACGGCTCTCTTATCAGCCAAAATGGCAGAATCAGACCCAATGACCATGGTAAGTATAAATATAACCCTTATTTCAATGTCCTAGTCATGCTGAAATATAAAGTTTTTTTGTCTCATAGACATAAATGAAATGAAACTACCGCTGGTAGCGGCACTTTCTTAGTTTTACTTTACTAGTCTTTACCACGGGAATCTGGCCTTCTAAGTTCTAATATTAAATAGTATTTTATATTTTGCATACACCATACTCAACTAGACAATATATAATAAAAAAAGAACAGAAAAACCTAACCAACCTCTGAAGTCTCATATCCTTCCGCCTCAAAATCATGAATATTCACCAAAACCTGACAGAAAATGCATATTAAAACCTTTTTCTTCGATTCTACAACCAAAAGTCAACAAAAATTGCCATGCAAAAGGGGGAAAACGGAAAGGGAGAGAAAAACTAAAAATATCTTTGTCCCTTGTTTCAAGGCCTATTCACTGCGGATCGATTATGTGTGACGTCAGCGCATGGAGTTGATGACAAACGTTAACAAACGAAAAAATTGTTAATATTCGAAACAAGTGGCTTTGATATCGTTTTGTGGGGAGTATTTAATAATTTATGCAAATCAAAATGGCTAGATTGAAGAAAAAATATATATGATTGAATCGGCAGAGGTTAGATTGCCTGACATTACGAATTGTTGAAAAAAATAACGAGCCGAAGCGATAGCAGGTAAAATCGAGGCTTCAACAGGCATTGCATTCCTTTTTTTATTTATATATTGTCTTGTTGAGTATGGTGTATGCATATATATACGGAAAGAAGGTCAGATTCCTGTGGTTTTACACATTTTTAATCATATCGTGAAGTAAGATTAAGAATCGTAATGCATAAAGTATCGCAAGGATAAAGTTTGAGAGATTGTTACAGTTTCTGTATAGGTTGCAAAAAAAAGTGGTACTTGGTCTTGACCTAGAAAGCTCCTCCGGATTTTCTGGCACAATTCGGAGCGTATCAAAGGACAGTGTCTAATCATTTGGATGGTACAGAAAATCAAGGCCCGGTGTAGGCTACACCTTGACTTGGCAGTAACAAAAAGAACCATAATCCCTTTAGCTGTCTGTACAAAATATTCCTGATTTTATCATTCTGCATGGCGTATACGTCCATCGTCATTAGCCCTGTTTTAGCTACGAAAAAATTCAGTTGAAGTGTTGAAGGCTATTAAATATTATTATTATTAGATAACAGATTATTATTGAAACAAATGGTCAACAATGTTGTTCAATATATTTCATTTTTCATTTGCATACATATATATATTATTATTTTTTTGTTGGATGTTCTTTCAGTCAAAGATAAATTACTACTGTAGGGAAAAGTACTACAGTCATATGGAAAATGTGGCCTCAGAAAGTCTTCAGAAGTTTGGTAGTGATCCAGTTCTTAAATTCTTTGTAGCATTCGCAAAGATTCTTCAAGGTGAATAACACAGTTTAATACAGGGATCTTAATTTCAATCAGATAAGAGTGGGACTCACATATCTGCTCTTGCATATCACAGAAATGTGTTTGGATCAGAAAGAGGATTATAGTTCAAATGTATTATTTTGGTCAAGGGCTTCCATTTTAAGATTAAGTCCCTTTTTTTAGCTAGCCAATGTACTGTTCAGAATATATAGACCCTACAGTCAATAAGATCCCATTTTATTGTTTACATTTGATTGTTTTTCAGGACGATATCAAGAAGGTATACGTGAGCTAGATGCGTTAAAAGACAAGAGGGATGTTAATGTTTGTTCAATTATGGCTCTCATGTTTGCCCATAAAAATAGCCCAACAGTTGGTAAGCATTCATTCATTCACAAAATTTTGAATGAAATTATTCCATAATTTTGATACTTTTCATATTGACTGTGAAGTATATAAAAGACAAATAGAATTGAAGTGATTGGCAACAAAGTTACACCATTTAAAGACACGTAATTGTATATTTAACAGATAAAGAGGCTGTATTAGAATTAGATGCAAAGTTAAAAGAAGAAAGAAAACAAGCAGGAGAACTGGTTAGTTAGTAAAGCAGTATTATTAGTATCTTTATCATTAATATTATCTTTCATCAAACAAAGTTAAGGGAAGGGATATTGAAATGGGCTTCATCTGTCCTTAGTTTCATTTCTGGAGCATATCACACGAACCACGGAAGACAACACCACGAAAATTTGTCCACACATCAACCTATTATATCACTGGTAGTTTACCTTTTGCTGATTAGACACTTATCAGTTGAATGATTTTTGAGTTTCCACAGAAACAAACCTAACTATGCCTATACCTTCTGAGATATATGTTTAAAGATGGATAGAAGGCCTTGGTCATAGATAGTAGAGTTGCACCAGATAGTGAATTTTACTATCAGGCTGCATTTACTGGATAGTTTCTGTTGGTACCGGATAGCATATTTGCTCTTTAGTACCCCTTAAATAGAGGTGTGGATACCAAGTATGGTTATTCTCAACACCAGTCAGTGAATTACATAAACTATTTTTAACGTTATTTATCTGATTTTAAAAATACAGTGAAATGGTATGATGTCCTACTGTTTGCTCCGACTTGGCTAATGAAGACGTCCTATTCTTATATCAAATGCTAACTGCCAAGGGTTCTTTTAATATGTGCACACAGGACCTCGGTTTTTTGTCCCATCCAAACAACTATAATATGATATCCCTTGTCAGGCCCTCTCTCCCGAGAAACTTTCTCGCTCAACACATGATCCAACACCTAACCTCCAGGTTAGCGAGTCAAAGTACTACCCGCTGGGCCACCTCGGATCCCCTGGACAGAAAGAAATATGTTAGTTTAAAAGTCATGTATTATATAATAAATATCAATGATTCATCCACATGTTGTGCTTTGTTTTATTACAGGGTCTTTATTTTGCTGGCTTATTTCTCTTTCAAGTTGGAAAAGTAGACAAATCAAGAGAATACATAGACAGAATGCTTAAAATGAATATGGAATCCAAATTAGTAAGTGTTTCCTAACTCTGCATTTAATCAAATAGAATTTTATTTGAATTTAAATGATTTACTTTCAACAATCAAATTGGGTTGTTTCAAGAATTAATGTAAATTGTGAAAAGGGGCTGGGGGAATATTTGATTGTTGGAAACATTTTATTAAGACGGTTCTAGAGAGTTTGAAATAGAAACATGTGCAGGATAAAACTCTGTTTTCACTATCAGGTTTCCTCTAACTGCTAAAGACCCCTAGACACAAATGCATTATTGAAAAAAATTGTTGCCATGTGTTTGTCCTGAAATACCCTGGTTTGTGTCGATCGGGCATTAAACCCTATTTCTTTTTCTCTCTGTCTTTAATACAAATAATTATAGTGCTCCTTATCAAAGATATTTTAGTGTTAAAAATATTTTGTAAGAATTGTATTTAATGTTGTATATTTTCTAGGGTATGGTGTTAAAAGACATTTTATTATAATTGTATTTAATGTGTTATATTTTCTAGGGTTTAGTGCTAAAAGGATGGATAGAGTTATCTAGTGGAAGAGATATTAAAAAATCACTCAAATATTTTGAAGATGCCATGAAGTAAGTTTTAGAAAATTAATAGCAAGTTTAATAACAAGGATTTTTAATATTTAAAATCATCATGGTAATTTTTGCTTAAACATACATTATGCAAGAGCTAAATCTGTCTATTGCAGGTCTTTCTTTAGGCCTGAAATGTTATATAAACTTTTAACTAGACATTTATTAACATGAAAAAACCTTAATCATCTCTCAATGTTATCTTATGTGTCGGATTGTCACTGGATTTGAATCCGATCTGCTGCTCAACGCTCATTGATGATTAAATCAAAAAATGGATATTCGAGACTATTTTTTTTTTATTGTATTGACTTAAGTAATGATGACCGAGGCTGTGGCGAAAAATCAATCGCTAATATCTTGGTTCAAAGTGGAGCAATTTGACTGAAAATTCCAGCATATTCCCTTTACATTATCTAGTTTTTAACTATTATAGTAATAACTGCCAGCTCTTTATCTGATCTTCGATAATGTATCTTTAAAAGATAAATTGTTCACAATCTTTTCTTCTGCTTATGAAAGAAAGGCCTCTGGCCTATTGAAACTCATGCATTGCTTGTTCTTGGCTTACCAAAACCTGATAAAGACTCTTCCGATCCATGTGTTCATCACGCAGTGTTCATGAGAAATGTTTTCTAAACTTTAAATCATTCATAAGACAACTTTCACATACTGCTTGGAAGAATAAGCTGCAGATGGGTTTATGTTTCATGTTCCGTACATCCAATAACTATACAGGTCAAAGTTTAGAGATTTCTTTTTTGAAAATTGCTCTGATTGCTTGCAGAGTTATTGCCCCATTAACTGCAATCATGTATATAAACACCCTGCAGATCAAATATTTTTTAGATTTATTTTCTAACTTGTTGGTATTGTTTAGCTGGTCCTAATAGTAAGTGCAGGAGGACCGCACTACACGTAAAACAAAATCTACAAGATAAACCTGCGAACAAGACAGAAAATAGACATTGCACCAAATAAACAAATATCAAATCAAGTGAATGGATCCGGGTGCCAGCCGTAAGCATCCACTGCGCTGTACAGTCCCGGGCCTGTAGTGACACAGACTTCACTCAAATTTGAAAACAATCAGGAATACAAAAAAGACGTAATGCGACCAATCTTGACAGTGGTTGTCTGCTGACATTCGAGTTGGGCAATGATTTTATGTGCAGTTATCTCCCAAAAATTTCACAATACTTTTATACATTGATTCAGCATTACTTATCTGGATATTTCTTTCTCAATTTTCAGTATTGATGGTAATAAAGATATAGATGCCTTATTCGGTAAATCAAGATTTTTAGAATCCAGACGTAATTATAGTGGAGCTCTAGAAGTAGTTAATCAGATAGTTGTAACTTTTCCTACCTTTACGCCAGCTCTTGTTGAAAAAATGAGGTTACAACTTGCTTTACAAGATTGGGAACAAACAATTGAAACGGCTCAAAGGTAATTTAATTAGTTATGATAATAATCTTGATGAATTAAGAATAATTAAATTTTGATTTCATGTTTTTATAGAGGTTGAGTTGTCTAACATGTGCACTTTAAACCATTAGGTCTGTCATTGAGTCCAGTGGCTTAATTTCGATTTGTACTTGTACTTGACAAGGAGTAGGGTCACCTGCCCAATCTTGCGTGTTTTCTCTGGGTCCTCTGGTTTCCTCCCACTGCTCAAGAACACTGTGGGGAAGCGAATTATCTAAATAAGAATTACTATATGTTAGTCCTAGAATCACCTTGCCGAATGGTTAGCACGTGCGCGCTGTACCTTAAAGCCTGTCATTGAGTCAACTGGCGTGGTTTCGAATCCCCGGTTGTACGTGACAAGGAGTAGGGTCGCCTGTCCAACCTCGTGGGTTTTCTCCGGGGCCTCCGGTTTCCTGTCACTGCTAAAGACCCCTACGCGCAAGTGAATTCTTGAAATAAAATTAAACCATGTTTGTCCCGAAATGACCTAGTTTGTGTCGAGTAAACGAGTGGACGTTAAACACTCTCTCTCTCGCTCTCTCTGGGAATAACAGTAAATTGTACATGGGTAAAGGGATCATAATTTTTGTCTTGATATTTCAGGGCAATAGATCAAGACTTTCATTGTATTGAGGCGATGAAATATCAGGTTCTGGCATTGATGTGTAGAGATGGAAATTTTTCAGAGGTAATTTTTTTTAATCTATATACAATTCTGTAGAATAATTTACCACTTGTCACTGTGTAGGAGCTGACTGGCATTAACTTGAAAACGTGACCTGTATGTGTTACGAAACGTCAAAATTAAATAATAGAGAAGTAGTTATATCTATATATACCTTGTGTTGTGTTTTGTTGTGAATGGCATGCAGTAGTTTGGTTTGTCAATTCCGCTTTCAACAATGAAGATTTAAACCTGCATAGACTGGTAAAAGCTTACTTGATTGGTTGACCCCCATTAATCTGATGTATTTTTTTAGATTACATAAAAATGCAAGTTTTTGCATTTCTGTGAGCAAATGTCAGTACAATTAATTTGAGGGTAAATATAAGTAAACGTAATATTTTGTTTCATAGGCAAGTACAAAGATAGGTGATTTAATCACGTCTGCAGATAGATACGAAAGTCACAATCCACAGCTTTACTGTTATATGGCACAAGTCTTTAGTCGTTTGGTGAGTTTAAAACAATTGATTTCTTTAAATTTTTTTGAGAATATACAATTTTTAATACATTTGGGCTATTTGCATTTCTGTTATTTATGATAAACGAACTTACAGTTACATGTATAAGGGTTATTGAATGAACGATATCTAACAAGTTTATTGACTTCTTAATCAACAAATAATAGATTGATTTATGTAGCTGCCGGAAAACTACCAATTTAGAGCCCTGCTGCATAAATTTCTCATAAGACTTTCGTACATGTATAAATTTCTATCCAGGCACATGTGATTTTCGTACTATGTAATTTGAATATGTTACTATTAAACTCTGATGAACTCAAATGTACGTACAATTTGTGAGATATGGCCCCATCTCATTAAATTAACTGAATCCAGATTTGAAAAGTGTCTGTTATTTTCTTGCCATTCTTTTAGATGTTTGCGTTTTGTCTATTACTTCGAATTCAGTATATCTTTGTTTACAGAGATACATTTTCTTCGTAATTTTGATCAAACATCGGATGATTTTTTTACTATATATTTTACAGTGTGGTCGTAATTCCTTGATTCTACAACAGACATATACACTAACAGAGAGAGCTGTCAGTATTGATAGTAATAATGCTGATTACGTTAATGAACTAGGGTATCAGTTATTACTACAGGGCAAGGTTAAAGATGCTATGAGATGTTACAGAAATGCTATGAAATTAGATGAAACAAGTGTTCCTTCTCTAACTGGTAATTCATTGATCTTATTACACCCTTCTTTAATGAATGATTAAATGTCTGCCAGAAATTTAAAGCCTCCAATTGAGGGGTTTTGAATCCTTTACAAACTTCAATATTGTGTAAGTTGAAAGTTAAAGGAATGCTAGTCCAAAAATAATTTAATGTCATTGAGAATTTACCAGGATAGGGATGAAAAGAACATATGTCAACATTCGGCATAAACATGATATCCTCAAAACTGCCAAAATTTACTTAGTCTCGATTGACAATCTATGGTAAATTTTGTCAAAACTTCAAAACACTCATAACTTCACACAGAATAAAGTAATTTGACTGAAATTTTCAATATATCTATTATCTATTTTTAAATTGTTATATAGCAAGAACGGCCAGCTCATTTTTTCTAATTTTTGTTGTTTATTTCTTGTGACTTCTATGTACTTTGTCTTGTCCGCAGGTTTATCTTGTCACATTTGTTTTGCATGTAGTAAAGGTCCTCCTGCACATTCCATCCTCGTGGATTTTTTCCGGGTCCTCCGGTTTCCTCCCACTGCTAAAGACCCCTACGCGCAAGCGAATTATTGAAATAAAATTAAACCATATGTTAGTCCCGAAATGACCTAGTTTGTGTCGAGTGGACGTTAAACCCCATTTCTCTCTCTCTCTCTCCTCCTGCACTTACTATTGCATAATGCATCTTTAATTAAATGTTAAATATCTATTTATCATTTAAACATTTATATAGTATGACCTCTCTTTCTGGTACATTTGAAAGTTGTTCAATTGTGTGTGTTTGCCTTACCCCAAAACAATATTTGATTGATTTGATCTCTCTATTGGGCTTGTATAACTTTCGTTTAAAAATTATTGACTAAAATGAAATGTTTTATGATGTAAAGGTATTATTAGATGTCAACTATTGGAGAATCAGCTAGATGATGCAGCTCAACAACTTGAATTCTTAACAGAGATTCAACAAAGTATTGGTAGATTGGCAGTAAGTTATAATTCTGTATCTATACTAATATTTCTGATTATCATTTGTTTATCTGTCTGTTCAGGGTTGGCGGCTACACTAGGGCTGTCTCGAGGATGAAATTTGGTGTATAGGGGTAGCTCGGACTAGGGAATAACATAGGCCAGGTGGCATTGGACTACTACTTCTGGTTTCAAAGTTATGCTACTTCCGGTTCATGGCTATACGCCAGGTTAACTGCTAGTAATAGTTAAAGCCGCTACAGACCATATCTAATTTTTCATGGATTATATAACTTTTGATTGAGAAAATAAAATCAAAATATGAATGTTAAATAATCTCCTGGGTTTGATTCAATCAGATTAAAGAGATATCCATGAAAAGATTTAGGCAGAGATTATAGGTGGTGCTGTCTTGCTTTGAGCATATATATTTTATCTCTAAAACATATTTTATTGCAAAAAAATATTCTTTACAGAGGGATTAGAACAATTTATAACAAATTATGAATCTTCTCCCAAATATCAGTCAAACTTTTATATAAAATAGTATGGCGAATTAATTTATAATTTAACTAACATAAACATATGTACATCTATTTACAAAACTTCCTTGTAAATTATATTAATTAATGCATATTAATACGTTTACTTATTGGTACATTATTATAGTATTTGTTTCAATTATATGTAAAACATTTCGAGTCTTTCATATACCTTTGAATAAGTAAAACTAACATTTTATTTAACTTTTTTGATAGTAGCGATGAACCATGGAGAAATATTTTGTGTATTTCAGTGAAAGGAATATTTCCAAGCCATGTCAGTTTATTGAAAAGGGCACAGCGTTGAGTACTATACTTCGGGCAATCAAAAAAATAATGATATAAATTTTCGACAGATATAACGTTACAACTACAGTATCGATTTTCAATTATATGTGAACGAAATAGATCGAAATTTCAGCTACTACATCCATGTCGAATACGATTGTGGTATATAGAGAATGGCCTAGAACCAATGCTTCTGAATTTTGGTGGCTTTATTTTAGGTTTTAGAGATTTTTAAAATTCTTTAACGTTTGCAATGTCTTTTAAATCTTTTGATAAATTATTGTATTCGCAATTGGTTTCGGAAAGAATGATTTTCGTCTGTTGGAGTTTCGTAAATTGTAAAGTGCTTGGGGTTCGTTTACAAAATGTATAGTATTAGTAAAATACACAGGACAGATTCCATGGATTATTTTATGTAACTGATACAAACGTCTAAGCTTTCTTCTTTCACTTAATTTTGACCATGCAGTTTCAAAATATAAAGATTGTCTGGAGGCGTAAATTGTATTTCCTGTAACAACCCGAGCTGCTTTCATCTAAAAAATGTCTAATTTATCCGAATTATAACTACTACAGTTATCCCAAACTTCACAACAGTATTCAATTATAGGCAAAATAAAACATTTATAGAGTTTATTAAGTGAATCTTGAGAAATTAAAAATTTTAATTTGCAAAGTTGATTAAGTTTGAATGAAGCTACTTTAAGTATAAAGTCAAGATGATGATTCCATTTCCCGTTATTCTGAAGAAACACCCCAAGGTGTTTATGGACCGACGTATCTAATATATACGTATTATCATATTTAATATTAAGCGGATAACTAACTAATTTTTTGATAACTAAAGATCATTAGATTTGTCTTTTCTGGATTAAAAGTCAGTAACCATTTTTTAGACCATTGTAATAATTTGGATAAATTAAAGTTTAATTCAGATTCAATCTTTTCAAAACATTTTGAAGAAGAAGACAAAGACGTATCCTCAGCGAATATTTTATGATTTTAACAAATTCTTCAGAATTGTACCATTCTTTGACTGAAATTCCTTTTGCAGATCCAACCTTCACAGTGTTGGTAGTTTGAAATGGATTAATAATCTCTTAAATAACAATCAGAGTCTTTGACTTTAATTAAAATGATAGTTAAGCTATGTGATCAATGACATGTATAAAATTAATATAATTTTAACGACTTTCTTCAGACCCTTAGGATCGCCATGTGATTTATATTTTAAGTTTTTTTCCACAGGGTGCTTGATTGGGTGCCCGAAACATTTCAAATTAAAGGAATTGCAATCAAGTGATTAGAATTAAGAACTATATGGCCAAGAAACTTCTTTGGGATTTTCCAGTTTAGTCTCCTGTTATCATTGCTGATGAATAATTTGATGTTGTAAATTACCGTCGTTGTCATAATTATGATACTACACTTGATTATCTTGCATTATCCTATTCTGAGCATGCAGAAATACTGTATCTTTTTCTTTCAGGAACTGTCATATCTCAGTGCCATTCTTGCACAGAAGAAGAATCAAGGACCAGAAAAAGTGACAGAATTATTAAATGATTGTATTGAAGTACATTTTGCTGGTCTTAAGGTAATAGAAATTTAATAATACAGTAAACTTTGCATAAGTCGTATCTGAGTGGACTGACCAATTTTATCCGAGTTAAGCTAAGATCCGAGTTAGCCGAAGACTGAAATTCAATCTTAGCTCGATTAGAAATAAACTACAAGAGCCAGATAATAATTGATTCAAAGGCATATTTCAAGCTTTTGTTCGCATATGTGAGTAGACAACTTCCGTTTTGGTGCGAGTAGATTACTTTTGTTTTGTCGCCATCTTTGAAAAATGTCCTAAATTTTCTCACACAGCAGAAAGCTCTGTGCATGGAATACCTGACTACGTTTTTGGCCATCGGGACAAAACTGACTTAGTCAAATTCGGAACATACTGCCGATCCGACTTGGGCAAAGGAAAAAAGCCTCAATTAGATCAAATGGACAGAACATTTTAATCTGAGTGAAAATCCAACTTACGCACAGAAATTTAATAAGAAAAACGTGCATGATCAAAGGGTCCAAATGATTTTATCCGAGTTGAGCAAAGATCTGACTTGTACGAATGAGACTTATGCAAGGTTTACTGTACATATAATTATTTTTTATCATACAGTTATAGTGAATAAAGACAATCTATTCAAGTTATTACAATACATCCCCCCATCCACTCTTCAAATAGACAAAATATTTAGTAAAATTCAGTTGTGTGACTATGATACATTTTCTTCCTTGACCCAAGCGGAGGAGGTTGTGTTGTTTTAAACAGTAAGTTTTAGTTAGACAGTTTTCTCAATCTGTACAGATGTTATATTCATGAAAATTTGATATTAAGTTTATTTACAATGATATTATTTTTGCAGGGTTTGCCTCTTGGGGTACAGTATTTTTTCTTAATGAATCCTGATTTTCTACTACAAGTTATGAAAGCTTATTTACAGTTTGCTCCACAAGTGGTATGTATACTCTATTATTATTAATATCTACCTAGCTTGTTGTTAATTAAAGGTAACTCTGGTCCACTACATAAGACAAAGAGAGAAATGTCATTCAGGAACTAATATGTATATGCATGGGGGTCTTTAGAATTGGGAAGGAAACTTAGGTACCCAAAGAAAATTCCTGAGGTTAGCCAAGTGACCCTACACGTTGTGACAAATTAACTTGGGGATCTAGTCCATGACAAATCTGATTAAAATACAGATCTATATTTCGATGGCCTACACTACATGAAGATCTGACAAGTTATAGCGATAGGTCAGGTCAGGGGTCAAAAGACCGACTTATGACCCTATGACATCAGACATTTGATTAACCAATCAGCATTGATGTTACTAGTGGATTACCCACAGTTCCGTGAAAAACACGCCTAAAGCTCGCCGTAACAGACCGTTTCATTGGCTTATCCCTGACACCATTCAGAACACGAGTTAAATAACAACTCTTCCAGATCCAAGTGTAGTAAAGACAAGTAAAACAAAATTTTGAACTATAAAACGAAATAGGATCTGTGTTTTAACCAGATTGGTCCATGACTTGCATCTATAGATGATAACCTTATGAATTACAGCTCAAACCTTAAGGCACTTGGCCCATTAACAAACCGGGGGTTGGATAGCCGAATGGTTAGCACGTGTGCTCTGTATCATAAGGTCTGTCATTGAGTCAACTAGTGTGGTTTCGAATCCCCGGTTGTACGTGACAAGGATAGGGTTGCCTGTCCAACCTCGTGGGTTTTCTCCGGGTCCTCCGGTTTCCTCCCACTGTTAAAGACCCCTATGCGCATGCAAATTATTGAAATAAAATTGAAACATGTGTTTGGCCCGAAATGAACTAGTTTGTGTCAAGTGGACGTTAAACCCCATTTCTCTCGCTTTCTCTCCCCAATTAACAAACCCTAATGGCTGACCAGTAAAGGTTGCTAGAATAATGGGTTTATTTATATAGAGAAGCATGATTGAGCATTTTTACAATACTAATAAAGTCAGATTTTGGGAAAGATAAATTATAAAATATGAAATGAAAGTAATATGAAAACTTATGTAACACATCTAATTTCTAATGAGATGTGGAAACATTGATTTTAGTAAAAATATGATTTTAGTGGAAAATATATCAATATGTATATTTATATAACTGTATATTGAAGTAAATTATGTTTGCCTGATGTGTTTGTGTGCAAAACTATTAAGACAATTGTTTGACACTACATGTATTTTAGCCAGTACCTCCAGGTCAACCACCCAATCCAGTACTTAAACGTTGTAATCAAGTTCTTGACCCGTTGACACGAGCTGTACCAGGACTAATGGAAGCAGTATATCTTCTAGCTAAAGTCCGGTTTCTTAGTGGTAAGACCCATAATACCTGTACAGTCCTTTATTAAAATGTGAAAAAATTCTGTGAGTTTGAGTTTTGTTATAAGAAGTTTACCAATTTTAAACCAACTTCACCACCAGAGTTAGATCCCAGTGATGCTTAGTGCATTTTTTTTTCTATTTGGGTATGTTCTTGTGTTTTAAAGTCATATTAATCCAGAATAAACTTTAAATATAGAGTTTAAAACCATACACCATCAAAAGAACGTTATTTTTAAAAAAAAAAAAAGATTGGCCTAAAAACTTAAGCCATGGTTAGGGTGACCCATGTACTCACAGAAATACAGTCCACCGCTGATAGTTCGAGACTACCACTGAAGCGTGCACATTCGCCGTGCCGAGACCAACTTTCTGACAGTATGATACTATAAATAGCCATGGCACGTGCAATTCTCTACAAATCTATCAACTATTACAGCCGTAAAAAAATTATTGTTGACGATTTTGAATAGCAGTAAAATTAAGCTTCTTGGTATTACAGCAGATTTAGAAATTACGTTCGTTTCATTCTTTAAATCGCTTTATCATTAACTGTACCGTTAAGAGCGGCATCTTTTGGTTTAGTACAAATAATATCTCTGAATCACTCGGGTTAGACAGGAACATGATACTAGCAGTAGTTTCATTTTACTTTTACAAGCTTCTTAAAACGATTGTTGAGCTACCTAACGTGCTTATTTCTAAATTCAATTTCTTGTTCTAGCTTTCTGTTATGTTTCGTAAAAAAGTAGTCTTGATTATCCCGACCTGTCAATCAGACGTAGAATGGTCGATAGACTGGTTAAGCGAGACTAATTTCAAAACAAGGGCACGTAACCTATCTTTTACTCAAAAGTGTCTGGATGTTATGGACGACTCTTGGAACCAGTTTTCAGTCTATTATTTATACATGATTAATGGTCACAGCTTATTAAGTACAACATGATCGTTTATTTAGTGACTATAATTGTGTGAAACTGATTTGAGGCTTGGCATATATATAAATATTGTGGCGTAATTGTCGAGATATATGGAGATATTTATTTATGGTGGGTCACCCTACCATGGTTATTTGAGGTTTAAAATAGTCTTCTTTCATTTCACACGCCATATTTATGTGTTTTCTGCAAGTAAAGTAATAACAATTCTGCTAGCTTTTTCGTACAAATTCTTGTGAGGTGCATTTGGTTATCACTATAGTTACCCATGGTCATTTTGACACCCAGCCATTCTCCCTTTTTAGGGTACATTTACATTTGTTGGAATATATTTCCAGGTGATATTGATTCAGCACAGAATACATTACAACACTGTCTGGAACAAGATTCTACATTCTCTGATGCTCATATTCTAATGGCACAGGTAAACTACGTGATTTACTACATGTCTCTAAATAAGGACACAGTAACCATTCTTTAAAAAGATAATTTAATATTTTGAATGATGGAATGGTCAGATGTATAAAGTGATTATATAAGACAAAGTTTGATGCAAAAATGGATTTACGAAAAATTCGATCATGTTTACAAGCCAAATGGTTGAAATGTTTACGAACGATTTCATTCTGAAATACTTCTACTGACACAAATACCTTTATATTTTGCTTGAAGAAATCTGCATGGTTTTTTTACTTAACAATGTCATACTGAGAAAGATTTCTTCTGATATATTTTTCAATATTTTTTTTTAGATTCATCTGAACCAGAATAATTTTAAACTTGCCAATCAATCTTTAGAAGTTGGATTAAGTTATAACTTTCAAGTAAGTCAAATGATTGGACTGTTTTTTAAGTTTGCTATTAATACTTAAGACATCTTTAAGATAGTGTGGAAATCATGGTGTATTCTATAGACATGTGAGAGACTTTGGACCTGAAACGAAATACACAGGGAATGTTCTGCCTTGATTATGGGCCATCTGTGAATTATTTTTAATTACTTCTGAAAACTAAACAGATGCTATGTACAATAAATATGTTTGTGTGGGGTTTGTGGGGGCCGAGTTGTCTAATGCATTTCTTTTAGATTGTATAGTCTGTCAATGAAACCAATGGCAGTCCCAGGGTTGTAGGCCTACTATATGTTAGTCTCAAAATGACCTAGCTTTGTGTTGAATAGATGATAAAAAATTGGAATATTACTATTCTTCTTAATTGATTTGGAGTGGAAGCTGATGGTTGATCTTAAGTTCCAGACGCAACATAAGCAGATATATCATCTAAAATTAGACTATTAATAATATTTCACAATTAATCCTTGTTTCATATCTAAAAATTTATTGTTTATATGATCATTGTTGGTGGGTGAGCCTTGGGGTTTGAAGTCCCAGTCCTAACTGTTATACTGTATTTACTTCCTCTATTTCAGGTACGTGATCATCCTTTGTATCATTTGATTAAGGCTCGTATTCTGAAGAAACAAGGTGCTACAGCAGAGGCAGTTCAAACATTACAACTAGCTATGGTATTACCTGGTGTTAAAACAATTGGTATGTTATTAAAGATATTTATTACAAAACATTGTATTATTGGATTATGAATTATATTTTTCTTATGTTTTTAATGAATTTCTCAGATAAAAGTAGCCAGTTCTCTTTGAACTAAACAAAATTGTTTCCAGTGACCATTTTCTAGCTGTTTAACTATCTTCTGTAGAGAAATAGTTGGTCCTTCAAATTTTTGAAAATCATAGTTTATCTTGATCAGTCATAAATGTTATTTCCAGTCCTATTGTTATCACAGCTTGAATAATGGCCCTTTGTTAACAACCCATGAATGAAAGACTTTAATGAACCGGGGTGTTCTCTCTTTCCCAGCAGCTATTGTTTTCCAGGTAGAATCATTGGATCAGTACTAATTAGGGTAACAATGGTGTTAAAACTATAGTCTTTTTCATATCAATATTAACCATTTTATATAAAAGTTATTTTATTTACAAATTTAGCATGTACATATATATTTTTCATATCAATATTAGCTACTTTACATACAGGTTATTTTATTAACAAATTTAGTATTGTACATGTATATTTAAAATCCGACTAAGTGTGATATCGAATTTCCGTATTCATATAAAGTCGTCAAACCACTAATCTTTGTTTTTCATCATGTATTCTTCTGTTTAATTCTATGTACGTGTATTTTCTTTTCTTTCGACGTGAAACGCCTCCATTTCCATATTGTGATTTATAGTTCATACATGTCATAGGTTAAATTGAACTGGTCATGCAATAATTAAAACAGAGTATAACTCACTAATCTATAACTAATCCCTAATCCGCTTAATTAGTAGGGTTAATCTGCTGGAAAGTGAGAACAAACCAATGAACCCATGGGATCATTTTTCAAGTATGAAACCCTGATAAATGTTAATAACAGTCATTACTGACAATGCATTATAATCAGACATATATTCTAATGCCTTGAAATTTGATATGTATGAGAAGTCATTTTGACAAAATAAAAACATAAAAATGAAACCCTCCTCCTGCATTAGGGGGGTTGGGTGGCCGAATGGTTAGCACGTGCGTGCTGTATCATACGGCCTGTCATTGAGTCAGCTGGCATGGTTTCAAATCCCCGGTTGTACGTGACAAGGAGTAGGGTCGCCTGTCCAACCGTGTGGGTTTTCTCCGGGTCCTCCGGTTTCCTCCCACTGCTAAAAGACCCCTACGCGCAAGCGAATTATTGAAATAAAATTAAACCATATGTTAGTCCCGAAATGACCTAGTTTGTGTCGAGTGGATGTTAAACCCCATTTCTCTCTCTCTCTCCTCCTGCATTAGATGTTTGTTTAGGATTATCTAACAAACAGAATATTTTTTTGTATGGCCTTACAGACGAATTCAGTGAGAATTCAGTTTTAAATAAATGTATAAATGATATATTATTGAAGTAAGTGTCAAGTTATTTTATTATATACAGGTAGAGGTAGTGCACAAGGTAAAAGAACAGCTAATATTAACCAGATTAGTGTCAATGATAGAGTTTCAGTATTTCTAGAATTAGCTGAAGCTCATAGACAACTAGGAGAACAGGTAATTACTATCTAGTTTAAATCACTACCATCGACAATACCAAGACATTTTTGTGTTTACATGTATTAGAAACATAACTGATTAGAAATTATTACAATACAAGTTTTTAAACATGAATGTAAATCAGTTTATATACATTCATATTACATTAAAAAAGCATTAACATAACTTCCTACATTAATTATAATTATATACTGTGAGATATGATTTGATTGGAAGTGATAGCCAATTATAATACAGCTGAAATATGATTTTTGGCTGGTCATTTAGCCACACAAGAAATTCAAGAAGAACCCATGGACGATATAGCTTTATTTTGCAGTGAAATTTAGGCACAATGGGTAAAAATCAAAAGTCAGTAACAGCATTGTACAGAATTTGTCCAATGTAACGCCCTCCAGCACGCATTCCGGTAGAGTGTAATTTGAAATTTTTAAGATGATACTGAATTCTGTTTTTATTTTTAGCATGAAGCAGCCAAGATTATGCAAGATGCAATCAATGAATTTCAAGGTACTGCGGAAGAAGTAAGAATATCCATAGCCAATTCTGATTTAGCACTGGCGAGAAATGATACAGAGATGGCTTTAAATATGTTGAGAAACATTACTCCTGAACAACCATATTTTGTACAGGCTAGAGAAAAGATGGCTGACATTTACTTGAACTATAGAAAGGACAAACGGCTTTATGCTGGATGCTATAGGTAATTAACAGTTTTAAAGGGGAATTACCAAAATTTGGTGACCTTGAGATGTTGTGCTTTTGAATTCAGGATCTGCAGTAAAACTTCAATGAAAATAATATGTATGTCCCGTAGGGTTGTCACGATTAATCAGTTTAGTCTTGTAGTCGATTTGGTTTCTAGCTCAAACCGATTCACATTTTGAAAAATCGTTAGTCGTTTCATCCAATTTATATTTATTCGATTACATATAATGTTTGACTTTTACTGTCTGCTAAACACACTGCTGAATTGCTGCCTATTAAAACCGTATGGAAAGTACGTCGTTTGAGACTATACAGAAATTCCCATTTACAGTGGCATGATCTCAATGTTGCATGGAATTCTTCGCCTACCATATTAGGCATAGCTTACTACGAAATGTGTAAAATGGTTGATTTTGCGGCGAAATAACTGTCAACAACGGACAATAACAGACATGATAATCATTGGCATTATAATACTTGGACTGAATGCATGCCGCACGAGACATGGAAGTTGGCTATGCCTTTTTATGAGTGATAAACTGCCTATGTAATTTTAATAAAATACCGTTTTATAAAGAAGAAAACACAGCTCCAACAATATAATGGAAAGATTCCCTCAGAAATTCCAGTATAAATTAATTTTAAATCCAGCTGTAATTTATTATTTAATTCACAATCAGAATGTGCCGTTACTGTGTACGAGACTCCTCTATCCTGTGTACGAGGATCTTCTATTCGCCCCCCTCGGCATATATTGCCGCCTTTTTAAATGACACATGTTCTTTTCTATTTGTGCTGTCTTTCCGTGGCTTCTCTTGTTGTTTTTCATCAATATGATTATCGCTATATATGTTAAAATATTATGTACGGGAATTGTTGTACTAGTGAATTGTAATCTATTGCCAGTATTGGATTTTTAATTAGCAGTTAAAGCTGTAGGGGTAAGTCAGAACACGGGAATGTCTTACTCATCTCAATCGCGTAATTAAATATCAAAACTAATGACTTAGTGAATGTTGTTTATTGCCAATTTAAACGATTTATTCCAACATCTCTTTAGCACAAACTCAACGAAATGTACTACATTAATATACAATCAGCTATTCAGTGTTCACGCGCCATTTTATAATTTACTTATCAACAAAAAAACACAAGAAAAAAACCACGGAACGCAGTACAGACATTGCCATTATAGAATTTATACGGGATCCGATTAATCGGCAATGATACGATTTTTGGCTGGCCGATTAACCAATTCAAGAATTTTGTAATCGTGACAACACTAATGTCCCCAAACCGTGTACATTGGGTTTCAGAGGTTATCTATCTATATACGCCTCAATCATTTGAAAATGAACATTGCCTGAATAATCAGGGCTATGCTCAAATAATGATTAACAATAAAAGTAAATTGGCAAAGCATTGGTGAAGTTATCACAATTACTTACATTGAAAAATCCTTTGTGGGAATTAATTTTATTAGGAAAACAGATGAAAAACATTTGATTTTGTGTAGGATAGGTAGTAGAAATATTGATAAATATACAGGGCAAAATGTGTGACAGACTTAATGACAAAACCTTAGAATTGTACCTGACAAAGACTGAATTGATCACAACAGTGTCCGTTGGCTTATTCCAAGGTGTGAATGAATATATTATTTTCAGATATCAGGCTTAATAATTATTTTTGAAAATAATATCTACTCATACAATATTTCAGTTTACTTGTAATGCCATGAAAAGTCAAGAAGTTGAATTTATAATAGAAATACAAGATTTTCTGTCTAAATACTTATATTTTTAATCTGATTAAAATACAGATCTATATTTCGTTTATTTATACTTTTGATGGCCTTCACTACTTGAAGATCTGACCGGTTGTAGTTAGAGGTTGTGTCAGGGGTCATACAAGCGGCTTTTGACCCTGTGATGTCAGACATTTGATTAATAAATCAGCGTTGATGTATCTAGTGGGATACCTACAGTTCTGTGCACCACACACCAAGAATTCGCCACAACAGAGTTGAACAGACCGCACATCAACCAGAACGCAGGTTATATAACAACTCTTCCAGATCCTAGTGTAGTAAAGACAAGTAAAATGAAATGTTGAACTATAAAAAAACAAAACCAAATAGGATCTGTGTTTTAATCAGATTGCAGCATTTTGAAGCAATATCTACACAACCACTTTTTGTAGGCTTTAAAATATGATTACTAGGGGAAAGGTTACACAAGAAAATACTGAATCTGAAGAAGCAAAAAAAGAGAATATTGTAAAATATGCCAGATACGAACTTTTGACTCTTCACAGACGACATATTTTTATTTATATAAGTTCTTTCCAAATATATAAATTAGAAGAATTTTATAAAAACAAAGAGTGGTGTACTTATTATATCAAAGTTTATGTGTATATTTATATTATAGAGAATTGGTTGATAAATATCCCAGTCCACATACTAGTCTTTTACTTGGGGATGCCTACATGAGTATACAAGAGGTAAATATAAATCACAGTATAATTAAGAGTGTAGAGTATACTGACTACTGTCTGTATCATGGAACACATACCTTATATTATTATAGATGTGTGTGATTCAAAGTAATATTATCTAACAGTTAATGCAATGAAATGGGTTTTAAGTTATTTTGTTTACACATGATTTTTGTGTATGGTCTAAAAACTGCCATCTTAAATAAAGATAAGAGTTATGTCCCTTTATTTTAGGTAAAAATGTCCGACAAGAAAATTTTTGAAATCCCATCATTGGGTTTAACTTCCTACTTTTAACATCCTACTGGGTTAATGGAGACCATCATACACCATGTTGTGTGCTAAGAGGGAAATTGTTTCCAGTTAAGGGCTCTTTTACATGCACACCCATGTGTACACAGGACCTCGGTTTTTCGTACCATCCCAATGACTAGAAAAAAACCGCCAAAAAATCCTGAGGAACCTTCTTGGCCATGCGAACCCAGGACCTTCTAGCTGCGAAACAGTGTCTTACTCACGTAGCCACTGTGCCTCCCAACAGTCAGTGCAAGATAACTGCACAACAGGACAAGGACAGAACAAATGATACAGTAGGCCAATAGACAGTAGAATTGGATACGAAATAAAGTGGGGTTGGCGTGCTACTGTTTTTGCACCAGCTAGGATAATAAAGACTGTATATACCAATAAGTATGCGGTGGTATTTCTATCTATACTCTTTATCAAATTTTTTGATATTGTCAAATTTCAATTCTATTGTCTTTATCTGTTTTCAGCCAGAAAAGGCCATAGAGGTATATGAAGCTGCTTTACGTAAAAATCCTAAAGATTCTGGTCTTGCCAGTAAAATAGGTCAAGCTCTTGTTAAAACTCATAACTATGGAAAGGTAATAGTGTATTTTGTTAAGATTAGAATATTTTGTAGAATATGAATTTAATATACAATTGAGATCAGGTGATGAACTTCAGCTTTCTGTCCCAATGTCTAGAACAACCTATGTTGACAGAAGGTTCATGAAGTCTGCAGCCAAATTGATCTTTCTCTGGCGATACGAAAAATTGGAGAAACATCGATTTCAAATCGAAATTTAAGCCTATTCTGTTAAAAAAAACAAAAAAACGTACAACTAAACACACTTGAGGAGGAATCCTGAATAAATTGCACTATATAAATGACTAAACATATTATTAACATAGTTAAACATTCTCATTGTAACTCACTGTATCTTTTCATCTGTAATTGTTGTAAGCGACTCACCATAAAATATGATTGAGGGACAATATATTTCCGAGAATGATCTTAAAGATACCACCTGTGTAAATGTTCTGTAATATAACTTTATCTCGTCAGGCTATAAGTTACTATGAAGCAGCACTGAAATCTGGTGGGCAGACTTTCCTCCGTCATGACTTGGCTGAACTACTTTTACGACTGCGACAGTATGATAAAGCGGAAAAAGTTTTACGTATGGCTCTAGAATCTGAAGGACAAGGTACTATATTGAAGATTTTAATAGTTGATGAATAGTACATCCACACATGTGCCCACATGAATAGTAAATTTTGTCTTTCGAATATTCGATGGTATGATTTGAAACCAATTTGAATATCCGACCTCTGTTTTGTGTCTAAATTCAGTCCGAGTTAAGCATATTTTGACAAATTATAGCTTTTGTGTCTTGCAATCATTTTAGTAATGACAGGAAAGATTAGTTAGATGATCAAACAGGGCACAAGGTGAACAAATATGGCCATACATCCATTTTCTTTCACAAACAAAAGGATCAAGCACCGAAAGATTTCAATTTCTTAGTTGATCAATTGAGGTTTTTTTAGGATTAGATGACAAAATTTGATTTAAAGATAGTCACTACGTTTCTGGATTGAATTGAATTAACAAATAATGTACATTTATTATGTCCATCATGGTGAAAATAATATGACTGGATGGATATTATATTGAAAGATATTTTGATTGATTGTAAAATATATGTTCTTCAGCTTTAATTGCTGTTAGAAATACAATCTACCCAATAGCTTTCATTCACTTTCTTTAATTCGATGTATAACTTCAACCTGATCCAACTATAAAAAATTACACTCTCACTCAAGAAGCCTTGATGCTTGTAGGACTGGCTCAGTAAGTCAGGCACAGACTTGCTTACATAGTGGTCCCGTGTTCGATGGCTAGGTGGGTAAGGCCTGAAAAGGACAGCTGTCTAGTCCTTCGGATGAGATGAAAAACCGAGGTCCCATGTAAACATTGGAATGCACGTAAAAAGATCCCTTGGCAGTTGGAATTCGATATAAGAGTAGGCGATAGTGCCGCTGCCCAGGCAAAATTTCCCTCATAGCACACTGTACGGCGTATGCCCGTCTTCATTAGCCCAGAACAGAACAGTAGGACGTTAAACCCCATTTCATTTCATTTCATTTCGATCCCAGTGTTTTCAGGGAAAGTTCATCAGGATTTTCCCGCGTGGTTCCCCCTTGGCTTCAGTGATGGATGGAGGGTCTGACAAGGGACAGAGGCTATTCATTCAGATGGGATGATAAACCAAGGTCCTACATGTATGTACACATTGGTGTGCACGTAAAAGTACCCATGACAGTTGGAGTTCAAACTGTAACCTGTGTATCATTTAATCTTGTGTATTTAGCACTAATTTCTTTCACATTCATTAAATATCAAATCTTTGTTTAAAAATTCGTAAAAATCATTTAAAACCACCAAAAATCATCTAATTTGTACTTGTGTCGAGGTTAAAGCTGATACCAGGGTTACAGTGATAGCCACAATCCAAGCAAGACAGTGTATGCCTGTATTTATTAGCACGGATGAAGCAGAAAAGTGGGACATTAACCCCCATTTCATTCATTTGTAGGACTTCACATGGTTAACCAGTTTACTTTTCAGTCAAGGTAAACAATGAAATTATAAATTGATTGATATTTTTATTATTAATCATACTTTAGATATGGAAACATTGATGGAGAATACAAAATACTTAATACTACTAGCTAAAGTTTATCATAAACAAGAAAAGATGCAAGAAGCACTGGAATCTTTAACTAATGCTAGAGATATGCAAGCTAGGTAATATTATGTTAGTAATTGAATGCTGTTCATATATATATATTTAATGAGAACTGCATCCCAAATACAAGCCTGTCACAGACTGTGACGGTTGCCTTATGATTTATGTACTATTTGTATAGTATGGGATAAATGTCTGTAATAGAATGTCAAAAGGATAAATTCAAGTTGAGTGGAAATTATAACATTTAGTGTTATATATTATATGTTATATTTAAAGATCTGTTCCCTGGAGGTTAATCATGTCATTCTTGTGCGAGTAATAACCTATTTTGAATTAAAATTATGGTATTACTTAATAAGGACCTCGAAAGAGAAAAACAGCTGTATTTTTAGATTTGAAATAGAATAAGATTTTCCATTCCTCATTCTGAAGTTATATTTTTCTTAAAATCAAATATAGTTATCCATCTAATCTTGATATAAGTTCCAAATGATGATTATGTTGTTTTCACTAACAAATATAATATTCCATGTAGTTTAGCTATATTCTGTAGGTGGTGGTTATGAAAGATATGTTGTTTTCTCCAACATAATATAATATTCCCAGTAGTTTTGACATATTCTGTAGGTGGTGGTTATGAAAGATATGTTGTTTTCACCAACAAATATAATATTCCCAGTAGTTAGGATATATTCTGTAGGTGGTGGTTATGAAAGATATGTTGTTTTTACCAACAAATATAATATTCCCAGTAGTTAGGATATATTCTGTAGGTGGTGGTTATATCTGTAAGAAATCAGCGGAATATATCTTTAAAACACTGTAATTCTTGTGAAATACATGTTTAGTGAGATAATCTGATATTTTAGAGTGTTGAAAAGAGTTCAGATGGAACAACCAGATGCATATATGGAGCAGAAACAGCTAGCTTCAGAGTAAGATAATTATTTAAAATATTAAATATCTATTTAAAATCTAATTGAAGTGTATCCATTTCCTCAGGTGCTGTCTTCAACTAACTTGTTCTTATTCCATAAGATATCTTGATTTTTGGGTTCACATACATGTGTAGTTGTGAGATGGTATTTTGTATGCCATGCAGGCATTATCACATGGTGCTTTTAGCTTGATATCCTCCCTTTTATAGAACAAGTTTGACTAGAACAACTCGTTGGTTTACAGCGAGCTTTGTCAAGTTGCGATCATAAACAGCTGGTTCTTGTGGAAAGCGATCTGTCAAGAAGAGAGCAGAAAACATCGATGGTGATCAGAAACCCTGTATTTTACAATACGATGAGTCTTTTATATCTCTGTCCATATTGTTTGTTTTTTCTATGAGATATATTTAATGAATTTAAAAAGTTAAAAATAATTTATATATCGATTAGATAAAATGTTGTTTTTTTTTTAATTGATCAGTATTTGTCGACAACTAGCCCAGTATTCCACCAATCAGCGAGATTATGATAAAGCTATCCGATATTATAAAGATGCACTAGTTTATAATGATAATGACAGTAAGGTAATAGTATAAGTTATTTTAAAACTAGTATTTAAATGTGGGCAAATATTTACTGAATAAAATGTGACATACCACTAATTGCATTAATTTCATAATGCATTTGTTTGTTTGAATCTGGGGGGTTCTGTGACCGAATGGTCTAACATATACGCTTAGGATCATAAGGTCTGTGTCAGCTAGCATGTTTTCGATTTCCAGCTTGTATGTTAATGTTTTTCACCCTCTGTGTATTACAGGTGATGTTAGATTTGGCAGGTCTATATTTAGTAACAGAAGATTTAGATGCCTGTCAACATCAATGTATGACTTTATTAAAAACAGATAAAGATAATGATGCAGCTACTATCGTAAGTTTTCTTACTTTGTCTTGTCAGTATTTAGTTTAATAGTTTGTGGTCTATTAAAATCTGGCAATTAATTAATATGTATCATCTATTTATTTTGGGATTTCAGTGGGGGCATCAGCCTCACTGTTGGCTTGTTTGTAGTATTTACTAATGTATATCGAAACATGTCTTTTGCAATCTTTGTCTCATGATGGGATCGGTTGTTACACTTTTCATTCGGGAGTAGACTATCTGCTCACATAGTACATGATGAATGAACATTAGATTGTATAGGCAATTTCGTAGTAATCATTTTACTGAAAATAGTTGATATTTTTAGATAAAGATTTCACCTGTTTGAAATATTTTGTTATATGCCCACACTGTTTATGTTCATTCTACAAAGAAGCTTATTGATTTGCAGAGCCTTCAATAATTACTTTCTGGGTTATAGCTCTTGATCAGTGTTTTTGTTCATGAGATGATTTCCTGTGTAAACCGCTAAAGTTATTATATGAATTCCAGCATCATTTTTTTTTTTTTTGTTACCCCCGAGAAGAGCTGATGGAACTGAACCTCTGTTTGTAGTGTCTTCTTATTAACTACAAAAGTTAGAAATGTGACAAGCTTTATGGACTGCTTATACACTTATCTGTGGCTGTATTTTTCATTGCCATGGCAATCTATCTTTTTTGTTTAGATGTTAGCGGATTTGATGTTTAGAAAGAATGAATATGATTCAGCTATGTACCATTTTCAGCAACTGTTACAGTTGAGACCAGGTAATCATTAAATGAATATTGAATAAATTTTCACCCATAAGATATATTGTATAATTCTGGAAAATAATAAAAAGAGTTCAGGTCGTCTAAGGTAAATAATTTTAAAAAATGCCCTACAAAAGATAGAACAAATAGTACATGAGATGGAGACAATGCAAATTTATGTTTAGCTGGTGCAAACACTAAAATCTAAATGTCAATGTGAATTTACCCTTTACTGGCATGAGAGCCATCCTAAAAGATAGACAGTATGTTAAGATAAAATCTGTTGTATAAGACCATATTAAAAAATGTTCTGATTCTCAGATAATCCTACGTCACTTAGAAAGGGCTGCATGACCTGTAAACCCCCCCCCCCCCCCATTAAACCTTACTCAGAATAAAGTAATTTGACTGAAATTTGTAATATACTCCCTTTTCATTATCTGTTTTTATACGGCCACATTTTCATGTGGACATAATTGTTGTCGCCCCTGTCCGTTTACTATTTCTTTGTAGACAAGTCACAATTTTTGTTTGATTTTGACGAAACATGAAATATGGGTTTATATCCCAAAGATCTCGGTTCCTTTCGATATTATAGGTAAAATCACGTTTTTAGCTTGTGGACCCTCTAGAATATTTATCCGATTATATAAACCCTAATGACGGTTTAGTTTAAAAATCATGAAAATCGGACAAACTGACGAAATGACTGTTCCCAGTACGCAAATAGTGTAAAAGTATGCCCGTCTTCATTAGCCCAGTATAGGAGCAGAACAGTAGGACGTTGAACCCCATTTCATTTCATTTCATTTTATGTAATACCAAGGTTGTGGACCTTCTAAAGGTCATCATATTTATCCGATTTTAAAGAAACTTAAAATTTATGTTTATAACCCAAACATCTTGATTCCTTTCGATATTGGCCTATATTGGACTGTGACTTCCTGGATTATGGCTCCTGATTGTCAAACAAATTGTGTTTTTAGCTTGTAAACCCTCTAGAGGTCACAATTTTTATCTGATTTTGATTAAACTTAAAATATATGTTTATATCCCAAAGATCTTGGTTCTTTTCGATATTGACACATGTAATATCCTGGATTATGGCTTCTGATTATACAAAAAAATCACCTGTTTAGTTTGTTTTCTGTCCATCTCTTGCAAAATATTTAACATTTATAGCGAGAACTGTCTGCTCTTTATCTAAATCTTACATAATGCATCTTTAATTACTGCATTTAAATATTTTAATCCTGTTTCAGGAAGTAAATCCATAATAAAATTTGAATGAATCAATAGGCTCATTTATCAAGTACCCAAAGCTGATAAATGTTAATGACGATTTTAAATAATACTGGACAATCATACATTCCTATGAACAACATGATGAGATAAATGTATCAGTAATGCCTTGAAATCTGCCCCTTGACAAAATAGAAACCTCCCTCCCGAATAATTTTTTTTGTATGACCTTATTAAATATTCCAACGAATAAAAAACTATTTTGACAATAGTTGTCTGTACTTCCAGATAATTATGAAGCTTTAGCACGACTTGTTGACTTGATGCGAAGAGCTGGTAAACTTGAGGGAGTACCCAAATTTCTAGAACAAGCCCAAAAGTCATCAACACGAACATCTTTAGAAGCTGGTTATAGTTATTGTAAAGGTTTATATGAATGGTAAGCATGACAAAAGACAAGTAGCACCACACATACACCACTTTAATAGCCAATTTACTCATCGTTAAGCCTCATTTCATTTCAATTTAGGGGGTCACGGTGGGTAAAACGCTGGCTCGATAGCCAGGAGGTTGGGTGGTCGATCCCTGCATTGACTGAGAAAGTACATCCCTTGTCAGTGATGCAGGACGGAGAGCCTGACAAGTACAGCTGTCTAGTCGTTCGGATGGTATAGAAAACCAAGGTCCCGTGTACACATTGGCATGCACGTAAAAGATCCCTTGACAGTTGGAATTCGATATAAGAGTAGGCCGTAGTGCCGCTGTCTGGGCAAAATGTCCCTGATAGCATACTGTATGGCGTATGCCCGTCTTCATTAGCCCAGTTCGGAGCAGACTAGTAGGACGTTGAACCCCATTTCATTTCATTTCAATTTAATCATCAATATTTTAGGACTTTTATTTTTTTCTTGTGCAGGCAATGGGTGAGGGGCACCAAATTTTTGAATTACTTAAAAAAGGAGAATACTACCGCAAAAAGTTGTTTTAATATGAAAAATAATGTTAATATTAGTATATTTTTGGCCCTGCGAAATTTTAAAAGTCACTCTGAATAATTTTACAAAGGGAAAATATACCCCCCAAAAAACGAATTGACATTTATGCATATCTGCAACCTCGTTTTGATTTTTTTCTGTGAATGACATCAGAGACGACAGACGTGAATTTCCCTAAAGAAGGCTATTGCAACTGAGCACTGCATGCCGTCATTTTGACTAACTGGATGCATAAACATGGTCAATTGCGTGGCTTAGGGATATACAAATAGCACCAACAATAAATAAGGAAGAACGTGTCATTTTTTTTTTTTAAATTACCTAACGAGACAAAACACAGAAGTCTGGACACAGCGATGTCAACGAGGCCATGTCAAAACACTCTTCTCTTTCTTGTTCGGAGAATTTCGAGTTATCAGCTTACGAACGTGACAAGTGTAATTTTAATAATAATATTATGTGGATCAAGATATAACATTTATGTTATCTTTCTATGTTAAAACTGTGCATTCTATGACAAAACCAACACGCTTTCAAAATCTTGCAAAAGAAACGACTGATGTAACCATAGCAACGAAATGTAAACAACACAGCTAGAGTAGGTAGGCCTCGCCTAAATACTAATATAGATTAATATCCCCTTTTCGAAGCATCTTCCGCGTCAGTAGTAGGTGTAGGCCTATGTCGATGATTTTGCAGTCGATCATAGATAGTACTAGATGTAATAGTGATAGAAATTTTTTTCAGTGATAGGCCCTACTCCTAATCCGATGATAATCGGAGTCGTATGATGTGACCCGTTTTTTTAACTACGTTCTCGTATCTACCTAGTATAGGGCATATAATACCGTATTTAATAGTTTTTTCTCCGATATATTTTCGCCGATAAAGAGTGAACATCAATAGGGCCTAAATGAAGCAAAAAGTTATCGATAATCGAAGGACTAACAATGAGACAAGGTGTCTACGCTGTTTTTAGTGCCTAGAATGTTACGAACCATCATCGTCACCGTTGTTCCTCGCATTTCTAATTGATCTGTACTGATAGGGAAGAACATTCGGGGCGAAATCAATGTCTGACAAGCTGTCACCTTCTGCCGATACCATATTGAAATATACATCGACTGCTATACGAGTGTCGTCGATTACGTCATGTCACGTGATTTAGCTTCAGCTCATTAATTGTCGGGTGTTTCCGTAATTGCGGAAATCCGAAAGTGTTTTTTAACGTTATTTGTTACTAAAAAATTTGTTTTTAAAAAAAAAAAATAGTTCTGAAATGTGTTACACAATGAACTAAGTGAATGATAAAATTAAACTTTTATCATAGCATTCTCCTTTAAATTGCCATTGTGCATTAATAGAATTTCTTCAGACTATGTGTCTATTCTCTGTGGAGTTCTTCAATGTATCAGTCCCAGTGCCTGTCTTATTTATAATATTCCTTCAGTCTGACAACCTCAAGAAACAGAACTTAAAGGAGCTAAATCACTAATATTTTGGAGAGAGAGAGAGAGAGAGAAATGGGGTTTAACGTCCACTCGACACAAACTAGGTCATTTCGGGACTAACATATGGTTCAACTTTATTTCAATAATTCGCTTGCGCGTAGAGGTCTTTAGCAGTGGGAGGAAACCGGAGGACCTGGAGAAAACCCACGAGGTTGGACAGGCGACCCTACTCCTTGTCACGTACAACCGGGGATTCGAAACCACACCAGTCGACTCAATGACAGACTTTATGATACAGCGCGCGCACTCTAACCATTCAGCCATCCACCCCCCCCTAATATTTTGGACCTAGAAATTGGCAACACACATAATAATGTAATATGAATTTATATAAACTGTTTTAGATTAAATCGTGTCCGTTTTACTGTGAATTGTCATCAGTTATGTTCGGCGAAATACGCCAGAAGTCTCAACCGCAAGTCAGTTTCTAGCATCTGGTTATTCCAGTCAACACTGATATTATTTATTGCGCATGCTCTCCAAATAAGAATATGATATCACCGTTTGACATGACTTGTGGAATATGTCTAACCTCATTCTTTGAGCACCTTGTTACAAATGGCGCTGAAACGCATTATGGTACACGAATTGTGTACCAATGGTAAAATGTTAATTTTGTCTTAAGTTAAATATTGGATATCAGAAGCCCATCTGATTTAAATTGCAGAAAAATTTGTGTTTTCAGAAAAAAGATTTTGGATGATATTGAGTTATGGTATTTTAAAATCCTAATCTCCATTTGGATTACCTTTTGATGTTTTAGGTATACTGGTAATCCTACAGAAGCTCTCAAGTTATTTAATAAAGCACGGAAAGATTCTGACTGGGGTACTCAGGCTATATATAATATGATAGAAATATGTTTAAATCCTGATAATAATACTATAGGTGGAGAAGTCTTTGAATCTGTTGAATCAGAATACAGGTATTTATCTTATTTATTCAGTAAAGCCGAGGCAGCCATATATTTTTTATTAAGAAAAGCTGAGGTACCCATATAATTTTTGACAATATCATGATCTGCACAATTTTACAAACTTGGGTACCCATACGGGAAGTTGGGTACCAGTTTTGCAGCCAATCAGCACTTCTGTAGTATAAAAGCCACTTCAGCCTTACTATAGTATTAAAGGCTGGATTTATTTGAAATTTATATTGGTTATCTAATGTTTAATGTATTAAAAGGAAGAACCCAATTCCTATAAGAACCAACCTGTGAAACAGACATTTCATAATAGGTCAAATATGATTATGACGTGCATAGTAAAACTTGTGTAAAAATAATTGAAGTTTGAGAAGGAGACGGTACATAATGATGTTGGAATTGTATTTGCAGTAGTAGTTCTTCAGAACGTGAAAAATTAGACAGTGAACAAATGGCAGTACGTACAGCAGAAAGATTACTGAAGGTAACATTGTTTCTTCAAAATTAATTTACATGATTTTTTTATAACAAAGAATTTATTATCCTTGATGGCTAATTACATGAAACATGATTATATTTTCCTTATGTATTTGTTTTTGTTTTTATACACCCACATTTTCCTATGGGCTTATATTGTCTTCGCCCCTGTCTGTTCGCCGCCCCTGTGTTCGAAACATCGCCTTAAATACACTAGTAGCTGTTTTCCATAAGTATGTGGTGTTTTTCTTTTACTCTATCCAGTTACTTAATGGCATTTAAAGGACAGTTGATGTCAGTCATTATCACTTATGTGATAGAACTGGTTTAACATGTTCCAAATATAATTTTGACACAGAGATCATTGCTACGATAGATGCATAATCAAGGTTTCAACAAACAGAAGTGACGAACGCAAAAGGAAAACACGAGTTATCCTTCTATATAACTGACTGAGTTATCCTTGGGGATTGTGGCTATAATTATGTCTCACAGGTTCACTTGAGTAATTAGATAACTATATCTATTATATAGTTCATTCATTCTTAAGGCTTAATGTCTGCTTCCCCCTTGGGTGATATCGCAGACAAGTGTTTCCTGGGAAACTTGTGAGAAGAGCCAAACAATAGGCTTAGTCTAGTAGTATTGGTTGGAGACATGAGATTGATTAAGAGGCCTATTCGATTCTGTTTCCTTTGCGTAAAGACACAATGCATCCAAGGCAAGTTTCATCTATAATATAAACTTGACAGAGTTATGTAGGGGCTAGCCATTGTTGCAATTAAAAGGTCACATTATCAATAAAATTCCTTGTATAAGTTCTGTAAGCAAATTGGTAAGTGATCATCTCCAAACAACTCAGTATTTTTATTTGAAATTTTCTTTTTCAAACCTTAGGTCACTTAGGATAATGATTTGTCAAGTGCATGTTAAACCCTGTTATTTTTTCTATTGCAGGTCTTTCTTTAGACCTAAAATGTTATATAAACTATTAATTAGACATTTATTAACAAAACAAGACTATAATCGACTCTCGATGGCATCGGATACTCAAGATTTTAACTATATTAAAACTGTTCGCCATTTAAAAATTTAATTTAAAAATGGGAAAGCTAGGCTAAGTCCCGATTATGACAGTGTCCTGGTTACCACTGTGTATGCATCTTGTCAAAACTACAAACAATGATAACATGACTGAGATTGAAGTAATTTGAATGAAATTTTCAATATTTTCATTTTTCATCATCTATTTTTGAATTATTATAGCAAGAATGACCAACGCTTTATTAAACTCTTAACTAATGTATCTTTAATAAGCGATTTATTTCGGTGTTTGATTTACATACGTAAACTTACTGTTGTTTTACAGTGTTGCGTGAAGTTTGGGACTTGTTTAAATTGTGAAGTTATGACATATTGATATCATAGAGAATAAGTGAGTTGAATTTCTTTATTACAGGAATCAAAACCTAAACCTGGTGATATCAGACATAAATTACTAGAAAATATGGCATTAATAGCAACTAAACAAAAACTAGCAGTAGAGAAAGCCTTGGCGGCTTTTATGGACATAGCCACAAATGAGGTGAGTAAAGTATATTTATAGATTTGTGTGATATTCTGAGAGTCATAGTTTGTTTTAATGATCTTATGATATATCCACCTGACATCCAGGTGTAGGGAGTTGTCAGGGCTCACAATGGCTTTCAATTGTTTTCGACCAAAATGAAGCATAATTTTTAAAAGTCTTCAGGTGGTGGGATATTATTAATGTCATTCTATTTTGAGTTGATATGTCCTTTATTTACAGAGAGATCATGTTGGTGCTTTATATGGAATGGCAGCAGCATACATGGTTTTAAAACAGACCCCCCGTGCTCGTAATCAACTTAAACGTGTTGCTAAAAATAACTGGACTATGCAGGTAATGGATACAATACATGTACGATTCTTATGTAATGATATGAGATCCTATTCATTTAAAACCTTTTGATATGTTTCCACAAGTGGGTTGGGGACCTAGTGGTCTGAGTGTGCTTTATATCATAAGTTCTGTCATTGATTCAAGTATCGTGATTTGGATTCCACACTTATACGTGACAAGGAGTCAGGTGAATCTCTGGCTGAAGTCAAGATATTAATGTCATCTGTACATATGTAATGATTGTTGAATGTTGTATTTACTGTAATCTGTTCTTTCTGTGAAAGCCACTGATGTAATATTGGGCCAGGGCCGAGGGAACTTAGCTAACACGGCTTGATTTTATCTTATAGTGTAATGACTAAAAGTAAGAGAATTATAGACTTGAATTGCCTAATTGATAAACTCACAATAAATTAAATAAGTTGGTTATTACAGAGTGTCAACCGCTGTGTCTGCCATTGATTGATATTTTGGCTTGTATGTCGAAAAAACTGCCATTGAAGCATCTTGAAAGACATATTTTTCATAACATATACATTTTTACCAGTAGCTTGGATTTGTTCTCCAACTGATGGTTATGTAATTTAGATAACAAGAAATGTGTCTGAAAGAAAATTATATGTAGTATAAAGGAAACTTATTTAATTATCTTTCATATATTTTTAAACTGAATATTATTTTATTTTATATATAGGATGCAGAAGATATAGAGAAGAGTTGGTTATTATTAGCTGATATATATATTCAGGTAGGTAAAATTCGGTTTATATTTCAAAGAAGCTACGTATACCGTGTCGTAATTTTAGAAAATAGGATTCAATGGTAGCATGAATTTCAATATGCATTTATATCGATCCCCTGGCAAGTGGCATTAAGTTTTTGACTCCTTAATTTCTTGTTTCACAGTACGAGTTAAATATGTGTTTATATTTTGTTTGAATTTAAATTTAGTCTGGTAAATATGATATGGCAACGGAATTATTGAAGAAATGTTTGCAGTATAATAAGGTTAGTAGTATATTTTTTTTACTAAAAAAACAAAGCAGTCAATTATTAACCAGACCTGCGCTACAGCTATGGTGTGTTTCGTCTGTGACCTATATATCTTATAATTTTCTCCTGTATGTACTAATGAAACTTCTATCATATTTTGTTGCCAAAGTTATTTCAAAATAACTACTTTAACCCTTTGAACCCTGAAAATATTTTGGATGATGCATACCCTACCCTGACTTTACAGCACGATTTTGCAAAATGACGTCATTTTAATTGTAATTGTGAGGTGTGAATTTAATATTATATATATTTATAATTGAGTGAAATGATGGAACAAAGATATCTAATCAGAATATTTAACTTTTATTCAATTCTACCTCCAATCCGTAACATTGGGTGCTAATCATGCCAGCAGTTTTCAACTCGGCTAATATCGCGCCCACACCCTATTCCAGTATTTCTATCAATGGCCATGCAGATCAACATTATTTACAAATTGATTACGGGTATGAGTGTTATCATCGCTGTCATTTTCCTTGTTATTTTCATTTGAATCTAGGGCATATTCACTTTTAAAATCACTTCCATTGCCGTAATTCGACCCATCAATATCTTCACCATTATCGCTCGTTATAAGAGCTAGTGCATCTGTTGCATTTAGTCGTTTAGAACACACAATTCGTTGAAAGATTTGGCAAAATTGAAATGTAAACAAGTGGAAGGAAGTTGCTATTTACAACAGACCCGGGGCAAATGGTAAACAGTGTTTTGATTGGCTATTTTGTTATTGTTAAGGAAGCAAAGGTCGGAAGACACGCCCACAAGCCACAAAACCGACATTTCAGGCATATGCGCTGCAACGTCAAAGCCGGTTTTGCGGCATTTCGGGTTCTAAGAGTTAATTACCTTTCAATTGGTATTAATTTTAGTATGAAAAACTGTCAATTAAAAGTTTGTAGAGAATGATATTTACCTAGACAATTCAAAACAAAATACGTGATGACATCATTTCCATTATCAACCAAATATTTAAATAGGATTATAGAAAAAAATTCTGTTAGTGTCCATTATTAAATGGCAAAAATTTGATTAAAAATTGGACAGTAGTAACTTTTTGTAAAACCTTAATAAAGGAAAGGTTCATGTAAACAAGACATTCCCCGGAAAATACATTAATGTATATAATTCTGATAATTAAAATGTTTTTGTCCACTGAAAAAACAATATTAATACATTTAAATCATGAGTTTCTTCTTTGAGTGTTATTTCTTAGTTTGTAATCCTGAGGTTTTTTTTTACAGGCTTGTTGTAAAGCATATGAATATTTAGGATTTATTATGGAAAAAGAGCAATCCTATAAAGATGCAGCTAACAGTTACGAAAATGCCTGGAAATATGGCAATAAAAATAATCCAGTTATAGGTAACTACTATTTATACAAATCTATTGAGTAGCGAAACAGCCTCCCCAGATTCCTCTGGCTGGCTGAATGGTCTGATGCATGCACTTTAGATCATATGGTCTATCATTGAATCAAGTAGTGCAGTTTCATTTCCCAACTTGTACGTGACAAGGAGTATAAGGTCACCTGTCCAACCTAATGGGTTTTCTCCGCATCACCCATTTTCCTCCCACTGCTATACTCTCTCTCGCTCTCATGAAATATTTAATAACTAGGTGAGATACCTTGTTTCGCCCAGGGACTAGGCTTTGCTCAGAGCCCAAATTGGACCGAATCATAACCTAAAACATTCACGGAGTCATGCTGGTTTATCTGATACGTCATGTGGGTGTGGATCGCAGGGAAGAAGTGTGATGAGCGAACATATTGACAGACATCTTTGATTTTATTTATATAGATAATTCAGTGTGAACTAATATTAATATTGAAAAGGAAACAATCAAATAAAGGAAAGAATATTAAAGATACATTATGGGAGATTAGATAACGAGTTGGCAGTTCTCACTATAATAGTTAAAAACTAGATAATGTAAAGGAAATTTGCTGAAAATTTCATTCAAATTGATCCACTATGAACCGAGAACTAAGCGGTTGAAATTTCCGCCTAGCCTCGATCATCATTACTAAAGTCAGTATGATAAACAGCATAGTCTCCATTATCCATTTAAACATTAAATCGTGAAGGAAAGGTATGCAGTAAATCGGCTCATAATCCACTTAGGATCGCAGGCTAGCGATGCCATTGAGAGTTGATTATGGTCTGGATAAATTAATTAATGTCTAATTAATAATTTAGATAACATTTCAGGCCTAAAGAAAGACCTGCAATAGACAGATTTAGCTCTTGCATAATGTATGTTTAATTTGAAAGATTTGTAGTTTCGATAAATCGGAAAATGCACCAAAACCAATCCAAACATTTATAATTTTAACTGTGTTGAATATTCGAATAACATTTGAATAATGATTTAGGATTATTTGAATAGTAAAATCAACATTCGATGTGACCACTGCATACCGTATTTGATTTGAGTTCTTTCCGAGTATTTTCAGCTTTTCCAGCTCTTAAAATTTGACTTGTATTTTCAGGTTATAAGCTTGCATTTAATTATATGAAAGCTAAACGATTTGTTGATGCTATAGATATTTGTCATCATGTAAGTATTAAAAAGTATTATACTACACCTAGTGCTGGGCAATGCGACTGCTGGCACAATACAATACATATTTCAATTCACTTACTGCGATACAATTTGTATCCGAATTCATAACCCAGTCACAATGGCGACTGTAGCAGATGATCCTGATCTACTTTCAGTTTGTCGCGAGCCAAAATTGTGGTGCCTCGTCTTGTGAGATTTGCTGTATTACCATACTGTAGTTAAAAACAGATTTTCATATTCTACAAACAGCTTTTGTTATGTCACCGTTAATAAACTGGACATTTTGTTAAATTGTATTGAGAGGGATGTCTGCCATTTTCTGACGCTGGTTTCTGCTATATTTACAATATCTAACTTTTTCTGATAATATATAAAGATCATCAGTACAGTACTCCTCCACCAAAACGTATCAAACTGTTTCAACCGGAATGTACGAGGCTGACGGAAAATACTACTGCTTACAGTTAGACTGTCAAACAATGGCTAATGCAGTGTTATTGTTTCAAACTGAGGACATGGTCTAAAGGGGAGCCATGTTGGCTCAGTGAGTGATGTTCTGGCTCACAGGAGATCTGTGTTGATATCCTGGTGTTGGTTGGTAAATTTCCCCAGGATTTTCCACTGTGATTTCTCCTTGTCAGCGGTGCAGGACAGAGGGCCTGGCAAGGAACAATGTTAAGTTGTCAACATGGGACTGAAAATCAAGGCACTGGACACATGTTGGCATGCAGGTAAAAAAAACCCCTGACATTAGGAATTTGAAATAAGAGTTGGCTGTATAATCAGGCCACACCATGTTTAATTTAATTATACATGTACTATAGGATATTATATATTTTTTTTGTCTTTGATTCAGGTTCTAGAGAGTCATCCCAACTATCCTAAAATAAGAAAAGATATTCTAGATAAAGCCAGATCAAGTTTACGAATGTGATAAGATATAGACTATAAATAAAGAGCATATTTATTTACATAGATTTTATCATATGTCATATCATACTTATACATTCTGCTTATTTATTATTTGTTATATTATTGTTGAAATTATATAAAATCAGTGGATCATTAACAAAATACCATTAAATTTGAACTCGATATTGTTCATATTATCTGGGGTTTTCTGTGATAAATGTAGAAGAATACATAATTTGATGAAAAGGTGGTTGCACTACTAGTAGTAGTACTACTACAGAGCATTCTGCCTTTTTGTTTGAAAATGGTAAATCTCCTTTTAATGATCTTTACACGATAACTGTATGACATTAAAGGTGCATTATGGAAGATTTAGATAAAGATCTGACCGTTTTTGCTATATAGTTACAAAATAGATAATGAAAAATGTATATATTGAGGATGTCAGTAAAATTACTTTATTGTAAGCAAAGTTATGAGTGTTTAAAGTTTTGACAAGATAGTCTGATTGTCAAGGACCATTGCTTTGATAATAAACAAAGTTTTGATTATCTATTTTATTTAACAGTAAATTATAATTATGGCTAGGGTGTTCTAATCAATTTAATATCACGCCCATCCAATGTCTAGAGAGTTGATTTTGTGATTGTTACATGAAGAAATGTCTGATTAATAATTTATATAAAATTTGAAGCCAACTCAAATACCTGCAGTAGTCAGATTTAGCTCTTGAAAGTTAGTCATAAACCTATAATTAATTCACCATATTCATACATGAGATGAGCCTTTATCATCACTAAATAACTTATCATCACTAAATAACTTATCATCACAAAATAACTTCTTATCATCACTAAATAACTCCTATCCATTTATCATCACTAAATAACTCATATTCATTTATCATCACTAAATAAATCAGTTCCCCCATTTTCAGTGCAAAATCAGTTAGGTGCACTGGATTATCAAGACAGTTTGATATGAAACAAGGACAGATAGACAATTTTTTTTTTTAGAAGAATGTGAGCATGGCATGTCAACAAAGGTGATTTAAAAGAATCATGTAAAAACTAAATAATCATATGATTAGTAATTGAGATGAGGATATAAATTGTAATAAACCAAAACATGCCCCTCTAAATGGCATTATCATTTAGATTTTTTACGGCTTTATTAGTTGGTCTAGAGAATATGTGCATGACTATTTATATAAGTTGCTACTTGGGTGTTCAGGCTTTGACAGAGCTGTTAAATTATCACTTTAGAAATTGTCAATGGGACAAGTTGCGGTTTCTACTGTGCATGACTATTTATATAAGTTGCTACTTGGGTGTTCAGGCTTTGACAGAGCTGTTAAATTATCACTTTAGAAATTGTCAATGGAGCAAGTTGCGGTTTCTACTCGAAACGTCATCCTTTTTGTGTATAGACCAGTGATTGTTTTCCATATAAATTGTGTTGTGTTTTTTTTTGTAGGTTTCTGGTTGTATGATATTCAAACAATTATACATTATTTTTAATTATTGATTCCCAATCATTTTTGGATCAGCTAACTGGTCCCTAATCTACTTGTTCTTCTTCTTAAGGGCGACGCTTGACATGAAACTTGGCGCGTCTGTTCCTAGGACAATTGCTTTTTGTTATGATGTCACAGTTCCAAAATTGCTGCAAAGACGTCTTGCTCACTTCTTGGTCCATAGTATGCCAGAGAGCTGATTGGAAATAATCTTTTTTTCCATACAAAAATCAACTACTCATGATGTCATTTTTGTTGTTGAACACAGGATAATGTTTGTTGTTGAACACAGGATAATGTTTGTTCACAAATGTTTGTTGTTGAACACAGGATAATGTTTGTTGTTGAACACAGGATAATGTTTGTTGTTTTTTTTCTCCACTTTTTAAAGTGATAAACAAAAGTTCAACTGGGTCTGAAAACCCTATTCATGCTACAAACTCAAAAAGTTTGCATCATTAAAGTTAGAATTATATTAATTTATTTCCGTCCATATATGTTATATTTTGTATGAACATTAAAATATTTGTATTGTAAATATATGTATTTTTATTTTAGTTAATTGGATATATAATAAGTAAAATTTATGTTGGCTAAATGAAACTGCATGTACATAATTTGTGCTAACGTTTTCGCAACTGAAGTTGGTCTTCAGGCATTTATTATAACATATAAAGATAATTCACTCAGCTGGATTACCTAGCATCCCTCTAAAATCTAAGGTCTATCATTAAGGTCTAGCGACATGATTGTGATTCCTAGGATGCATGTTACAAGGATTAAGGTCGATAGGCCAACCGCATGACTTTATAGTTTTTCTCTCCTCCCACCTCTCTCCCACACACACACACCAATGCTGAAAGCAAATTATTGAAATAAAATGAAACCATATTGAAATGAAATGGTTTTTGTCGAGTAGATGTTAATATCTGTTTCTCTCTCTCTCTCGCATCACTCTAAAACTTTATCGGAAAGTGTATTTGTTTAGAATAGGAAAATACAAGCCAACAGTGAGGCTGATGTCCCCTGCCGAAATCCCAAAATAAATAGATGACACATATTAATTAATTGCACATTAATTTTTTCAAAAGTATCGTGCAATCAAACTATACACTAAGTTATATCACTCTCTATCAGATAGAACCAAAGTTATCTTGTCCCAAAGCATCGACCAATGAAATTGATTAGCTCTGCTTAGCTTCAGTTCGAAATGTTAATCATTGAACTGAGTCAAGACATTCACCTAATGAATATCAACATCAAGTTTAAACATTCTACCTCAATTAAGAGCAGAGTTTTTATGTTCCAAGTCTTGACCAATCAAATTGCTTATCGCTCCTTAACCTAAGCAGAAAATTCTCACCATCGAACTTAGTCAAGGTAGTGATATAATGAATCTATATTTGGAGTTTCATCGCTCTCACTTCATTATAACCAAAGTTATCGTGCCCCAAAGCATCAACCAATCAGATTGCTTAGCAGACAATGTTTATCACTCTCACTTAATTAGAACTAAAGTTATCGTGTCCCAAAGCATCAACCAATCAAACTGCTTATCTCTGCTTACCCTAAGCAGAAAATGCTGATCTTCGAACTCCATCAAGGCATTGACCTAATAAACACCTAGCTCAATTAGAAAAAGATTTATTGTGTCCCAAAAAGTGTGACGGACAGACAGATGGACGAAACCATTTTAATAGTCCCCTGCTTTCTTCTAAAGGCGGGGGACAATAAATTTAAGATTCTGGATCAACCACTGAGCCTTACTTTTTAATCTTAGCAGGGGAGGGGTGCCACAGTGGCTCAGTGAGTAAGACGTTGGCTCACTAATTTGGAGGTCCCTTGTTCGATCCAGGTGTTGGGCGAGAAAGTTTATCTGGATTTTCTGGAGAGGGACGGAGGGCCTGGCAAGGGATAACGAATAGTCATTAGGTTGGGACAAAAACCTGAAGTCCCATGTACATATTGGCGTGTACGAAAAGAAACCCTTGACAGTATAACAGTAGACTGTAGTGCCGCTGTCTGGGCAACATTTCCCTCATAGCACACTGTATGACGTATGCCTGTCTTCATTAGCACAGTTTCATTTCATGTCATTTGTTATCTTAGCTTCTGTATTACTAGATACCATCAGCCCTGGTCAATTTCTTGTCTTGCGAGAGTAATAAAGAGATAAACAGACGATGTACATCAATATTGTATTTTTATATGTGGTCTTGTATTGTGATCATCTACGTCTGTTCATATGTAAACACTCTAGTATCAAGAGTTATCATCTAATTTAATGCACAATGTTGTGTTCATTTACGCTGATTACTGTCAGAGTTATATACAGTCCTAGATGAATTTATACACAGTGTTATGTTCAGAAGATGACAACCTATAAATTTTCTATGATAATTTTCAAGAGTTGAAATGAAATGAAATGAAATGGGGCTTAACGTCCTACTGTTCTGCTCCTAAACTGGGCTAATGAAGATGGGCATACGCCATACAGTGTGCTATGAGGGAAATTTTGCCCGGGCAGCGACGCTATGGCCTACTCTTATATCGAATTCCAACTGCCAAGGGATCTTTTACGTGCTCGCCAATATGTACACGAGACCTCGGTTTTTCGTCCCATCCGAACGACTAGACAGATGTCCTTGTCAGGCCCTCCGTCCTGCATCACTGACAAGGGGAAACCATTTCAAGAGTTACGGCCATTGAAAACCTTATGAATGTGATAGATAATCCAGTAAATATCGCAGACTAGTGATATGGAGAGATTATTATTGTCTGGATAAGTTAATTAATAATTTAGATAACATTTCAGGCCTAAAGAAAGACCTGCAATTGACAGATTTAGCATAATGTATGTTTAAGCAGTGGAAGGAAACCAGAGGACCCAGACAAAACCCACAAGGTTGTACTGACAACCCTACTCCTTGACACGTAAAAAGCTTGGAACCGAAACCATTCCACATGACTCAATGACGGACCTTATGATATAAAGCATTTGTTAGATAATTCGGCCACCCAATCCCCAAACCTGGTAGGGAAAAGCATCTAGTTTGGATGGGACAAAAAATGAGGATTGCCCATGCACGTTTAGGTGTACACTTAAAAGAACCTTTTTAGAGTTAGAATCCAATGAAGAGTGTGCAGAAATGCCACTGTCCAAGCAAAGCTTCCCTCATACCACACTGCATATGCCCCACCCATATTTCATTTTAATTGAAAGCGAACATTAATAATAAGTGAACACTATAAGTGAGTTTGCTTTAAGTATTTATTTATTTATAGTCCATAATTGAGACTAATTTATAGGATTTAAATATTCTGTTTGTTCATAATATATTATTGCATTTAAAATATACAGAAAGATTAGAAATTCTCAGCAGGAACATCTTTACACTTCTTGGTCTTTATCACCACAGACACAACTAAGTACTGACATAACCTAAAACATAAAATGTTCACCATATTAGAATATTATAAACAAACAGTGAGTCTGATGTCTACCACCTGGATTCCAAAATATATAAAGTATCTAGCAGTCAAATGGCTTAACCAAAGGCCAAACCAGTTTATTATACGACAATATATTATCACGTTTCCGTATGGCCGTATGGATTCGCGATCTTTTGGATATATACAATATTTTAAGTTTCATCAAAATCGGATCAAAATTGTCCCCTCTAGAGGGTCCATTATATTGATGGGAATAAACACATGCGCCATTTAATCTGTTAAAGCTAAAATTGAAAATTGTAGCAATAACAAACGTGACTATACTTCAAAAATTCATAACTTTGCACAAAATAAAAGTATTTTGATGAAGTTTTTTTATTATATTCATTTTCCTTTATGTTCATGGCCAGCTCTTTTATCCAATTTTTACATAATGTATCTTTAACTTACTGAGAAGAGTATAAATTATTTAACTTACTGAGAAGAGTATAAATTATTTAACTTACTGAGAAGAGTATAAATTATTTAACTTACTGAGAAGTATAAATTATTTAACTTACTGAGAAGAGTATAAATTATTTAACTTACTGAGAAGAGTATAAATTATTTAACTTACCTCCTTTGGTATTTGTTGGGACAAACCATTGCCTGTACATGTAACATTAAACCTTATATATTCTACTTTTTCAGGTCGGCAACAAACATTAGTACCACCATCACAGTAGCCTTCATTACATAGGGCTATAGTCATAACTTCAGAATTACATTCAGATTGTTGACTGCTACGAGAATATTTGTATGTTTGTTGGAATGGACCTTTTGAGCATGGTAAAGAAGATGGTCGTTCTGAAATAAAGAAAAGCAGTCAATTTAATCAGTGCTTGGTATAAGATCAATCTGAATTAAACAATATTATCCCATAAATATGTGTCTCTAGAATAATGGTTAGTTGCATATCAATTTGATGTTCTGTTATACGTTAAATGTTTTCTTCTTATTTCTTAGGGAAAAAGATTTATTTAGTACTTGGTTGCACTGTTCAAAAGCTTTTAGTTCCAAATTTGTAAGCTTTGAAATTATAAACAAAACATCTTTCTTTTAAACAATATTTTTTATTCAGGATGTCTGAATGCGATTGGGGAACATAATATTAATGTTGAAGTGGCTGTTGATTTATTAGTTTAATCTAAACATCTCTAAAAAAAAATAAGTACAACAAAATATGTTACTTACTTCCACCAGCTTGGCAAGCAGCTGGGTAGTATTCATTAGGATGGTAACTGACTTCTGAATTCTGGCACAAGGCTGTTCGTTCGAGATGACATCTGGAAGAGTATGTTTTAGGTACGTCATCCACCTTTAAGACTCGTCCACAGTAAGGATCAGCAACTTTAGGACAATCACTAAAATCACATTCATTGGTTACAGCTGAAATGATATCAAAGTATTTTTACAATAATGGACCCTGTAGAAAATTCAATTTCAATGGCTGTCTTCCAACAAGAAAATGTGCTACACAGCTAGCACCTTTTATGACTTGATTTAGAGTTCCATTCAAACATTATTGCTTTAAAATTTCATATAGAAAACAAAAGCTTCAAAGTGAGAGATAGAGAAATGGGGTTTAACATCCACTCGACACAAACTAGGTCATTTCGGGACTAACATGGTTTAATTTTATTTCAATAATTCGCTTGCGTGTAGTGGTCTTTAGCAGTGGGAGGAAACCGGAGGACCCAGAGAAAACCCACGAGGTTGGACAGGCACGTACAACCGGCGATTCGAAAAAAAGCTTCAAAGTATAGATGTTGGCTTGTCAAGCTCACTATATACCATCAAGCAGCAAAGTCGAATCTACATCAACATATCCCACAGTGGAAGTTTTAAAAACCTATTGTGGACTAGGCATTAAGCTGTAAAAGTAAAAATATAAACAGAAAAATAACTCTGCTATGCATGTAGACAAATAAAACAGAGTGAGGACGCTTCAGTAACCTAGTCTGGTTATCCAAATAGTTCCCATATGTTTATTTTATTAAACAATACAGTCAATAAGGTTGGGTGTGAAATGAAATGAAATGAAATGGAGTTTAACTCCTACTGTTCTGCTCCCTGGGCTAATGAAGACGGGCATACGCCATACAGTGTGCTATGAGGGAAATTTTGCTCGGCAGCGGCGCTACGGCCTACTCCTATATCGAATTCCAACTGCCAAGGGATCTTTTACGTGTGTGCCAATGTGTACACGGGAAATCGGTTTTTCGTCCCATCCAAATGACTTGACAGCTGTCCTTGTCAGTACCTCCGTCCTGCATCACTGACAAGGGGGAAACCACGCCGGAAAATCTGGATGAACTTTCTCGGCCAATGCAGGGATCGAACACCCGACCTCCAGGCTAGCGAGCCAGCGTCTTACCCACTTAGCCATGTGTTCACACATAATTACGGAAGCAGCAGTGAAATATTCTGCATATTGATAGTGATTCTCATTATGTTCCTATCAACAATCCCAATCTAATTTCGCCCAAGACTGTCACATACATTGACTTTAAGGACAATGATAATAATCAGATGAAAAGTAAACCACAAATGACAGACAAAAACCATTACATAGTACGTTACAAATAATTTTCTATAAAATACAATGTAATTGCTGGTGGAAACATTGTGCATTCTGTATCACTGAAAGGCTTGTAAGTTGTCATAAATTAAACTTTAACTTACGAGGCATGACAGTGTCAGCAGAACAGCGTGGTAAATCACAGCTATCCATTTCACGTGTCGATTCACTTGTTAATAATTCTGGGTTTGGTCCAGTGTAGGTCCTAGTTCTTTCTCTGACACCCATAGCGGTACCACAGTCTAAACCAATAGGTTGTGGTTTACAGTCTGACCAGATGGACCATGGCTCAAAATCAGATTCTATTAAATAAAAAGGCATACATATTTAGTACAAATTTAAACTTTTGCATTTTATTATTATTTTATTATTTATATATTTCATGTGTTGATTACACCAGTAACTCTTTGCTGTAGGCATCTCTCTACTTCAAAATTTTAGGTCCACAGATGCAGCAAGTAACGTCAGATTTGGTGTTAAACTCTTGAAAAATGAAACTAAAATCAGTAACCGTTCAAAACCGCTTATCGATACCGCTTAATATTTCGGAACTAAAATTTAAATACTTTGAAATAGGCTTAACCCACAGACATGACATACTTTCTGTGATGCCATGAATTCAATACCATACAAATACAGCGTGACCTCTCACTATGATTACAATGTTTCGAAACTGCTGCAGTGCACTAGTTAATCACAAACGCAGTAAGATTTAATTACATATATCAATTTCAACCATTTGCTGGTGTGAGAGTGGACAAGATGATTGAGATTGTATAAGAAAATGCCTGATTGGTCGATTAAAATTATGGACTAAAATTTTGCAATTCTGGCTAGATTTGGTCAGATACATGACATAAATAAAGGCAAGATGCAAATTTTCTAATCTTGCGTCTGAATAGCCCAAAGATAGATCTCGAAACAATCACTAACCTGCCGCGCAGATGGAGAAAAAGAAATGTTGACATATTTCCATTCATTAGTCAATATTAAATAACCAACATTCAATTATCATTTTCTACCTGCGGTGTCTGTCAACCCGCCAGCCACTTAATTCTGCAGGATATTTGTTTGTGATGGTCTCTAACACATCATATATGATTAAATCTACCACTTCAAAAATGAGTTCATGACCTTTAAAATTATCTTATGTCGGAATTTTTATGATTGTTAAGTTATATATAATGATATTTAACCAGCGGCTGCCAGGCAGGATACGCCCACATTTTCGAGAGATGGATAGAGAACAAGCTAAGAAGAAAGTGATTTTTCCTACAATTAAGGGCCATAATTCAGGAAATTACAATTCGATATGCGCAAATATCGAAAGGAACTGAGATCTTTGTGTTATAAACTTACATTTCAAGTTTCACCAAAATCGGATAAAAATTGTGACCTCTATAGGGTCCACAACCTTGATATACCATATTCTTACGCTATTTGAGAACGAACGGCGGCCATTTTGTCTGCCAATTAAATCGGATAAAAATCATGACCTCTATAGGGTCCACAAGCTAAAAACGTGATTTTTCGTACAATCAGGGGCCATAATTCAGGAAGTTACAGTCCGATATGCGCGAATATAGAAAGGAACCGAGATCATTGGATTATAAACTTACATTTCAAGTTTCAAAAAAATCGGATAAAAATTGTGACCTCTATAGGGTCCACAAGCTAAAAACGTGATTTTTCGTACAATCAAGGGCCATAATCCATGAAGTTTCGATCTGATACATGCCAATATCCAAAGCAGCCGAGATCTTTTGGGGATAAACCTATATTTCAAGTTTCGTCAAAATCGGATAAGAATTGTGACCTGTAGAGAGTCCACAAACAATTGTGGACGTCCGGACGGACAGGGGCGACGGCATAATACGTCCACATGAAAATATGGGCGTATAAAAATGCAGAAAATCACATCAAAGTTTCAAAATTTTCTTGGGGCCCTTCGTCCGTCAATTATTATTGTCAGACCCCCCACTTCGGAAATCACTCCGCGGCCTCTGTTTTGTAGTAAAGACAAGTAAAACGAAATTTTGAACTATAAAAAAACGAAATAAAATAGGATCTGTGTTTTAATCAGATTGATGGTATTTTCAACACACTGAGCCTAACAAAATGTTATTGCATAAGATAAGAGAGGGACCATAGACATATTTACCAGCAGGTGTAGGTGCTTGCGTAGTTGTAGTGGTTGTCGGTGGATTGCATACACCTAAGGTATATATTGGTAATTCTTCAGGATTTTCTCTTTTCTGCAAACATATATGCATTCTCAAATCACAGAGACTTGTGAAGTCTCTACCTCCTACACAGCATCCGCCTAAATATCATAATTAAAGCATATATATATATTAGATTTTAGTCATACACATCAAGTATGTCGAAGCTTATAACATGTAAGAAACATTACTGCATTGCACTACCTAGCACTAGGAATTAACATTCAAGAAACACTACTATGTTGCACTAGCTAGCACTAGGACTTAGCATTCAAGAAACATTATTTCTGCTTTACACTAGACATTTGTGCTTTGTAGTAGTCAGAAATGGGATTTAACAAGCAAACGACATTAGACTTTGTAGTTGTTAGTAATGGGATTTAACAATCAAGAGACATTAGTGCTTTGTGGTAGTTAGAACAGGGATTTTACAACCAATAGACATTAGTGCTTTGTGGTAGTTAGAACTGGGATTTTTACAACCAAGAGACCTTAGTGCTTTGTAGTAGTTAGAACTGGAATTTTACAACCAAGAGACCTTAGCAGTGCTTTAGTAATAGTTAGAAATGGGATTTAACAACCACAAGACATTAGTAATTTATAGTAGTTACAAATGGGATTTACCAACCAAGAGACATTAGCAGTGCTTTTGTAATAGTTAGAAATGGGATTTAACAACCATGAGACATTAGTAATTTGTAGTAGTTACAAATGGGATTTACCAATCAAGAGACATTAGCAGTGCTTTTGTAGTAGTTAGAAATGACATTTAGGAATCATGAGACATTAGTAATTTGTAGTAGTTTAGCAGTGCTTTTGTAGTAGTTAGAAATGGGATTTAACAATCATGAGAGATTAGTGCTTTGTAGTTTACCAGTCATTAAAATCAGATCTAATTATAAAACTTGGTTGGTCATACATTTATATTCTTATTAAAAGCTATAATGTCTCTTTATTTTCAAATATCATTAGGAAATTATCTAAAAACATCTGTTAATGAAATCATGCAGACATTTTTGTGTTTAAATTCAAGGATTCTGAGGTTTGGCTTTGCAGGAATCAGTTCCTGAGGTTAGGTTTTGCAGGAATCAGTTCCTGGGTTCATGTTAAATTTCTAGATCTGAACAAATATAGAAATCTAGTACCAATATCATAATATCGATCCTATTATTTTTACCTGTGGATAGTTCATAGTTACTACAGATATCATTTGAACTGCATGGATTTTTCGTTGTGGAGGGAGCTTCTGTGGTTGTGGTTGTAGCTGTTAATAAAATAAACTTTGATTATATGATTGGATATAAATATATATATATATATATATATATAAAATAATGTCAATATACCAAAACTAAAAAGACAAACTCATATAAAAATATTAAAGAATGTCAATATACTAAAGCTACAAAATACAAGACATATTTTTCAGAATAAATACGTACTTCAGGCTCATCAATTTTATACAAAATTAAAATATTGGTTATGACTAGACTGGCAACCAATCTGGATTAAGACTAGTAATTATTTGCCTTTCTTTCATGATGGACAATGTAGTGCGAGTTATAAATAAACAATTTTTCAGCTACCGCTACTATAATAGGCAGTTACGTGTATAAAATTTCATAAAGAAATCTTGAACGGTTTAAGAAATATGCTTTGGAAACAAAATCGGGACAGACAGAGCCTATTTCAATATCCCTCCCTAGCTTGGTCCAATGCAGGATAAAATGAAACACAACATTAATAATATACATGTATACAAGAACTGTATTCCAGGTAGGTGATGACTTACTTGTACTTGTAGAGGTTGTTGGTTCGTTAGAGGGACATTTTCCATAATTAGCAATAGTAACGTTAATATTGGATTCACCATATTTGGCACAATTGACTTGATAAAGTTCTTTGTAATTGCTGTATGTTACACCATCAGAACCACATACCTTAAATATGTAATAATTCACATTTAAAAAAAATTCATGCATTTTATCATTAAAGTCCCTGAGCGTGATCTGAGTGATATAGGAATCCCTTGTAAACTACAATATTGCAAAAGTTGAACTGATTTTATTTACAAAGATATGATGAACTGAAATTTCATCCAGCTGTGCTGATCCTTATGTAAATGGTAGACCATCATCTTTATGTTTTCCAGCTTTAATTAATGGGACTGTTTTTGATCTGATTGAATCCGAGGCAGGAGATAATGTATCATTGATATTTTGATTTTTTTTTTCTTAATCAATTGTAAAATAATCAATCTGAGTACATATTAGAGAGATATTTTCGAAAAAAGTTACTTATAAAACTAATAACAATATTGCTACTGGAGTTTACCTGAGCAGGTGATCCATCTGTTGGTGGTCTACATAGAGCTGTGTTACAAATACAACAATCGCTACCTATGGTAATTCTAGTATTACCTAATCAAGTACAAAAAAAAAATAAATAAATAAATCATACAACCATTAAAACTTGGGTTATATTTTTAATACAAACAAAGGGCCATATCCCAAAAACATTGTGGTTCTTTAGACAATCCGTACAAAAAATCTGATGTGGGAAGGAGGTTTTTATTTTTGTGTTTTTACTGAAAAAGGATTGCTACTGCCATATTGGGCTAAATGACTTCGCATAAGCATAACATTTCAAAGCTCTGAATTTATCTCATCATGTTGTTTGTAGCAATGTATGATTATCCAGTATCATTTATGATTGTTAGTAGTATTTATAAGGGTTGCATACTAGAAAAATGAGCCTACATCATTCATTATCTTTTTATGGAGCTATTTCCTGTAACAAGGTTAAATCATTTACGTGTGGTAACTGATGTGACTTTTTATTTTTGGAAATGAAAATGGGTCATGCAGCGCTTTTTTAAGTGTCGAGAGATTTTCTGAGAACCAAAATATTTCTATTCAAATTACACAGTTTAGATGCGGGACAATCTGATTAAAACACAGATCCTATTTCCTTTCGTTTTTTATTGTTGAAAATTTCGTTTTTTATTGTTGAAAATTTCGTTTTTTATTGTTGAAAATTTCGTTTTACTTGTCTTTACTACACTAGGATCTGGTTGATGTGAGGGATTGGTCAATGAAACGGTCTGTTGCGGTGAGTTCTTGGCGTGCGATGCATGGAACTGTGGGTATCCTACTAGAAACATCAATGCTGAATGGTTAATCAAATGTCTGATATCATAGGGTCAAAAGCCACTTTTATGATCCCTGACGCAACTTCCCACTACAACTGGTCAGATCTTCATATAGTAGAGGCCATCAAAAGTATGTGGTCATAAAAAAGAGTTATTACCACTTTGCTGTTAGTAATGATAAATCTATGGTACCCAGTATCTTATCAGAAAATGAAATGAAATGAAACGGGGTTTAACGTCCTACTGTTCTGCTCCTAAACTGGGCTAATGAAGAGGGGTATACGCCATACAGTGTGCTATGAGGGAAATTTTGCCCGGGCAGCGGCACTACGGCCTACTCTTATATCGAATTCCAACTGCCAAGGGAACTTTTACGTGCACGCCAATATGTGCACGGGGCCTCAGTTTTTCGTCCCATCCAAACGACTTGACAGCTGTCCTTGTCAGGCCCTCCGTCCTGCATCACTGACAAGGGGAAACCACACCGGAGAATCTGGATGAACTTTCTCGGCCAATGCAGGGATCGAACACCCTACCTCCAGGCTAGCGAGCCAGCGTCTTACCCACTTAGCCACGTGATCCCCCAGTATCTTATCAACGGCTTAAAGATGCATTATGTAAGAAGATAAATCTGCCTATTACAGGTCTGTTTTCTGGCTTCAAATATTATATAAATTATTATTTAGACATTTATTCAAACAGCAGCCAATATCAAACTCTCTAGATCATCAAATAGTTGAGATATTAAATGTATTAGAAAATGTCATATCTTTGTTGATCTATATAAATGAAAATCAAGACTATGTTTTATTATCATAGCAATGGTACTTGATAATCGAGCCTATTTATACTGTTTCTGGTCAAAATTTCAATCATTTATCACTTCGCTCAATATGAAGTAATTCAGCTGAAATTTTCAATACATTCTATATCTATTTTTAAACTATTATAGCAAGTATGGCTAACTCTTTATCTAAATATTACATTATGCATCTTTAAGAGTACTGATGGATGATAACATATAACCGTAAAAAGAAGTACGTTGATACAGGTAAATGGAATAGAGGCGACAAATACCCTGTTGTTAAACATATCTATACACAGGTTTACTTACGTTGACATTTAAACTGGAATGGACCACCAGGACGGGCCATAGTGAAATCATAACCATAACAGCAAGAGCAAGCATAGGCTCCTGGTACATCTCGACATATGGAGTTTTCTGGGCATCTCGGTGTTTCTGATTCTTCCTGACATTCATTGATATCTATAAACAAGTAAAACATTACAACCATCAGTCATGTTGATATCCTAAAGAAGTAAAACATTATAGAGATAGAGCAAGTGAGAAATGGTGTTTAACGTCCACCCGATTAAATTTTATTTCAATAATTCACTAGCAAGGGTCTTTAGCAGTGGGAGGAAACTGGAGGACTCAGAGAAAAGCCACAAGGTTGGACAGGCAACCCTACTCCTTGTCCTGTCACATATATACTGGGAATCGGAACCATGTCACTTGACAATGACAGACCTTATGATCTAAAGAACACATGTTGGACCAACCCCCTCAAACTTAAAGTTACAATTTCATATTTTTAAATTATATTTTCAAATGTATTAAAATAAAGCCCTAAAATAGATGGTATCTATAAACAGTCCTACCTTATTAAAGAATAATCCTATTAATCCTATAATTCACTATTGTCAGTTGAGAAATTGGCAAAAATATCATTTTCAACTTCAAATTCAAACGTTTGAAGATAGCTATTCCATGGTGGGGAATAGGAAAACAAGGGAGGTAATTGTGTTATTATTTCCGGTGTGAAGATTTTTAAGTGTGAGAAAGATAACCTATGATCGCATAATAGTGAGTTGACAACCTATTGAGCAAAAGACATAGAGAAATAATTATGTTTTGACTTTCTTAGAAAATATGAAATTGTAACTTTAAAGAAACAAAAATTAAACGGTTAATAAAATACTTACTGGCACAAACATTGAGTGAATTTTTCCTGTATCCGCTCTTACACTCGCATTCAAAAGAACCCGGTGTATTTTTACATTGCTCATTGATTCTACAGTCGTGTAGATTAGCCTGGCATTCATCCAAATCTAAATACATTATATATCACAATATAAAAAAAGCTTACATCAAAATATATAACTAAGCATGAGTGAAAATTAAAAGTGGAAGCTATCATTGTTCAGTCAATTAGAAATGAAATGAAAATGAAATGAAATGGGGTTTAATGTCCTACTGTTCTGCTCCGAACTGGGCTAATGAAGACGGGCATACGCCATACAGTGTTCTATGAGGGAAATTTTGACCGGACAGCAGCACTACGGCCTACTCTTATGTCAAGAGATCTTTTACGTGCATACTAATGTGTACACGGGACCTCGGTTTTTCGTCCCATCCAAACGACTAGACAGCTGTCCTTGTCAGGCCCTCCGTCCTGCATCACTGACAAGGGGGAACCACGCCGGAAAATCTGGATGAACTTTCTCAGCCAATGCAGGGACTGAACACCTGACCTCCAGGCTAGCGAGCCAGCGTCTTACCCACTTAACCACCGTGATCCCCCCCCCCCCCAGTCAATTAGAAATAGAGTGTGCAACAAATTATTGATGTGCCTATATGGCTACTATCAGTGCTACCAATATAAGATGTTGACATATCATTCAAAAATAATACCCACTAAAATGAGAGAGAGGGGGAAATGGGGTTTAATATCCATTCGACATAAACTAGGTCATTTTGGGACTAACATATCGTTAAATTTCATTTCAATAATTTGCTTGCGCTTAGGGGTCTTTAGCAGTGGGAGAAAAAAGGAAGACCCATGTGGTTGGACAAGCAACCCTACCCCTGGTCATGAACAAGTGGGAAATCGAAACAACGCCACGTTAAACCACTGAAAGAATAATTTGGTCACGCCTCCTACAGAGTTAAAAATAAACACCATCTTTTGAGAACTTAATTATTTGTTGCATGATTAATTATTACAGAATGGCATCCCTATCAGTGATTGTAGCGGCCTAGCCATATTCACTGCTGATTAGTGTGCTTGTCTTTACCAATGTCATGTGACACTCTCCAACCTTTCTATAAATGGAGATGGAAATACAACTATCTAATGACATATATATTAATGTTAATATATACATATATGTCATTGGATGGTTGTATTACATCATATCTATCTAAGTATCTATCTGAGTCTAGTATTTTGTCTAAATAGTCACATGCAAGCCTACTAAAATAAAAGAGCTGAATACCAAGCAAGAGAGAATGATTTGTTCAAAACCCAAATACTATTTTTAAGGTATTTGCTAAGTCGTTCTGAAAAGATATCCGTGACTCAAGTATCGGCAAAATGGCTGTGTATTACTGATGGTGAAACATCAATAATGCAAATTCCATCATATCTTAATCCAGAAAGAAGCATTCTTATGTCTGGCATTGGCAAAAACAGTTGGCGGATTACCCTATAATGTTCGGCCATAATGCATCAATGGACTCCATGAACCTTGAAGATGTTTCTTTTAACACAACTTTTTGGCAAACAATTTATGGTCTCTTTTTCCATTATTCAAATTCCTTTGCCGATTTGACATCGGCATCATATATGTAAGTGGGTAAGAGGACACAAAGTGTTTGCTATGAGATGCTGCAATTCCTTAACCTTGCCCTTGTTAAAGACCTACTTAAACAGATTGAAATAGACCACACAAAGACAGGAGCTTGTCAGACCCGCCTAAGCAGAACCTAGACTGTGCCATCTGCCAGATAAAAAGTTGCTGAGCAAGTTCTGAAAATTCCCGATAGAAATCGGTCCTGTATCACATTCAAAAGCTTGTATGTCAAAATGTGAAAAGAAAGATAACTCTGCAAGTTGAACAATTAAAATTTTATGATTGTGAAATTTGTCTTCTAAAAGATAGAAAGATAATTCTACCAAATTCACAATGGATAAGAGAATGCATGACATAATACATCCAGAGGCGTAGCCGTGAAATATATATTGGGGGCGGGGGGCCGCAACCCTAACCCCAACCCTTTTTTAAAACCCCTAAAAAATATAAACAAACACCATGTGGCCATGCTGTCCACACAACTCGTTTGCAGATTGGCCCAGACACCGCGTGCAAAGTATTATTGTTACGTGGCTGGCTGAGCGGGCAATAAATATTTGGTTTAGGCGATAATGTTTTTGGGTACCTACATGCGATTGATAAGTGGCAGGAAAAAATTAACAAAATATTACTGACAGGCTAACTAGACACAATTTTATGGAACACAGTTACTTTTCACTTCACACATGTTTCCAGGATGATTCCCTCTGTGTTTTATTTTAGCAATGTAAACCATATTGGGATATGTACAGGTTTTATACAGATAGAATCTTAACTAATCCTAATAATTGTTGTAAATAAATAGGAGTTTGGGCCTGAAATTTTTTGGGGGTCCAAGTATATTCAGACCCCCCCCCCCCCCCGAAAATCAATTGGGGGGGTCAGACTCCCCCCCCCCCCCCCATGTGTCACACCCATGAATACATCCTCAATAACAACTGATGACTAGAGAACACTTTACATAATACATCCTCAATAACAACTGATTTTTTATTAGTACATGGATTAGAGAACACATTACCTAATGCCTTAGCAGCAATCACAATGGATTAGGGAACACATTTGATAATCCTTAATCAGAATGGATTAGGAACAGATCTGCTTATAACACTGATCACAACATTATTGATTTTAGCAGAAAATTCAGATCAACTTACCAACACATGTGTCACAATCAGAGACATAACCGGTTTTACATAGACAGACCTTCACATCATCCTCATCCAGTTGTACAGTAGCACAGAAACTGCTGTCTGTTTCATCACCTAGATAACAAATACATTCAATTTACTCTTAAAGATCTTACATAATAACATGAAGCAGAGTAGTGAACTGGTTCCACATATACCTAAAGATGCATTATGTAAAATTTAGATAAAGAGCTGGTCATTCTTGCTATAATAGAGAGAGAGAGAGAGAAATGGGGTTTAACGTCCACTCGACACAACTAGGTCATTTCGGGACTAACATATGGTTTAATTTTATTTCAGTAATTCGCTTGCGCATAGGGGTCTTTAGCAGTGGGAGGACCTGGAGAAAACCCACGAGGTTGGACAGGCGACCCTACTCCTTGTCATGTACAACCGGGGATTCAAAACCACGCCAGTCGACTCAATGACAGACTTTATGATACAGTGCACGCACGCTAACCATTCAGCCATCCAACCCCCCCTTTAAAAATAGATAATGGAAAAGGAATATATATTGAAAATTTCCATTAAATTACTCTATTCAGAGTAAAGTTTTGAAGATTTGACAAGATTTAGCCTGTACATTAGGGTATTTAAAAATCCGGCATACAATGTCAGCGCTTATAAAATAAAAAAACAAGGCAACAGTAAGGCTGATGTCCCCCGCCACAACCCCAAAATAAATAGATGACACATATTAATTAATTGCACATTTATCTTTTTAAAAAGTATCAAACAATGAAACTGATTATCTGTACTTAGTCGAATTCAGTCAAGGTTTTGAAGTACCTGGTAGTGAAACTCTACACTAAGTTTCATCACTATCCATCAGTTAGAATCAAATTATCTTGTGCCAAAGCATCAACTAATGAAATTGCTTAGCTCTGCTTAGTTTTAGTGGAAAATGTTATCATTGAACTCAGTCCAGACATACACCTAATGAACATCTACCTAATGTACATGTACATCTACCTCAATTAAAAGCAGTGTTATTGTGTTCCAAAGTCTCAATCAATCAGATTGAAGTCTCTACTTAGCCTCAGCAGAAAATGCTCATCATTGAACTTAGTCCAGGTATTGGTGTAATGAAACTATACACAAAGTTTGTTCCACTCTCATTTAATAAGAATCAACGTTATTGAGCTCCAAAGTCTCGACCAATCAAATTGCTAATCGCTCTGCTTACCATAAGCAGAAAATGCTCAGTTTGGCACTTAGTCAAGTTATTGATGTAATGAAACACTACACCAAGTTTCATCACTCTCATTTAATTAGAACCAAAGCTATTGTGCCCCAAAGCATCAACCAATCAAATTGCTTATCTCTGCTTAGCCCAAGCGGAAAATACTCATCTTCAGACTCCATCAAAGCATTCACCTAATAAATACCTACACCAAATTAGAACACTGTAGTTCAATTAGGAGTTATTGTGTCCCAAAAAGTATGATGGATAGACAGACAGACGGACAGATGGAGAGACGATCAGAATCCTGTTTAATAGTACCCTTCTTTCTTTGAAAGGTGGTTACAGTGAATGTGTTTTTTCAAAAGTAGGCTATAGTGAGCCATGCAACAATCTTAATGCATTTTATGTTAAGTTATTTTCCCCTCCAAAATGTTAGTTATGTTACTTGATTAATTTATATTTGTCGCGCGGTAATTTCCATGCCTTTAATACAAGTTTATCTACATAATATTATCATGATGATACCTTTCTTGCATTCAACCTTAGCATCACCTAGGTATCCATCAATACACACAACAGCTATTTCATTGTTTTTAGTACCACATTTGGAATTTGGTATAAGTGTATTTTCACGTTCTTCAACAACGCCTGCTTTACATACAAACAATTTAGAACAGTCAGCATTTAACCATTCGTCATTAATCTGGAAAAGTAGAAAATATGACATTTAAATACTATAATATGACATTTAAATACTATAATATGACATTTAAATACTATAATATAAATACTATAATATGACATTTAAATACTATAATATGACATTTAAATACTATAATATGAGAAAATTGTTGATCTAAAAATTAAAGTGACCTCACGGGGCTGACAATGAAATTAATATGAAACAGCATGTCTTGTTTTCTAAAATGACAGCCAACTATTAGCAGCTTGTGGTTTAACATCTATGATCTAAAGCAGTGATTCTCAACCAGTGTGTCGTGAAATTTTGCATGGCACACTAAGAAAATGCGAAAAACCATGTGATCCCAATTGAGTATTCACAGGTGTCTACTAAGAAGTTTATAGCTGTGTATTTCCTTATTTAGTTGTATGCCGTCTGACTTACCATGTTTTTATTTTGTAAAATTCAAATATTTTTCATATATATTTAGCCAGGTATGCCGCTATTTTTTCATGTGTTCCAAGGTGTGCCGTTGGCAAAAAAGGTTGAGAACCACACATCTAAAGTGTATAGGTTACACGACCCGACAACTCCCCTCCTGTATACGATGAATAGTATTTTCGAAAAATATTAAAAACAGCAATGATCAAAGCAGGATCATAAAAGTTGATTAACCCTTAACCCTTAACCGGTCATTGTCGACTATAGTCACCACAATGTTATACAGCTAAGTGGTCACGGTCGACTAAAGTCGACCACAGCAAGAACCTTTTTTATAAGCCGCATTTGGGTATTTAGTTTCGTATTTAATTGATATGGCCACGCATGAGTGTCAGACAGGAACTTGTCTTGTCAAGGGCATTGAGAAAAACATGTCTTTGTTCAACATTTTTTGACGAAAAACGTTAATTTAACGGTGTCGGGAACGTTAAAGACGCTCAAAGTGGTTGAAATACTTATGAATTATTCCGAAACGGATTATATCGATGACACCGATTCTGAAGACGATATTTCTGATGAAAAGGATTTAGAATGATTTGCAAATTATAGATCAACTTATCCCCAGCGACTTTTTTATTGGTATCACTTAAAATTATACGGCAGTAGTCGATTGAAATAGGCATACAAAATATTTCACGTCAGCCTTTATTTAGCCTGACCACTTGACGTCATAACGTCAAAATGACGTCAACCGGTTAAGGGTTAATCCCGTTTCCACTATATAAAAGGAACATCCACACAATCACATTTAAGCTGAAGAGGGGAGTTCACATCACAGCGAAACTAATAGCTTCATAAGAGAAATCCGCGATAGCTACCCACCACTTATAGATTTAAGCTGAAGAGGGGAGTTCACATCACAGCGAAACTAATAGCTTCATAAGAGAAATCCGCGATAGCTACCCACCACTTATAGATTTCCAACCAAGTTATTGTAGTATGTAAAACTGTGATTTGATGATAAATTTGAACTAAAAACATATTTTAGCTAATTTACCTATCAAAAGTTTGCTTCAAATCCCACTTGTAAAATTTAAATTGCAAAGAACTACCCAAAAACAAAAAAATCTATTTAAAGCAGCCTTGTTTTTCAAATGACTTGTCCATATTCAGCTGGTATTTGTCGTTTATAAAAAAAGCCTGGAACAAAATTTTACCTCAAAATATCGTTCTGAATTTGGATCCTCACATCCACATTCAGAGAGAGGTATACATCCTCCATTTTGCAGGAAGAATCCAGCACGACATATACATTGTGGGTTACGAGGATTTGCTTCACCTTCATTAGCTGCATTAGGATATTTGTTACTACATGTAGGGAGTTCCTGGGGTGGTTTAAAACTGAATACCATATTAGGTCCACAGTCTTCAACTACAAAGAAAAAAAAAAACAAACCATATTAAGAATACTCCCCAATCTAATTAAAAAAAAGTTTTGTTTTTTATTTAGTTATTGGGTTATATATTAGTCACTCCATTAACATTTAAATAGCTATTTAACTCTCCCACACTGCCCTAACTAGGTCGCTTTAGGTTGCCCCAAACCACCCTGTCCTATAATACTGGAAGCTATTTACATATCTTGGGTGGTTTGAGACGGTCTTAAGAACAGCAGTTTTAGGCTGTTTGGGTTTGCTCGTGGATGTACTGGTATTAATATATTCCTTTTTCTAATTTTCTTTAAGGAACTGGGATAGTAGGTTCTGAATGGTACGATGACTTAGTCACCAGCCATAATCTTTAAATTACTCAACATGCTCTTTGAAGAAATGTCTTTAAACCAAAATAAAATAGAAAAGAAGGCAATATTTAGGGGTGATTGAGCTACTTCGGCAGAGAGATCAGCTGCCCTCATTGCTCCCATAGTACAGGGGGCACAGCAGCGACAAGTTCCGGCATGCTTTTTTCCCCACAAAACTACATTTTACTATAAACACACTGTAATACAGATGACTATTTCTGTCAATATATTAGTTCATAACTTTATTTAAGATGGTATAATGTTTGCAGCCAGTGGTTTTCAACCCAAAATGTGTTTCTGAAAATAAACTGTTTTGAGTATCTTTGCATACCCAAAACAATATTCTGGCAAATTAGTGACAAAAACAGCATACTTTTATACAGTAAATGGACTTGTAATCCTGGCTGTTTTCAGAGTGTGGGAGAAACTCCAGTACAAAAGGTCACTGTATGCTGAATATTGATAGAGGTAACACACAAACAAAGCAGTTTTGTCTCCCCCCAAAAAAATAATAGACACAGACAGCAGCTTATCTGCAAGGTAACCTTGGATGTAACATTAATCTGATCTCTATCGTTCCCAAGGCTTTTCCAAATAATATATCTCTGAAACTCAAAATCCTAGAATGTTAAAAATCAACTGCACTTATCCTCTCACAATCCTAATGCTTCACACCAGATTTAGAAAAAACTGTTAAAAACTGTCCATTGTGTTAACTGGCCAATCGTTATTGGCATTATTGGACAGAATGACCAATGGACAAGGGTGACAACATAATATGTCCACACTGATATGTGAAGATATAAAAGCAGTTTCAATACTTAATTAGAATAAATCTTACCACAACCAGTTCGCATCAAAGATTCAGCTCTATCTACTTGAGACAATATGTAATCTTTACAGTCTACAGAGATTGTCTCAGTTAACACGTCACAGAAATCCACCCCCTCATTGCAGGTCTTTGTAATACATAACTCATATAATCCTTGTGTATTTGAACAGTTATTAAATGGACCGTCAACAATTATACCACATTTGTTAGCAGCAGACATTGTAGAAGGGCATGCGCCTGGTGGAAGAATTTCTGGAGGGGGTGTTTCACCAGGGCTAGGATTAGGAACTCCAGTTGTTGGGATAGATGGTGGAGCATCTGGTACGGTTGTTGGACTAGGTTGATTAACTGGCTGTGATGGTTGGGTTTCTGGATTTGGGGGAGTTGCTGGTCCAGGACCTGTGGGTGACTCCGAATTTGGTGGTGGTGGTGTTAATTCTGGTGGTGGTGTTGGTGGTTCTTTATCAGTATTTTCTGTATTTGACTCTCCAGAGCCAAGTTCACTACATCTGAATAATGAGAAGTAATAAAGTGGATAGATTAAAATAATTCATTCATGCCAAATATATACTCTTCAAAAAAAAGTAGGGGATATTGAAATGCAAATACCTATGCAGGTTGTGATATGATAAATACTCATGGACATTTGACATGCTTTGAGAGTATGTTCACAGATGAAGAACTTATCACCCAACAGAACCACTGAACTGCAAGTGAGACACGCAATAGCGCCATACACGTGGGAGCGGTTCATTGTCAAATTTGAGACTTCAAGGAAGGGTTGATGGAAACTGCCACATGCTGGTTTATCCTATCCATGTTGGCTTTCCTATCGGTTCTTGCATAAGATTTACTGTTTAGTGTATCTTTGCTTTAGTGTGTTACTTTTAATTTGCAATCAGACGTCATTAACGTGATGAACATCTACGTGCTATTGGCATGCTTCAGATTCTACACAGCGAGCAGTAGCCAACATTCTTAATGTGTCACAGTCTGTGATCAGCAGACTGTGGAACTGGTACCAACAAAGTTGAACAAACACACAATCATACACAGGTCCTGCGAAATCGAGGACAAAGGGCCAATCAGCTTTCTGTAAACTTGTACCAAGTTACAGGAATTCGGGTTACACCCCAAACGATTAGAAATCGTCTACATGCAGCTCATTTGCATGTGCAACAACCGCGTGTTGTGCCTCCATTAACTTACCAGCACATGGCAAACAGACGTCAATGATGTAGGCCGCGTAGAAATTGGGGTAATTGTCGATGGGCACGTGTAATGTTCTCAGATGAGTCCAGATCTACTCTGGATTTCACCGATAGGAAGTTACGTTCGAATATGTGTGATTATCACAAGGAACCAAGATCTTTATGATAAAAACATATATTTGAAGTTTCATCCAAATCGAATAAAAACTGTGGCCTCTTAGAGGGTCCACAACCTTGAATTTTTACACTATTTGCGTACAAGGGACGGCCATTGTGTTCGTCAGTTTTTCACGAAATTCGAACTCAACCATCATTAGTGTATAATGTGCGATTATCAAAAGGAACCAAGATCTTACTGTGTAATGGTGATATATTCACATGTTTTTTTTAAATCAGATAAAAATTGTGACCTCTAAAGGGATCACAAGCTAAAAACGTAATTTTTTGTAAAATCAAGGGCCATAATACAAGAAGTTATGATCCAATATGCGCGAATATCAATAGGAACCAAGATCTTTGGGTTATAAACATGTATTTCAAGTTTCATCAAAATCGGATCAACATTGTGAGCTGTAGAGGGTCCACAACCTTGATATAGTATACCATTTTTTTTACACTGTTTGCATACGAGGGGTGTCTATTTTTTCCGGCAGTTTTGGTCCGATTTTCACGAAATTCAAACTCAACCGTCAATAAGTTGTAACGGGGATATGTTCAAACAGTTTTTTAAATCGGAATTGAGACCTCCATAGGGTCCACAAGCTAAAAACGCGATTTTTCGTACAATCAGGGGCCATAATTCAGGAAGTCACGATTCGATATGCGCAAATATCGAAAGCAACCAAGATCTTTGGGTTATAAACTTACATTTCAAATATCAACAAAATCAGATAAAAATTGTGACCTCTATCGGGTCCACAAGCTAAAAACAAGATTTTTTGTACAATCAGGGGCCATAATCCATGAAGTTACGGTCCGATACATGCCAATATTGAAAGGAACCGAGATCTTTGGGAGATAAACTTATATTTCAAGTTTCGTTAAAATCAGATAAAAATTTTGACCTGTAGAGTGTCCACAAACAATTATGGACGTCCACATGAAAATATCAATGGCAGATATATATATATAATATCTTGGCTTGGATTAAAAGGACGATCATAGATTTTGGTAAAGATTGTAGGTGGCTTGCTTTGACCATATCCTGTGAAGAGGTAACATTATATAACATTTCAGATTTTGATAGTTACATTAAGATAAATAACTTACCTATCAAATGCTTGAGAAACGTCCATACTGTCTAGCAAATCACAGGATCCACAAAAACCAACAACAGATGTTATCTCTGTTTCCAAATTAACTGTATCTACCATAACATTGAGTTTGCCATCATTGCTAGAAACTAATAATTCTCTAGCTGACTGCATAATCTTAATATCGGTGTACTTTCTTCCATCACTGTAGAATTCCCCATTAACCTTATCAGAGATAAAATATAGTAGGTAATTGTTTATATCCTCAAAGATATGGGAATGGAAGCATGCACCTTTCCCATTACCGGTAATCACTTACCACACTATCAAAGCAAACACCTTAAGCTGGGCTTCTGTCGACCTGAGCGCCTCAAAATAACTAGTTCCAGTCAGTCGAAGCCAGTTGCCCATGTTAACTTTCTGCACCTCTAAGGTACTCACCATAAATAAATAATAGGGGCATTAGGTAAGATTAGATAAAAAGCCGACAGTTTTTGCTATAATAGTAAAAAAAAAACAGGTAATGAAAAGAGAATATATGCTGAATATTTCAGTCAAATTACTTCACTTTGAACCTAGTTATCGGCATTACAATTATGTCTAGCCTCGATTGCCATTACTACCGTTGTTATGATAATAAACAAAGTCTCGATTATCCAATTTTATGGCAACCACATCCACCACAAAACGTATTAAAATCTACTTATCTCGCAGTCATCCGATGGCATCGAGAGTTGATTATGGTCTTGGTAGGTTAATTAATGTCTTATTAATAATTTATATAACATTTCTGGCATAAAGAAAGACCAGCAATAGTGTAATATAGTGGCCCTTGGTCCACATATTTAAATCTCCGTTAGTGAACAAGTAACTGTAGACCATTCGTGTGAAACAGTAGCCTTGGTTATCAAGGAAATATCAATGATCAATGACTAACCTATTAACTGAGTTAGATAATGGCAAGTAAGTTTAGACCATTGACGTGATATAGTAGCCTTAGTTATCAAGGAAATGTCGATGATTAATGACTAACCTATTAACTGAGTTAGAAAGGGCCCCATTAACTTAGAGTGATTAAGATTAATTGAGATAGATTGCATTGGAATGTCTCTGTTCCCTTTATAAAAGCGGAGATTGTATCATAGTACCAGTACTGGACTGCCACCCAAGGTATTCTCACCTGCAGACAACTTAAACTTGGGTGTACGATTGTTGTATAACTTTGTATACAATAAAAAGCTGTATCTCTAAGTATCAGAAGAAACTGGGCCCTTATTCACGAAAACTTAAACTAAGATACAATCGAAATTTTAAGAAATACTGGCTGACCAGTAAAATCAATTTGCATATATCCAATTTGCATATTGGTCAGCCAATCGAATTGCAGTATTTCTTAAAATTTCGATTGTATCTTAGTTTAAGTTTTCGTGAATAAGGGCCCAGTTGTTGTTGTTGTTTAAGCCTCTGTGTTACAATAGACAGATTTAGCTCTTGTATAATGCCTGTTTAACAGTCACATGTTAAGTGTAATCGGTATCTGTTCCATGTCGACATCAGTGCTATGAATTCAGTTGTTCTCAGTTGTTGATTTGATCGACATGAGCACCCTTGCAACTGGTTAAAAGCGGTTGATACCAACTGCAAAGTCAACATAAGGTCGACTGTACATGTATTTTATTTTACCCATGAATAAGCGGTTGCCATGCAAGATGCACCAACATTTGTCAAGAGATGAACAGATCACAGGCCAAAAAAGCAATTTTTTTGTAAAATCAGGGGCCATAATCGAGGATGTTACAGATTGACATGCGAAAATATCAAAAAGAATAAAGATATTCAGGATATAAATGAAATGAAATGGGGTTTAACATCCTACTGTTCTGCTCCTATATTGGGCTAATGAAGACGGGCATACGCCATACAGTGTGCTATGAGGGAAATTTTGCCCGGGCAGCGGCACTATCGACTACTCTTATATCGAATTCCAACTGCCAGGGGATCTTTTACGTACATTCCAATATATACACGGGACCTCGTTTTTTTGGATCATCCGAAGGACTAGATTCGACAGCTGTCCTTGTTATTCGGGATATAAACAAAATCAGATAAAAATTGTGATTTTTCGTACAATCAGGGGCTTTAATCCAGGAAGTAACAGTCCGATATGCACCCAAAGATCAATAGGAACCGAGATCTTTGGGATATAAACATATATTTTAAACAAAACCGGATAAAAATTGCTCCACAACCTTGGTATTACATACTTTTAGACTATTTGCATACAAGGAGTGGCCATTTTATCGGTCAGGTTTTCATGAAATTTGAATATATTTGAAGGGTTTTTAAAATTGGATAAAACTTGTGACCTCTAGAGAAACCACAAGCTAAATCAAGGAAGTTGCAGTCCGATAGGTGAGAATTTCAAAAAGAACCGAGATAAACAAACATATATTTCAAGTTTCATCAAAATCATTCACAAGCTAAAAAAATATCAAAAGTCATAATCCATGAAATTACGGTCCGATACATAGCAATATTGAAAGGAACTGGGATTTCTAAGAGATAAATCTTCATTTCAAGTTCCTTATAAATTGTATAAAAATTGGGACCTGTAGAGCTAAATCTGCCTATTGCAGTCTTTCCCTTTCCTTAGGCCTGAAATGTTATCTAAATTATTAATTAGACATTTTTTAACTTATCCAGACCATAATCAACTCTCGATGTCATCGCTAACCTGCAATATTTACTGGATTAGGATCCGATCTGCTTATTCACGATTAAATCAAAAAATGGATAATCGAGACTATGTTTTTAATCATGCTGACGTTAGTAATGATGATCAAGGCTAGACCCAAAATTCAATTGCTAAATTCTCAGTTCAGAGTGGATCAATTTGACTTAAATTTTCAGCAAATTCCCTTTACATTCTCTAGTTTTTAACTATTATAATGAGAACTGTCAGCTCTTTATCTAATCTCCCATAATGTATCTTTAATTTCAACACACAAATTACACTAATTAACGGAGGACATTATTATTTTGTTGTATGTGGATAGCACATTGAGCTGGGAGTGTTGAAGAAGCAAGCTAAACAAATTACACTGATAAAGTGAGGGAGTGAGAGAAATGGAGTTTTAACATCCACTCAACACAAACTAGGTCATATTTTGGGACTAAAATATGGTACAATTTTAATTTTATAATTGCAGTCTTTAGGTGTGGAAGGAAAATGGAGAACCTGGAGAAAACCCAGAAAAAAACAAAAGCATCAAAAGGAACCAATGACAGACCTTATGATCTAACTCACACATGTTAAATCATTCGGTCACCCAGCTCTCTGATAAACTGAGGACATTACCATTTTGTTGTATGGGAAAGCACATTAATAAAGGCTAGTAATGGAACATGGTTGCTTAGAATTTTTCTAAAAGTTGACCCAAGTCATTATCGTAATTATCTATATCTTATTAGAATAGAGAAACAGTTACAAATTAGTTACAAACCTCAACTCCAAGTGTTGTTACTGAAACAACTGTGTCTTGAACCTTTATTCTAATTGTTACGACATATGTGCCTCCACTTTTAGCTTTAATAACCTTTACATTTAATTTTTCCGGAGAAACACAGTCTTCTACTAAGGTAACTGTACAATCTCCAACTTCTTGCGATGGTAAATCGAGCGAATTAAATCTGGTAATCATGAAAGTATTACCATCACTGGGCATACTGAATTGACATTTTTCTGTGGCTGTAATAATAGACATATGGTGAATGAATTAAATTGATGGCATGAATGAATGTAAACTGATGGCATGCATCTCTGAGCCTTATTCTGTAGGAAAATAGAAATGCAATTTAGTATCACAAGCAAAAGCAATAAATGATTGACAAGCAAGATACGTTCACATTTTGCAATAGATAGACAGAGAACAAGAACAATCGATAGGGTTTATTCTGTCATTGACTCAATCCTTCACATAGAATTTGAAAAAAAAAACACCTGTTATTAGCCTCTATTACATTCACAAGGTTTTCGAAAAAGTGCGGAACAGAAGGTTGTGGTACTCTGAATATCTATAGGATTCATCCTCACGTGAACCCAATGTTTCAGAGGAGTTTAATAAAGGCTATGTCTGTTTGTTTCCCAATCTCTATTCAGATGAAAAATTAGAAAACAAACTGATAAAACTATATCCTCTATCAGATATACACAGTTTTCTTAGGCATAACTTCAGAACAGAAGGTCTGACGCACACACCAAACATCAAATGGGTCAAAAATAGTGGGCTCTATAGGTGCCAAAATCAAACCCATATTAGATATTTGGGATAAAGACATATATTTTAAGTTTGATCAAATCAAATCGGATAAAAATGGTGACCTTATAAGTGTCCCCATTTAGCTAATATACAAAATGCTTTTATTGAAGGTAGCTGAAAGAGAGAGAAATGGAGTTAAACGTCCACTCGACACAAACTACATCATTTCGGGATTAACATATAGTTCAATTTTATTTCAATAATTTGCTTGCACGTAGGGTCTTTTAGCAGTGGGAGGAAATTGGGAGACCCAGAGAAAATTTGGACAGGCGACCCTATTCCTTGTCAGGTACAACCAGGGAATCAAAACCATGCCAGTTGGGTCAATTATGATACAACGTGCACGCCCTAACCATTCGGCCATCCATCACCCCCCCTCCCATTGAACGTAACTAGTCAAGGGACTGATGCAATAAAATTATATAACAAGTTTCACCACTGACCAATCTCTCTCAATTTGAACAAAAATTATTGTGCTCCGAAGTCTTGACCAATCATTCTGCTTAACATAAGCATATTATGTTCATCATTGAAGTCCATCAAGGCATTCACTGTAAACACCTACACCAAGTTTGAACATTTCTAGCTCAATTAGAAGCAAGATTATTGTGTCTCCAAAAATTTGAAGGACAAACAAACGAACCCATTTTTATATTTCCATGCTTTCTTTAAAAGGTGGGGTGAAAATAAAATTCACAGAAACCTACTAGAACCAGTTCAGACCCGTCGAGGGTTATTAATTTAGAAATGATACATTTTCAGATTATTGGAACATGTGTCAATAATTATATCCACTTCTTTAAATCTAAAATGTGTTGAAAACAATATTGATTACAAATCTAAGTCTATTACCTCAATTACACCTTACCATAACCCCAAACTCGATGCTGATAACCAAACGTCACGGCCTTTTTGGTTTACATACAAAGAGTTTTGACCCCTTTGTTTAGAAATGCATCGAGAACTATTTACGCTCAGTAAGACAGTACAAGAGGCCTTTTCGTGGCACTCTACTGCTTGATGCGGTAGAGTTGACAGGTCTAAACAAATGTGTATGACAATTGTAAATGAATAAGAAAAGAATAATATTTTATCTAGTGCAGAGGGGTTTTTTTGCTGTTTTTTCAATGCACATCTTTTCAAAAATGGTTTTATTATTTGTTAAAGATGCTAAGAATGATGGTTATCATGCAATCAGTTTTTAATACTGATTGTGAAATGTCGTACAACTGATGTAAAACAGTGATTCAAACTCACCTAAACATGTTTCATCGTGAAGAATGTCGTCTGGATCTGAGCAATGACAGCTGAAACTGCCCCAATCATCTGTACATTCAGTTCCATCTGGACACAAATCAACACCCACTTCGCTGCATTCATCGATATCTGTCAAAATCAAATATCAGGAGGTCAATTACATTTGGCTAGTGTACGAATCGTTCATAACCTTTGAATAGAACTTGTGCTAACTTTTATGTGTTCTAGTAATAATTCAAATGATTAAGTTCTTTCTGATTTCTTCCTAGATGTACCAATTGGTGTTTACAAACACAGACCCACAGCAATATATTTGAAGATATTTCTACATAATACAAAAGAAGTGTGTATCACCACCAAACTTAGCAATAATTGTGTGGACGGATAATGACTTTTTTACTTTATTACAGTTTAAATTTCTGAATCTAATTGTTACATTCTAGATTAAGTTATTGGAGAAACTTCTCCAATCCATCGGTTACTTTAGTTCGAATGTATACCTCACTATAATTTCTACAGTATATAACTTCTTCGCATAGGTTTTAAAACAGTTGGATTCAGAATTTTTTTCTAATAAGAGCATGTGTAGTAGTCAAGTCAATTTGCATAATTTTGTCTATCTGTTGTCTATTTTCAAGAATCCTAGAGAAGTAATTGGTCTGAACTTTTACTAAATAGTGTAATTCAGATGATCCCATTAATTATATAATCATAACCATATTGGAATCCTTAAACATCGATCACTTATATGTGGTTGTTCAAACTTGGCAAGAAAATAACGTGTCTAATGAAGGGTCTACGGGGGGATACCATGTGACCAATGTCGTAACCTTCTCTATACATCATGGTTATCCATATAGAATTAACTACAGTATAATGAATTATTGCCAGTACTAAAACAGAGTTTTGTGAAGTAACATAAAAGTAGACAACGCATGTTTTTAAATGCGGACATGGTAGTTGTGTTCTATAATATATGACTGTTTTACTGTTTATTCACATTTCGTATTGTCCATGTGCTGTGTATGTTGTCTTCTGGTTTGCCCAGGTTTCTGTAGGTGTGTGGTGTGGTTTTTGTGGCTTTTGCTAATAGAATCTTCACTTACTAATTCTTGTTCCATTGCAGAGTTTATTACTATATTGCTATATTGTATAGTTTGGTGAACATTTTGATATACATGTACTTAGAAATGATTATCTATCTTGAATTCATGAGTTATATTTATAGCCCATTCAGATGCAACTGCCCATGTGCAATTAACTCTTAACCTTTACCCAATGCAGACAAAATAGTTAAACTGGTTTGGCTTAGACTAGTATGTGTGATCGCAACACCCTGGTGATTTTGTACTTATTAAATATAAAGCATCTGAAGATTCTATTAATCTTAGTAATATTTTAATTTTTTAAGATCTGGGCCCTTATTCACGAAAACTTAAACTAAGATACAATCGAAATTTTAAGAAATACTGCAATTCGATTGGCTGACCAGTAAAATCAATTTGCATATATCCAATGAAGTTGCAGTATTTCTTAAAATTTTGGTTGTAACTTAGTTTAAGTTTTCGTGAATAAGGGCCCTGTATACTATAAATTTAAGTTTATTATTGCTTTAATAGTAAATACTGTATTAAATATGTAGTTATGTGTAATAAATATCTATCATTCTAAATGACCAACAAATACCATCCAGATAACCCAGACACTAGAGTCACTTGTTGTGCAACCGTGATCTTGTGGACAAAGTAGTCTTGATCATCTGGACATTATATAGAGGGATAACTCGTGTTTTGATCTTTTAAAGGCTTAATGTATCATTTAGCACTATAACCCAGACACTAGAGTCACTTGTTGTGGACAAAGTAGTCTTGATCATCTGTACATTATATTACAGTCATGTATATGGATGTATTATGAATTATTACCATATGTTAATACTCTGTTTCATTATTTTCAGACTTCTAACTCCGGGACTAAATCAAATACGTTTTAAATCAAACCTTCAAGGGTTTTTTTTTTCATTCCACCTGAATAATCTACCTACAACATTGTAAAACATTTTTAAGACATTTGCATGGTTGTGCATGATTATACCTACTTTTTTCACATTTTCCTTGGACAGTATAATCTGTACATGAGTTCATATCACCACCATAACAAGTATAGAGTTCCCCGCTTGGTCGAGCTTTACATACTGTTTCTGTAACAGAGGTTGCATCGGAAACAGGATCACATTTTACATCCATAGGGAACGTACAGATACAGGTAGGATCATCCTGAAAAAAGTAACATGTCCATAATACATTTATATCAGAAGCAAAATTTGACAGAGTCAATGTACCTGAGACCACCATTCTTTGATTACCTACATGCCAACTTTTTTTTAAAACTTGACTGCAGTATAACAAATATAGAAATAGTCCGTACATTCACTGGTTCTTATTCATTCTATACTTAATAAAAACATGGTAATGCACAGACTTTTTCTATTTTTCTTTCGTGTTATTTAGTGACAGTCAATTCTTTTTATGAATTGTCAGATCTCCTCTCACAGTCTCACACAACAACTTTTGGTCTTCGAAGGAATTATTCAGTTATATAGAGGGATAACTCGTGTTTTCTTTTTGCGGTCATCACTTCCAATTGTTGAAACCTGCATTACGCATCTATCGTAGCAATGATCTCTGTTTTAAAATTATATTTGGAACATGTTTAACCAGTTTTATCACATATGTGATAATGACTGGCACCAATATTGTCCTTTAACACATGAGATCAACCTAATTCAACATTGTACTCTTTACTTCAACTAAATCGAAGAGGTTTTGATCTTTTAAAGGCTTAATGTATCATTTAGCACTATAGGAATCCCTTGCAAACTACAATATTGTGGATGTTTAATAACTAATGGAAATATCAGTCGAAAAATGGTTCAATTTCGTTTAGTATTTACAAAGTTATGATAAATTGAAATTTCATCTATCTATGCTTCTTCAATCTTTTATTGGTGGTAGAGAAACTTAGTTTAGATCCAACGGAATCCAAGCATTGGTATTTTGATTTTTGTCATTTCAATTAAATGTTGAACAAGCCAACAGTGAGGCTGATGTCACCTGTTGCAGTCTCAAAATAAATAGATGACACATTCTAATTAATTCACATTTTTCATTTTGAAAGGTATCAAGCAATCAAACTCATTATCTAGACTTTGTCTAAGCAGGGCCCTCACAAGCCTATGTGATGCCCTAGAGGAAAAGTTTCAGTGATGCCCCCCTCCCTTTGCATACTGTCAGTTGACTTTTTATGATTAAAGAAATTTTAAAATACAATTCTTTATACTTTAAACACTTTATCTAAATAACTATTAATTAAATCAACTTATATGTAAAATATTTATGTTTATTTTCCTTTGAATCCTCCATTTCATTGAAAAACCATCTCGGAAAAATCATAATTTTACCCTTTCTATTTGCTGAAATATGAACTGGTTTACACAGGTTTAAGGGAAGTGAAGGCCGGTGATTTTCTATCTCAGCCTCCAAGGAGGCACTTAGATAATTTCCCTCACCCAAAGAAGTGTCGCCCCCAAGCATATGCCCCCTCAGCCTCTCCCTAAGTGAGGGCCCTAAGCAGAATATGTTCATGTTCGAATTCAGTCAAAATTTTGTAGTACCTGGTAGTAAAAATATACAGTATAAATTGCATCACTCTCCATCAGTTAGAATCAAGTTATCTTGTCCCAAAGTATCGGCCAAAAAAATTACTTAGCTCTGCTTATCTTTAGCGGATAATGTTAATCATTGAGATCAGTCAAGACATTCACCTCTAATGAACATCCACACCAAGAAGGAGAGTTATTGTGTTCCAAAGTCTTGACCAATCAGACTAAGTATCTATGATATAATTGAACTATACACAAAGTTTCACCATTCTCACTCAATTAGAATCAAAGTAATCGATATCTGAAATCTCAACCAATGAAATTGCTTATCGCTCTGTTTAGCCTAAGCAGAAAATGCTCATCTTCAAACTCCATCAAGGTACTGACCTAATAAACACCTAGAGAAGTTTGAACATTCTAGCTCAGTTAGAAGGAGAGAGAATTATGGTGTCCAAAAAAGTGTGACAGTCAGACTGACGGACGGGCAGATAATCATTTTAACAGTCGTCTGTGTTTCAATCCTGTTACATATTTAGCAAGTTTTAATCAGTGAGACATTTGATATATTAACAAAAATGCAAATGATGCATTAGAATTTTAAGTACTTTTACTCACAGTTCGGATTTCTTGGATGCTTTCAACTTCATTTGCATCAGTTACATCACTTCCATCACAATTACCAGTGTCTACAGTTTTAATTTCATCTGGTTCTGAATTAAAAATAAATGTAACAATTATTTTAGAAATCCAGATTTCACTGTTAATCTGAAAAAAAGTATGCAAACCAAAATGTAAAGAAATAGCATATTTACTTGTTTGAACTGTCAGGTAAAAAAATATTCAGTCTTTTGGAAATGATTGCCGAAAAACAGTTTACAGGAGTAACAGAACTCTTTTATACAATCTGATTAAAATACGGATCTTTATTTTTTTTTTTTTTTTTAATACTTTCGATGGCCTACACTACACGAAGATCTGACCGGTTGTAGTGATAAGGTCGCGGATATTGACCCTATGACGTCAAACATTGATTAATCAATCAGCGTTGTCATTTCTGGTTTACCCACAGTTGGCGTGCATGGCCATTTAATTGGCTTATCCCTCACAAAAATGTTAGTAAATATATAACAACTCTTCCAGATCCTAGTGTAGTAAAGACAAGTAAAATGAAACTTTGAACTATAAAAATTGAAACGAACTATAAAAAACGAAACGAAATAGGATCTGTGCACCAACATCAATGTTGCCGTTCTTAGGGTATAAGGAATACGAGTAGGTATACCAAGTTCCAAGGTAATCCATTCAGAATTGTGGCCTTTGGGCGCTAAATGCAAAAATTGGGCATGGCTCTGCCCCTGGGGATCGGGGCATTCACCAATATCATTAGTTGACGGTCTTAGGCTATAAGGAATACATATGCCAAGTACCAAGTTGATCCATTCAGAATTGCGGCCTGTAAACAATAAACACAAAAATTGGGCGTGGCTCTGCCCCTGGGGGTCGGGACATGCAGTTGTTGTCCTTAGGCTATAAGGAATACATATCCTAATTTCAAAGAAGATCCATTAAGAATCGAGGTCTGTAGGCAACATACAGAGACCCAAAGAAAAAATGGGTGTGGCTCTGCCTCTGGGAGTTGGGCAATCACCAAAAAACAATAGTGGTGTAAGGAATAGGTATACAAAGTTTCAAAAGGATCTGTTAAGAACTGGGGGCTGTAGGCGAAACAAAAGACACACAAACATTGGGCGTGGCTCTGTCCCAGGGGGTATAAGGCAGGGGCGGATTGGGCCATCGGGCCGGTCGGACAAAAAATGAAAAAAAAAAAAATTTTGTCCAATTCGTCTTAAAACACCTTTTCTGCTGAACATTATATGGAGGAGGGGGGGGGGGTATTGGACCGGCCATGGAGCGACGATGATCAAGTTGTATGTGGCCGGTGGCTTTAACTGGGCGCCACGCCGTCATTGGAATCTGGATTGGGCTGGTATAATATATCTTCTGGGCCGGGTGTGCTGGGTGGGCCGGAATTCGGAATCCTGCAATGGGGATTCCAAATTTCATCCGAAAATTTCATCGGATTCACCCGACACTGTCGCCAGAAACGTCTGCCGATGGTTCGTAACTCCAAAAATAATTTCAATTTTAAGGCCTCGGCAAAATTTGATGATAGCTGGTCTTGACGTCACAATGATAATACGTTAATTAATAATATGACGATATGATAATTTCACAGGTTGATGGATGTAAATTACTTGCAGGTCGGGGTTTTGGCCTAAATTACTCGATTTATGAGATATATTATTGGACAGAGATTATAATCAGATATGCCACCAAATCGCATATTTGGGGTTCATTTTTCAAAATTTTCATGGGGAAGAGCCCCCGGACCCCCCATCCGGGCTCCGCGGTCAGTAAAAGGGGCCGCTCCGACACGGGAGCCCGGGCCGGTTCCCGGGCCCCAATCCGCCCCTGGTATAAGGAATAAGTATAAAAAAGTTTTCAAGACGATCGATTAAGAATTGCGGGCTGTAAGTGACACACATACACACAAAAAGAAAATGGGCATGGCTCTGACCCTGGGGGTTGGGCATTCTCCACAAACAATAGAGATGTTCCTTAGGATAGAAGGATTAAGTATGCAAAGTTTCAAGGTGATACGTTAAGAAATGCGGTCTGTAGATGACAAACAAATAAATACAAGAAATGGGCGTGGCTCTGCCACTGGGGGTCGGGTACGCACCAAGAAAAATAGGGATCATCCTTAGGGTATAAGGAATTTATATGAAAATTTTTCAAGATGATCGATTAAGAATTGTGGCCTGTAGGCGACACACAAACACACAAAATGAAAATGGGCGTGGCTCTGCCTCTGGGGGTTGGGCATGCACCCCAAATGATAGGGATGTTCCTTAGGGTACAAAGAATAAGTATGCAAAGTTCCAAGATGATACCTTAACAAATACAAGAAATGGGCGTGGCTCTGCCCCTGGGGGTCGGGCATGCACCAAAAACAATAGGGATCATCCTAGGGTATAAGGAATAAGTATGTAAAGTTTCAAGATGATCACTTAAGAATTGTGGCCTGTAGGCGACACACACACACACACACAGAGAGACAGGGGTGACGGCAATATACATTTATATTGGGAGAATGAATACATAATTTTGAAATTACTTACTCTGTTCACAGATGTACTTCTTCTTTATTGTGCATTGTGTTAATTTTGGGGCTTCCGATTTTGATAATCCAACGCATTTAAAACCAGTTGTTTCAGCACTGCTGTCTACCAGATTTGATGGGAGACGGAAATTCTCATATCCAGGATCTGTAAACTTATCATTGCTTTCTTTTCTATTTGTGTTTACTCCAGCAACATAGAATTGACCTAGAAGTAAACAGTCATACGATTTATTTCTATATTGCATACAAAATCATAGATTTAGAATTTCAACTTGGACATTAAAGAGATTGTTTTTCTGGAAATAGCAAAGGTTTATAGGTGCAGGGTAGAATTGACAAAGATTGCTCCGAAAATTGTCTGGTAGCTTACTCCATCATCCACGGCGGTGTCATTCATTCGAAATTTGTTTTTTTTATAGCATACTCTTTGAAGAAGTAAAATTGGTTATTGTGAAAATTCTTGTATAACTTGTTTTCTATCATAATTCATCATATTTGATAATAATCTTTATTTTTAACCAAAAAATGGATGGTTTCTTAAAAAGGGAGTCAATAAAATTGAATGAATGAATGAATAAGGGTTTAAAGTAGCTAGGTCTCTAACTCAATATCATTCAAAGTCTTCGACATTTAAAACACAAATTATTTGTCAATTTAAATACAGTGAAAATTTTCCGTACTGAAAGTTGAACTCAACATGGCGAATGTGCATGCTTCAGTGGCTTGTCTCAAAGTGATTTCTGGCTAGTCATGCGGTAAGATAATACTCATCGCAAGAGTCTATGAGTCTATAAATAGCCATCACACATGAAATTCTCTATACATCTATCAACTATTATAGCCATAAAATATCTATTGTTGACGATTTTGAATAGCAGTAATATTTAGCTTTTTGGTTATTACAGCAGCTTTAGAAATTACGTTCGTTTTATTTTTTAAATTGCTTTTTCATTAACTATTCTTTTAGGAGCGTCATCTTTTGGTTTAGTACAAATAATATCTCTGAAACACTCGGGTTAGCCAAGAACATGATACTAGCAGTAGTTTCATTTTACTTTTACAAGGTTCTTCAAACAATTGTTGAGTTGCCTAACCTGCGTGTTTCTAAATTCAATTTCTTGTTCAAGCTTTCTATTATGTTTCGTCAAACAGTAGTCTTGACTATCCAGAGACTGGTTAAGCCAGACTAATTTCAAAACAAGAGCAAGTAACCTATTTTTTACTCAAAAGTGCCCTTATGTTATGGTTGACACTCGTAACCATTTTTCAGTCTATTATTTACGGATGGTTACATGGTCATAGCTTATTAAGAACAACATGACCGTTTATTTAGTGACCATAAATGTGTGAAACTGATTTAAGGTTTGGTATATATATAAATATTGTGGTGTAATTGTCGAGATATTTGGAGATATTTATTTATATTGGGGCACCTATTGGTACAATCGTACGCCATAATGCATTTCAATGCCATTTGTAACAAAGAACTCAAAGAACAAGGGTAGACATATTCCACAAGTCATGTCAAACGGTGACCCGTATCATTCTTATCTGGAGAGCATGGAGAGCATGCTTAATAAATACTATCGGTCTAGACTGGAATAACCAGACGCTAGAATTGGCCATTCGACTGAGACTTCTGGTGTAGTTCACCGAACACAATGTGATTTCAAATGAGAGTAAAAACGGAAATGATTGAATGTAAATCAATTTATATACATTCATATTGCAATATTATATACGTTGCGACCCATTTGTGTCCAGATCTAGGTCCCAAATATTAGAGATTTAGCTCCTTTAATGTCTATTTTGAACCAGTCTTATGAAGACAGGCATACTCCAGCAGTGTGCCATGAGGGAAACTTTGTCGGGACAACAATTGAATTCCAGCTGTCAAGTAGAAAACCATTACAGAAATAAAAACCGTCAAAAATACAGTCTTCAGAAAATATTGAAAAACCGAACATACATGATATATCACAGTTTCACAGTTTTGATTTTTTTGGATGATATTTTACATAAATATTTAAAAAAATGTCTTTTTTGAATGATCGGTATTTTATTATTTGATGATGAATTAATAATGTTACAAACTCTTGAGTGTTTATTCCATGCCTTTATGTAACTTTATTTACATTACATGATTTCTCGATCAATTTTCCAACCGACCGGTACTGTCAGAATTATCCATGCTTTTGTTCTATTTCTATTTTTCTTGATGAATTGTTTATACCGATACTATACTGAGAGTACCAGTAGCTGATTACTAATGTGTCATGGCGGTCCGTCATCCGAAAAATGGACACCTTTCGTGACAGCAATTTTAAAATTACTTTTCAAGAATGCATACGCTTGAATAAGAAAAACGAGTTTGCAAGGGTAGATGAATAGCCTCTTATTGTACCCGTAGCTATAAAAACACACACACGGCCAAAAGAATAACACAAATGTTTTTTGTTTTTTTTATGCATTTTTCAAATTCAAATTATCTTAATTAAATCAAATATCATCATTAATGTATTGGAAGTTCAAACTGTTATAAACAACACAGTCTTAGTGGCTCAATAGATCTATGTTTGAACCTGCTCATTAAATTTTGTTTGTGAGAGAGAGAGAGAGAGAGAGAGAGAGAGAGAGAGAGAGAAATGGGGTTTAACGTCCACTCGATACAAACTAGGTCATTTCGGGACTAACATATGATTTAATTTTATTTACATAATTCGCTTGCGCGTAGGGGTCTTTAGCAGTGGGAGGAAACCGGAGGACCCGGAGAAAACCCACGAGGTTGGACAGGCGACCGTACCCCTTGCCACGTACAACCGGGGATTCGAAACCACGCCAGTCGACTCAATGACAGACTTTATGATACAGCGCGCGCACGCTAACCATTCAGCCATCCAACCCCCCAAATTTTGTTTGTAAGAGAGAGAGAGAGAGAAATGGGGTTTAACGTTTCACTTGACACACACTAGGTCATTTCGGGACTAACATATGGTTCAATTTTATTTCAATAATTCGCTTGCGCGTAGGGATCTTTAGCAGTGGGAGGAAACCGGAGGACTCGGAGAAAACCCACGGGGTTGGACAGGCGACCCTACTCCTTGTCACGTACAACCGGGGATTCGAGACCAGGCTAGTTGATTCAATGACAGACTTAAAAATTTTGTTTGTAAATAAAGTACAGTAGTGTATGCTTAATTTTTGAATAACATGGACTACAAAAGGTCAAATGAATACTCAAGGCGCCGGTGTACATCCAACTTTTTATGCATATTAATTTACAGATAAAAGGTGATAAACTGAAATTGTTGACATTTGATAAAATATTGTGATATTTGTTCCAGGGATATCGTCCAGCTCATTGGGTTTTATGTCCAATTGACACAAACTAGGTCATATCAGGACTAACACATGGTTCAATTTTATTTCAATAATTTGCTTATGCCGGAGAAAACCTATGAGGCTGGACAGGTGACCCTTCTCCTTGTCACATACAAGTAGAAATCAATGACAGACCTTATGATACATGTTAAACATTCAGCCACCCAACCCCAGCTATTATAAAATGCTATCATGTCAATGTTATCCCGGGGGTTGGATGACTGAATGGTTAGCGTGCGCGCGCTGTATCATAAAGTCTGTCATTGAGTCGACTGGCGTGGTTTCGAATCCCCTGTTGTACGTGACAAGGAGTAGGGTCGCCTGTCCAACCTCGTGGGTTTTCTCCGGGTCCTCCGGTTTCCTCCCACTGCTAAAGACCCCTATGCGCAAGCGAATTATTGAAATAAAATTAAACCTTATGTTAGTCCCGAAATGACCTAGTTGTGTCGAGTGGAGGTTAAACCCCATTTCTCTCTCTCTCTCAATGTTATCCCGCTTTATAACAATTTCTTTTTAAATGATCTCTCACAGACCAATTCCTCTGACCGTTGCTAGCTGTTCTAATTAAGTAAAAATATGAAAATACCACTCTTATAGCCTCTACCCCCACCTCTGTTCTGATGCTATGTTTGAGTTGTTAGATTTAATTTTTCACGGTAATTCTTCTTTGTTCATCGAAAGGAATCCTTTCTCGCTGTATCCGACACAAGTTTCTAATAATCAAACACTATTCTTATGTAGAATTTTTACTTTAATGTAGACAATGTTCATTGTAAAGTAACTAATCTACTAACCTCCAAATCTCAATCGTCTCAATTTTTGAAATTCTGCTATTTCTGCTTCGCTTGTCAATTGAAGCAAGTATCCTCCTCGTTGGTTACAGTCCTGTACAGCTGTACGCCATATCACCTTTTCCCTTGAGACATAAACACACTTATTACCAAATTTCTGGAATTCTCCTGTACATGTGCTGATTTCTGGGGGAAATAAGGAGAAAAAAAATGTTGTAAAGCTGGTAATGCATAGACTAATCTCAACAATCTTATGATAAATTAGTATATTAGTTGATGGCTATGTCAAACGAAATAAAATGGGGTTAAATGTATTACGTTTCTGCACTGACTTGACTAATGAAGAAGGGCTTATGCCATACAGTGTTCTATGAGGGAAGTTTTGCATGAAGAGCAGCAATACAGCCTACTCTTATTTCGAATTCCAACTGTCAAGGATTCATATATATATATACATGCTAATGTACAGTCAGTAGCGGATTATCAGTGAGGCTGATGAGGCTGCAGCCTCAGGCCCAAAGATTTTGTAAAAAAAATTTTTTTAGACTTGTCTGATACGATTAAAAACGCATAGACAATGAATGTTAGGGGGGGTGAGGTTTAAGCCCAACGGGAATCAACATAGGCCCTGACCCGAAAATTAAATAGGCCCACGCCATTTTAAATAGGCCCTATTGTTTGGAGATCTGATATTATTTTTCAAACGTAGGCCTACAATGTACGTTAGATCCTTTTAAGTTTTCGGTTATGTCTTGCTTAATATATTGTATCCACGTTGCTCTAACTTTAAAAACTAAATAGGCCCTCCAGCAACTGCCGCCTCAGGCCTTGGTGGAGCTTAATCCGCCACTGTACACAGTCCCTCGGTTTTTCATCCCATCATAACGATTAGATACTGTTTTTTTCAGGCCTTCTCTCCTGAACGAGAAAAACTTAGGGTTGGGCGATTATTAAAAAATAATATCGCGATAATAATTTATCAAATATCACGATAAATGATATTATCGCGATAATTTATACACTTGTCTTAAGAAGTTAAATTTTGATGGTACTTAATAATGCTATTTTTACTGATGAATTTAATTCTATCAGTAGAATGTCATGGGTGATGATATAGCATATGTATTAATTATCATCAATATTAGGACACGATAATTATCATATTGCGATAATTTTGGTTATCACAACATACCGGTTTATCGATATTTTTTAATAAGTCCGATATGGTAAAATCGTCGATGATTTTATCACAATATATCGAAAAACCGATATATCGCACAACCCTAGAAAAACTGTGCAAAAAAAATCACGAAGAACTCTCTCGGGAGGAAACCTGATAACTGTACCAATACATTCGGCAATATATGCCAATCAACAATCATTCAGGTCCAGAACTACTCTGGCATTATTTTTGAAATAATATGGACCATCTTTGTTGAGCAAGCACAATAAATTTGGACGGAAGGAAATGAAATCAAATGAAATGGGGTTTAAAGTTCTACCCTCCTGCAGCGCCTGGCCTAATAAGGACAGTGTAATCCATACAGTATTCTATGAAAGAAATTTTTCCCAGACAACATTTCTACAGCATACTCTGACATCGAATTTCAACTGCTTGGGGACCTTTTACATGCATGCGAAAGTGCACACGGTCATCAGTTTTTCAACCATTCCGAATTACTATACATTGTCCCTTGGCAGGCCCTTTGTCCTGCACCACTGTCAAGGGGGTTACCCATGCCAAAAAGTCCTGATGAATTATACTTGACGGACACAGGGATGGAATACAGGACCTTCATGTTCAGCCACTGTGGCTCTCTTAGACAAATGGAAGTTCGACACGAGCAACCACAATATATACCCACATTAGCATATGGCAGTATAAAAACGCATCAGCTTTCATAGTGCAGGTGAATAATTTGTCAATGTCACATTATACATACCTTCACACATATTTATCTCTACATTGAGTTTGAAGTTGTCCATACACGAAATTTCGGGTCTAGAATTATCTAGGTTACATACTCTTGCAGTATCTGCAGGCATTGTAGCTTCCGTGACCAATTCACCATTAGATTTACATTTGACTTTCTCAGAACAGTTTGTATTCAATGTTACTTCATCAACCTCAAATGTAAATGAGATGAACAATTTAAAGCCATTTTTGTTTGAATGTATTTTCCTTTTCAAATTAAATATGCATTATGCAAGAGCTAAATCTGCCTATTGCAGGTCTTAATTAGTCTATTCAGACCATAATCAACTCTAGATGGCATCGCTAGCCTGTGATTTTTAGTGGATTATGAGCAGATTTACTGCATAACTTTCCTTCTTGGTTTAACGATTAAATGGATAATCAAGACTATGCTGTTTATCGTACTGACTTTAATAATGATGATCAAGATTAGCCGGAAATTTCAACCGCTTAGTTCTCGGTTCGATCATAGTGGATCAATTTGAATTTTTTTTTTCAGCAAATTGCCTTTACATTATCTAGTTTTTAACTATTATAGTGAGAACTGCCAACTGGTTATCGAATCTCCCATAATGTATCTTTAAGAGCACAATAACATTAAAGTATATTTGGCATCTTCTCCAAGACAATTTTAAAATCTAATTTAGTTTTGTTCTGGTAATTAAACAATTCGCGCCCCCACCATTAAGTGACAAGCAACCATTGTTTTCCTTCATAATTTGCTCTGCTTCGAGTATTCAGTGATTGTATTTTGTTATGCATCACCACAAGATTTTATCATTATTGCCACAAGGTTTTATCATTATTGCCACAAGGTTTTATCATTATTGCCACAAGGTTTTATCTTTATGAAAATCGGGTTTCACATCATATTTTTCTGCTCCATTCGGTCTATCACAAGTCATAAAGGCAATCTACTTAAGATCTTAACAAAATGCCCCAGAAATTTCACAGATTTTTTCAACCTTATTACACCCTGCCCCATCAATTACCGAAGCTGTTACAGTCTTTATTTATCTCGAGAAGAAGATAACAGGAGCATGTCCAGAGGGAGGGGGGGAGCGGCAGGGGTTCAGCCCCCCCCACACACACACTCATGTGGAGCCTATACAAGAGAGACCTGAGAGAGAGCCTTAGAGAGAGCCTATATATTTAAAAGAGTAAATTTCTTTCAGAAAAGGCCTCAGATGCAAGGATATAGACTTCAAACTTCCAAATTTTTTGAGGGGGGGGGGCACCCCATACGCCCGAGGCTCTCAGGTCAGTCACCCATTAGAAAACTTGATCCCTACACTCCTGCTTGCAGTCGAATAACTTTTGGTTTTTCATTGCATCTCATTATATTATGTACTTACATTTATCATAAATTTTTTCATGCCTGTTTCCGTTATCATTTCACAACCACATTCTTCTTTTTTGACACATTTAGTTCCTTTCCTGTAGTAGTCCCCTTCACATACACACATGTCTCTGGGAGTACCACTACATGTTGTCTGTACGTTATGCATGTCTCCACATCTCTTATCACATTTAGCTAGATACATGACTTGCTCATTGGGTTCATCGCAATCCAATTCTATTCAAAAAAAAAAAGTAAATAGCAATTAATACAGGTACATTCTATTCGAAAAAAAAAAGTAAATAGCAATTAATACAGGTACATTCCCAAAATACAATAGGCCTACAGGTGAGTATGAATGCCTGTAGCATAAGACCTTTTTGGTGTTTCATTGATTAATTCAATTAGACAAACATTTCCCAAAATCACCATAAAAAGGCATTTTAAGATACAAACAAAGTTTTGATATGAACAAAGTTTTGTTTAAATGTATGTGTCGAATATGCCTACATTTGTCCAGTGAAAGTGCCCTGTACCACTCTTATTGGGCACAACAACTTCATTTGAACAAATTGAAATAAAAACATCCCTTACAATATTCCAAATCTCAAAGTACATATTATGGAGATTTGATTCATTGACAATGATTCATTGGCTAATGAAGACGGGCATACGTCTTACAGTGTGCTATGAGTGAAATTTTGCCCGGGCAGCGGCGCTACGGCCTACTCTTATATCGAATTCCAACTGCCAGGGATCTTTTACGTGCACGCCAATGCGTACATGGGACCTCAGTTTTTCGTCCCATCCGAACAACTAGACAGCTGTCCTTGTCAGGCCCTACCTCCTGCATCACTGACAAGGGGAAACCACACCGGAGAATCTGGATGAACTTTCTCGGCCAATGCAGGGATCGAAGATTTATTCACAAATAAAGATGGAAATTACATATAGGATTGATTAAATTCATACTCAATTTTAATACTGCCCTTGCCAACACCAGGAGCAAACCCTTATAATAGATATTACTAGCACTCAAAATAAGATTAATGAACTTTTCTATTATATACTCTTCAAAAATGTAAGTGATATTGAAATGCAAATACCTATGCAGGTTGTGATATGATAAATAGTCATGGACACTTGACATGCTTTGAGAGTAGGTTCACAGATGAAGAACTTATTGCCCCAACAGAACCAATAGCGCCATACACGTGGGAGGGGTTCATTGTCAAATTTGACACTTCAAGGAAGGGTTGATGAAAACTGCTACTTGCTGGTTTATCTAACCATGTTTGCTTTCCTATCGGTTCTTGCATAAGATTTACTGTTTAGCATATCTTTGCTTTAGTGTGTTACATTTAATTTGATCGGGAGACGTGTTCGTCGACGACAACGTCAACGTCAACCGACAACACTGCAAGAACTGGTCGTGGCACTGCAAGAGGAGTGGGTCAGATTGCCCCAAATCGTGATTGGACAGTTGATTAATAGCATGCCAGGACGAATTGCTGAATGTCTGAGGATTGGTAGAGCAATCACTCATTATTAAGACAAAAATCAAAAACGTCCATTCTCACTTTTGATGGTGTATCTCTTTGCGAGTGAAATGGGGCCGTCAGATAAGCCGCCCATATGAACTGTTTGTGTTCATGTGTAGGCAATTGGCCTGTTATTAACATACACTGGTTACCTCTAATAAAAACAGCAATGCATTTCCGCAGTTTTGTATTGTTTCTGAATATCCCCTACTTTTTTTGAAGAGTATATTTAGCTGCGTTTTTGGTTACTAAAATATATCAAAATTTAAGTTTCAGTGTTTGAAGAATTATTGTTTCTGAATATCCCCTACTTTTTTTTGAAGAGTATATTTAGCTGCGTTTTTGGTTACAAAAATATATCAAAATTTAAGTTTCAGTGTTTGAAGAATTACTTAAACATTACAAAATAATTTAGAAACGCATAGGATAGTGATATAATCAAACGAAATCACCCATTTGACATAACCAGAAAATGCATAATGGCAGACATCTTGGATATTTTGATTTCGTCAAAGATGCAAGAGACGCATCATTCAGATACAGAATCTGTACACATTAGAGATACATAATCCATCAGAAAATGTGCACGTCAAGGCTTAATTCTTGGTTTGGCTGCCAGACTAAACCAATCATTGATCATGATTCTCTAAATCTCTTTGTTTATTTTATTTGTTTATGTACTTTTTGTTTTGAGTATGAAAAAAAAATCTACATACTACAGAAATCATCAGTTCGCCATTCCTTGGTTTCACCGGTTTTCAAATACAATTGTATAGATAAATCTACCATCTTTGAGCAAACAATTTTTTTTCGTTCTTCATCATTCCCACTTTCTTCTTGACAGACATCAAATACACAATTGTCCACGAGCTCTGATATTTTCAAATCTTTAATTTTTTCTTCATATTCTGATACATATTCATTGTACAGAACTTTTAGTTGACCACAGAAATCTTCACTACCAAGTTTTTCTTCTGTCTCGGGACTACAATCTGTTACAGTTGGTACTGATTTACTACATCTGAAAGTATAAATCTTCATATTTGAAGAAGATTACGAATAAAGACTGACTAGAGACCTAATTGCCCATCAGATAATTATAAGCGCAAATTGAAGAATTAGTTAAGACAATGCCTTTAATTTTAAAATCTTTTAATCATTGTAATTTCCTTTAATAAATGTAAGATTACCGATAAGGTTAAATATACATTATGCAAGAGCTAAATTTGCCTATTACACAGTTCTTTCCTCAGACCTGAAATGTTATCTAAATTATTAATTAGACATTAATTAACTTATCCAGACCACAATCAACTTTCGATGCCATTGCTAGCCTGCAATATTTACTGAATTTGAATACATTTTGTGATGGATAATTAAACATAAAAAAGGATAATCAAGACTTTGTTTTTTATCGTACAGCCTTTAGTAATCATGATGAAGGCTTGGCCCAAAATTCAATCGCTACTATCTCAGTTCAGTGTGGAGCAATTTGACTGATATTTTCAGCATATTCTCTTTACGTTATCTATTTTTTAACTATTATAGCGAGAACTGTCCGCTCTTCATCTAATCTCCCATAATTCCCTTTTAATAATTTTCAATTAAGATTCAGACCTATCATGTTCCAAAACATCGGCAAATCAAATTGCCTATCTCTGCTCAGCTTCAGCAGAAAATATTCATCAAACTTAGTCAAGACACCTACAGAAAGTTGGAACATTCTAGCTCAATTAGAAGAAAAGTGCGATAGACGGACACACAGACTTCAAAATGTAGGGGACAAAACAGGACTGGGGTAATTGTAATGGGTAATGGCAATGGAATGTAATCATTACATTTTTTAAGTAATGGCCATGTAATGAGTAATGGAAGATTACATTTTATGGTGCATATAAATATTTCCAATATGACAAGCCTCAAATTTTATAGCACCAAAGAAGGAATTAAGTGTATCTGACACAAATCCAATTCATTATAATTTCAAAAAAAAAGATCTAAATCAATTTTAACAAATTATAAGAAGAATAAGAATGCATTAAACATTTTCTTTTATTACTTTTTATGTAGGACCCTTTTTAAGACATGTAACATAAAAAAGGATTATACAATATATTATAGACAAATTACATGGATTGATTAAAAACTTTAAAAATTACTTATAAGAAAATACAGTTAATTAACTATACTCTTGATTCACTTTTCAAGTCATGCAGTGAAAATGTCAGTTTTTGTCACCACTGCCGTCACTATAAAATTTGCCTTGATGTTATAATTGCTAGAAATAACAATTCATAAACAAATATCTATTAAGTGAATCAAGGATTATTTTGACTTTGATTTTGTAGGCGCTTCATGGCAGAAAAAAAAGGTTGTCTTTTTAATTTCTCTGAAAAATGTTTTTTATTTATATAGTCATAAAGTGACGGGTAATGCTATTTAATCACTTTCAAGGTAATTAATTACATTGCTAAACATGAGAAAGTAATTGTAATGATTACATTTAAAACGTAACTAGTAAATGGTGCTATAATACATAAAGCTATTTACATATCTATAAGCAAATTGGGGTGATCTTAAGGAACAACAGTTGCATGTATTGCGTTCACAAGGTTTTTGGAAAAGGGAACATAAATAATTCTGGTATGGTAGGCCGCAAGATGCTGAGCATTGATAGAGTTCGTCCTCTCATGACCAAAATGCTTCAGTCCAAATTTGAAAAAGATCTCTCAAAAAAATAGCCTCTAGCTTTTAAAAGGTTTTTGGTAGAAAAGGGTAACTTCAGAACAGAAGCCTGAGAAACTTGATTATCTATAGGGTTACGACAACAATGATAGGTATCATACTCACATGTTCGCAATTCTGGCGATACTAGACCTATATTTTAAGTTTTAGCTAAATTTGACGAAAATTGTGTTCTCCACAAACTGTGTATACATTTCATATTTTGCATAATAGGCAGGAGTCATAACACCAGAAGCTGTGTCCGAAGCGCACCTAAATGATGGTTTCAATGTACAGTGGGGCTTATGTTGACCTTACAAGTAACAACTAAGGGCAGCTGGCCAGGTCAACTGGCTTCAACCGAATGCAGCTGGAAAAGGTTGATATGAGTGCCTCCTACAACTCCAAGCAAATAGTTCCAGTCCGTTAAAGTCAGTTGCCCATGCTTAACTTTTGGAAACTTGCTTCTACTAGCAACAACTAGTTGCCATCAAAATGAGCACTCTTATAACTCATGTCAACTCATTTCCATGGAAATTTTATAATGTTATAAGTGACATGTGCCATGTGACTTTATAAATAGAAAAAACGGAAACCAAATGAAGGCACCCCCTTTTAAAATGTTGTTGATGTCCAAAATAATGTAGTAAGAACATGTGGCAAGAACAACTATGCCTTGCGTTTGGGGTGTATCTGCTAATTAGGTATTCGCCATTTTGTTGATCACATGATAAAGAAATTAACAGTCACAGTTAAGTGTAATCACTATCAGTTTCGGGTCAACATAAACACTCCGATTTCAGTTGCTCCCCTCAGTTGCTGATTTAATCGACATAAGCATGATTGCAACTGGTTGAAACCAGTAGATCCCATTTGCAAAGTCGGCATAAGCCCCGTTTAAGGGTGTATTTATATCAGTACTTACCCAGCATTTTCATCATCATCGACTTGCCAATCATTGCCATATTCACTGGCAGAGGATAGCTCCCATCGTGATTTTCTATTCTGTCTGTATGTTGGGGTGAAAAAAGAGCCAGCCCTCAATTTATATGCCTGTTCTTTTGATACACCAATATTTCCACAGATACCACACATGAGGCCGTCGTAGCCACTCGGTGTATCAATATATATCTTAGATCGGCCGTCAAACATGACCGACAAAGCATATGGAGTTGTAACTCTAGTTTCTTTACCACTGACTTCTGCTACGAAATATTTTGTCTCCTTTTTGTTTTCCACATCAACCTTGTTCACCTGGAAGAAAATAGCAAAAGATATATTTAAAACAGATCCATTAAACACCATACACAACTTAAAATAGTCTTATAAAGATCTGATCAAAAAGTATTCAAATGGTATGCTATTCTGTTTCAATCCCAGGTGTTTATGTAATAAACTATAAAACTATAAACTATTCATTTGATATAGTGCTAATTTTGATAATAATCTTCAATAGCGCTGTACATAATGCACTACATGATCAGAAATTGGTGAAGAGGTGAGTCTTGAGGGCTTGCTTGAACTTTTGCACATTTTCAGATTTCTTAATGTCGTTCGGCACCGCATTCCACCATGTTGCTCCAATGACATTAAAGGCACGACTGGCAAACGTTTTTCGCTTCACCAATGGCACTTTGAGTCTCATGTATTGGGCCTTTTGTGTTCATTGGTTTTTAAGAGTGTCCTTATATACATTGGTGAACAACCATTAAGACTCTTCCAAATCAGCGTCAGGACTTTGTGCTGTAATCGCATGGATACAAGCAAGCACGTTACAACATCAGATCTATCACAGAGTCTAGTGGTGTGGTTTTCAATCCCCATGATATATCCTCAGCTTTCCTCCCAATGATAAAGATTAACCATATTTTAGTCCCGAAATGGCCTTCTTTGTGTCAAGTGAACATTAAACCCCAAATCTCTCTCTTTCTCTCTCTCTCGTTTCAATCAAAAAGAATTTTACATGACTGAAATTTAATTTGTTGTACACAAGAAGCATTATGTTCAATTCCCAAGTCAGTTTCAATTTAGTATTATGAAATGCCAAACATATTGCAATGAACATTCAAATGTTGTGAAAAAAAACCTCATACTTAGAATTTTATCATGCCGAATGAATCCAATTTCCTTAAATCAAAACTTTAAAATGCGATTATACTGGATGCAGTACTATTATTAATTAATACAGTTGATATGTGCTGAAATTGTTCAGTTTGTGTTAAAGGCATGAAACTTAGCAGACTTGTATGGTTTTAGGTGCTGATCATATTAAGATTTTGAAGGGGGGGTGGATGTCCGAATGGCTGGCACTGTCTGCCATTGAGTCAACTAGCGTGGTTTCAAATCCCCAGTTGTACTTGACAAGGAGTAGGGTCACCTGTCCAACCTCGTGGGTTTTCTCTGGGTCCTCTGGTTTCCTCCCACTGCTATAGACCCTCTACACGCAAGCGAATTATAGAAATAAAATTGAACCATGTGTTAGTCCCGAAATGACCTAGTTTGTGTCGAGTGGATGTTAAACCCCATCTCTCTCCCTCTCTCTCTCTCACATTAAGATTTTGGGTCACTTCTGGAAACAGCTTGATAACCTAATGATGACATCACAACGAGTCAGAATTTTAGCTGAATATTTATTAATACAGTAGAGTTTAAGACCTTCCTGCTACAGAATTTTCAGGTTTCTGGGCATTGCTTTTGTTTGCTCAGTACATTTTATCTAAGAATTTTTAGCATTTTCCAAAATTTTATCCGGATTATTGCCCTTATTATTGTTTAATTTTTTTAACGTTATAGCTTATGACGTCAACTGGCAGACCATCACAATTCAGGAGGTGACCCCGGCCCCTTCTGCACCAACTGGGTTAATGAAGACGACATTCACCATACAGTGTGCTATGAGGGAAATTTTGCCTGGATAGTGGCACTACAACCTACACTTTCGAATTCCAACAGTCATGGGTTCTTTTACATTCATGCCAATGCGTACACAGGAACTCGTTTTTCATCCCATCAGATCGACAAGACACTGTTCCTTCATTCTGCACTACCCACAAGTGGAAAATCCTGAGGCTCTTTCTAGGTCAACACTTCGACCAAACCCAAGACCCTACTCCTGGTCACATACAATCGAAACCATGCTACTCGACTCAATGGCAGACTTTCTGATCTAACCCGCACACATTAACCATTCAGCCACCCAACCTCCCTAACATATGATGCTAAAATATTTAAGTATAAGTAATATACCTGTAGTTTTCCATTTCGAGCTAGTCTGATTGTGTCAAACGTAGAATCAAAGTTGTCCTTCTCATGGTAGATTGTAACATCACAATAATCGGTGCATGTGACATCTTTTCCCGGTTTGCCACACTTTCTATTCTTACATTCTACTTTAAACAGATCTAAATTCTTCAATTTGTCATTGTTTGTTTTGCAGACACCGGAGATGAGGTATTTGCATTTTCCGAAGAAATCCAGCATGTCCCCAGCATATGTTCTGCAATGAGGATCACCAGTACAGGAGCACAGATTTCCACCTATATTTAAAAAAAAAAAAAAAAATTTAACCATGTGACTGAACAAAATCAAATTTTTGTTTAAATTATCAACTTGTAAATGTAAGCTTACACTTTGAAAAAATGAAATGAAATGAAATGGGGTTTAACGTCCTACTGTTCTGCTCCTAACCTGGGCTAATGAAGACGGGCATACGCCATACAGTGAGCTATGAGGGAAATTTTGCCCGGACAGCGGCACTACGGCCTACTCTTATATCGAATTCCAACTGCCAAGGGATCTTTTACGTGCACGCCAATGTGTACACGGGACCTCGGTTTTTCGTCCCATCTGAACGACTAGACAGCTTTCCTTGTCAGCCCCTCCGTCCTGCATCACTGACAAGGGAAAACCACGCCGGAAAATCTGGATGAACTTTCTCGGCCAATGCAGGGATCGAACACCCGACCTCCAGGCTAGCGAGCTAGCGTCTTACCCACTTAGCCACGTGATCCCCAGCTTACACTTTGAATATACTAGTTAATTAAACTACCATGAGTAACAAGCAACAACCATAATTAATCAATAAGCATCTTTTTTTCAACTGAACAAACAATACATTTTTTTTAAAAATCTGACAATAATTAATTGTAACCTTAAGAGTTTAAGACGGTTTCATATATCTAGACAAGTAATTCAGGGAGTAATTGCCAAAAACCTTTCAAAATCAATCATCCGATTCATTTAAAAAATTCATTGCAGACCCTAGAGTGTTAAATAACAAAGTTTATGTAAATGAAGGCTAACAACTTTGGAAGCAATTTTTCTTAATATATTTTTAAACAATTTTTAATCAATTGACGTTTTCTGGTAATTTTGTCTCTAAACTGTAAAGAAAGCATTAGGAGACTGAGTAACTGGAAGTGATTGCCCTTGAATAACTTATTACAATTTTCAGAAGATCAGCGGTTACCTTTGGGACCTTTTACAAACTTATTAGACATACTGATTACAGATTAAAATTACCCATAGCAAGATTTTCACCATCCTTATTAACGTTACTCTGAAATTGGTCTGTCTGAATACTAAAAATTTCATACTCTGAAATTGGTCTGTCTGAATACTAACAATTTATACTCTGAATACTAACAATATCATACTCTGAAATTCGTCTGAATACTAACAATTTCATATTCTGAAATTCATCTGTCCGAATACTAACAATTTCATACAGCATTTTACCATTTTGTGAACTGACCACCTTTTTTTCCCCCACAGACTCATCCGACTTCTGGACCCCGAAGACAAAAACTCCCAGACACCATTAAGTTGGGAAACACTGCTCTAGTTTGTTACTTACTGACACATTGCTTAAGCTTGGAATTCCAATCTGCTCCAACTGGACATTTACAGAGGTAATGACCAAAAGTGTCTACACATTTCTGGCCACCGGGACAAGCATTAGATCCTGCTACATCGCATTCATTGACATCTGTTAAATACATAGAATCAAATACATATAGTATATAACCTACAACAATTACAGGGGTTGGGAGTCCAAACTGGTTTCTTCTCACAGCTAAGGACCCCTACACGCAACCAAATTATTAAAATAATACTGAACCATATCTAGTACCGAAATGACCTAGTTTATGTCAATCTGATGCTACCCCCCCCCCCCCCCTACTCTGTTGAATTGAAGACATCACAGTAAACATGTAAATTTGTAAATTAAAGGCAAACACTTGCCACTTCTGATGGTGCATGTTGAAATTATTTCATACTTGATAATGAATATAATATTACAAAATCTGCAGTTCTCTATCCATATCTCAAAATGTAATTTTTTTTTTTGTAACTATTTTAATGCTAAGAAGTTTTTCTGGCATGTTTGGGCTTTAAACTTTTGCTAAGATTCAAGTCCAATGCTTTTCATTTGTTTGAATTATTAAACATGCATTATGTAAGAACTAAATCTGCCTAATGCAGATCTTTTGTTTGTCTTCCAGTGTTTTTTTTTCTTAAAATAAATGGATAATCGAGACTTTGTTTATTATCGTAACAACGGTAGCGAAGACAATCGGTATTACACTATTCTTAAATGGCCATAACTTTGCTCAGAATGAAGTAATTTTGAACATATTCCTTTTTTATTACCTATATTTTAACAATCATAGCGAGAACTGTCAGCTCTTTATCAAAATCTTACATAATGTATGTTTCAATATTGACAAAATCCAGATGTATATTTTATTTTTACAAAAGTTGTAATTTCTTACCCTCAGGACATTCGAATTTCACCTTATAGTTCTTACAGGTTGGACCATTGCAAATAAATTTATTTTTGGTAACTTCTATGCGATCTCCATCTCTTTCCTGTGGCTCATAGGTTATTTTAAATGGTTTCAAACACACAGGTTTCTGAAATTAAAGTGATATGTTAAAACATTACTTATCTCAAACAACTGTTGAGTTTATATAGAAGTAGAGGCTCCTTTTAACTTCAACTTATTTCCTTTAGTTTCGAGGGCATTATGTGGTATTCCTTGTTGGTTTACAGTGTGGTACATCACAGATATAGTGCATATAGTTGTCGTCATAGTAACATATATATAGTGCCTCACATATACTATAAAATATGGTCTTCTTTTTAATTTTGTGGGGTAAATATACGGTAGTGTTGCCAAGCAATATACTCACAAACGGCAGTTTGAAGTGGGATATGGACTAAGACTAGTAATTATTTCCCCTTATTTCATGATGGACGAATGTAGTGCGAGTTATAAATAGACAATTTTTCCCTTAATTTTTTTCTCCCCTCTTCCTGCATTTTTGGGTTGACTTTTTGGTCTAGAATTGGAGAAAAGGGATCAAATTTGCAATTTCATAGCAGTTTTGGGTAACACTGATGATATTACAGCGGAGGGATAGGGGGTGTAAAGTGTCTTTCTGCAGAGCAATCATTGTGTCGGAAGTGAGATTTTCTCCCCTGTCAACATCAAATCCCCATAGCAAAAAATCTAAATGGTCAACCCCCTCCAAATTTATGATGAGGATATTGCCAAATGTGGTCCCCATTGTGCCTATAAAGATTGAAACCAACGGAATTTTGAGCAAATAGCTACAGTCTGTGATGTTACAGCCATTTAACATTGAAGTCAATGGGCAAATAATTGCTAGTCTGAGTCCATATTAGTATTTTTAGGGTCAGGGCAATTACTTCCCATAAAATCAGTGTGAATTTTTAGAGCAGGGGTGTAAATTATGTAGCTGCCCAAGGGTTTAAATGTGACGTTTGGCTTTGTTTTTGGAATTCAGTAAAGTTCAGTGACGTATGGCTTTGTTTTTAGAATTTTTGTATATCTTTGACCCACTTGATGTAAAACTTTAGTTCACATGGCCCCTGAATCGAAATGAGTTTGACACCCCTGGTTTAGAGGATTTCATTAGGACCGGCAGAACAATTCCAACATTTGGGAAGAAACAATGTCAAAAACTCTAGAGTATTTACAAGGTTTGGCTGACAAGGGAAATATCTGTGTTAAAGTAGCTAAGTCTCTAACTCAATATCATCCAAAGTCTTACACGTTGAAAACACAAATTATTTGTTAATTTAAATCAACATTGATGTTTTTATCTTACCGGGTAAAGGTAGGCTTCTGATATCCAATATTTAAGACAAAATATACCTACATTTTACCATTGGTACACGAATCGTGTACCATAGTGCATTTCATTGTCATTTGTAACAAGTGACCAGAAAAAGCGAGGCTAGACATATTCCACAACTCTTGTCATACGGCGACGCCATAACTTATCTGGAGAGCATGCGCAATAAACTGGAATAACCAGGCGCTAGAAATTTCTATTCGGTCGAGACTCATGCTGTATTTCGCTGGACCTAACTGATTTGAAATTTGAGTCAAAACAGAAACAATTGAATGTAAATCAGTTCATATACAATCAGATTACATTATTACATGCGTTGCAACCCATTTGCGCCAATTTCTAGGTCCTAAATATTTAGCTCCTTTAAGAATCGTTACATGACTCTGCATTTCAATTAGGGTTCATCGTTAAATCTAACTGAACAATACAAACAAATGAGAAGATGCTGTAATGAAAATTTGCCATATAAAAAGGATTTTTGGCTGTCAAGTTTGGTATGAAGACAAGGTTTCCGACAAGATTGCAGGACAATGAATATTGCTAGGGTTTGTCCATGACCACAATGCTTTACACCAAATTTTATAAGAATCTGTTAAAAACTATAGCCTCTAAACAGTTACAAAATGGGCCCAGCCATCAATATGATGCAGATATTTAAATACTCTTTCTAGGCCATACACATCAGCACATTCAAGCAGTTCAGCAAATACCCAAGTAGAATGCTTTGTTTTTGGTGGGTTTTTGATAATTAGATAAGTCTATAAATGTAGAGTTGTTATTCATTATTGATCATTGCTTGATAAAGATACCTGTAAGAGTATTGAAACGTTGCATGTAATAAACCAAGAAGTAGTAAATCCATAAAGTTGTGTTATTATGAAGTCTATGGTTATTTTATATAGTTAATTACACAACTGATTTTCATGTTGAAGGTGATAATGTCTCTTTAAGTGTTAGACAAGCACTCATTACCGCTATATATAGTAGTGAAATGAAATGGGGTTTAACGTCCTACTGTTCTGCTCTGAACTGGGCTGATGAAGACAGGCATATGCCATTCACTGTAGTATGAGGGAAATTTTGCCCAGATAGCAGCACTACAGCCTACTCTTATATCGAATTGCAACTGTTAAGGGAACTTTTACGTGCACGCCAATGTGTACACGGGACCTCAATTTTTTGTCACATCCGAATAACAAAACAGCTGTCCTTGTCAGGCCCTTCGTCCTGTATCACTGACAAGGGGGAACCAGGCTGGAAAATCTGGATGAACTTTCTCAGCCAATGCAGGGATTGAACACACCCTCCAGGCTAGCGAGCCAGCGTCTTACCTACTTAGCCACCGTGATCCCCCTATATATATAGTAAGTTTACTTACCAATCTGATGATGGCCTGTTTAACAGTTAATTCGTATTTGTTTCTTCCACGCTTTATAGGTTTACCTCCATCAACCAATACCTTCTTTCGCTTCTGAACTTCAAGAGGATCTATAAAAGATTATTTCAAATAAAAAAAAATCCAAAGTTTGAAATAAAAAAAAAAAATTTGGGGGGGAAAAATTGAAAATTATCTCTTTAAAGGGTGATTAGGAGTAGCAGAGCCTTGTTCTAGTACCATAAATATATTCTAATCTCAATTACCATTACCTAAAACATTTGTGGGACCTTGATTGTCCATATGGAACATTCCCGGTCAATGGCAATACAATCAAGCGACACAAGAACAGATGTAGTGTGAGCAAAATTGTAAAGTTATCAAATGTTTCCACTATGTATAATGGTGGAGATAGCATCAGATCAAGTTGGTGCATGCCTTGTTGCCAGGGCTGGATTAAGACCTTTACGGGTCCTAAGCACTTTAAAGATCTTGTTGTCCGCATATTATTTAAGTCAAAAAAGCAGCGTAACTTTTGTATATTTATATGTCAGGCTCAAAACTAACACTGTATATGAGAAGGTACATGTATCTATTTGAATATGCTGAATTATTGAAATCTACGATTTAAAACCTTAAATAACAAAGTAAGTGGAATTCAATCAAATTTACAAGGAGTTACTTACCATATTCACACAATGGATATTTCAAATGATGGCAATGTGCGTTGATCTTAACACTGAATTTACCTGGAAGACGATTGCCAAATCCTGTCAAAAACAAAAATAAATATTAGTTTTATTTTAATTTTTTTTTTTTTTTTTTTCTATTTCCAAAAAAAAAAGTAACTGAACAGTTAACAAGCCAACAGTAAAACTGATGTTCCCTGCCTCAATCCCAAAATAAATAGATGTCACATATTAATGGTCTGAAATGCATGAATATCAAAGGGACTGAGATCTTTGGGATATAAAGATATATTTTAAGGTTCAGCAAAATCGGGCAAAAATTGTATTACCTGTACACAATTTGCGTACAAGGGGTGGTCATTTTGTCTGGCAGTTTCGGTCTGATTTTCACTAATTTCGAACTCAACCGTCATTAGCTTGTAACAGTGATACATTTAATTTAAATGTTTTTTAAAATCAGATAAAAATTGTGACATCTAGAGTGTAACGGTGATACATTTAAATGTTTTTCAAAATCGGATAAAAATTGTGACCTCTACAGTGTCAACAGGCTAAAAACGTGATTTTCGTAGAATCAGGGGCCATAATCCAGGAAGTTACAGTTCGATATGCGCAAATATCAACAGGAACCAGTTTCTTTGGATTATAAACATACAAATTGTGGACGGAAGTTCGTATGGACAGACAGGGGCGATGGCATAATACGTCCACATGAAAATGTGGGCGTATAATAAAAATGCATGATCAAACTTTGTCAAGGTATAGATGTAGGCAAATTATACATCAAGTTTCATCACTTTCACCCAATTAGAATCAAAGCTATCATGTCTCAAAGCCTAACTCAATGAAATAACTTATCTCGAATTAACCTTAGCAGATAGACCTCATCATCAAACTCAGCCGTCATTAGGGTGTAACAGTGATACATTTAATTTAAATGTTTTTTAAAATCGGATAACACTCATTATCAAAATTGAATGGTCAGCTTTAAACTGGACAGAAGTACAAATTAAACGAATTTTGGTGATTTTAAACGATTTTTATGAATTTTTAAACAAAGATTTGATATTAAACGATTGTGAAAAAAATTAGTGCTAGATACACAAGATTAAACGATACATGGGTTACAGTGTTAATAAATACCTAAACCAAGTTGGAACATTCTAGCTCGATTAGAAGCAGAGTTATTGCGCCACAACAAGTGTGATAGACAGATGAACCCATTATTAAATATCAAACTCATGACCAAATTATTAAAGACTAAAAAGACATGTTTGGATCCTTAAAATATATTTTTTTTTTAATTATCAGAAACAGTTTATAAGGTTTGTTTTATTTTATCTTTTAAATATCTTTATCTATACAATTTATTAACACCATGCAATTAGATAGGCCCCTTCATCTTACAACTGTAAATAGGATATATAATTTTTAAAATCATTGGCTGATAAATGTAGTCTGAAGAGTGCTCACAAGAACTTAAGGCTTGGCAATATATGGTTACATTTCAATGTCAGTGTATATAAATGACTAATATTAGATTACCTGCAGTTGCCCTTGATCCCCTTGACCTATTTCTGGATCTGCGTCCTTTTCTTTTGTTTCTCCTTGATCTTCCTGCCTTGTTTCGGTTTCTCCTTGATCTGCCTGCCTTGTTTCGGTTTCTCCTTGATCTGCCTGCCTTGTTTCGGTTTCTCCTTGATCTGCCTGCCTTGTTTCGGTTTCTCCTTGATCTGCCTGCCTTGTTTCGGTTTCTCCTTGATCTGCCTGCCTTGTTTCGGTTTCTCCTTGATCTGCCTGCCTTGTTTCGGTTTTTCCTTGATCTGCCTGCCTTGCTTCCCTTTCTCCTTGATCTGCCTGCCTTGCTTCCCTTTCTCCTTGATCTGCCTGCCTTGCTTCCCTTTCTCCTTGATCTGCCTGCCTTGTTTCGGTTTCTCCTTGATCTGCCTGCCTTGCTTCCCTTTCTCCTTGATCCGCCTGCCTTGTTTCTGTTTCTCCTTGATCTGCCTGCCTTGTTTCTGTTTCTCCTTGATCTGCCTGCCTTGTTTCTGTTTCTCCTTGATCTGCCTGCCTTGTTTTGGTTTCTCTTTGATCTGCCTGCCTTGTTTTGGTTTCTCCTTGATCTGCCTGCCTTGTTTCGGTTTCTCCCTGATCTGCCTGCCTTGTTTCGGTTTCTCCTTGATCTGCCTGCCTTGCTTCCCTTTCTCCTTGATCTGCCTGCCTTGTTTCGGTTTCTCCTTGATCTGCCTGCCTTGCTTCCCTTTCTCCTGGATCCACCTGCCTTGTTTCGGTTTCTCCTTGATCCGCCTACCTTGCTTCTGTTTCTCCTTGATCTGCCTGCCTTGTTTCGGTTTCTCCTTGATCTGCCTGCCTTGTTTCGGTTTCTCCTTGATCTGCCTGCCTTGCTTCCCTTTCTCCTTGATCCGCCTACCTTGCTTCCCTTTCTCCTGGATCCGCCTGCCTTGTTTCGGTTTCTCCTGGATCCGCCTGCCTTGTTTCGGTTTCTCCTTGATCTGCCTGCCTTGTTTCGGTTTTTCCTTGATCTGCCTGCCTTGCTTCCCTTTCTCCTTGATCTGCCTGCCTTGCTTCCCTTTCTCCTTGATCTGCCTGCCTTGTTTCTGTTTCTCCTTGATCTGCCTGCCTTGCTTCCCTTTCTCCTTGATCCGCCTGCCTTGTTTCTGTTTCTCCTTGATCTGCCTGCCTTGCTTCCCTTTCTCCTTGATCCGCCTACCTTGCTTCCGTTTCTCCTGGATCCGCCTGCCTTGTTTCGGTTTCTCCTTGATCTGCCTGCCTTGTTTCGGTTTTTCCTTGATCTACCTGCCTTGCTTCCCTTTCTCCTTGATCTGCCTGCCTTGTTTCGGTTTCTCCTTGATCTGCCTGCCTTGCTTCCCTTTCTCCTTGATCCGCCTGCCTTGTTTCTGTTTCTCCTTGATCTGCCTGCCTTGTTTCGGTTTCTCCTTGATCTGCCTGCCTTGTTTCGGTTTCTCCTTGATCTGCCTGCCTTGTTTCGGTTTCTCCTTGATCTGCCTGCCTTGTTTCGGTTTCTCCTTGATCTGCCTGCCTTGTTTCGGTTTCTCCTTGATCTGCCTGCCTTGTTTCGGTTTCTCCTTGATCTGCCTGCCTTGTTTCGGTTTCTCCTTGATCTGCCTGCCTTGTTTCGGTTTCTCCTTGACCTGCGTGCCTTGTTTCTGTTTCTCCTTGATCTGCGTGCCTTGTTTCTGTTTCTCCTTGATCGTCTCTTTGATCTTATCTTAAAGTTTTTATTGTATCTCTTGGCTGGCCTTCGCCCCTTTCCTCTGACTTTAAATTCACCATATACACAACCAACTCGATTAGATAACTCATCAAGATATTGTGGCACATCTAGTTGTGAGTATGGATTTGGATTAAATCTTGGATCCAATCTATTTGTATTACCACTCATCCAGAAAACTACAAGATACAAATGTTACTTTCAATATATGCACAGACATTATTATATAATTTGTTGGTGGCTAAAACTATATTATTTTTTTGTAGCTATTTCTGTTTAAATGTGTAACATTTTCATAGATATCATTTTTAATATTTTTATTTGTAACTTTCATGTAAGATTAAACAATATAGGTCTATATCCAAAATTAGTTTCTAATTTTCACCATTTCTGAGAAATAGGCAATTTCGCAATTTTCATTATTCGGATGAAGCTGAAAACGCTAGCTGCAGATCATAAATTAGAATTTTTATATGACATTATTTATGAATAGTCCCAAGACAGACGAAAAGTTCTGAAATCAGCTTGTGTTGGCAAACCTTTTATCTTTTCGTGCGTGTGATGGTGGGTGTGTGCATGTGTGTATATATATATATATAAATAGATAAAAAAAAATCCCCCAAAATCCAATTGCCCACAATGTTATAAAGAGATAAATGAAAACAGCAATGTTACGAATATAAATGCCTACACATTAAAATCTTATAATCTTTGCAGGAGCAGAGGTAGATCAGTAAATTACCAGGTTTGATCCCTGGTGTCGATCAAGAAAGTTGCTTAGGATTTTCCCTCATAGTACATAGCATGGAAATCTGATAGACACACAGATCCTATTTCGTTTCATTTTTTATAGTTCAAAATTGGGTTTTACTTGTCTTTACTACACTTTGATCTGGAAGAGTTGTTGTATAACCCGCACTCTGGATGACGTGAGGGATTAGCCAATGAAACGGTCTGCTATGATGAGTTTTTGGTGTGAGGTGCTTGGAACTGTAGGTAACCAACTAGAAACATCAACGCTGGTTGGTTAATCAAATGTCTGATGTCATAGGGTCAAAAGCCACTCTTAATACCCCCGACGCTATCTTCCACTACAAACCGTCAGATCCTCATGTAGTAGAGGCAATGGAAAGTATAAAAAACAAAACGAAATATAGATCTGCATTGTAATCAGATTGATAGCATGGCATGTCCCTGTCTTGATTAGCCTTATAAGACATTAAACCAGATATTATAATCATTACAATCTCCCTTTAAAAAATGTATGCAAGATGTAAAACTGAATAATTGTTCACAATATCTGCATTTTTTTTTTTTGGTATGATCTTAAATGATAGCTCTTTAGAAGAAGACTTTTTAAACTTGACCTTTATTTTATTCCTTCAAGAAGAGCTCTGCTCTGCAATCACAGAAATTCTCCATATGAAAAAGGAAACTGAGAAGGAAAAGCCATGCTGAAAAACTCCTGACGAACATTCTTGGCCAACATGTGGACCTTGTAGCATATGAGCTAGCGCCTTTATTCACTGAGCCACTGTGACTCCCAGAACAGATAGACAACAAAAGTTATGAAAACATGGGAATACAATTATGTTGTGCAACTGTGAGAGATAGAAAACATATGTGCATATTGTATGTGATCTAATAATAAAAAATATAGGTAGCCAGGCAATGAAACATAAGCCCACAGCAGCCAAGTCTTCTGAGCAGTCCAAAAGTTTTGTCGCGCTATGAATCTTTATAAGTACCCTATAACATCAAAGCATTCACAAGTTTCTTTAAAGTGATTAAGAGCCATAACTCTAGAACAGATTAATGAAAATTGTACAAATTTCTGAACAATGCATACAAATAATTTGAACAATGCATATAAATTTCAAGAACAAAATTTGTTCAAATTCAATAGGTTTCTGTGTTTCACTAAGACTTTACAAAGTGACAAAGGCCATAATTCTAGAAGTGAATAACAGAAATTGTTCAAAACAAATGGGCTTTTATGTTTCATTAATTTTAACAATGCATATAAATTTTGTAGTTGGTGTGTTCACATCTTCACTAATTTGAATACTGATATAAATTTCAAGTTGATCGGATGACAACTTTTGATGCTAGAGCAATCGCAGAATTTTACAAAGTGAGCAAGGTCTATTTAAATCCAAAGGTAATTAATTAGTATTTGTTTAAAATCAATAAACTTCTTCGTTTCACTAATTTGAAACTATGTATTGTAAATAAATTTAAAGCTGATCAGATAGATGACAACTTTTGATGCTAGAGATTACACATTGTGAACATGGACCATAACTCTAGAAATCACATTGATGTAAACTTACCTAAATTTCAAAAAGTTGCAATGATAAATGCAGTCTGTAGAGTGTTCACAAACAATGTGGACGACAGACAGAAGTATGAACACAACAGGGAAAGCGACAATATATATGACAACATTTCGATGTGGCATATAAAGATCATGATGTTGGTGCGGTGCATTATCATTATTAAATTGCAAAAGTATAAACGGGTGTGCTTTTTTGATGTGCTATCTCACCATAGCTACTGGAAACACCTCGACGTCTTCCTCTTTTCTTAGATTGCATCCTTAATTCTTTAGCTTTAAATCAAACATCATAGTCGTTTTTAACAAAAATCGAATTAGGGAACCTCATTTAGGTAGCATTCTAAACACATAATTTTAATAATTATTGGAATTCTTACATGTTCTCTATAAATCTTTTTATGGTCAACTTTTAGATATCAAGGTCTTGTTTCCAAAGATTACATTTTAGTGTAGATTTTGGCTTACAGTTTCAACTGTAGGACACAAAATATCTCAATACTAGCTTTATGTATAGACATAAAGTTGTCATGAATACAAACTAGTACCCCACCAAACAATTCAACAAATAAAATCCAGTGAATTCAACAATTATATAATCGCCTTAATCAAATAACTAACATTTTAAGTTTAGAATTAATGATCTGAATATGTTTTTCTTTTGCACCTTATTCTTAAGGGGAAAAAAATCTTCAAAACTTTTAATCATACCTCTTAAAGATCCTGACATTCTAGAAGCTAGTTCAGTTAAGAAGGTTTTATCTTCATCTGTATCATATCTAGCCAATCGACCGCCATCTATTTGTCCAGCACAAGCCACCGCAGCCTCATGCCAATTTGCTTTTCTGTGCAAAAGTTTGTAACATTTGCGTCCTTTCTTTAAAAAGCTATGAGCACATTTGATAGAACTATGATCTTCTTCACCTAAGAAAAATAAAAAATGCCTTCACTATACAAGTTTATAATAGTAATATTAATATGCAATAAAAATAATGAGAGTCTCAGTGAACTTAGTTGCAGGGTGGTCTTAACACATATATAGGCACACTTACTGAGAAGTTGTACGAAGGCCCCACAGACATAGGTTCCCGATACTATTCTATGTACATATTTTACACACTGATTTTGTTGGAAGTTCCAATACAGTAAATTGTAGTAATATGGATGGTGGGATTTGTGCTTAAGAACACATATGTATAATAATATTATGGCCTTGAATAATTATTCTCCATTGTCAGTATATTAGCTATGGTATGAGTTTATTTAAACGCAAATTAAATTGTTTATGAAATATTGTGAGAATAACAGGAAAAGGGGTTTAAGTTCAAGGATGTCTAAAAGCATGTGATCGGAAAGTTACTATTTTATATTTGGCATGAGTGACCAAACACATAATTCATTACATTATAATTAGCCAATAGAATAATTAATAGCTGTGAATCTGAGAATATATAATTAATAGAATGTGTGTTCCAGGTTAGACATCGGGCAAATCTAAGAGAGGTGAGATCGTTGAGGTTCAAGGGACACCATCTGGTTTCAGAATTCCCTGTTAAGTCGTAGGAGAGCCATATGATGTATTGGGATCCGTCAGTAAACTTGTTCTACGGAATGGTGGGGTCGGGGTCGAGAGTGGAGAATGACTTTGTTATAATCTATGCTTGTAACTATGTAACCTACATATAGCAGTGTTTAATATAAAATGTAGAAATAATATGTGGTATTGTTCTTCCTGTTAGTGATACTAATTGAGATGCAGTATATTCAATCACAATGTGAAATCGTCAATAATGTGGAATGTCAGAATGACATTTAGAGATGAGGTCCTAACCAGTTAAAGAATTGCAAATGGGACCAGAGACAATACTAGATGATCAAGGGCTGTTCCAAAATATATAGTAAGAAACGATGCATAGGTTATACGCCGGATGTGGCGATTGGTTTTAGGTGTTGTCAGCTCTCGATGTCTGCCAGACGACCCATGATGCTATAAAATATATATGTTAAATTCTACAAACCATTTACATTTTTATTCCTATTTAGTGGTGGGGGCACCAGTGTGAGAGAGAGAGAGAGAGAGAGAGAGAGAGAGTTTAATGTCCCCTTGACACAACGTAGGTCATTTCGGGACTAGCATATGGTTCAATTTTATCTCAATAATTCGCTTGCAAGTAGGGTTCTTTCCCAGTGGGAGGAAACCGGAGGAAACTGGAGGACCAGAGAAAACCCACGAGGTTGGACAGACGACCCTACTCCTTGTCACGTGCAAGACAGGAATCCAAACCACGCCAATTGACTCCTGGACAGATTTTATGATTTCACATGCACATGTTAAACCACCCAACCACACAAGAAGAACTTAAAGAAATCTCCTAATAGAATCTACAGTGAAAATCTGTACTTACATTTTTCATTTTTCATTACAAAGCCTGCTATACAAACACAGTTACCGCCTTCACACTTAGTATTTTCTCCACATGTTCTTGGTTCAAACATTAAACTTGTTGAACTACCATCTTTTGTAACTCGACAGTGATATGTCATCTTACAATCTGATGAATGGACAGGACGACCAACCTGCATACAAGATAAGAGGACCTTAATTAGAATTAGACATAATTTGCATAATAATGGTGACCTAAAAGCACACTTGTCCCATGTGTAAAATAACCCAGGGAACACATAAAAGTTGGCCCGTTTTTTGTGTAATAATGGAGATACAAGGAGAAAGAAAGAAATTATTTATAGCTAAAGAGATGGTTTCCCCCACCTTGATCAGTTCTCTTATAAATTAAGATGTCGTACACACTGTTCACGTCATCCGCAGTAAACAATCATAGCTGCCTCCAGCAACATTTTCACACTGGATTATTGACATCAGAAGGAATTCCTTCTAAGACCCAATTATCCAGGTCTACCATCTATTGCAACTGGAACATGGCTGAATTTCATTTTTGGATTTGAATTGTTGTATTTTAAATCTTGTTGTGGAAGTATTCAAATAATTTACCAGTGAGTTGATATTTTACGTTGTTTTTGGTGTCGAAAGGTCACTTATACTTTCGATCTGTGGCGGGGATTATCAATATCTCTTATTGTCATCAGCACCCTTTATTATCATAGTTTGACAATCTAGTTAAAACACAGATCCTATTTCATTTCATTTTTTATAGTCAAAATTTCGTTTTACTTGTCTTTACTACACTAGGATCTTGAAGAGTTGTTATATTACCGGCATTTTTGTTGAAGTGAGGGATAAGCCAATGAAACAATCTGTTATGGAGACTTCTTGGCATGCCATGCATGGAACTGTGGGTAAACCACTAGGAACACCAACGCTGATTGATAATCAATGTCTGACATCATAGGGTCAAAAGCCGCTCGTACGCCCCGTGACAGATCCTTATGTAGTGTAGACCATCGAAAGTATAAAAAAATGAAACGAAATAAAGATCTGTATTTTAATCAGATTGTTAGTTTTTATGATAAAATGTCTGTTTTTATGAACAAAAATTAGTGCTAGCTTTAAATTGTGCATTTTAGACTGCTCAATGCCCTTAAGTGACCAATCCTTTCATAGTGCTATACACCTACCTTGATTAACTATTTAATCTTACTTACTTTATATCTTAAACTCGAAAACAATTTGTGGTTACTCCTTTGTCGAATATTTTTATGCCCTTATTGTCGACAAGATATTAAAACGAGTCAGCTAATCTTTATAAGTCATTCAGTTTAGGATTCCAACGGTAATTTTGATAATCACTAAATATACAAGCTTGGCCTGCTGATAACCCCAAATTATTCTCTAAATAAGATGGTGCCAAAGTTGATCACGGCCACACAATAATTTTTTTTTACATGTTTTTATGTCAATCATAAATATTATTCAGAACAGGATATACAAAATATTTGTAGTTGAAGTCTAACAATTCAATCAAGGCTGATGTCCCCTGCCGAAATCCCGAAATAAATAGATGACACATATTAAACATGCATTATGCAAGAGCTAAATCTGCCTATTGGAGGTCTTTCTTTAGGCCTGAAATCGTATCTAAATTATTAATTAGACATTAAATAACTTATCCAGTCCATAATCAACTCTCGATGTCAAGGCCAGCCTTCGATATCGACTGGATTAGAATCCTATATGCTGCAAATGCTTATTGATAATTAAATCAAAACAATGGATAATCGAGACTATGCTTTTTAACGTACTAACTTTAGTAATGATGAATGAGGCTAGGCGGAAATTTACAAAGCTGATATCTTGGTTCATAGTGGACCAATTTGACTGAAATTTTCAACAAATTACCTTTACATTATTTAGTTTTTAACTATTATAGCGAGAAGTGTCAGCTCTTTATCTAATCTTCCATAATGTATCTTTAATTGATTGCATGTTTATCTTTTTCAAAAGTATTGAGCAAGCCCACTGATTATCAACTATACACTAAGTTTCATCACTCTCTATCAGATAGAATCAAAGTCAAAGAAATTGCTTAGCTTTGCTTAGCTTTAGCGGGAAATGTTAATCATTGAACTCATTCACCTAATGAACATCAACATCAAGTTTAAACATTTTACTTCAATAAAAAGCAGAGTTGTTATGTTCCAAATTCTTGACCAATCAAATTGCTTATTGCTCATTAGCCTAGGCAGAAAATTCTCTCACTTAATTATAACCAAAGTTATTGTGGCCAAAAGCATCAACCAAACAAATTGTTTGTCTCTGCTTACCTTAAGCAGACAATGTTCATCGAACTCCATCAAGGCATTCAACTAATGAACACCTACACCAAGTTTGAACATTCTACCTCAATTAGAAGTAGAGTTATTGTGTTTCAAAATCGCGATCAATCAAATTGCTTATCGAACTTAGTCAAGGTACTGATTTGATGAAACTATACACCAAGTTTCATTACCCTCACTTAATTAGAACTAAAGTTATCATGTCCCAAAGCATCAACCAATCAAATTGCTTATCTCTGCTTACCCTGAGCAGAAAATGCTCATCTTTGACCTCCAAGGCATCGACCTAATAAACACCTACACCAAGTGTGAACATTGTTGCTCAATTAGAAGGAGAGTTATTGTGTTCCAAAGTCTTGACCACTCAAATTGCTTATTGCTCTGCTCCCCCTGAGCAGAAAATGTTAATTATCGAACTTAGTCAAGGTATTGATGTAATGAAACTATAATATACACCAAGTTTGATCACCCTCACTTAATCAGAACTAAAGTTATTGTGTCTCAGAGCTTCAACCAATCAAATTGCTTATCTCTGCTTACCCTAAGCAGAAAATGCTCATCTTCGAACTCCATCAAGGTATCAACCTTATAAACACCTTCACTAAGTTTGAACATACTAGCTCAATTAAAAATATATTTCTTGTTCCCTTATTGGTACAAGGTAATTTCAGAGGCCTGTTGAACCATCTTCATTAGCCCAGTCGGTACAGAATAGAAGGATGTTAAACCGCATTTCATTTCATGACGTGAATTATAGTTACAAATAAGAAATGCTTCCTCCACCTTTTGGGTATAGCTGTTCCTGGAACTTGTTACTCATCAAATTCTTAGCTTTTCAGAATTAAAAAAAAGGTATTTAAGAAACATAACATACTTGTGGGGTGGGGTGACCCTGCAAATGTAGTTGTGTTTTGAAAAATCCTAAATTTCAGTACCATACTGAGATTCACCATAAAGCTGATGTTGGTACATCAATACCCGCATTTGTAACATTTTATGGGCCATGCTCTACGGATCATTGGGAACTGCAAGATAGTGAGGTCTTGATCTGTAAACTCAGAACACATCAAAATAAATGGGCTATTGTTTGCATGAAAATAAATTCTCTTACCGGAATGAATTGCCTACGGAATTCACAACCCATACACTCAGATACATCAACACATTTATCATCGATACTTTTAATTTTATCACCTGGACATCGGCACACTTCACCGACTTCTTTGTCATTACTGTTTATTATTGGTTCCATGCATGTAGCTTCTTTAAGTGGTGGATTTGATACTGGTACTAAATCACCATTACATTCCAGTTCTACATATAATGAAATGAAATATATCTTTATTTTCTATTTTTAAAGAGGAGTTATCACTTTGTGCAAGAAAATAAATTCAATTAATTTTCTATAAATAATCAATATAATCCCAGACTCAGTTAAGTAATTGTACACAATGTATTTGAAGCTTCCCAAAGTGATTGGTTAGTTAAACCAACCAGCCAACAGTGCGTCCCCTGCCAAAATCCCAAAATAAATAGATGACACATATTAATTAATTGCACATTTATCTTTTTCAAAAGTATCAAGCAATCAAACTGATTATCTATACTTAGTCTAAGCATAAAATGTTCACGTACAAACTCAGTCAATGTTTTGAAGTACCTGGTAGTGAAACTATGCACTAATGTTCATCACTTTCCACCAGTTAGAATCAAGATAGGTTGCCAGGCAACGAAACATACGCCCACAGCAACTAAATCGTCCGGGCAGTCAACGAGGGTTGTCGCATATCTTTACTTTTTTCGGTAATGAAACATTTATAATACACTAAAATCTGATTAAGAGCAACAACTCACGAAGTAATTATCAGAAAACTATTAGAATTTGTTTGGTTTTTATAAAGTTCTGCCCCATGCTAACATTTTGTATGCAAAGCTTTTAATATCATAGATTTAACTGTTCAAGTCATAAAAATTCATTGAAAATCAATATACTTGTTCGTCTCAAGATCTTAAACTCTGTGTATCAATCTAAAGTCAATCGGATGATAACTTAAGGGCCATAACTTTGGCAGTAATTATCGGAAATCGTTGAAAATCAATAGGAATCTTCGTCTCATGACATCAAACACTGTGTATAAATTTAAACTCAATCGGATATTAACTTGAGCCTCAAGAGCATCCAAATGATTTTTTGAAGTGATCAAGGGCCATAACTCTGGCAGTAATTATCGGAAATCGCTGAAAATCAATAGGCTTCTTCGTCTCATGACCTTAAACACTGTGTATAAATTGAAAGTCAATCGGATATAAACTGTGGCCTCTAGAGCATCCACAAGATTTTTCAAAGTGATCAAGGGCCATAACTCTCGCTGAAAATCAATATACTTCTTCGTCTCATGACCTTAAACACTGTGTATAAATTTAAAGTCAATCGAATATCAACTTTCGCTTCTAGAGCATCCACAAGATTTTTCAGAGTGATCAAGGGCGATAACTCTGGCAGTAATTATCAGAAATTGCTGAAAACTAATAGGCTTCATCATCTTATGACCACAAGATTTTTTGAAGTGATCAAGGGCCATAACTCTGGCAGTAATTATTGGAAATCGTTGAAAATCAATAGGTTTCTTCGTCTCATGACCTTAAACATTGTGTATAAATTTAACGTCAATCGGATATTAACTTTGGCCATTAGAGCATCCACAAGATTTTTTGAAGTGATCAAGGGTCATACCTCTGGCAGTAATTATCGGAAATCGCTGAAAATCAATAGGCTTCTTCGCCTCATGACCTTAAACACTGTGTATAAATTTAAAGTCAATCGGATATTAACTTTGGCCTTTAGAGCGTCCACAAGATTTTTTGAAGTGATCAAGGGCCATAACTCTGGCAGCAATTATCGGAAATCGTTGAAAATCAATAGGCTTCTTCGTCTCATGACCTTAAACACTGTGTATAAATTTAAAGTCAATCGAATATCAACTTTCGCTTCTAGAGCATCCACAAGATTTTTCAGAGTGATCAAGGGCGATAACTCTGGCAGTAATTATCAGAAATTGCTGAAAACTAATAGGCTTCATCATCTTATGACCACAAGATTTTTTGAAGTGATCAAGGGCCATAACTCTGGCAGTAATTATTGGAAATCGTTGAAAATCAATAGGTTTCTTCGTCTCATGACCTTAAACATTGTGTATAAATTTAACGTCAATCGGATATTAACTTTGGCCATTAGAGCATCCACAAGATTTTTTGAAGTGATCAAGGGTCATACCTCTGGCAGTAATTATCGGAAATCGCTGAAAATCAATAGGCTTCTTCGCCTCATGACCTTAAACACTGTGTATAAATTTAAAGTCAATCGGATATTAACTTTGGCCTTTAGAGCGTCCACAAGATTTTTTGAAGTGATCAAGGGTCATAACTCTGGCAGCAATTATCGGAAATCGTTGAAAATCAATAGGCTTCTTCGTCTCATGACCTCAAACACTGTGTATAAATTTAAGGTCAATTGGATATTAACTTTGGCCTCTAGAGCGTCCACAAGATTTTTCAAAGTGATCAAGGGCCATAACTCTGGCAGTAAAGTAAATCAGATATTAACTTTAGCCTCTAGAGCGTCCACAACCAATTGTGACCGCCGGACCGACGGGGGCGACGACAATATACGACCACATTTCAATGTGGGCGTATAAAAATTATCTTGTCCCAAAGCATCAAATAAATGAATTTGTTTAGCTTTAGCAAGAAATGTTATTCACTGAAGTCAGTCAAGACATCCACCTGATGAACATATACCTAAAGTTTAAATATTTTACCCCAATTAAAAGCAGAGTTGTTGTCTTCCAAAGTCTTGACCAATCAAATTACTTATCGCTACTTAGCCTAAGCAGAAATCTCCTCATCGAACTTAATCAAGGTATTGATTTAATGAATCTATCCTCAGAGTTTCATCACTCTATCACCCAATTAGACCCAAAATTATCATGTTCCAAGGTCTTAACCAATCAAATTGCTAATCTATGCTTAGCCTTAGCCAGGCAGGATACGCCCACATTTTCGAGAGATGGATAGAGAACAAGCTAACAAGAAAGTGATTTTTCCTACAATCAAGGGCCATAATTCAGGAAATTACAATTTGATATGTGCGAATATCGAAAGGAACTGAGATCTTTGTGTTATAAACTTACATTTGAAGTTTCAACAAAATCGGATAAAAATTGTGACCTCTATAGGGTCCACAACCTTGACATACCATATTTTTACGCTATTTGAGAACAAACGGCGGCCATTTTGTCTGTCAATTTTGGGCCAATTTTCACAAAATTCGAACTCAGTCGTCCTTAGGGTGTAACGCTGATATAATAATACGTTTTTTTTAAATTGGATAAAAATAATGACCTCTATAGGGTCCACAAGCTAAAAACACGATTTTTCGTACAATCAGGGGCCATAATTCAGGAAGTTACGGTCCGATATACGCGAATATCGAAAGGAACCAAGATCTTTGGGTTATAAACTTACATTTCAAGTTTCAACAAAATCGGATAAAAATTGTGACCTCTATAGGGTCCACAAGCTAAAAACATGATTTTTCGTACAAACAGGGGCCATAATCCATGAAGTTTTGATCCGATACATGCCAATATCGAAAGCAGCCAAGATCTTTTTGAGATAAACCTATATTTCAAGTTTCATCAAAGTCGGATAAGAATTGTGACCTGTAGAGTGAGTGTCCACAAACATGAAAATGTGGACGTATAAAAATGTACATGATCGAACTCTATCAAGACATTCACCTTATAAACACCTACACCAAGTTTGAACATTCTACCTCGATCAATCAGATTGAACTGTGGTAATGTATTGATTGATGTAATGAAACTATACACGAAGTATCAACACCATCACTCAATCAGAATCATAGTTGTCAAGCTCCAAGGTTTCAACCAATCAAAATGCTTATCGGTCTGCTTACGCTAAGCCTAAAAAAGCTCAGGATGGAACTTAGTCAAGGTATTGATGTAATGAAACTATACACCAAGTTTCATCACTCTCACTTAATTAGAACTAACGTTATTGTGTCCAAAAGCATCAACCAATCAAACTGCTTATAGTTGCTTAACCTAAGCAAGTAAGCAAGGCATTCACCTAATGAACACCTACACCAAGTTTGAACATTTTATCTCCATTAGAAGGTGAGTTGTTGTGTTCCAAAGTCTCCACCAATCAAACTGCTTATCGCTCTGCAGATAATGCTTATTATCGAACTTAGTCGTGGTATTGCTTTAATGTAAATACACACCAAGTTTCATCACTTTCGCTTAATTGGAACTAAAATTGTCGTGTCCTAAATAATCAACCAGGGGTTTTACATTCTAGCTCAATTAGAAGAAGAGTTATTGTGTTCCAAAACGTGACAGACAGATGTACAGATCTATTTTGATAGTCCCCTGCTTTCTTTTTATAAGGCTGGGGACAAAAATTGGGGTAATCACGGAAAGGGGAAGCAGGAAAACAGAACAAAGTTAAGAAGCGAAGAGGACAGGAAACATTGATTGATATTAAAACAATTGGTTCACCAAGTTTAAGTAGCTAATATAAGTCTCTTAACTCAATATCATCCAAAGTCTTCGACATTGAAAACACAAATTATTTGTCAATTTAAATCAACATTGATATTGTGATCTTACCAGCAAAAGATGGGCTTCTGATATCCAGTACTTAAGACCGGGAAAAGATGGGCTTCTGATATCCAGTACTTAAGACAAAATAAACATTTTACCATTGGTACACGAATCGTATACCATAATGGATTTCAGTGCCATTTGTAATAAGTAACTCGAAGAACGAGGTTAGACACATTCCACTAGTCATATCAAACGATGACGTCATATTCTTATCTGGAGAGCATGCACAATAAATACTATCGGTGTAGACTGCCATTTGACAGGAGACTTCTGGCGTATTTGAAATTAGAGTAAAAATGGAAACGATTGAATGTAAATCAGTTTATATACATTCATATTAGCGATTTGGCTCCTTTAAACAGGGTCAAGCAAAGATTTTAGACACACTAGCAACAAAGACATACATAGCTGCAATGACAAGTGATCACAGGAAGTCTGGGGGCAGAAATGATTTTAAATCTGGCAAGATTTTGTTATTTTAAGTATAGCTCATGTTAACTTTCAATTGGTCTTTTTTGGTTGATAAAATATTAGTCAGCAACACTATTATGTTGGGGGTGTTCAAATTCATCTGTATGCAAAATTTTATACAAATCTGCTGCCACTATTTTAGAAATAGACATTTTATATGCCAATTTAAAGATAGGTTGCCAGGTAACGAAACATACGCCCACAGCAGCTAAGTCGTCCGAGCAGTCAACAAGAGTTGTCGCATATTTTTTCTATTGTCTGTAATGAAACATTTATAATACACTAAAATCTGATTAAGAGTAACAACTCATTAAGTAATTATCCGAAAATCATTAGAATTTGTTTGGCTTTTAGTTCTGCCCCATGCTAACGTTTAGTATATGAAACAATTAATATCATGGATTTAAATTGTTTATGTGACATTTAGTAACTGGATGAGAATAACACATGACACAATTATATGGAATACAAGTTACTTGAAGAGTTTATTTCAGCGACGTTTCGACAAGGGTTCTCCTGTTTTTGTCAAGCATATATTACATTAAATAGTTATTAAATATGTGTTGCCAGGCAATGAAACATACTCCCACAGCAGCTAAATCTTCCGAGCAGTCAACAAAAGTTGCCATATATTTTCAATTTTGTCGGTAATGAATGTTTAAGAGTGACAACTCATTAAGTAATTATCATAAAATCTTGCTAACGTTTAGTATACAAAACATTTAATATCATAGATTTAACTGTTCAAGTCATAAAAATTCATTGAAAATCAATATACTTGTTTGTCTCAAGACCTTAAACTCTGTGTATCAATCTAAAGTCAATCAGATGATAACTTTGGTCTCTAAGAGCATCCACAAGATTTTTCAAAGTGATCAAGGGTCATAACTCTAGCAGTACTTATCAGAAATCGTTGAAAATCAATAGGCTTCTTCATCTCATGACCTTAAACACTGTGTATAAATTTAAAGTCAATCGAATATTATGAGTTGTATAAATTTAAAGTCAATCGGATATTAACTTTAGCCCTTAGAGCGTCCACAAGATTTCTCAAAGTGATCAAGGGCCATAACTCTGGCAGTAATTATTGGAAATCACTGAAAATCAATAGGATTCTTCATCTCATGACCTTCAACACTGTGTATAAATTTAAAGTCAATCAGATATTAACTTTAGCCTCTAGAGCGTCCACAAGCAATTGTGGACGCGGAACCGACGGATGGAGGGGACGACAATATACGACCACATTTCAATGTGGGCGTATAAAAATGGTACAAATTATTTTCGTGGTTTTACAAGTGTTGGGGAAAGACATCTTACTTTTAGAATAGCAGCCTAAGATTATTTTGAATATGAAATAATTAGAAAATGATTAATTTTATTTTTGGGGTAAGAGTGATAATGCCTCCGTAATATGTTTCATAAAATTAATTCAACATGCACAAAGAGGAAGTCAACATTAAATCTTCCTGAAATAAGCCAGTACAGCTGATTTCGCTTGCCTTGTACTCTTGTAATTGAGGTAACTGAGTAAGAGAATGTATAACATGAGCCCAATGGTATGTCGTTACTCTGAACATGCCCACTGATTTGATAGAGCTGGACCAATTTTATTGAAAACTGCTTACCACCTGAATTGTAGAATCTCTAATACTGATTTGTCTATAGTGATTCAATTAATCTATATACCGGGTAGTTTTATATAAAATACAACTCAATTGGTAATCAGTACATTTCAGGTGGCCAGTCATAAACAATCGTTGTTTTTTAAGGCGAGCAATCACTCTCGAGCGTCTGCCACGCACCTAAATGTCGACCGAGGGTAGTTTTTTCTCCCTCCCCATAAAATTGAAAATCGCTCTCCTTTACAAAGTCACAGGGGGTTTATTATCAGTTATTAAACTAGGAATGACCCTCTAACACGCACTTATTGATCTTCAGAACCATTTCCCATACACAACTAATCACTCTTCTTAATATCAGATCACTCTCCTTAATTTCTAAATCACTCCTCTTATCGAAACTGCGAAAGGTTTTTTGGGGAGCGATTTTTTCAATTTGTTGACTGCATAAAACCATTGTATTGTATCTATTCAATCACATTTTACTAGGCTTTTAGTGAAGACACCCACATGCGAAAGGAGTGCACAAACTGAAATATTTAGGCTAATTTATGACCCAATTAGGATAAAAGTTGGCCAGTATATTCTTGTTTAATAGTATTTAATAGTTGTAGGTGTACTTACTACAGTTAGTTTCCTTTCTCCAGTTTGGTACTCCTGAGCCAATACTACTAAGTTCATCTGCTGCAGCTTGGTAATAATCACATCTGGTATTTTCAGAAAGACAAAGATCATAAACGCAACTGTTTAATTTCTCTTTCAACATTTTCAAAAGAGCTCGGTTTCCATTGGCAGCTTTAATAAAAACAGAGTTGGATGACTTTTTGAGTAATCCACAGCCATCCTTTTGATCCTCCTTGATTCTACGTTCATCATCCTTTGAACATTTAGGTTCTGTATCTGTATCTGGTAGTCTACATCTGAAAATAAAAACTAATTCTAATAATATGTTATAAAAGATGACACTAGCATATATGGCTCTCTTTTAAAGATACATTAAAGATACATTATGTAAGATTTAGATAAAGAGCTAGCCATTCTTGCTATAATCGTTCGAAAAAAGATAATGTAAAATGAATAATTTGAAAATTTCATTCAAATTACTCTATTGCCAGCGAAGATATTAGCCATTGAAGGTTTGACAAGACGTGTGCAATAATTCCAACCACCGTACTGGTTGTTCGAAGCAAAGTCTCCCTTCTCCATTTTTAGATTAAATCAAAAGATGGCTGAACTGTTCTAAACTATTTAATATCGGAGAAATCCGTTGCATCGAGAGTTGATTATGGCCTGGATAAGTTAATTACTGTTTAATTAATAATTTAGAAAACATTTCTGGCCTAAAGAAAGACCTGCAATAGGCAGATTTAGCTCTTGCATAATGTATGTTTAACTACATAAATCTGTCTATTGCAGGTCTTTATTCATATGACAAACTCATAATCAACTTATGGCTGCATTATTAAATGGATATTTAAAGAAAGCTGGGCCATTTAATAATTTAACAATAAAAAGCATAATTCAGACATAGTTTATTATCATAGCAATGACAATCAAGACTATACTTGTCTAAATTTGCAGTACATTGATTTTTCATTATCTATTTTTAAACTAGTACATTGAGAATAGTCAGCTCTTTATCTTATTCTTACATAATCCGGGGGGTCACGGTGGCTAAGTGGGTAAGACAATGGCTCGCTAGCTTGTAGGTCGGGTGTTTGATCCCTGCATTGGCCAAGAAAGTACATCCAGATTTTCTGGCGTGGTTCCCCTTTGTCAGTGATGCAGAACGGTGGGCCTGACAAGGACAGCTGTCTAGTCATTCGTATGGGATGAAAAACCAAGGTCCCATGTACACATTGGTGTGCACGTAAACTCCATTTCATTTCAATTTCATTTTCTTACATAATCCATCAATAGGTATTTCATGATATATTCATCACAGACTATAACTTCTATATTTTTGTTTAAAAATATTGAGAGACTGCATACTGTTTGGAGGGGGTGGGTTTGTTTAGTAAAAGAAATCTTTGTGTGTGTGGTACTAGACTACATGCAGTATTTTAGCTTGTTAAAATATTTCTTGTAAATACACCTAGAAAGATAGGTTGTCTGGTTACAAAAAGAAAAAAATAGCTCTGAGCAATCAATAAAGGTTATGAGCACTGACAAGATTTTATGACATGATCAAGGATAAGACTTACCCATCATAATAATTCAAACAAAGAATGACATAAAATGGATCAAATCCTGTTTAAGCACATTTTCAGAAAAGAAGACAAAAGGTGCCTAACAAACATAGGCCTAGATCAAGGTTTCCACCCTTTCTAGTCTAACTTTGCGAAACTATAATTACCCCCCAGTAATTTGAGTTAAGACTTCTACCATACATAATAAAGCAAAAAAAACTGTTTTTAACTTTTTCTCTTTAAGTTCAACTAACAATAACAATTACACATTACCATGTGTTGACTTGTTCATGAATTCTAATTATAACAAAATAGGTGCTAATTCAGAATTAGTAAATCTATCCCAGGATAGGAACCCTTGATCTTGAGTAGTCTACTTTATACTTTGTCATACTTACTCATGATCATCAGCAGCAAAACTGTTGGCAAAATTTTCAGCCGGAGTAAGCTTTTTATTATAAGCATGTGCTCCAACCATCTGTAAATCATTTTCAGGGTTTCCATCGAAGTTACCACATAAACCTTCTACTTTGTTTTGTAGTTTGTATGATGCTTCAACATAAAAACTTTTGCGGCCATCTGTTGACAATTCCAAACCAAAATCAGTCGAAATGGTGATTCTATCACCACAGGAGCTAATTTTCACATGGTCATTTTCAAAAGGACAAAGAGTTTCTTCATTGTCAACCTGAAAATTATCAATTTATACAAATACATTATTTTATGCTTGCCAAAGTTTTCTGTCTTCTAGAGGTAAGGGTCAAACGAGCAATTGATCACATGACATATACATCAGTGATGGGATTTCAAAATTTTTCTTGTCGGACATTTTTACCGAAAATAAAGGGACATAACTCTTATCATTATTTAAGATGGCAGTTTTTAGACCACACACAAAAATCACGTGTAAACAAAATATTCAAATTCATCCGTAATATAAAAATAGGTTCACCTCGTTATTTTTCATATTTAATTCCCGTACGGTATTCAAATTTATGTCAGTAATATTCCTACAAAATTCGTAATATGATAGAATGAAAGCGTGCCGAGTATAATGGGTGGGATTCAGATAGATCATACAGAGAGAGAGAGAGAGAGAGAGAGAGAGAGAGAGGGAGGGAGGGGGGTTTAATGTCCACTCGACAGGTCATTTTGGGATTCACACATAGTTCAATTTCACTTGTACATATGGGTCTTAAGCAGTGGGAGGAAGCCAGAGGACCCCCCCCCCCCCAAAAAAAAACATGAGGTTGGACAGACGACCCTACTCCTTGCCAGGTACAAGAGGGGAATCGAAACCACGCCACTTGACTCCATGATAGACCGTCTGATACAACCCTTATTCCATAAGTAACTGTTAAGAAAAAAACCTACGCTTCCAACAAGGTGTTTCCTAACGGCAGCCGGACTAGTTTGTTGAAATGAAAATATAGTGCCGAAATTACCAACCCAATCATACTAGTCCCACAACTTATTGCTAAAATGTTTTAAATAACTTGTATTGCACAATTGTCTTTTACTTTCTGTCTCAAGGTCACCAACATCTTGCACAAGATGGATGACTCAGTCCCAATAATGCAAAAAAGTGGTGTCATTTACAGTGAATTCCATCTTTATATGCACCAAATACAAAATATATAGCACCATTACCATAACGCTTATTTTGAAATGATAGAAGGTCAACAATAAATAGGCCTACATCATCAAAGACCTTTCAGTCTAACAAGTTCTGTTACTGTATCACTCACCCAACAAAGATATACCATAGTAAATTGAAACTCAACTTCATATGCCATAACTTTGAACAAACTTTGTCACACAAAATGTCAAATAAATTTTGCCACATTTGATCATTTCATAATGAACCTTGATCATAGAAACTTTTACCATATAAATTTGGGAAGAAATGGAAAATTTACAATAAATGTTCATTTACACAATAAATGTTCATTTACACAAGAAATTTTCATTGCTATTAGGGATTTGTCATCAAAATTTGCCAGTGTAAATTTAATAGGCCTATTTACTGACCAATCTTAAAGCCTTTAGCACTTGACTATAGATTTCTGGACAGATGTAAACAGTCCGAAACTGCTGTTATTTAAAGCGTCTCAAAGCACTTGAGATATGTGAATAGTCGCAGGACTATGTACACATTATGGGTCAGTTTTACTCAACCTGACATTCTTTACAGTACATAATTACTAGTGGTATTGGCAAGAATTAAGTGGAGAGGCAAAACTAAAGCATCAATTTCATATCAAGTTCACATCAAGTTCCATCAAAACAACTACATTTTTTTTTTGGACAGCTTTGATACTAAATCAACAATTGAAAGAGAATGGGGTTTAGTGTCCCCTTGACACAAACTAGATCAATTCGTGACCAACATATGGTTCAATTTGCCTGCGCATACAGAGGTCATTAGCAACACTACACCTTGTCACATACAAGTGGGAAATCAAACCATGCCACTTGACCGAATGACAGACCTTGTGATCTTAACATTTGACATACTCATAGTTACATACATATATTTTCTTTTTCCTTCCAATTCTGTATTTATGACCCATATAGTCAAGTTCGACCCAATCGGTGTAGGAGACTTTGGCACTAGGTTTCTTCTTATAGTTGTTAACTCTAACTGAAAATGCTTCTTGACCTTGTATTCCTGGACGTAATTGAATCAATGTGTATGAACAATCGCCTTGGAAATTGTATTTCTTTCCATCTAATGTCGTATAATGAGGATCACCACTTGATTTACATAAAGCGGCCTCTAGAAAAATGTGTAAAGACAAAACAATGTTAGAAACAAAATGGATCATCAATATTAGTAAGTAGGTAAATAATGGCTCTTAAAAAGAAAATTTGTTCAAACCCATGATGAGCTTGAGCGATATAGTAATCTCTTGCAAACCACATCTTTGTAACAGTTGAATTTCCAATGGTAATATGAGTCAAAAAAGTGTTTAATTCTCTTCAGTATTTCAAAGATATAATGAACTGAAATTGTAGTGAAAAAAAATTCTGCTCCCTTTGCGGATGGTACACCCTATCTTTATGTTTTGTGAAATCTGATGAGAATGTTTCTAGTCTGATTGAATCCATGGTGGGAAATTATCTAGTGTCTGACTCCTTGATTTCGTTTTCTTAAAGATATGTTATGTTAGAACAAACTCTGCCTATTGGAATTCTTTTTTTTTGGCTTAAAATGTTATATAAATGATTATGCAGATATTTATTCAAATGCCAAGCCAACAATCAGACTGCTAAGATATTGAGTGGATTAGACATTGTTCGTCATATCTTCGTCAAATATTAACATGGCCACCACTCACAGAGACTGCTGATTAAAGGATTGGCGTATCTTAAAGCGGCATTATGGAAGATTAGTTAAAGGACAATATTGGTGCCAGTCATTATCACATATGTGATAGATCTGGTTAAACACAATCCAAATATAATTTTATCACAGAGATCATTGCTACGATAGCTGAGTAATACAGGTTTCCTGAATCGGAAGTGACGAACGCCAAAGGAAAACACAAGTAATCCCTCTATATAACTGACTGATGTGACGAGTGATAACAGATACACGGCCGAATTTCTGCTCACTAATAATTCCTTCCAAGACCAAAGGTTGCTATATGGGACTGTAAGAAGATACCTGACAATTCAATAAAGTAATTGAATGTCATTAGATAAGAGAACACGAGAAAAATAGAAAAAGTCCATACATTCCCTTGTTTATATTCAGTCTATACCTTATAAAAACATGGTAATGCCCAGAGTTTTTCAGTTTTTCTTTCGTGTTCTCTTATCTAGTGGCAGTCAATTCTTTTTATGAATTGTCAGATATTCTCTCACAGTCTCACACAACAACTTTTGGTCTTCGAAGGAATTATTAGTGAGCAGAAATTCGGCCGTGTATCTGTTATCACTCGTCACATCAGTCAGTTATATAGAGGAATGACTCGTGTTTTCCTTTGGCATTCGTCATTTCCGATTCAGGAAACCTGTATTACTCAGCTATTGTAGCAATGATCTCTGTGTTAAAATTATATTTGGAATGTGTTTAACCAGCTCTATCACATATGTGATAGTGACTGGCACAATATTGTCCTTTAAAGAGATGATCGTTCTCGCTATAGTAGTTAAAAAATAGTTAATGGCATGGAGGGTTGATTATGGTCTTGTCATGTTAATAAATGTCTAATTGACAGTTTATATAACATTTCAGGCCTAAACAAAGACCTGCAATAGGCAGATTTAGCTCTTGCAAAATGTATGTTTAAAAAGGTGAGTGAATAAAAATGTACATACTTTCACAATAATCAAAGCAGACCTTGTCGAGTCTCTTGCATGGATTGACACATGAGTAGCCACCATTAGCTCGATTCATACATCTCATGTTCTTGTTTCTACAGTTTTCTTGATTTCTGGGTAAACTGCAATCATTATTGTCTACAAAAACAACAAAATTATTTTCATGTTATATCGTTAATGCATTAAACATAGCATCAGTTTGATCTTGGTCTGAAAGATGTGGTTCCATTATCAAAAAGACCAGATTCGACAGGCCCGTAGCTAGCCCAAAAATGTTGGGGTGGGGGGGCAAGGGCTTCTGGGGGTGCCAATGGGGCTTCTGTGGGCGATGATATACCTACACTTGACAGTCCATAGCGAACGGCACCGTAGAGGCGCTGATTTTTAAGGGGGGGGGGGGGCTTGTTCCAAACTAATTTTAATGAAATGTACAACGACAGGAAAAATAGAATAAAACATCCTTTTGATATCAATCAGGATATTTCAGGACAAACATATAGTAAAGGAATTACAACAGAATTTTTGTCAGACAAAAAATGTATAAGCTTATGAATAAAAAAAAAAGGTATACTTCTATGAGTATCAGTTTTGGTAAAGTTTAAGTTAAATAAAGATAAGTTTGTCTTTATACATACCAAGTGGACAAGTAAGTTTATATTCAATGTCTGGGCACTTTTTACCACCATTCTTTCTATCCAAACATTTAAACCGACCATTCTCACATGCTTTGCCTCTCTCCAACTTAAAACCATTACTATTTGCTTTAGAAATCAGTGTCTTTGTACCGACTATTCTACATTTCATACTAATTGGATTGGAACATGGTCGTTTTCCTGTATAAGGCTAAAAATTGAAAAAGTAGAAACTAATTAAGAGATGAACAGTTTATGCAAGATTGGGCTAACACCTGATTCCTTTGGATTCAGATAATTCTTCATTTTTTTGTAAGTATCCAACAACAGACAAAAAAGCCTATAAGATTCTTTCCAAAACCAGATCCAGATCGGGATTTCCAGAAATCCATGCTGGAGTCCATACCATGAGAGATTCGATTTGACAGTTTTTACGTATTTTTGAAACAGGGTTTGAAGTGTTTTGGTCCTGTTACGCAAGATCTTTTTCAACATTTCTGTTATTAATTAGAACAGGTTTCTCTTTAGTTTTTATATCTTACACCGATGTGTATTGTGTTAAATCTTCCTAGAGCAAAAATGGAAAATTTGACCTTTTGACCTCTGGGGAAGGAACTAAGCTGAATTTAGCAAGTTTACATTTTTATTGAAAGAGTGATTAGTTCTGATCATTTTCAGCATGTTTCCATGATACAAGAATGAACCATAGGGTAGTTATAGCTCTGAGCTCTGAAATGGCTTATGACCCCAAGTATTTCGAAAACGCCCAACGGCAAACTGTTGAGTACCGCTCGACATCGTATTCTATGCAACAAAATAACAAAATACTATAGAGAAGTTGGGTCTAGTTTTGTGCCCATTTGATGCCCCACCCACGCACTGAACCTCCAGTCTACTATCGCAATTCAGTCATGCTTAAATTATTTACTCTTATTATAATTTGAAACCAATGCAGTAGGCCTAAAGGTCGTATATACTCTTCAAAAAAAGAAACTCATAGCCCATTTATTATCATTTTTTCATTTGAACGGGGTCGTTGTTTCCATAAATTTTACTCGTTTTTAATGTCATTTTCCATAAATTTTACTTGTTTTTAATGTCATTATGTAAGGACAAAAGAAATTCATGATTGGTTTTAAATCTAGGGTCACTAACTGTGACTGGTCATACTTTTTGCCGAAATTTGTTTTCGCTTGATTGCACCAAGACACGTGAGTTTAACAACTTCGCAAGCGGATCCCAGACAGATTATGTGTAAAATTATGTGTAATTTAGTTACAGAGTTATCGCTCATGTCAATGCTATTGACCAAGGACTGTTTGACTAGGCATAGGGATGAACTCTTTAAATATTACTTCTAAATAATTTACAGACTTATTGCTCTTGTCATTACTAGGTGTTTGGGGATTTGTTTTCAAATATACTGGTATTATATTCCTAGTTATAAAGATGGACTCCATTGAAAGTTTGTTATGCAAACATTACATGGCTAGTTATTTCCTTTGTAAGGCTTTGTCTCTGTTGGTCAGACAGAAGTTATGAGAATTTTATTGTCAACTTCTTGTGATTGTTTGACAAGTTACAAATATCAACCTGGAGTTATTGCTCTGTTCTTAGATATTCTTTAATCAAGAGAAGAGTTTTTGAGAGAAAAATTTTAAACATATCAGGATTCGGCTGGCATATGTTTTGTAAAATTATCACCTCCAATTTTTACGGCGTCTGCACAAACCCAAATGATTACTTTCAACTGACAGAACACTAATATTATACTGAGCAGGGTCTTGCTAAATTATCAGTGTCTTACTCACTGAGCCACCAAGTCTCCACACCCCTTCATTCACTTCAGATGCACAGTAGTATAGGATCTGTCTACCAAGTATGACTAAGCTATAGCTTAACCTATCCCTAACCCCTGTTGACTGTGTGTAATAATGCCAAGATTTAATAGAGCCAGTGTTTATTTACCAAATTTCTGTTTATGAAGGTTATAACATTTTCATCCTCTCTATTCTCAGGTTTACCACTATCTAACCATTCTGTTTCATATATTTGACTGGAATCAACCTGTCCGTCTGCAGAGAATAAGGAACAGTAATGCTATTATACCTCAAACTATACAAATCTGTCATTATGAGAATGTGTTACATTTCCCATATTCTGCTCATGATCTGCTGGATATCATCATAGGATTAAACTCAAAGAAAAGTTTCTAAAGAGCTAAATATTAATCAATTCTTCCAATTCAGTTATGTTTTGTTTCCAATCTGATTGAAACACAGATCCTATTTCGATTCAATTTTGATAGTTCAAAATTTTGTTTTACTTGTCTTTAGGCCATCAAAAGTATAAAAAACGAAACGAAATATAATCTGTAATCTTATCAGATTGGTTTTCTGTCCAATTTGCTTATATAATTACAATTCTGTCAGATTAATGGCAGATCATCTGATGACTTATGGAAGATTATGTACAGACCATTTTGCAATTAGAATGTGATTGTACATGTACTTTAAAAAGTTTTGTTACGTTCCCTGAAATGGATTATACAATTAAAAACAGTTTAATGACTAATGGGATAAAATCTAGCATTTCTATCTCGATAAAACATATATCTAGATATAAACACATTGTTAAAAGATTAAATTTTCAAAAAAAATCACCTCTTTGATTGTTAAAATTAATGTTGCTGGGGTGTACTCATATAGTTCTGTAAACTTTAAAGATTCAAAAATACATGTATTTTTTAAGAAAATGTACAACAATAAGACTTACTTCTTTCACATATAAATGCGTACTTTCTGTTACAGGATGCCAATTTCATCCTGGTTATACCGCTTGATGAAATATAAATAGCTAAACAATCAGTGATACCATTACGATCATTTCCATTCTTCCATGCCTTGGGCATATATTCTCCGCTCAAATATGCCAAGTACACTCTAGATTGTTTTCTATTAAATCCCCCGTAATTTCCACACATGCCTGTCAAGAAATCTCCATATATTTCTCTTTTATTTCTACGCCTTTGAGAACCACCAACTCTGCTTGAACCTTTTCCTCTGCGTGAACCGTTTCTTCTGCGTGATCGGTTACTGCGTGAACCCTTTCGTCTGCCTTTTCTGCTTGCACGCTTTCCTTTGCCTGATCGACTTCTGCGTGCACCCTTTCCTTTTCTTGATCGGCTTCTGCTTGCACTCTTTCCTTTTCTGCTTACACGCTTTCGCCTGCTTGATCGGCTTTTGCGTGCACCCTTTCTACCTTTTCTGCTTGCACGCTTTCCTTTGCCTGATCGACTTCTGCGTGCACCCTTTCCTTTTCTTGATCGGCTTCTGCTTGCACTCTTTCCTTTTCTGCTTACACGCTTTCGCCTGCTTGATTGGCTTTTGCGTGCACCCTTTCTACCTTTTCTGCTTGCACGCTTTCCTTTGCCTGATCGACTTCTGCGTGCACCCTTTCCTTTTCTTGATCGGCTTCTGCTTGCACTCTTTCCTTTTCTGCTTACACGCTTTCGCCTGCTTGATCGGCTTTTGCGTGCACCCTTTCTACCTTTTCTGCTTGCACGCTTTCCTTTGCCTGATCGACTTCTGCGTGCACCCTTTCCTTTTCTTGATCGGCTTCTGCTTGCACTCTTTCCTTTTCTGCTTACACGCTTTCGCCTGCTTGATCGGCTTTCGCGTGCACCCTTTCTACCTTTTCTGCTTGCACGCTTTCCTTTGCCTGATCGACTTCTGCGTGCACCCTTTCCTTTTCTTGATCGGCTTCTGCTTGCACTCTTTCCTTTTCTGCTTACACGCTTTCGCCTGCTTGATCGGCTTTTGCGTGCACCCTTTCTACCTTTTCTGCTTGCACGCTTTCCTTTGCCTGATCGACTTCTGCGTGCACCCTTTCCTTTTCTTGATCGGCTTCTGCTTGCACTCTTTCCTTTTCTGCTTACACGCTTTCGCCTGCTTGATCGGCTTTTGCGTGCACCCTTTCTACCTTTTCTGCTTGCACGCTTTCCTTTGCCTGATCGACTTCTGCGTGCACCCTTTCCTTTTCTTGATCGGCTTCTGCTTGCACTCTTTCCTTTTCTGCTTACACGCTTTCGCCTGCTTGATCGGCTTTTGCGTGCACCCTTTCTACCTTTTCTGCTTGCACGCTTTCCTTTGCCTGATCGACTTCTGCGTGCACCCTTTCCTCTGCTTGATCGGCTTCTGCTTGCACTCTTTCCTTTACCTTTTCTGCTTACACGCTTTCGCCTGCTTGATCGGGTTTTGCGTGCACCCTTTCTACCTTTTCTGCTTGCACGCTTTCCTTTGCCTGATCGACTTCTGCGTGCACCCTTTCCTCTGCGTGATCGGTTTCTGCGTGCACTCCTTCCTTTACCATTTCTGCTTACACGCTTTCCTCTGCGTGCACTCCTTCCTTTGCCTGATCGACTTCTGCGCGATCGGTTTCTGCGTGCACTCCTTCCTTTACCTTTTCGGGACTGAACTCTGCGTTTTCCTCTTCCTGTATCTTCAAAAAGTTGTTTTAAACCTGGGAAATTTTTAATGACGTCCTCCATTTTAGTTGCATCGGAAAACTCTAGTATACTGTATATCCAGTACCACTGATTATTTCCTAAAGAAATGTACCAGACAAAGAAAGAAATAGAATTGATGTTACAATAAATTCAAATAATATGTGTCAATTAGTAGGTCTTTTATCATAGCCTAAAATATTTCAATTACCAGATGAATTTTTTTCACAAATCCTCCATTTGTGTGAAAAGATTTTCTTCCATCCTGATTATTTATGAACTAAGATCCATTCCCTGGTCAGAGTGGGAAAGGTTGAGCACAGGGAAACTTTTTACGTTTACCCACTATTGGCTATTCCAAATCAGCTGCAGGATCTTCAGTACACTATAACTTTCACCGGTCAACCTTTCTAACCCCTGGGGTTAAGAGAGGGAGGGGGGGAATGGCCGAATGGATAGCACCTGCGCGCTGTATCATAAGGCCTGTCATTGAGTCAACTGGCGTGGTTTTGACAAGGAGAAGGGTTGCCTGTCCAACCTCGTGGGTTTTCTCCGGGTCCTCTGGTTTTCTCCCACTGTTGTTGTTAGACCCTCTGCCCTGCACCATTAACAAAGGGAATTAACGTTTGAAATTCACTGGGAGTAAACCCTGGATTGTGAGCCAGTATCTGATTCACTGAGCCACTGTGGCTCCCAGTACATTTATGACTACAGTATATAGTTGGTTCGTAAATTACTTACCCCTAGGGAATGCTGAATGCTTTATGAGCGAATCTACATCGTCTAATTTGGGCAGACGTGCAAGGCGACCATTATTTTCCTGTTTACACCTGTTGGCTGCTTCATCATGTGTTAATCTCGTCCTGTGTTCTTTGTATATACATAAGTTACCAACTAATTTGTAAGGAATTTGACAATCATCAGCGCTGATTTCTGAAGATTAATAACCATAAAATAATCAGCTAGTTGAGCAATGAATAATGTGCCTATGGCATACTGATAAAATATGACCGCAGGCACCAGTTTACAATTATTTAAGTAAATTGACACTATGGAAAATCCACTATGCCAATGAAAACTGTCTTTGTGTCAACATAATGTATCTTTAAAATCAGAAAATAAACAAGCGGTTGGCATGTAAGATATGCCAACATTTTGCAATCAGGGGCCATAAACAATGAAATTACAGTTCGATATACACCAATAAGTGCAGCGCCATTATGACAGGAAGTTATGGTCCGATATTCGCAAAATTCAAACCCAGCCATCTTTATGGTGTAGCGGTGATACATGTATAATGCAATGTTTTCTTTTCTTAAATCGGATGTGACCTCTAGATGACCACAAGCTAAAAATGTGATTTTTCGTACAATGAAGGGGAAATAATCCTGGAAGTTACAGTCCAATATGCGCGATTATTAAAAGGAACCAAGATCTTTGGGACATAAACATATATATTAGGTTTCATCAAAATCAGATAAAAATTGTGACCCCTAGAGGGTCCACAACCTTGGTATTACATACTTTTACACTATATGCACACGAGGATCGGTGATTTTGTCGGGCAGTTACAGATCGATATTTACGAAAATTGATCCAATCGTCTTTATGGTGTAGCGGTGATATTTTGCAACGTTTTTTTTTTTTTAAATCAGATAAAAATTGTGGCCTCTAGAAGGACCACTTGCGCTAAAAAGTGTTATTTTTTGTACAATCAGGGGCCATAATCCACAAAGTTACGGTCCGATACATGCCAATATAATATTGAAAGGAACCAAGATCTTTGGGATATAAACCTATACATATTTGAAGTTTCCTTAAAAATGGATAAAAATTGTGACCTGTAGAGGGTCCACAAACAAAATGTGAATGGAAACATGGACAGATGGACAAATTGTGGGCTATAAAAGTGTTCTGGCTACCATATTTAATGGACAGGCACCTGTAACATGGAATATTAATTTGACTAAGGGAGCGAGATTCTAAAATGACTTGTCTGAATTTGATTCGGGGGCAATTAACTCATCTTAAAACGATTTGTTTATCAGTACTTATGCTACTAAATCTAAAGGTGAGCAACAAAGTCACAGACAAAAGGTGGGGTTATTCTGTCAACCAGTCACACAATCAGACTCACTTAGTCACAGTTTAAAACTGAAAGAGATTTTCCCAATTCAAGCGTCTGTGAAGCAATTAAAAGCTAGAAAGCCTCGATTCCCTATCATCAATGCACCACTGAATTGGGAATCAATTATTATTTGGCATTACGATATTATAATGTATAGCTTGTTTGACGTTTTAATTAATATTTACACCTACTTTTACACTCGTCTTCTGGATTGCCGAAGAAACCGTCATTACATTTGCACTTTGCAGATTGAGCATTTAGTTGCTTACATCCAGCATTTTTTCCACACGTTACTTGCTCTTCATCAACAATTTTCCCCTCCTTACATCTTTTGACTTGCTGACATCCTCCGTCTAAGAATCGTTCTTCGTCCTACATAAATAAATGTACTATTTTATTTATGGTGGGGCTTGTTACAATAAACCTTATCGGTAGTTTCTAAAATGACTGCCAATACATTTAACTAGTAATAAGTCATATACTTTTCAAATGAAATGAAATGGGGCCTAATGACGTAATGTCTTACTCTTCTGCACAACATGTTGAGCTAATGAGGATGAGCATACGCGATACAATACAGGATCTCTGTTCCGTTTCACTGACAAAGGGAAACCACATCTTTATGCTTTTTATCTCTGGGCCCTTATTCACGAAAACTTAAACTAAGATACAATCGAAATTTTAAGAAATACTGCATTTCGATTGGCTGACCAATATGCAAATTGGATATATGCAAATTGATTTTACTGGTCAGCCAATCGAATTGCAGTATTTCTTAAAATTTCGATTGTATCTTAATTTAAGTTTTCGTGAATAAGGGCCCAGATTTGTAAATTCAATTACTATACTTAAAAGCTGTGGGTCAGATCATACGAGGGGTGGGGGCAATTTTTTTCGGGCGATCATCAAATTTTTCGGGCAGTGGCTTAATGATGAACAAAAATTAAATTTTAGTGGATGTAAAAGGGAAAATAAGAAATCTTATTCCATCCCGCAAAATCAAGTGCCTGAAATCTGGGGCTTTTACTGACCATTGGGTTAGGTGATACTATTCCAAACCGTAGTTCAGAGTTTTAGAAGATCACAAAATTATGATTTTGATTCAGGGTGTCTACTTCTCAAATTAAACTGCAGTTCCAGAAAATTTGCACTGAATATGAAGGCAGTTAGCAACAATCACGAACTAAACGACCCACAATAACGAAAAACAAGCATCAAAAGGAAAAGGTATTCCTTACAAAGGGTACCTGCCAAATTTCATTTGATTCTGTTGGCTTATGAAAGAGGGTGGTACTTCAGTATAAACTGACCCAACCCCAAGAACGAGAAGACGATCGAAGAATCAGACAACTGCCGTGGCACTAGTGTAAAAAATTTTACCTTAAGCCTGACCAAGCAAAGGACAGCTTTCTAGTCGGTCGGATGGCAGTTGGAATTCGATATAAGAGTAGGTGGTAGCGCCGCGGTTTGGCCAAAATTTCCCTCATAGCACATTGTATGGCGTATGCCTGTCTTCATTAGCCCAGTCGAAGTAAGACGTTAAACCCCATTTCATTTCTTTCCAAGTCTGACCAAGGAAGTTACCGGTGACAGTTAATGTCAATAAGGTTTGTGGTTAGCCTATTGACCTTGATTTGAGTATGCTAACAGTTAAAGACGTTCCCGTCACCCGTGCTGCAATTAACGCTTATATTTTTTATTTCCATTTAGCTAAATAATGAATAAAACTAAGAAAGGTCAATTGATTCTGAGAAAGTTCATCGTGATTTTCTGGTGTGGTTTTCCCTTGTTAGTGGTGCAGGACGGAATGCCTGATAAGGACAGCAGTCTAGTTGTTCAAATGGAACAAAAAACTGAGGTCCCGTGAATACATTGGCGTGCACGTAAAAGATCCATTTGTAGTTGGAATTCCATATAAGAGTAGGCCATAGAGCCGCTGCCCAGGCAAAATTTCCCTCATAGCACACTATATGGCGTATGCCCGTCTTCATTAGCCCAGTCAGAGCAGAACAGTAGGACGTTAAACCCCATTTCATTTCATTTATTAATCCGGCTGTGAAATCTAATCTGGGAGCTATCCATGGAAAACATGTCCGGATTGGGCTTGCATGAGGACCTTGCATCAACCATGAACAAGGGGGCATATTCTGGTCATTGTTTGTCACACACACAAATGCAATTTATATGCCAGTATGATTGATAGACAGACTTATTTGGCACATTAGAACTATAATTTAGGGACACCATTAACATTGGTTCCCCTGTCTGCAGTCCAGTCAGTATCTTGCTTAATCCGGGCCTGGGTGAAATGGATTGGATGCTGGATCCAGAAATAAAAAAATTAATCTCTCAAAATATTAGCAAGCAGCGTTTTCACTAGAAATTTGTGCCAAACTCTTGACACTCTTTAGACCAGGACAAGTTGCTCTAATTGTAAATAAGCACAGTTACTACACATCTGTTTTCGGGGGCGGACTGGACCTCAGCCTTAACATATGTTTTGTTTTCAAAAAAATTAAAATTCATCTTCATTCCCACTAAATTTGTAATGTCCTCAATACGACGAGGTATCAAACTGGATTTGTTTTC